AATATACTGTACATTATATAATATGTATGCAATTTATGCAATTATGCAACGATTTGAACAAACGATAACGCAGGACAACATTTCAGGTAGGAGCGATTTGAACAAATAACTATCTGCTATCATATTTGTAAATTATAAATAGTATATCTATTATTTTGGAATCGGAGCGTAGCGATAAGAGATCTATATCATCTTTTGGTTTTTCTATATTTTTTTTTTTTTGTTTCTGAGCAACTACCAGAAATAGGTCTTGCTCCGATGTATAAAGTGTAGTATATTTTCTGAAAGGAAATTATATCTAGTTGGTGTATCGGGAAATCAATTTGGTGATTTGTCAAGGGGTTTTCATAATAATTAGGAAAAACCTGAACAAAATTATCGGAAAAACTACAAAAAATTTACGACGGAAACTATTTTTTTTACCAGAAATATTACTCTAATAGAAATACAATAGACCTTTTTTGTTGTATTTTTTTGTATAGTTGCTCACAAGACATTTTTTAATTTTCCAAGACGTTTTCATAATAATTGGAAAAACTTTGATTTTTCATTCTCTTTGTAGTTTTTTAATAATTGAGCAAGACCGAAAAATATGTAGAAAGAACGAAAAAAAAATATTTTGTCATTTTACATTTTATTTTTTTAATATAATTCCGAAAAAAAAAATTGACATTTTAATTTTGCGCGTTTTTTTCTTAATTTTTATTTAGTTAGATAAATTGTTAGACTTAACAGAAATCATAGAAAATTTGATGGAGATTCATTATAAGAAAAAAAATATAATAAAAAAAAAAATTAGTTTAATGTAGTATTTTTTTTTTTTTATAAGATTTTAAAATCAAAGTTTGACGAAAATCGTAAAAATTACGGCATTTAAAAATATGTTAAACTTCGTTCCGAATCGTTTTTCGTTAGCAATAGTTTAACTTTATATATAGATATAAATTAAATAACTTTCTGTATCCTACCTTCTCAAGTTCCAACTTATAAAAGTGACTGCATCTCGGTTCCGGCTGAATTTTTGCAACGTATACGTAATTTTTGACACATATAGTAATAATATTTTACTCGTTTACGTGTGATCCGTTTTAAAGTGTATTAAAGAAAGAAAAAATGTAAGAGGGGAAAAAATATAAATCTCCTGTTTTCATATCGTTTCGTTGACGCAACGCATCGTCACACCGTGTTTTCGGTTTTTGGGGAACGCATGAAAAAGTATATAAAATACAGCTGATATTATTATCATTTTCTTTTTTAAGGCCTTTGAGATCATCCCGCCAAACACAATATTCTTCAATATCTATCTCGGTCTTTTGCTACCTTCCGACCATCTGAATTCTTATGTATGTTCTAATTGCAAAAATTCTGCGAAATCCTCCTTAACGTAATCTTCCCAAAGAATGATCTTGATCTTCCAAGTGTTCTCTTTCTCAAGGTTATCTTCTATGACTTTTTTTTATTTCTTCCATGTTTTTTTCATTCTTATATCCATTTCATCTTCTCTCTGTTTACCTCGATTATAATATCTCCAAGTTTAAACAGCTCTTCTTGTATTATATATTATAATATTATATTATTTACAAATATATATATAAAATGAGAAAGCTTTGGTGTGTAGACAAAAAAAATGGACGGGAAATAGTATATATAATATATTTATGAATGCGAAACATAATATTATATTATTATTATTTTTGTTATAAACGTGATGTACCCCATATATATATAGTAATACACCGTCCTAATGACCCAGGATCCGGGAACCCTCTCATTGGACCCTTGCTGCCGTAGCAGACCCTTTTTACTTCTTCTCTCTCTTATTATTATTATTATTTTTTTTTTTTTGTATGATGCGTATACCATACAGACGTGTTTAGAAACGGCAAAATTGCGGGTTGACTTTTGAACGATATAATATATATAATATAATACACGCATCTATACACCGTGCTTATATATGAATTTAATATTTTATTTTTCAACTATGGTGTTGCAGATAACATCAATATTTTTAAAACTAAAACTATAATAAACTATAATAATAGGTATTTGAACAATTATTTTTTATTTTTGTATATGAATAGCCATTATGAAAATAAAAAGCGGTTTAAATATTTCAGGCTATACAAATTCGTAAAAATCATCGAAAATAAAATGTTTGGAACCCAATTTGTTATGTAAATCAAAATTATCTGCAGACCATAGACGATATAGACGTATGTAACTTTTTTCACAGGCGATACCAGTGTTCAGAAAAAAAAAATTTAACAAATATCATACGCATTTAATCTATGGTAAGGGGGGGGGGGAGGGCAATTTTCGTTTAATTAAATTGGATACCTCCCGGCAAACCGACTATGTATAATATAAGATTGTTTTATAATCAATGCTGGTCGCTTGAGACACACACATTTACCGTGGTAATATGCAATAAAAATTACTATAATAACCGAATAATAATAATAATACATAAACATCTCCATTGAATTTCCAAGTATTTTTTCTGAGCTAAAACAATTGTATGTACATAACACAGTTTACATTCAATCAAATAAAAGCAAAATAAACTCGATAATGCGTTATTAAAGTATCTAAAATTTAAGTTTTTTGAAATTAATTGTTAGTATAGTGTTCTACACTATAGAGTATAGAAGTGTAATACGTGTTATGACTTTTTTACATGTAAAAGTATTCTGAGCTCTAATTTTCGATCCAATTATTTTCAATAATTTGTTGTTCCAACTAATTATTATGTGTTTTTAGGTAGGTTTATTTTCAGTAAAATCAAAAGTACAAGAAAATTGAAAAAACGATTTCATTAATGTACTAACTAAACAAAATTTGACAAAAGTGATGATTGGTGGCGGATCAGATCAAGATTTCTAGTATAAAAGTAGTTCACAGACAGAAAAGAATGAACAAATATAAAAAAGCACACAATACACATAATATAAAAGACCACTAAAATCGGTACGTTCCTCACTTCGCTCAGAAATTAAAATTCTAGAACTCTAACAACGAGTCAGTTCGTCACGGGTCAGTTAATTGATTTTTTTTTTAAAGAGATGGGGTACTAGATAAATTGATTTGCGAACAAAGAAAATTTCACTCATCACGCCAGTGATCGTCAATGTAAACAAATGTTGGCCCTACCCATTATCGACACAACTTTAAATTATTTGGACACGAATCGTATTACCTTCTCGACGCCATTTTAACTAAGGTACCCAAAAAAGTTAAAATAAACCGAAATCCCTATTGAAATTGTGTGTATTTGCGCCCTTTTAAAACTAAATGGGTTCATTTTTCGAAAAGTGAACTAGATATTTGTAGGTTCCGTTTGATTATTTGCAATAATCAGTTGAGTTTTCGATCCTAAATGTATTACTATAATATTATTAGCACTCAAAATATAGTTTTATAGTTTTCGCCAACGACTGAATGCCCGATTGGTGAAGAACTCGTGAGAACGACATTTGTATTGTTCAATACATTATTGCAGGTAGCACAGCGGTGTCGTATATACCAGTGGTTCTTAACCTTAGTGTTGGCGATCCAAGATATTTACACAATTTTACATGTGACCTTTTTGAAAATAATTCCCAACGAAGGGTTACTCATCCTACCCAACCCACTTATTTGTTCAATTACCATAACTAAAGAAAACTATTACCTTTCATTTATTTTAAAATTAATATACACGAATAAACGAGTAATGGGTACCTTGTAAAGTTCACAATAATGACAATTGATACCAAAACAAATATACCGGTTAACAACTTACCAAATTTAATAATTTCTGTGAATGTGATCCAATAGAGAGTATTTATAGTATTGAAAGACTATAGTCCAAAATTATAAATGTATGCTTATTTGTTAAGGAAAATAATTTACGAAAAATATTTCATTAATTATTTTTAAAACTATTTTATATGGGTATTATAAAATAAAATTATTATATTAACGTTTTTATTATTTTTCGACCCATTTAAAATTATCCACGACCCAAAATTGGGTCGCGACCCTGTGGTTGAGAAACGCTGGTATATACATCACATACAATGATATAATAAATGCACGTTTGGGTTTATAATATTTGTTATCATAAATAATGTACTCATGTATAATATATTAAAATAATATTATGTACACTGTATTACCTATGAAATATACAGAGTGGTTTATTTATCAAGAACCAGCAAATTTCCCCGAGGATTTTATGTAAATTTTTTCTTTTCAATTTGTATCAATCCTCTAGATCAGGGATCGGGAACATATCGGTCCACCGAGTTTTAGAATTTTCACCTCAAAATTATACAAAATAAATCAAATTACATAAATATTCAGTTAAAAACGAGTGTAATTTTACATTTAGCTGTATGATAGGTAATGTTAAACAAATATATATTTCATTTTGTTAATCTAAATAATTCGAGTAATTATATCTAATGTATTTATCTATATATGTATATATTTTAAAATGTATCTTTATAAAGATACATTTTATACTTTATATATATATATATGTGACAATAACCGTATAATTGCAGATAATATTACGCGAAACGGCTTTGTTGTACGGGTGAGGTTACTATTAAGTGTATCGCTAAATCGCTGAATCGCGATTGGGAGAAGGGTTTTTTTTTTTCACGTGACCGAAAATACGGAACGTGGACGACAACAGTCGGGCCGACGAATAATTACAACACTAAACGTACTGCAATAGTACTTGTACAGTAGAATAGAAAACGAAAAAAATATTATGAACAACGGTGGACACTGTGGCCAATAATATTATAGAGATGGACCGATTAGAAAGAGCGATAAGCGAAGTGTTGTCGGTCGTAGCGGATGCTGTGTGAGTACACCGAACCGACGAGAAAAATAATAATAAACCGCCGCCGCCGACACAACGGTGTTTCGTACACGGGATTAGGTGGGACTGTGCTCTGCGCCTGGAGCGCATTAAATCAATATGGAGCCTGCGAACGGCGCGGCGGCCCCTTGTGGCGCGCCCGTATAGTGTGCGCGTCCGCGTCGTCGTCGTCGTTACTCGTTCAGCAGCGTTCAGTTCAGTTTACGTCCGCCTGTCGTCCAGCGAGCGCAAGATACCGCCACAGTCTCTCTCACCACTTGTCCTCCCGCACTCACTCACTCACCCCGTGCGCCGCTGCTCGCATCAACAACACCACACATCACGGTCCTCTCTCCTCCGGTCGCCGCCGCCGCCGAGCGCATGACAAAATAAATAATAAACAAATAATAATAATAATACCACTCCGATCGCAGATCTCGTATTATTCTCAACCGGCGCACACGTCGACTACACGCACGCACACTCGTCTGCCGCACTTACTGCCGTTGCACCGACAACATCAACAACAACCACCCAGCGAACACACGCCGGCAGTTTTACACCATCGAACAAATAGTTTTCAGCCATCGTTATCAAGGTACGCTTAATTTTTAATACGTAATATTAGTACCTAGGTATTTTTAATAGCTATTATTGTGTATATTATCAAATATTATGGCATACGACGACGAGGACGGCCGGGTAAAATATTATGATTTTAAAATAAATAATAATGTTATCGTTTAAAAAATACTATTGAATTCTTTTGGTAAAGCGGTCTGGTATATGTGGTCTATTGCGTTGTTCGGTATAGGTACCGTTTGGGTTTTCTTGACGGTACCTACTCGCCTTACCATTGTCCGTTCCGGGGACGAATTTTCGACAGACAAAAACAGCGTAATGTTCGATGGTATAAAGAAGAAACAAACGGCGCCAGGACGTCCGTGTAATACAATGTACCTACGTCACGGCGTCGAACGTGGTTAGAGGGTTTTGCGGAAATTCTCGGACAATTATTATTGACGCGGGTGCCGCGTTATGGGTACTCGGATAATATTATTTTCGTTGTTGTTGACGAAACGGGAACACAAAAGGCGTATTTTAAAGGGTAGGTATGTCCGCCGATGCGTACGAAGAGGTACGCACGTCGTCGTAATTCCCTCGGGGACCGCGCACCGGTACGGCGCCAGTATTGTAGGTTTTTTTTTTTTCTCGCCTGTACAATAAAAATCTGCACGAACGAAATGATAAAATATTTCATCATAGGCTATCACCGTTAGCAGCGCTCTAATCAGACCTTTTTTTTCTCTCTTGGATCGTCCGATATAGATTGCATTTTATTAATAATAGACAATATCGTCAGCGGACGCACACGCGTGTATCGAATGGTTTTTTTTTTTTTTATTACATTTTTTTCTTTCATTTATACATAGGTATAACGCACGAGTTTGACGTGCATACCGGCGGCGATGTTAATAACATTTTATTGTGTAATAAATACAATATCGGACTTGTATACCGAAGATAACGAATTTTCTATCTCTCTCGCACTCTCAGTCAATTGATCTATATTGGTATACGTTGTCGATTATACTCGTATGAGCATATTATTATTTTGCGTCTATAAATAGTATATAACGACGAAGTTAAAATAATATGGTTGTTAAAACGAAATCCTGTGTTAGGTTAAATCTAATAGGTATTACCTATACGGGGTGCCACACTGTGTTCCAGAGCTGTTAATATTGATTTTTTTTCAATCTGCTTTTCTTTGAGGGGGACGTCTATTTAGAGTAAAATTAAATTTGTATTTGTATCCTCTATAGTCACCGAAAAAACAAAACTAATAATAACTTTATTTATTCACTTTACAACATTTTCAAAATAGCCGTATTGTACATTTCATATTATTCTAGACAATTTAATATTTGACGTGCGATCAATAGTTTTTTTTTTTTTAATAACAGCCGTTTTCATTTCTAACATTTTCAATTTATAACAAAATAAATCCGATAGTTATTGCATATACGTGGTAGTCTCTAGGAATTAAAACTGTTGTTACTAAGAGTTTATTGATCAGATACGAATGAATGATACCAGGGGCGTCGTGTACAGCGGGCTCTGTGGCTGTGTTCGCCCCATGAGCTTGATAAGACGGAACTCAGCCCCCCACGATTCTCATATTAAAAAAAAAAAATTAACATTAATGCTATTAAAATGTTATAACATACAAAACAACAAATATATTAGTAAAATATATTACTATATTTTAATAATTGATTACCGAACAATTTAAGGAAAATAAATATAGGTGGTCAAATATAGGTAAAACTTTACATGCGTGTTTATACAAATAATGAACCCCTTATGACATTTTAAAAACCTGGCGCCTCCGTAAAATACATTAACATTTTTAGAATAATATCTTCTGAAAAATAACTTTTATAAAAATTGTGTCAAGTAAATAATCTTGTTGTTTATTCCGTTTGTTTACCTAGTAAGGAATGAAAATAAATATTTATTTTCGTTCTAAATAGACGGCCCCTCAAAATTAAAAGCAGTTTGAACAAAAAAATAAAAAAATAGAACTTATATCAGCACTAGAAAGACACGGTCGGGTACTCTGTATATAGTAAAAACTCGTACTATCTACTCAAACAAATCTAAACAAAAATGCCCTAACTTTATTACATCGACATTAATACGCAGCTATTAATAATAATGATAGTAATAATATATTGATAATATATTTATAATATTTCAACGATTTTTTTTTTTGGTCTTCTGTTTTTGGCTTACGGCGCGGTTAGGTTTAGTAACTTACTATTTTTATTACTCGGGTGTAATTTCGAGTTGCGACACGGCCGACGACGATTGCTCGTTAAATTCGCGTATCTACGAGCACACATACCTAATATGCAGAATAATAATGTTCAATTTGCGCGTTGCGTATATTTTGCAGCGTGTAGCCGACGGGGTCACGACGAGGTTAAAGGTGTTAACGGATTCATTATGAAATAATTACGTTATCCGTATCGAAACTCGAAAACATCTTCATCGGCATTACTCAACAGCCTTTGTGTTGCACATTTTATTTTTGCTTCTTCTCATCATAATCTGGCGTATAGTATTATTATTATAGTGTACCGCTCTAAACTTTAGACCTGCGGTCAGAGGCGTGTGCGAATTCCCATACGGTACTTTAATTCCGGCGGGTACAAAATAATAATTAAAAAAAAAAAAACAAAAACAATAATCGCAATAAAAGTATAATGCAACGGCAAAGGTGCAAGCTTTTAGTTTTATCGTTCCTGGTTCGCGTATACTATAATAATAATATTATAATGTATAGAACGAATAACGCGAGTCGCCGTGCGAACTGATGCGCAATTTACACTCGGCGAATCGCGTCGGGCGGACGGGAATTATACCATCACAAATTGCCGTAGAGGATAAACCATAAAATATATGTATAAAAAAAAAAAAAACCCTAATTAGCCGGGTATCGGCAGTTTGGTAAAACAGAAAAAAATAAAAGTACATAGCCGTCGTCGTAAACATTTGCGGACGCGTTGTAATTACGCGCCGTTGCCGCCGCCCCCGCGACTAAAAAAATCGGTATTTTTCACATTATACGACTACACGGTCTACTAACTGCTCCCCGAATGTCATAGAAAATCATCGAAATATAATAGTAATAATAATAATAACAATTATTATTATTTTACGTATTCATCCCGCCCCTCCGTTTTGCGCGTTTTGTCGACCGAAAAACACAAAACAAAATCTCGTAAATAACATTTCTTGCGCGTTTCCGGTTCCCGTTCACAGCATGTATGTATATTATAATTCCGTGTATTATACATTATTATATATATATATCATACGACTTCACGGTTATAAATATACGCGTTATGTACGGGCTGCGCGCACACGTTAAAATCGAAATCCCTGTACAACGCGATTGTAAAAAGGGTCCAAATAAATATGTCATGGGTTTTTTTTGTTTTTTTGTTAATAGCCCGTAACACGTGTGCCCAACGTTTTTCGATCATCAATAACCGACAACTATTGTGTGTGCGTATATGTGTGTGCGTGTACGCAGCATCTGCTCGCCATCACGAGCTGCACAGTTTTCGACCTATGTACACACGCCTATATGTTGTAATATTATAATATACTTCTTTAGAGAGTTCGTTTAGGTATAACACTTAAAATATATAGATACCTATTTTATTCAACTGCTCGAAGGCCTACACAGAAACGATACACGGGCAGGGGGGCTTAGAAGCCGCGGCTCCCCTCAAGTCCGTGATTGTGTTAAAAACGACTATACAAAAAAAAAAATTAATTTACTATCAACTATTGCAGACACGTACTAGTGTGTAGTTAGAGTTATTTACCTACAATTGATATACTACGGAGCATAAATAATCTTATAAAATAAGTTTTTGTATAATTTTCTGATAAATATGACTTGCCCCCCCACCTAAACCAAGTCTCTGGGGTTATCCCTGTATACGGGTCGTCTGAGCGTTGAGCGTTTCGAATAAAAAAGCGAACGTTGAAAGATATAAATACGTGTGCGACAGTGTAACAGGGGGGTAGGGGGGTAGAATTTAAAAAAAAGAGCTGATAGATCGAGATGGTGGAGAAGGAGAAAATAAGACGTTGACACTGCACATACTAATCACTGCAATATAAAAATCCATTAAACTGTCAACATTTGGCCGAACTAGATATTCTGTTTTCCGTTTTCCAATCTGTTTGGTCTAAACAATCTAAACGTTATTCATCGACTAAAAACTAACAGTTTCCAATATTTAGTGACGATGACCCTTTGGCCTTTGGAATTTACATTACAGTCAAACGAATATTGTATAATAGGCATTATTTGAAAAGTTTGTTTATATCTGAAATCTGGTTTCATTCTGGAAACTTTATTATCTTAATATTCTACTCGGAATAGAAAAATAAGATTTCTTTTATATTTTTTCGAAGAACTACAATAATTATTTATTATTATTTATTTTAGTATTGTTTAATAAGGTAATATTTACCATATCTGATACATACAGTACTATACAGCAAGTGTTCCAATTATATTACTCATTGTAATTTCAAATAAATAATCATTTCAACATATATTGTCGATAAATATCGTACATATATGTTTTATTAATATTGCATCTTATTATTTGAAAAAAAAATATCTATTATGACGAATCAATCAGATATTTGTTTGAAACATATGTTGTTCATTTGATCCCGGCCGGTAAGAATACGTTTTTGACTTACGGACACGAGTGCGGATGTTTTTCTTTCGATATACCGAAGAAGAGACCGTTCGCAATCTAAAATGGAGATAAAACGAGACAGACGCACACCATAGGTAATAATACTTGTACCGTTACATATGTACATAGGGAACATACATACCATAGTATACCATTATAATATCGTACGATCGGAGTTCCAAGAAATGGCGTAGACGCAGGAAAAAAACTACGCAACTCCAGTACAAAAAATATGTAATGCCCGGAGGCCTTTTCGAAGTTCGATATTCCGGTTGCGAACACGACGTGCAGTGCAACAATAATTATTGTTCTTACATAAAATAATTATTATAATCATGCAGTGTATGTTATATATATAAATCTTTACGGATTGGGTACAGTAGCGGATTTGATTTGTCTTATAGGGAGGGGGGGAGCAATATCCTTTTGGTCCAAAAATTATACTTTTAACTAACATGATCAGACATCATTCAGTCAATGTGACTACTGACCGTTTAATGTGATAGCACAACTATCTTCAGAGACCGTGATAATAATTTATTAACCCTGAACTTTTGTATAGATTTCTGAAAGAAATTATAATTTATAAGTAGTTTGATGTCTAGGGAGGGTTATGGCCTCTACGGCCCCTCCCTAAACGCCAGGCATGGTTGGGGATGCATAATCTGGTAAAATTATTACGCAAGTCGTCATGTTATTTCGAAAACTCATTACCTTATATCCATTCTATATATTACCTACTCTTTCTATCATCGCCTTTTTCTAACCTAACTAAATCTATCTTCTCGACTATAATATACTCGTAATATCGATTCTACTTCTCACAACACAATCTCATAATACTATCTCACCATACTTTCTCTAATTTTCCTGTTATACCCTCCCTCCGCTATTCCTAGACTACCTATTATAAATTCATCCCTTATAATCCTATCTACCCGGCCACACAAGTCGACAGTCTCATTTCTGTTACTTCCTTTTACATATCTTATCTGTTTTCTTCAATACATCATCGCTGGCCTCACAACGATTTTATACAATTTTCCTTTTATCCCTAATGGCACCGTTTTATCACACAACAACACTCCTGTCACTTCCCTCAACTTCGTCCAACCTGTATAATTCTATACCGTACCCTCTACAATGTAGAGTCTACACGATTCTTCAATTTTCTCTTGCACCATTACTTGAACTCTTCTGCACACGATTTATATAATATTTAACCTTTGTAAACGAGATCTCTTATCCCCAGCACTGAAAGTCAAAATTAATTCCGTTCGTGTATATATTTTGAACATTACTATAATGTGTACTTGTTATAATTATTTTTTTATGACTTTTCCGTCAGAAATTTACTTCAATCTCAAAATTACAAGACAGCTTTTTTGTGGAATTGTAGATCTATTTCGTGCATTGAGGAGGTCATTTTTTATTTTCATGTATTTTTATAATAATTAGGAAAAACGGAAAAATGTATGGCAATAAATTCTACTAAAAATCTTGCTCCGAAATTCAAGTGCAGTATTGTTTTCTGAAAGAAAATGTTTTCAAGTTAGAAAGATGATTTTCTGTGGTTATCTTAATAACTGGGAAAAAAGAGAAAGTTTACAAAAATAACGATTTTATTTGGTCGCGCTTAATTAACTAAAAGCTCTTAATAATAAAAAAAAAAAAACGGTTTCATTATTTTCGATTCTGTTTTTTATAGTAATTCAGTTAAAATAATTGAAGAAACTTGAAGTTTCGTGATTGCATCTGACATTTTCGAGTGTTTTTAGTTAATTGGTTTTATGTGCAGGATAAAATGTTTCTTGGCTAATCAGAAATACTTGAAAATTGTACATGAGTTTAACCATAGGTTGTACTTAGTTGTCAGGAAAAAAAAAGTTTTTCGCAATGGAGTATTTTTTTTATTTGCACGCATTTAAAATTCATATTTACATGGAATCCCTAAAAATCGCAGAATTTCACGTATTAATTTTCGATTTACGTGAGTACAATTTTTCAGCCAAGTTTTGTGTTCAAAAATTTAACATCAGGTTCATTAAAAAAGTCGAATTTGATTTTTTAAAAAAAAAAATAATAATATATTGTAGTATTTTATTTTGAAAAAGCGTTTTTTAGTTGAAATTTTTACGATAATAACAATTACGGCATATTTTCAATACACTTTTATCTGAACTCCGCTCTTCCTAATCCGTTATTCGTTAGCAATGGTTTATCGTTGCGTACAGATATGAGAATTAAATAACTTTATGTATTCCTGACTTCCCAAAATTTCGCCCCTACGACAGCGGCACATCCAATAAGTAGTTGCTCTTTTTCTTTTTTCTTTGCTTTTAATTTAATTTTGTATATTATATTGCTGCAGTTTGTTTTTGGATTGTCACTCAGCAAAACATGCTGGTGTGCCGTGTACAGGGTAGTTCTGGGGCTGCCCCCCAACGAGCTTGATAAGACGGAGCTCAGCCTCCCGCTCTTCTCATATTGTATAAAAAAAAAATATCAATATTTGTGATGTATATCCTAGAAATACTAATTTTATTTATAACACAATTAATCGAGAAAGGTTTTTATATTTATATTGATAGTAAAGTGTAGATTTTGATACATTCAACCAGGTTCTTGGTTAACTGATGTCTGAAATTTTTTAATTTTTGTCTAGTGATGCTAATACTATTAAAATGGTATAATAACATACAGAACAACACATAACTATATTTTACTAGTCGTAGACAATATGACGTGGTAAGATTTAGATAAAACTCAACATATACGTTTATAAAACAGTGGGCTCCACGTGACATTTTTAAAACCCGGTCCCTTAAAACCTTACTTAACCTCCACGCGTTCGTATATTGTAATGTGTGTACGGGCGCGGTTTATTTTCGCGAGCCGGCGCAATTCGACTTTACTGAACGGCGGGTGTGTGTGTCGATCGGCGTTTTTTTGAATTCGTTTCGCCGGCGAGTCAAAATGTTTACTGAAATATAGCCGCGAGCCGTGGCCATATGCCGCGGCTGCATTTCCGGCCGGTACAAAATAATTCGCGTACTATACGCGCGCACCGCGTATATAATGTACGAAAGAGCCCCGTTAAATGCCTTCCCCTTCGAAATTATTCAAAACTATCCCGGAACGCGATCAAAACCGCTTTACGGTAATATTATTATTACTATGGGAAAGCGGGCGCCGTGGTCGACGCGTATCGCCGTCCGTCGTATATTATATTGTTACAATAATAACAGTATTGTATTTTCGACCCTTTCGCGAACTTGTTTTCGCCGAAAATGCCTCTTAGGTATAGGTACGTCGCGGTCGTCTACCGGCTCCGTCACCTACATAGAATAACAATATTATTATTATTATTATTATTATTATTGTTGTTAATATATTATACGCGTTATAGGTTATCGTTTGCAAATTAAAATGCCTATTCATTTCGGGGAGCCATTGTGCGCGCGCGCGCCCGTGTGTGTTTATGTGTGCGTGTGAGTGTACTCGCGTAGAGGATATTATTATTGTAATATCCGAGCTGGTGGACACACCCATCATAGAGCGTAACGATACGACCGAATAATATATAACATTATTATTATTATTATTATTATTATTATTATTATTATTATTATCATCATAGTATAATAATGGCTCTTGGACAATGCGGTCCGACTGTATACGCACTCTTCGCGCGCGGTGACAAAAGACCTACGGGTACCTATAATACACGAGTGCACTGTATAAGATTCATTTTCGTCTCACCACGCCGTCGTCGCGTCGTCTCCCGCTGTTGGACGAGCCGCAGCTCCCCTTCGCCCGTCGGACGCCACGACGGAATCATAATATTTATAATACCCGCGCGCCGTAGTTTATCGACCGTATAATAATATACCTATATAACGATGACGTGTATACGCGGGAGAGTCCCGTCCGGGTCCCCCGACCTCGAATCGGGTTTCTTTTCTTAATCCCGTCGGCCGGCCACCGTTCGTTATTCGCTTACCAAATGGCAATTTATCCGGTACTGTATTGCCTGCACGGATAAATTGGATAAAATGTAATATTGGTATTAGGGGAAAAAAAAAACAAAAACTGCAATCAGATATTCTTACAATATGCTAAAATAAATTTAAATTGTTATTTAAAAACCCCGATTCCATTAATACAATATTACATATTATTATATTTGATGCATTAACCTACAGCATATTTTTAAATCCTATATAGGGCTTTTCAAGCTATAAATCAGAAAAATAAGATAAATATATATATATAGATGAATAGATTTCCAACAAAAGTATACCTATAACATCACAATATCCTGTTCAGTAAGGTTTTTTTCGTTTATCGGTTACCTTATTATTTTTATGTGATGGAAGTTATCATTAAACCTAACAAAAATACTAAGAAAAAACATTTTCTTGTTAAGATACTAATAACTATATTTTTTATCCTTAATTCGTAATATTATATTATATTGTATCACGTGCAACGAAAGTTCCCAGTCGATCTCTGACTGCCGTCGTCGTATTCAAAAAGCATATTTTTGAATTCTCGCGATACGTTTTATCTTATATCTGCGCCGGTAAGTTCACCCGGCGCGTATACATGATGTGGGTTCAACCCCTTCCTCTTCCCCTTCCCGAAATGCTAAACGTTCCAATTTCGACGCATCGTCATAAGTATAAATTCTGTAATTCAAAATGTTAAATTATTTTACTTACAAAGCACCCCAAATTCCTCTCGATTTTTTTTTCCAACGCACCCGAGCATTTGTTGTTTTATTATTTTATACTCTGTTTAGAAAATAAGATGATAATAATTATTAATAATAATCATTGTTGTAACCTATATGAAACATAATCACAATGTCGCATCCTCTTAGTGAAATTGATCATATGATGCATGAAAAGTATTATTTATTATCTGTACCACGAAAAGGAAACCGTTTTTTTCACATTTTGGTGAAATTTGTAAAAATAAAATATCTTTTCACGAAATGAACATACAAATTGTAATGATTTATTTTATTTTATAAAACGGGCCGTGGCCCAAATACAGAAAAACTTACATGCTAGCTTAATTTAATAATTACATAAGCAGATTAACAGTACTACATAAATAAAGTATTAATAAGACAGAAATGACGAGTCCTCGTTGGCAATACGCATCATCCTAGCCATCGGTTGGTTACACGAGTAGTTAGTAGTAATGGTACAGTGTTTAATGACGAAAGTATACGGTGATCGGGACCAGATATTTTTATAATATATTTTAAGAATTAAAATGAAATTATCGACAAACACAAAGTATTATTATCATTATTAGGTATTTGATAATTGTTACCTATTATAAAATTTTACGCATTTCTCGCTACATATACATTATTACATTATATCCGCTGCAGTTAGCATAATTGTATATGTTAGGTATGATTTTGCATTTTTTTTTTTGATCCAAAATACATTTGAGACGGATAAAATCATAATTTGATATAATTTTTTAATTATGTTTCAACATAATTTACAGTAAATATATATTTAAGAGACCTAGTTTTGTTAATATTTCCATGTATACGATTTATGAAACACCCGGATAAAGACATTTCAAAACTCTTTAAACATAAGATATACATTTTTTTTCGAGTAGTTTCTGCAAATAAACTAAATTAACAAAAACTGCTCCTAAGGAAGTCTAATTACTCGAGTAATAAATGTATCGGTGAAATACAAGTGCACAATTAAGTTTTACGAAAGAAATTTCTTTTAAAATTAAAACTTTACGTAAGTACATAATTTTATTTTAAAAAACCCTGTCAAGTTAGCTTACCTGTATAGATTGTCTGTGGCTAAAAACGATTGCGTAAGTTTATAGTTTACGCAAAGTATTATGAATCGAATAAACCCAAAACTATAGGTAGTTTGAAACTTCGAAAATCCCGATTGTACATCAGGGAATGTGTCGAGTTTTCAAAAGGTAATTTTGAGGGCAGTTTTGTTGTTTCCCCCGAGATTCGCACAATATACTTAAATTATTCAACATAGTATATACACGCACACTTCTGTGTATAATAAATTAGGAGAGCTTACACAGGACGTATATATTATCATAAATGTATAGCCACATATGCCCACATGTGTGTCGCCAGTATGACAAAATGTCCACCGTGGGAACGGTTTTATTGTAATAGATTATTGTACACATCACAATGATGAACCTTTGATGAATTTTAAACATAATATAATTTATGGCAGTTGTATATACATATTAGTTGTATATATATATATATATATTAGAAATTATATTATTATGGATACGGTCTATTTTACACAATATCAAATATTTTTTACTTATTTTAAAAGCAAAACGGAATTTTTTACCGACAGATACTTATTACCGAAACAAAAAAAAAAAGACCTACTGAAATAAATGACGAGCGTTTTCGATATAATATTTTTGTTTTAATTGTTTGCGATCGCAGTGTGTAATTTATACTCGGTGGGTAATCATGATTATTATAAAATATTAATAATATATTATATGAAGTGTAAAATGTATAATAGCGGTATAACTCTCTTTTTATTTGCCATCTTATTTTTATCTCTACGACCATTATATTATAATATAATTAATTTGTTTTTTATACTTTACGCGCTATAATCGTTTATCGATTAGCGCAATTGATAAAGATCGTTTATTAAAAAGAAAAAAAACTGTCATTCGTTTCGAGGTATAAAACAGCGATGGAAATAACCAATTAAAGTTCATTAATTTATCCGGAATAATTTTATAATATCATCATGACAACGACACGCGATTATGTTTAATAGAAACTCGTCGGACGTAAAGGAACGTACTCCCACTGTTACACATTCAATATTCAGTTCAGTCATATTCCAAACGTTGACAGTTCAGTCAAGATTTTGACTTCGGTTGAACATTTGAATCAAAGTCAAAATGTTTTCGGTTAATTTTGCTCCAGTCGAGCCATGGCGGGCTGAACCAATTGTGGACGGGAGGTTATAATACTTTTACCGAACGGATCCAATGTGCTTGCTCCTTGTAATAATAATAATATTTTCGGTCATTATAACGTTATTTAAATCGATAGGATTAATGTTGTCGATCGTTACGATTAGGCGGTGTACTAAATAGTTTTGAGTGTATACATAGTCATATTGTGTGAACCGATACACACAATATTATAATAATTCACTCGGATATTATATAACATCGGTCGAAGGGCGGGCAGCGGGGCGAGGGAAGGACCGTCTACTGCTGCAAGTGACTTGGGTCGAAATACGTGTATAAATAATGATCAGTATTATATATCGCAGCTACATACCTAATAGTTAACTATACCATTTTGTATAATATATTACTATAATAGCTATGTAGGTAGTATAATTAACAATGTATGTTTAAGCGCAACGCGTGTATACTGTGTTTTTATGTTTCGTAAGAACAAGTACATTATATTATATGCCTACTTGAATACCAACTGCAGGGTATAAACTGTTACATTATTATAAATAAACGGAGAATAATTCGGGAACTATAATATTCTGTATCTAGGTAATAATAATAGCTACGGAAAAAATGTTCATATACCAAAAAGGCTACGAGAAATATGGTATAAAATCCAAAATATGAAATCGCACTTTGAATTTTTAAATAACAGCCCAACTTTCAACAACAGATTCAAATAGATAATATTTTCTATGTATTTTTATGTGCATTACAGATTTACCGTTTATGAGCTATAACAGTTCAAAGTTTAGACCGGAAGAGTAGGGAAAAATTATCAATTTATTATTTAAAAATATATATATGCAATCTATTACCTTTTAATATCCCTCTAATATCCAAATTGTTCACTTTGGATGAGTATCCACTCATTTCAGGTATAAGTAGTACCTAGGGCTACACGATTCCATAATGGTTAAAAGAAACAAAAATCAAATTCATTCAAATCCTCTAAGAAAATTACTGGTTGATGACAAAAAGCCCCTATATATATATAGGTGAGTTAAGTTTAGAAAAGAAAATGTACAGGCTATAGTAATTTGGGATTTTGGGAGGTATTTATAAAGGCGCATCGAGCGAATCTAGATCTAAAGATCCAAATTTAAAAATGTATACAAATGTTTTTCTTGATTTTATGAATTTGACTATAGTATATTTTAAGATATTATTGCTATTAAAGTAATTAATTTTACTATTATAGTATTAAAATGTGTCTAAGTCTAAATTTTATTTTATACTATTTGAGTACCTATATTGATGTTTCAAAATGTTTGTGGTTATTTATAAAAACTTTTTTCTAAATTTTTAAATTTGCGATATTTTATCTATGAATATTTTGAACGATTACTGCACCGAGCCTAGTGGGTATAGATGAAGGAATAGTGACAGATAAAGAAAATGTAGAGGACGAGAATATATTTTAAGACTCAATAAGAGTACTTATGTACCAGTCTCCACTCGCGTGGAAGAATACCATGTTAAACCTTTGACGGGAAACAATATTTAGAGAAACACGCGAAATGGCTGGGATGCCGGTGGTATCGAATAACGTCCATATTATGTTTACTGTAGGGACTAAAATTGTGTGTAAAGTACGAAATTAAATAGCATGTAACGGCTATATTATGATATTTATTTGTTTTCGTTTTTAATTTTGTATTTTTTTGCACTTTTAATAATTATTATAGGAAAAAAAAAAAGTTCTAAAATATATCTTTATTAAAATGTTAAATAAGAACAAGTTGACTCTGAAACATTAACAGTTATCAATCATCTATTATATTCATGATTAGTAGATTATATTAGTTATGTATTTTTTTTAAATGTAAATTAAGATTAATTTGCGAGTGATTACTTTTCGTTAATGTGCTGATCAAACATTCCCCTGAAGGCTGAAACAATTGTGTTGTGGGAGGGGGGAGGATGATGATACCTATGATATAAAGCGTGTAATACAAAAAAGTGTATATTGTAGCGTTCTGTTTACTGCACAAATTCCAAAACTAATTCTAAGATAAAAAAAAAAGGACGTGCGTAAATTATTATGGTTATGTCCGCAATATATACATCAAATTGTACAAGTGTAATATAGCTGGCATAGTGAAATTGAATTTACTTTACAAAACTATAATATATTATACCTAATATGTACGAACGTATAAATAAATGTGCAAATTTATAACATTTTAACTGATATTGTTAATCTATCTATACTAGCAGTCGTTTATCGTTCATTTAATATTGTTTATTTTGTGTAACACGACGATGGACTTTTGGCAACAACTCTAGTACACGTAAACCATTCATAAGTAAAACTTCAATAGTGAGACCATTTATTTGTTTATTTTAATTTAAAGATTTCACTGGTTTAACTTGTATACACGAAACATAACTGATTGCGTGGCAATTCGAAGATTCCATTACTTTACTTAATTTATTTTCGTATTTTATACTTTTCTAGTTATCGACGTAAATCATCTTATTTTTAGCTTAATTTTTAGCTTAAATAACAAAAAACAGTCCGTATTTCGTAAAAACTTATCGTTTCATCGTTCGAAAGATTGTATTAAATTAATTTATTATTGAAAATTATGTACAAGGCAATGTTCTAAAATAAAATTAACCTTACCGAAATATTACCGTACAAATATTTTATACCTTTATTATTTTTGAATGATGAAATCCCGTCATTTCGAATACTATTTTGTGAATTATGTGAATAACAATTTTTTTCCCAGCAAAAATATTTAAAAATTTGACGCAAGATTCACCATAAATTGTATTTGTTGTGGTAAAAAATTAAACTGAGAGTAATGTGATAATTTTTTTAGTGTTTAAACTCGAATCTGTATGAAAATGTTAAAAATCGAGTCATTTCAAAACATGTTTAACTGGATCTTCCTCAGAATAATTTTTTACTAATAAATTTATCGTTACGTATAGTTATAACATTAATAGTACTATATATATAGTTAATTATGTCCTATCTTTCCAACTACCTCACACCTCCTTAAAGTCTAACTCATGAAAAGAAAAAACTCCTTTTACAATTTATAATTCCTGCATGTTGTTATAAAAATAAATAATGCATTATAGTATTATACTGTTAAGAAATAGTTTTTGATTGTTAAATATTCCGTGTATAAATTATATTAAATGAAACAATAAATTCATTTTGTTCAAATAGGTGAGTACTAAAGAAGAAGATATAAAATATAATATAAAAACGCCAAAAACACTCGAGAATGAATAGGCTCTCTTGAATAAAAGAAATACGATTTTTCTTCTTTTTCTCTCGTAAATCTGGTACAATATTTTTGCTGTTGTCTCTACAAGGAGGTGGTTATTGCTGTCATAAATACTTCATATTTTTCGTCTTTACTGGGTCGTTAACACCGCAAAAGCCACAAACACAGACACAAATACACTCACACATTATAATCCTATACCTTAAACGCGAATAAACCAAAAACTTGGCAAACATCCACCGGATGTTTTAGTAAAGATTTATACAATGCATCTTTCAGGGTGCCTCCTTCCGGGACTTTGTGAGACGTTTATCTTTGTGTAGGTGATAATTATTTTCAAAAGTACGTTCCAATAATATTTTACACCACACCTACACTATATTTTTCAGAAATTTAGGTCATTGTTAATAAATGTATATAATATAGTGTATATTGTTTAAAATGTGTACACTATATTATTATTACATATAATATTCGTTCATTATTTTGAATGTATCTAATTACTTCTTCAAATTTAAAGCCACCGTACCCATTTTCATATAATTATTACTATCTTATAATGATAAGATTAATAAATAATTAAATTGTAATTAATGCAATAATATATTTCATTATTTAGCACCAATTAAGAATCCATTAAATGAAAATACGACATTTATTATTTTTATATAAAGTAGGGTATACCCAAGAAAAAAATTCAGATTAATCGAGGCACTTATCAGAAATACTTATTTTATTCGATAAAATTATCCATTATATATTATATTGCGTTAAATTATTTGGTAAAAAATTTAAACGCATAGTTATAACACTTATAACACTCATATTCAATCTGAGTAAATTGAAAAGGTTTGAATAAGCTCATAATACATATAAATAATAATAAAATGCAATATCAATGTATTGTGTTTTTTATGTTATTATAACAATATTGATTGCGAATCTGAAGTTCATTCAAGGTGGTAAACTGGTATCACAGTTACTGATAAAGATGTTTCAGGGGGGAGGTATTAAAACTTAGGTACGCCACTGAACCTCACTCCAGTTACGATTTTGGATACCTACAGCCTTGATTAATAGATTTGCCACTAGTAGAGTGAGGTTGAATTGGCGATAACCCAAAATTGTTTGTTCATCACTCATCAAATCCTTGGTCTTCTCCCTTTTTTTGCATGCTCCCCAAAAAAAGGTCTGGCTACGCCTATGGTCACTGATTTATAGAGATACAAGTTTGAAAGAAATCAATTTAAATTGTTTCGTTGCGCCCTGCCCCATTTGATAATGCCCTAGGCTGCAATATTTTTAGTCTAATGTTTAAATAATCCCTGGGTAGGTACCTATAAATTCAAGAAAAAATGTTAAAAAAAAACCAAGGGGTACGATGTCTAAAATACCTCCTCACACTTAAATATGCCACTGAATTACTATATTCAACTTCAAATCGCTTTTATGTACTAAAGTAGTTAATTAAATTAATTTTTTTTTTTATGTAAATAAAATTAGTTTATACATTATCTAAAACTCGTAGTCTTATAGATATTATATGTGTGTGAAATTGAATCATGATAATTTAGATTGTGTTTTATCTGTAAAAACAAATTTAAATAACAAGTACCTAATAAATAATATACAAAAAATAAAAACTTAAAAATAAACTATACTAAAAGTTTATTGTATAAAAGCTGATGAAGGTTGAAACCCCAAAATATAGATAAGAATTTGAGAACAATTGTTCGTGATTTTTGGTCGTATATATGTATATTTTTTTTAAGGGTCTACGTGACTGAATGCTCTGAAAAACCGTCAGTTCAGACTTGTGTTGAGCTCACGAACCTATAACCCGTATACACGTATTGCCCTTAAAACCTTTATGTCTAAATTCTGCATATGCGTCTTTATGAGTATAATACACAATCTGTATAACACAATTTTCGAACACATCGAGGCTTTTGTACGTTGCACCTGATATGCGCATCGTGTAATATTATTTATTTTTTACAGTACAGGTACATAAGTGAGTAGATAAGGTTTATATTCAAGAGACGGCATCATAATTTCTCGTTTGGCGTTACAATACGTACTGTGTACCTAATTTATAATTATAAAAATATACGTTATTTCATTTTGTGAGCTTAACACAAGTTATCATAAAGCTATTGTTCTTTCAATGTTTATTATTAGGTCGGTTTATCTTGTACCGTTTTAATCAAAAATCTTAATAATAACGATGTACATATATTATTAAATTTTTAGATAGATAAGATAATAGATCTTGTAAGTATACTTTTAGTGTATATCATACACTGTTTAATGCATATATTTGTAAAAAATGTTCACTAAATACACCAAAAAATCTATATTATTTTCTTTAGATAGACAAATATTATGGTATCTGCTATCTGCAGATTGAATACAATGAATAAAAAAAAAAAAAATTGTTGAACAAAATATGGGCAGATAATTTTTATAATTTTATTGCACTTGATGACTTAATAAATGGCTAAACAGTATATACTGTGAACAACCTTAAAACATTGAATTTAGATTTTTTTTTTATTTTTTAAATTATTTTAAACATTAACTTTATTTTAAGCATGGGGTTATTTCCCTAATTAGGTTTTAAAAAATACGTTTTTGTAAATGTCACTTATAATTGTTTATTAGTAGAACTTTTTTAAATGAAAGGTGAGTTTCCCGGTTTATGATTTTCAGTGTTCTTCTTTTACTTTAAGTTAGATTTATTATTCCAACAATAAGTAGGTAGGTAGCCGGTGGCTAATAAAATATTATGAAATGTTGTACGGTGCTGACGACTGATGAATTAAGTTTTTAAACAAAAATTCCAAAATGTTTAATAAGTATCTATTTGTATAGGATATTTAAAACTTTATAATTTAACTTTATATACGTTATTTATTAAGAATAACTATATTTTAGTTTCAGAATATAGCTTGAAATATATTAATTTGACTGTAAGGTATGCTTTTTTTTTTTATCTGTTAATTACTTTTTACCAATAGTCTGGTAGTATCTACTTCAGAGGTGGTTTCTGGTAGGATATTTTTTCTAGTTGGTGCATTGTAGTTGCACAGTCTGTTTTATTATTATTCATTGAAGTTAGTGGTTGTATACGAGTATAAATATTATGTATAACTATTGGCTGCTATACCTATATTAGAATATCAATGATACAAATAATATAGAAAAAAACTTAAAAAAACATGGCAAATTGAGAAAGCCAGTCATTTGTTGAACCCATCAGGAATATATTTTAAATTTAACAAATATAGAAATAAATATTGAAAATTGATTATTAATTATTACAACAATTTTAATCTTAATAATACAATTACAACTGATAAAAGTGTTCTGATTATTATTAATTTGTTTTTTAGATGAAGTGGTTTGGTGTCGTGATGGTTAGCATGCTTTTATTGACAATTGCATTGGTTAGCGCAGACAAAAAGAACGAAGACGAGAAAAATCTCATAGGTCCGTCTCTGAACCGCGTAGCCAGAGCTGCAAACGGCGTAAAAGGCGAGTATCTACTATTACATTATAAATAATATTCCTTTAATTATTTTATTATTGTTTATTTAACAGATAATAACTGTCATTACGAGAAAACACAATGGTCACCTTGTGATGAAAAGACTAACGTGAAGACACGTACTTTGACTCTGAAGAAAGGTGACGAAACCTGTGAAAAGACCAAAAAGATCGAAAAGAAGTGCAAGAAAGGTACCCGTGATTTATGTAAATATAAATACAACATAACTCGTTTATAGAGCATCATGCATTTATTACGCTTTTTCAAATGGGTTCGCTCAATATACAATATTACGCATCACATTTACGTATCATATTTGGTCTTATTAAAAAAACATTTACTATAGAATATGACCAGCGCGGGAAGTAGATGTGGGCGACCAATGAATCTCTTCCTGTTTAAACGGCCTCATTGCGTATATATGTGTTGAATATACGTTAGACTATCTAACTTATAACGAACAGTTATACAATTATTTTATGGTGTATAAATATTTTTAAAAAAATTATAAAATTAAACAATAACACTAACCTTATAGCGGGGATTTTAAACTACACAACAATAAACAAACTGCGGCAGTATAATATAATAATAGATTTTCTAATAGATCCACATCATCACGATAACAATTTATTAGCTTTTGAAAAATTAAAATGCATGTGGTTGTATGTTTTGGATTATGTGTTGTTTTAGCATGCAGGTATGTGAAGGGCACGTGGAGTCCGTGTAACTCGCACAACGAGATGATCAGGACAGACACACTCAAGGATCCGTCTACCGAGAATTCTAATTGCGAGAAGACCAGACAAATCACGAAAAAGTGCAAGAACAAGGGACGGGGCAACAAAGGTAACAAATAAATAATAACCCATAAAGGGAAAATGGTTAATATGCAGTCATTTTGCTTGAATTATGCTTTCACCTAACAGTTTTTTAAAACAATATTATTATCGATAGACAATTTTATTTGTACAAAAAAAAAAACATCGTTTCTTTCTAATTTTAAAATTTTCATTTTTGTTTTACATATTTTATAATTCGTTTTAAATACTAAATCCATTTTCTGTAATCTCAATTCGAATCATAAACGAAACCCGTACCACTTCAACTTGAATTTCTCCCTTTTACAATATTAATATATTACATTATTGTCATTAAGTCTCTAGTCTGAAAAACAATATATTTATATTACCATTTCATTACAAACTGTACTTTACTAGGTATAATATTAGTTCACTGTGTCCTAAGTTTTTGAGAAACACTGTGAATTTCTATGGTTTATTATCTTGTACGTGTTTTTGTTGTATTAATGTTTTATATAAAGTAAAAATATTAACATCGTATAAAAAAACAACAACATTAAAATTATACACCCCTATACTTACGTAATTCGGTAACAACATATTTTTATAAATTTCGTCAATGCTGTACAAATATTGCTGTGTAAGTAGGTATAGTTTTAGGTTATTTGTTGGCCATTATCGGAAATTTAAAATACACATATTTTATTAATTTTATATCAAACCAATAAAGAAAAAATGATGTTTATTGTACAAATATTTTGTGAAAACTTTTGATGACTTCAAATTAACTTGTTTTTTTAAAAAAATTATTTTAAACATACACTATGTTTTGCATCTACAATGTCCCCATAACACTATTCATTTTCATTACTCGAAAACGTAAATATTATACGTTTTATTTTATGGCTCATTTGTTACATAATATTTGAAAATGCTTGATTTAACACATTTTTCTTCAATCATGCATACAACACTACTATACTTTAAGTAATATACGTACTTAAATTTACATGGTATCATACAATTTTATCTTTATGCTAATAGTTCTGTCAATATTCATTTTGAGTTATTTGAAATCCTCTATTATCCGTCTATTATTTCTTTTGGAACAGGCAACACCAGGTGGGTCAGCTAGTATAATATAAAAATATATAATATTATTTACTAAATTTCTATTCAAAATATTGCCATCAAAAGTTATGTGACTATCACCAAATAAAGGAAGAAAAAATATGCTACCATTTATAGTTGTGTTGCGTATATATAATATAAGCTATAATTTTCTCAATTTTTTTGAAAAATGAAAATGCCTCGATTTAACAAAAACAAAATACATACATTTAGAATACTATAGTAGTTTCATGTGTATCAAGTACTTGGTTATTTATTGTACAATCGTGCAGATAATTAAATAAAAATGTTTACGAAAAATACGATTCGGGCGGCAAAAACCTCTCGGCCACTGAGCCTATGATCTTAATTAAGAAACCAAATGTACACCATAAAAAATGAGAATTGGCTCTAGAGTTGCACTCTGCAACGTTAGTTGTATTTGTTCAATATTATTATTACGAACAAAATTATTTATGTTTGAGTAACTTAAAATTATCAGATTTTAGAACGATATTTTAATTTTGAGATTTTAGCTACTCTTGGAATTTAAAAACTTTTAAATTCTGAGTAGCGAGGAATAATGTACTGTAGGTTTTTCAATGATATGTACGGTTTTTCTTTTTGTGTCTTTAAACAACTTCTCTACCAGATATCTTGCTTTAAATTAAAAACTACAAGAGAATTTAGAGCTTTAGTGCACTGTAGAGGAAATTGTTTGTATTTTTTAAATTTTTTATACAAATTGGGAATAACTAGGAAAAGTAGACCAATATATGACAATAAAAGTTTCATTGTTTTCGATTTTACTTTTTTGTTGTAATTGGGTTAAAAATAATCATAAAGACCTAAAGTATTTATAAAATACTGAAATTATCATTTTAAATTTTGATTTTTATTTAGTTTTGTGTAGATAAAGTTCTTTCGGCTTAACAGAAATACTCAAAAACTTTTTATTAAGTTTTTGAATTTCAAATGGAAATTGTAAAATTACTTAATTTCTTGTGCTATTTTTCAATTTATGAGATATAATTTTTCGATTAAGCTAAAATTATTTTATTTAACACGAGGCCTATATCCTAAGTTGTATTTGATATTAAAACAAAAAAAATTGTGCGTAATGTAGTAGTTTTTTATAAGCTTTTTTATGTAAAATTTTGACGAAAATTGTACAAATTTAGGTATTTTTTGTATTTGTGGTATCAAGAAAATAAAACCAACATTCTACAATACAAGTTCTCCTTATTTGTATGATATAAATTATGTTTAAAAATATGTCTGTGCAGAACGAATATTTTTTGACAGTCGAATGACGGATGGTTTTTATATTTTAGGATTATAGTCAAAAATACTAGCTTTATATGATTATATACGATAGTAATTATTAGCAAGTGAACATTGTTATAATAATATCCGATAGTTTGCAACTTTAACATTATATATCTCACTGTACTATATTATGTTTATGGTTAGAATGGTCAAGAGATTAGTGCGATTTATTACGGTGTACCAATAAATCAAAGAATATTGTATGCCTACGTAATAGGTATGTTTTGTTTTGATATATGTATCAGAATTAGTATAAAAATATTCCCCGTTAAAAGTAAAACTCAGAGGTCACCGATAAACCTTGTTTAATTTGTTAACTCCTACAGAATTAACAAGGATCTAATAACATATAATAAACAAGTCATCTTACAATTTGAAATATTATAAATGATATCAATTCATTTACGAGTGTGTCGAGTATTATATACTTGATAATACATTTTAATAATTAAATGAGTTATATACTATATCCGTGTAATTCGCGAGATTAACGTTGGTACAAGGTGAATTAATCCGCCTTGCGTCTGTATTAATCTTATCACGTTATGTATCTATAATCTATATGCTGTGTATTGGTTATAGAATAAATGTTTGATTCAATCATATCAATCCGATATAGGAACTCGGCAATCCATATAACCACTGCAGCTGCAGACGTTTATTCATTTCCGTAATTGTAAATTGATTCACCCCCCTCACCCAGTAAATAATATTATTATATTATTTTCATATTTCCGCCGCTAAAATTTTAATCAATAAAAATAATTATTGCACGGAAGAACACCTATAATATTCTCGTTCGTATATTTACTCTGTATTATTGTGTTGCATATTTTATTAAATGTACACAATAGAGAAATAAATATTATATTATGGGTATGTTTAAACTAACGCCCCCGATGCCTAAATGCTTAATAATAATAAATTCTGATCTACAGTAAGTATAATTAAACTCGAAAGTATGATGCTTAATCAAAGAATTTACACACAATGTATACCTGTACTTTATTATAGTTTGTGTGCTGAACAAAGGTCATAATAATACGGTGTAGGATATAGGATATATTATTTTAAATTCATTCGTTCGTAATACCATTGATTATAAATTATAATTCATTCCGATTTTATAACCTTATATTAGAATTTATAATAAGTGTACTAGGTAGCATGTTTTCCCCCCGTAGAATAGAATCCATAATAATAAAATGAAAATCGAATCAAATGATCGAATGACGCCCCGGGGGGGAGGGAGAAGGGAGTCGTATAACACAATTTGGCACTTGATTTCGGTCTAACAAACCTTTTACACGCGACCCCTATAGATACGGTAGCCGGATATACCATCATGAGTATCTCGTATACATATATAACCTAACCTAACTGTATTTATGTATACACATTTGATTGGAAACCACAACGACCGTATCCACATATATATATATATATATATGAGTATCGAGTATGGATACACGGAAAGAGGGCGCTTGATGTCTGATTTTCAATGGATAAAAATGTATATAAATATATATATATATATATAGTATATATAATATACATTATACATAGGACGGAAGGGGCGGGGAATCGGAGCGTACGGTTATTTATTTTCATAGCATCGTTGCGGGAGGAAATCGGGCGGAAAAAAAAATAATCCCGATATGCACTTTTGATATATAAAATAGAGTAAACCTGGACCTGCAATGCCGGACCACTTATTTAGCTATAGAGGGTAGCCAAATCGATGAGAAAGGACAACGTACAATTGCTGCAGTTGTACTTGCTGGTTATATAGGTATTTTAACACGATTATATTATTTTCAAATTATATTAAATATTTCATTTTAATTACTAACTGTTGTTATATGTATAAGGGCTTTAATTTTAATTCAATCGATCGTTTTCGGAATTTTAAAATAATCAATTAATCGTAAAGAAGGCGTTCACAATTATTATGGCATTATAGATATGTGTCATTTGACCATTTTCGAAATAAAATTTGTTTGTATCGATAACTTAGAAATTAACTCTTCTTCCCCGAGACCAAAGAATTTTATATAATATGTATGGATAACCCTCGAATCGGAAAATAAAAGAAACTCACCCCCCATAAAAAAAACCCCCGTTTATTCGTAGTCAATACTATAATTTAATACACAGAATATTTTTTTGGAAAAATGTCGGTGTACAGTTTTGACCAAAGTAAAACTATACTAATTTTCATCGGACAATCGAGTGTAAAAACCACACGTACGCCGCCGGTGATGGATCGGGGTATAATAATATTTACAGCCTATACTTTCCAGTTATACTATCTGGTATACTTTTTCGATATACACAAACGAACATCATCGTCACGGTCGTTAAGAGGACGTTATATCCGCATCTACTGCAGTGGCGTAACTAGAACTTCTAATGCCCGTGGTAAAACACTGTAGATTAACTAAATTATGAGTCAAGTGCAGGGCCGACGCTATGTGGGGGAGTGTACGACCATTTATAGTCGAAAATAATAAAAAGTAAAAAAAAAGGCTATTAGTAAAAGATTTATAGATTCTGATTCCAATAAAGACTGATAGCAAAAAAAAATCATCAATCCCATCAATAATTGCTAACCCTGGCCAAGTGCCACTGTTCGAATCGGATCCCAATTTACACAGTTTGGCGTTTGTTTTCATGCATCTGTCCACTCATGTTACTTAATGAGCAAAAAAATGGTCATCGTCTGGTTTTTTGTTTACCTGTCCATTCACTGAAAAATAATGTCCTGGGGCCCCTTAATGTCATAGGCCAGTGGCTCAATGCTCGTCATGCCAGTCTATCAGTACGCCACTGATCTACTGTCCCCGTCCAAACTACCGGATATAACATATACAAAAACAACGCTTACGCAGAATAAGTAAAACTATAGATTAATTTTGATTTTAAAAGCACCTTTATGTAATTTATAGAGAACAATATTTCGGAGGGTATGTCTTAGGTGTTTTTCGAAATATGAACTATTAAAAAAGTTACAATTATTATTTAAAAAAAGAAAATAATGAAGGTTTTTGTGCATTTTATATCGAACTGTATAATTTGAATAATACAAAAAACCTATAACATTACCTCCGAAATATTGTTCTCTATAAATTTCATAATAGGTACTTTTTTTTTTTATTCTAAAATCAAAATTAAGCTAGTTTCATTTATTCTGCGTATAAGCATTGTTTTGTCGAGTGTTACCCGGTCGTCGGACTGAGACGGTAGTTGCGCCGGTATAATATAACGTCCTCTTAACACGGGCGGGACACGACGACGGGCCATTGAACAAAAGCGGAAAAATTTACGTCGCAATCGCGCGTATTAAACCGACTGCTTAATTGTCGTATTATTATATTGGTACATAACACGCGCGCCGCGTTCCTACATAACGAACCGTTTAACCGTGAAATATGCTTACCGTACGCGATGCGTATACGTATAACATACGTAATAAAATAATATAACGGAGTGCGTATGCCGCGCATTATATATTACAATACGTATAGCTATGCAGTACTATGCGCGTACGGCGTCGCTTATTTTTAGCGGTAACACGATCCCCGGGTCGTATAATCCTGCGGAAACGACCGTGGCATTTCCTGTGCTTTTATAGCCGCGGTGTTTATGTATCGAACACGGTTTACATTATATTATTATTACATATACCCGTATACATATATGTATGTGTGTAAGAGGTATAAGGTATAATAACTGCAAAAAGTGAATACATTATTATCGTGCGTATATTTTACACTCGTGTGCTGTACGCACATTATGAGATACCTATACCCGTCTATTCTCGCATATTTTATATATTATATGTGTGCGTCTCCTATTCCTACTTCACCATAATAATACGCTGCGCGTAATACATGTAGGTATTCGCTTTATATACGCGCGTATACAATATCTGTGTGTCGAGCGTAATATTAAAACGGAGAATTATGTATATACAGGGTGATCAGTTTATACCGTAAAATTCTCATTATCCCGGAAGTGTTAATTTTTTTTGCGTAATTTGTTTTATAGAAAATTTAAGAAACAATATATAGTAGCTCTACAATTCTACACTTATGTTATTTTTAGAGCTAAAATCACTACTTGCATTTGATTTTCAAACGACAGTCTATATTAAAAATTCCATTAATAGATGGAGTATTAGTTAAAATAAATGTTGGTGTTGACATTTTTGATTTCCGTTGACGAGATATTCCACTTTTTGGTCGGGACAGGGTAGTGATATATTATTAAAACGCTGCGCGCCGTGTCACTACACAAATGATGTTTCACACCACTCTCCCCCGATCCAAACTTAAAAGTGGAATATCTCGTCAATCAAACATTTCAACACCAACATTTATTTTAACTAGTGCTCCATCTGTTTATAGAATTTTTAATTTTGGTTGCCATTTGAAAATCAAATGTAAAATTGTAGTGCCGCTTGTCTTTTGAATTTTCTATAAAACAAATTCTGAAAAAAATTTAATGCTTTCCGAGATAATGAGTGTCATACGATAGATTCATCACTCTGTATAGTATATCTATGCCAATATGTACTACGCGTCAAAGAGCGGCGTATTGTACGAAAAATATATAATATATAAAAAAAAAACGTCATTATTATACAGATTATAGATACAAAAGGTATACCTAATAATACATATAATAACGTGTTCACGAAAGTGAAGAAAATCGATTTTATTGTTTTACCAGAGAACAATTTAATCGATAAAATGTTAAAAATGAGCTCAAAGGTCTAAAAGTTTATTTTGGTATTCCCCCTCTTCCTAAGGAAAAAAACCATTTTCATCCGATCCGTCCAGGTGAAATATTTTTTATTAACCGTCATATGTACAGGTACCATTTTAATGAAAGCCCCGTTTTAGTATAGTAGCTGGTGTATCTTATATCGTATTTTTCGAATGTGTTTTTGGTAAAAAAAAAAAAAAAAATTATGCCTGGTCAAATCGAAAAACGAGGTTTTACAAATTTAAAAATTAAGTTCTCCCGCTTTTGAAGAATCTTTAACATTTACACGCTGGATTCGCATCACGGTCCCGCGACAGTATACGAATCCGACGAAAATCCGTTGCTAGAGAAATGTAGTTGTACCTAAATGATAACTCCTGGTTTGTTTTTATAATATGCTTGCTTTTTGGTTAGTTTTTAAAACGTTAAGTATTCGTCCCGCCCACGGGTTGTATATAATGTTTTCCCCCGAAATACGTAATCCGTGTATAATATATGTTTTTTTGTTTGTTTTTATGTGTTCCAGGAAACAAGCAAAATCGTAACAGGCAGTAGACGCGCACTACACAAACGCCCGTATACCCGTCACGACACATCCCCATACGCACACACATAAATTATATGAGTAAAGCACGTACCGAATCGCGACGAAGGAAAATAATCGTAATAATAATATATTAGTTTTATCCGTTATCTTATTCTATATTTCTTCCTTCCTCCGATAATATAATATAATATTACCCCTCATCAATCCACCCGTTATCGTGTGCGTATATTAATCGTTCCATATTAATGTAATAATGTTATAAAGATTTCCACAAACCGATTTTTCGTTAGCTTTCGATTAAATATTTCCTTGACGAAAAAGTAAAAATAAATACATATTATTATATTGTTTCGTGATTGTATTTGTTTACCTACCTACTTAAATTATACTGTAATGATAACATTATTATTATTATACTTACACAGATAAAAAAAAAAAAAAAACAAATATTATATCTTCTCATTTCACACGATATATAGTTAATTTTTAAAACAGACATATTAAAAAAAAAAACTTATCAATATTTCATTCGCGTTATTAAAATAAATACATATTACTATTTTTACTAGCTGTACTCGTATTTTAACAGATTTTTTTTTTTTTTTTTGGAATATTACACGTAATTATTAATATAATAATATAATATTCTATTAATGGCGTCTATTTAGTATCACGATATTGAATCATGATAAAAATACGCTTCATTCCAAAGGTTATATCATGAAATATTACGAAAAAATATTCTAGAGCGGTCCTTCGTTACCGCATTTTTAATTATTATTATTATCATATTTTTATCATGATCATTATTATTATTATTATTATATAACGAGTATAATATTATTATGATTGTATGATTTAGTTTATAAGTATACCTATTGTTTTTATAGGCTTGATTTGTGTAGAGTAGATATTAATTTAGATATTAATTTATTATACTCCTAACTTTAATTTTTTCTTATTTTAGCGGCGCATAATTTTATAAAACCAATAAAAAAAATTTGAAAAAATTTTTTTTTATGTCTTGTATTTTATACGAATATTGTTTCTCTTGACATTGAACATCGTAATATTATAATCTCACGCCTAATTATTTTTTATGACATTCGTGCGGTGGCCGAAAACAAAATAAAAACTGTCTGACGCATTTTTAAGCGAAACAATTTTTTCATCTTGCTATAATTAAAAACGTTTCATAATTATTTTCAACCTAATTGTATAATAAAATCCCTTTCGTTTCCCCCTCGAGTTATTTTTATGCTATTAGAATAATTGGCATTTAACATTATGAATCAACTAAAACATACATTTACAGGTAAATAATATATTAATGGATAACACTGCACGATTCCACACAATATACCTTTTTACTTACACGATTCAGTGGCGTAACTAAAACTTCTAATGCCCGTGGCAAAATATTGTATTAAAGTTCTAAAGGCCGTGAAGGTCTTTCAAAAAGACCCACCTCACCTGTCCAATAATGCCTTGGACCTTGGTCTAGGCCACTGATATAAGGTGATATAATAGGGGCCGTGATCACGGGCCCAACTCATTAGTTGTGGGCTAGTGGCGTTTGCCCACCTTGCCCAACTAGTATTTACGCCATTCACACGATTACGCACATAACTGATTTAAAAATGATTTCCCCCTCCCTTTTAAATAACACGATTTTGCATAAATATTACTGCGACATTGCCAGTTATGTTATAAAAATAAAAAGCCAACAGTTATTACGTACACGAACAAGATCGCTACAGGTAGATATTACACATATGGTATGTAAGTGCTGAACAGTTAGCTGATGAATCCTAAGCTCCAATTTATTACTTCCACCGAAAATATTTAAAATTGTGGTTTTTTTTTTTATTATTATGTTCTTAAATATGGTGCAACATTCCAAATGATGGCTAAGAGAAGCTATAAGGACATTGTCTGTGCAACAATGATTTTATTTGTTCGACGTTTGAATTTAACAGCTGAGAGGAAAAAGAGATATTATTCTTTAACACCCGACTTTCGGAAAATAAACAACCTGTTTCCTTAAGTTTTATTTCAATAAAAAACTTGTCTGTAAAACATACATATTACCTAAAACCTAACCATTTAAATGGAATATTATCTTTTAAACGGTCATTATAATGAGTCTACTTTTCAACTACAAAATGGCTACCTCAATTTGTTTTCGGAATATTATGCTTTTTCTACTAAGAGAGATAATAAGAGTACCTATGTGAAATATCACAATTTAATAATGCGCATACCTCGCTTGAAAATTAAAATGGAAAAAAATAACGCCAATGTTATACAGATAGATAATCGTTTTATTATCTTAAGTTTGATAATAATTCAGTTCATTCTAATATAAAAACTAACAGCCTAAAGTTGTTTCTGCTGAACCCAAATTTGCTTTGTCGTACGTCTGTATAAGACACAGATAACGGTACATGCGAGTGTCAAGTACCTCATTTGTGCGTGTCTATGCGTTTGAGGATTAAAAAATACCCAATCCCGCTATCAGTGCCCGTTTGAAGGCGGTGCAAACTGTGCACTTGCACATAGCTCCGCGCTTTTGGAGGTTCCCTCGTTTAATCATAGCTAAATAAATAGGTATTTTACAAATTATTTAGGAAAAAACAAATTTAAAATTAACGGACTAAGAAGAATTGTATTGTAAAGATTCACCTACGCGTGGTATAAGAACGTGAAAAAATGAAAAAAAAAAAAGCTTATTGAGGCCCTGTAAAAATGACTGTACAAAGTCTCGATATTTTCTAAGCCGGTCCTGCCCACTGTACCACTGACTATGGTGAGCCTATAGTTATCATCATCTAGGTACTCTACCGCTGATCATTTTACCAAAAATACGTCCGTCAACTAATGACAATAATCTTGACGACCGCGTGATTTTCACGACCAAAATGGCCACAACGTCTATATAGAAAAGAAATTTCGCTCGGGTTCGTGGCGAATGCGGAATCGTAAATCGCCGATATCAATACATTAGCGTTATGAATTATTTTTATTTCCGGTCATAAAAAAAAAAAAAAATCAACGTAAGTCACAAATTTACTACTGTACTTGTATTTGACAAGAAATATATATTAAACTTAAATAAAATGTGTAAACGAAACAATCGTATTTCGGTAAAATATAAAATGAATTATTATATTAATTAATATATAATAATAATTGTCTATGGTTACCTACCAAAGTTGCACGTAAAATAATTACCACGGTAGATACCTACTTAAGAATATTACAATAGGTAGGTAATTTAATTTATAAACTGTCAGTTTATACTTCGAAACGGCTATAAGATAACTAAAGTTCTTATATTTTCTAAAGAGTTTTCTTATGGGCCGAGTTGTGCACGATTTCAAACTCGCAGATTTTTAAAAACGGTAGGTAATACTAAAATCATTTTAAAACTAATAACACATTTCGGTTAATAATATATTTAATAATAATACACAAATATCTATATTATAATAATATCCGTGTAATAATATTACATTTTTATTTTGATAATGGATGAAAATATTATGTAGAACATAAAACGGCCAAATACAATAGGTATATCCATAATAACATGATATTGTATCATAATCATAGTAGTATTCTAGGTATTTGTTATCGGATGGTCTATTTTATATTCCGAGCGTAGCAAGGGAGCTATCGGTTTTACTAATATATTTATTTATTTTTATTTTGACTAAATTTTTTAAATAAAAGCACTTAAGTAGGAAAAATCGTAGGAAAACGTACAATTTCACGATTCATTATTTTATAAAAACACCGACGTTTTTTATCAGAAAAAATGATTCAATCGAAAAATCATAAAACACCTTTTTTGTCGCCTTTTTAATTTACTTACGGTTTCATCACCAAAACTTTTGAGCTTCCTAAGGAATTTTAATTTTTGATAGTTTTTTGCTGTAATTCGATTATAAATACACATAGAGACTTGAAACTTGATAATAATACTTATATTGGACTTACTTAGATATGCTGAAATTTCAAAAATCATCGGACGACTTTTTTTTTTAATTAGCGTTTTGAAATTAAATTTAAACGTAAATCGCAAAAAAAATTATGGCATTTGAAATTATGTATTACCGAACTGCGCTTGGAATCGTCTTTTGTTAAGCAATGGTTTATCGTTGCTTACAGATAAATGAAATAACTCTATGTATCGTACCTTCTCAACTTCTCACCTACAACAGTGGCCACTCCCATCCCCAGTATCAGATCTTTTTTATTTTAGTTATTTTCTTTGGTTGGTATATGTGGTTACAGGCGGCAATGCGGTACACTGGTGCACTATTACACTACACCGCGACCCACTCACTCTAATCGATTGTACATTTTGGTCTTTGGAAACTTTATTATTTTTAATTTTCATGAATACATATAATATTAAATTAAATTAGCAATCACTCCTAACCAATAATATTTTAATTATCAGTGATTCCCTCAGCTTTCTAACAGCACTTAAAAACCCAGAGCCAAAAACGAAATCACCCAAATAACCCAATCTGTACTAACAGACACTCAGAAAAACATCGACTTCATGTAGGTACCTTCCCATGTAGGAATAAAGGGAAACGAAACGGCAGACGAAGCAGCTTCCATAGCTAGTAATAATTTATCTAATAACACCATTGATAAAATATCTTCCAATGACATATTCTTATCAATCAAAAATAAAACCCTCATGTCTTGGCAACACCGTTGGGACTCAGTTCCACAATTCCACACACTAACAATCTAAAGGTCATCAAAAGTTCAGTGAAACAGTGGTACACTCGTCTCTTCCAAATCTCAGCCGACGCCAAAATATTGCCATCACTCGTATAAGAATCAGCCACACTTTTCTTACACGCTCCTTTCTTACAAGTAAAGACCACCTATGTGCAATATAGTCACTATAAAACACATCTTTGAAGAATGTCCTATACATGAACCTACTTTCACACTTCTCAACCTCCCGCGCTACATCAATGAAATCCTCGACGTAGAACAAACTCTGGAAATCATCAAATCCATCACCATAAACAATCTAATTAACAAACTCTAGTTTCAGTCAAATCATATTGTAAACTCTTTTAACAATCTATTGTAAACATTATCAAACTTGTAAATTAATTAAAAAAATATATATATATATATATATAATATTTTATTCAGTTATTCACTGTATTTTATAGATATGAATATAACAAATTTTAGATATAGATAGGAAAGTTTTACTTTTTCGGTTAGTTAACTGCTCAGGTTTTTTTTATATTAAGTGAGTATACTCAAAAAGTACAGATTTTTCGATTGGCTATAGGTACTTTACATGAAACAATTTTTGAAATTCCCAACAGATACCTAATTTTTTTTTTTTTCAACACCTTTGGTGAGTAAAATACTCCCTATTTGTTTATGTAGTACCTACATATCTTAAAAATGTAGAATTTACTATTTACAATTAATCCTCTGAGTCAGTGGTGTACCCCAGATTTTTCAATGGGATGCTGTTGTATTTAGAAAGTTATTACAGGAAGATAGGATCCATAAGTTACTTAATTTATATCTGCAAGCAATCACAAACTATTACTAATGAAATACAATTCTGAACAAAGTTCAGTTATACATATTTTGAAATACTGTAACTTTTACAATTTTGGTCAAAATGTAATCTTACCTTATAAAAAAATATTAAATTAGAAATTACATTATTCATCTTGTATTTACTATTTAATATAACTTATAATTCATTAAATTTGTGTTAAATTTACAAGCATTTCTGTTAGGTCAAACAATTTTATCTACATGAGACCCACCAAAGAAAAACTAGACAAAAAATTAAACTATTATAACTATTTTCAAAATTTTATCACGTCTAGCATAGGCTAGTATAGTTTATTCTGTGACAATTTTAGCTCTCTACGATAATTACAACCAATGTACAATGCAAAAAAAAATGACCATAAACATTACCATATTTCCTATGTTTTTTTTCCAATTATTGTTTGTTAGAAAATCAAAACACAACTTTTGTTCTCATCGACTAGTTCCTAAATGCAATAAAAAAGATTAAGGTATTTTTTGATTGAAGCAAAATATCTACTAGAAAAGTTGCTCACACAAAAATAAAAATTATAAAGTAAAACCAATAGATCCCTCACTCCACCGCTGTGAATCTAAAATTAAATTTAGTTTTCCTATAGGTACTTTAACTTAATATTTTTCAAGTTCCTTTTAAATTTATTATGACTCACATAATATGACAAATAATAGAACACTTCTTGCTATAACTATACTGTTATACATAACAACATGGCAATATAAATAAAGAAACAACTAGAGTCTAAAAAACATGTCATATTAAAAATGTATATTAAAGTATAAAATACAAATTTATGGTTTAAACAATGTTTACAAATTTAAATTTATTGGAAGGCTATTGAGATTCAAAATTATTTCTTTAAATATTTCACAAATATAAAATATTACATTTTTTTTGTATTTAATTAAACCAATTTTTTCAAAATTTTTAATGTAAACAATTGGAAGACACTTACTTGTCAACAAGAAGTAAATAAAGATAAGTGTACTCATGTTTTTATTATTATTTCTCTTGAAAACTATTTTGAATATTAAAAATATAATGGTTTACATATAAAAACATTACTTATACCTAGGTACCCAAAAACTTAATACAATACGATTGATCACAATATGGACGGAATTGTTAGTAAAATCATAATTATAAAAATACAAATATATTTAATATCATTAAAAGTAAACATAATTTTGAAATTATGATGGACAATAAGTTTTTTTTCAACATGGTAAACAATGTATTGTTAGTAGTAAAATTTAATATTAAGCATAAAAATATATTTTCTATAAAAGAAAATGTGTTAAATAATAAGTAAAGAAATAAAAAATGTAATACTGAATACTTACATAAAAATAAAGATCATTTAATTTCATACAAACTATATTAAGCTGTGCCGTACCAAAATCACCAAGTGAGTAAAATAAATGTGTTTATCTACATTCTACAATAATATTAGTGGACAATTTCAGTTTGAAATGCTAAATTTACATAGATAAATAATGTATTGAATTTATTTAATAGCTACGTAATCATTATAAGTATATATCTATGTATACAATTGTATTTTTGATGGAGATGTTGGAAAATTATAAAAAAAATGTAAAAACTGTAAATGGAAATTTCTAAAAATAAGTGAAAAAATGCAAATTAGTAAAATTTTAACTCCTAAAGTATTGAAAACACTGAGTTTTAGGAATTTAAAGAAAGCTGAAAATGAATATTAAAAATAAAATCTAGTGAAACTTAGATGGCTCAGAATGTACAATAGGTATATATTATAATATACCTATACTCTGTCTCTAACTACAATATACTGGCTGCCAACCAGTTTTTAATAGTTTCCGCACATGTGCTATAACTGGTCTGCTAGTGGCGACATAGTGGGGGGAATATTGAGCCAAGAATTTCCGCAGCCGTCAGTCGCAATGCAAAAACTCGGTGTATTCTAGTTTGAGACAGAGTATATTGTAATAATTTATCTTTTAAACTGCACATTTTAAAAAAATTGCAGTCCAAATTTATGTTAAGAATTGTGTAAATAAACATTCTGATTAATTTATAATTATCTAAGACAATAAAAATGTTTAAATCAACATTAAGCATATGACACTTGTTCTAATTGTTCATCTTTATAATTATCATGATTGACAAAGTCTCGATGTAATGAACAGAATCGTTCCCCATACCGAACAATAGCAACAATAATGAATATTACAAACATGGCCAATAAAAGTATTAACGGTGAGTATATATGAAACATGGTTTTTTATATGTCACTTTCCTTCTTATGTAGCTCAACAAATTCTTGAGGTACACCAGAGTCATATACAGGTTTCACTTTAGAATAGTTTGTCTCTAGCTCTCTGAGATCTAGTGGAGCTTGTTTCGCAGGTGTTTTTATCCAAATAGGAAGTATATAACGATTTCCTGTCATTCAACAAAAATATGAATTTAAAAACTAAAAAATTAATAATGATATTATTATATTGCTTGCCAGTTTCGCTATTTCTCCAGTAATGTCTATGCTTAGAAAAACAACAGAAGAATAAGTTCAATACAAGAAGTACAATAGCAAGTACAGTGCACACAGCTAATGTTACATAGAACGATCGATAGTCGCTAGGTTCATGTTGGTCATACAACGGATTTCTCATATATTCAGTCTTGTCATCTAGAACCACTGACATTCTACATACAAAACAAAAATGAATAAAAAAAAAAAAAAACCATAAGGCTAAAAAATATTTAAAATAGTTTTACCTGATAAATCGAGATCAACGAATTCGGTCCACATTAGAATTATTCTGGCTGTACTCTTGTGCAGTGGCAACGCACAAACCACTACAAAAAAAAATATAGATAAATGAAACTCAAAACAAAGCAAATAAACAAACTTCGTTTGTAGTCTCCTCCAATAAAGGCGCCCAACCCAGGACAGGAATTTTGCTATCAGTTCTTAGACCGTAATCTGTATTATTGGTTGTTTACGTTGATTAAAATCTATTACTCCATGAAATTGAATAAATAATATGACATGATAGTGAAGATTCTAATCATAACAGGTAGCGATTGAATAGCTTAAATCGTGGTTAGGTCGGTTTTGTAGTTTAATAATTCATAAATATCATAATGTCCCCACTATAAATATTTTAACTTTGTAAATATTCTGAATATATTTAATATTTATAAATATTATATTAAAACGTTAATATTTTTAGTGTTTTTACTATATTATTTTGTGAAATTCTAAATTCTTAGTAATGAGTATTTTGTATGGCGATAAAGATGGTTACTTTCTATCTCATAAACTGTTTATTTCGAAGTTATATAATTCCATTTTAGATAAAACCGAAAGTACAGTGAATTTTTATGAACATTTCTTTCATGTTGATAATCCATTTGTTAGAGACAAACAACAAATTCAGACTGATGCTGAGAGTGGTCAAAATTTAAAACGCAAAAGAAAGCGACCGAAATTCCAGGTTATTTTCATTTTTAAAATTGTGCATATTATTTGGAAAATAATTTTGTATCATTGTATTGAGATTAATTTATACTTACTTATATATATATATTTAATATCAATTCAAAAGAAAAAATATGTTATTAAAATAAAATTTGATTTTAAGGTGTAAATCTAATTTACGACCATAGCTCGTTTTTCGAAATGTGTGTTTTTTTTTGTATATTAAGAATCTAAAAAGTCAGACGAACTTCATTAAAAAGTTACAAGGGGAAACGTCATAAAGTTTGGATTTTCTGTTTTGCGTATTTCTTAGGAAGAAGTAAACATTTAAACATTTTTTTGTTTCAAAATATGTGATTTTAATGCTTAATCCATTACTATAAATTTAAAAATAACTTGCCCATCATAATTAATTGTATAGTTATTCTTGTTGGTCAATCTGGCTTAGATTCTGAGTTACAAACATTCAAATATGCCATGTTTCACTGCGCCCACTTAGACAATTTTAATCAAAAATAACCCTCGATTTATTGTTCAAAACCATGTTGGGTAGGTTAAATGTAACAGTGTAAAGTGAAAAACCATTTTGGGTGCACCTAGAGACCTAGGAGGATCACTTGAGTTTGAACATTTGTAACTCTACATCTAAGCCAGATAGATTAATTCTGACTTAAATAAAAAAAATTTTTCATCAAAATATCAATAAATACAAATCATAATAATAATAAAAACAATGTCTATTTTTGACTACATTTTAGAATAATTCCAAAAATGTTATTTTTAAAGTTTTATGTAGAACAACTATAAAAGTAAGCATGATAGGTAAGTTCTGATTATACCAATAGATTAGGTTTTAAAAATTACACAGTTTAGGGGGAAAAAAAATTTGAAAATGTTAAATTTTCACTAAGATATATGAAAAAAAGAAAATGTGAACTTCATGACATTTTATACCATAACTTCCAAATGAAATGTTCTTTATGTACAGATGTATAGGCAAAAACTTATTTAAAAAAAAAATGAACTTGGGTCGTAAACTAGAGATTTTTTCCCTTTTTTTTTAGGAAGATGAACTCAGTCAAAAAATCAAAACTTTTATATCCAATTTAAAAAAACACAATGACATATTATTATTTTCCATACCAATAAATATTTGTAATAATAATAATTATTGTGCTAGACGTGCTTCTATAAAGTTTTATGAAAACACTAGCACGTTGAAAACTTTTTATGGGAAAAACCAAAATTCAAACTTGCACATAGCCAATGGTTATGTATTTCCTCCAAATTGTCAGTTTTATTGTGATAACGTGATAAATATGAAAAAACTTGGAAGCGAAAAATATGATTTAATTTTATTGGATCCACCATGGACTAATACTTATATTAAAAGAAAAAAGAAAATTAAACAAGATGAAGGGTACTAATGTAATTTCAGAAAAGTGTTTTATAAAGTCATAATCTTTCATTTTATATTTTCTTAGGTATACAATGATGGATGATAGTGATTTGGCCCAATTGCCAATTAGCGAGTACCTTAATACAAACGGATTACTTTGTGTATGGTGCACAAATTCTCAAAATCATTTAGACTCATTAAAGTCTATAGTGTTTTCAACGTGGAAGGTCAAATATGTGGCCTGTTGGTATTGGATAAAGGTTCATATTATGTTTTAATTAATTATTCAAAACTAAAAATTTATTCATTTATTTCAATGTTACAAAATAAAACTTTTACTAATGAATAAATAAACTAGAAAAAAAAATGAATATGTTTACTAATATTTATTTTAGGTAACTAATTGTGGTGAATTTGTTTGTAATTTTACTGCACCAACTGGGAAACAGCCTTATGAACGTATAATATTTGGAAGAAAAATTGACTGTGATACAAAATTAAAAAATCCTGAAGAAAACAAATTAATTGTAAGCGTTCCGAGTTCAGTACATTCACACAAACCCCCATTAACTGGTAAATAATATTTTATTGTCTTAATATATTTTATTCTCTTCTTTTCTTCGCCTTCATCCCAACTTTTTGGGGTCGACCATCCACATATTCTCAATCACATCTTTTTTGGTGTTTCTCTCCCCCTCTTTCCTACTCCATCTATTGTCATTACAATTCTTACTCCATCTGATTTGTCTCTCATGATATGCTCAAACCATCCCAATCTATTGTCTCTCATTTTGTCCACTATTGAAACCACACCTAAGGTACCTCTCTTATGTATGCATTCCTTATCCTATCTTCTGATGTTACTCCACTTATCTACCTAAGCATTCTCATTTCTGTTTCACTGATTCTGTTCTATTTTTCTGTCTACCGCCCAACACTCGTGACTCATACAACATAGCTGGTATCACCACTCTTGTAAAACTTACCTTTAAGTTTCATTGAAATCTAGTCATATAAAACATCTGATGCTTCTCTCCACTTAATCCTATGTTTTACATCTTCATCAAAGCCCATCATTCTTTTGAACAAAAGATCCTATGGACTTAAAGCTCTTCATTTATTGTCCTTGGGTTTCTTGATTGATATGTCACTTCTAATTTTCTTCTCTATAATTTTTTTCAATGTCTTCATACTATGACTTATCAATTTTATTCCTCTAATAAATGTCCACACCAGTATTTCTCAACCTTTGTATTTGGAAACACACTATTAAAATATTTCATACTTTGTGACACAATAATAAAAATAAGAATAATAGATAATATTTATAATTAATTGATAATGTAAACTTAAAAAATAACAAAGAAAAATATAACATAAAGCAGCATTTTAATGAGAAATTTGTGACTGATATTTCTTACATAATGTATCAATACGTGGTGAAATCTTCGACAAGGCGACTCTTAACTCCTCTTCGACATTAATTAATTTTTCCCTTTTTTTGTTTTTAATTTCGTTCAATGCAGAAAAAGCTACCTCACACAAATATGATTTTAAAAATGGTAATAACACTGAAAAAGCTATTTTGTCAAACTCTGATATTCTTTTTTTATGTAAATCCAAAATTTGCCTAGCTCGAGCTCATTAAACTTCATAGGAAGAGTGCGATCGTTTTTTAATTTTGTGAGTTCCTCTTCCTCTTTTAATGAGAGATGTGTGGTTTCTAAACTAGGATTAAATGGATTCCTCACCCAATCGAGCAATTTCAAATCCAGCGATGAAAAGTAATGATTAAGTTTTTGGTCCAATGTTATTGAGTCATTGATAATTATTATTTTGTCTGTAAATTTAGTTTTAGCAGTTAAAGGAAACATATCCAAATTATTATCATTTATCCTTCTTTTCCAAATCAATAATTTGCCTTTAAATACAGCCATTTGTCTGTAGATATTAATACATTTAGATTTTCACCTTGCATGCTCAAATTTAACTGATTTAAGTGTTCAAAAATATTAACTATATTTGCTAGTTTTCAACACCAAAATTCATCGCATAAATAATCGGAATATTCCATTTGTTCCATTGTAAAATATACTAATAGTTCTTCTCTAAGTTTATAAAAACGTGATAAAACTTGCCCTTTTGATAATCAACGAACATTTGTATGAATAATCAAAGTATAGTGGTCAGATTCCATTGATTTGCATAACTGAGAAAATAATTAAATTTTTTGAGGCCCACTTTTAATAAAATTCACCATTTTTACGACTTGATCAAGTATAATCTTTAATTCATTAACAATACTTTTTGCAACTAATGCCTCTTTGTGTAAAAAAGAGTGTGTTGTGTTTATATTTGGATTTTGATTTTTGGCAATTGTAATAAATTCTTTAATAGAGCCTAACATTGAAGGCGCTCCACCTGTACAAATACTTACACAATAAGTCCACGATATACCTTAATTTATAAAATATTTATTTATGATATCAAAAACATCTCGACCAGAGATTATTATTTATATATATAAATTTTTAATATTTATTATTTATTATTTATAATCAATTATTAAATTATTTTATACTTATGCTATTTTTTTATTTATTTATTTAGAAATATTAAATCCTTACCTGCCTCCATTGCCTAAATGTTTAGAACTGTTTGCAAGATATTTATTACCAAATTGGACTAGTTATGGACTTGAAGCTTTGAAGTTTCAACATCAGTTTTTGTATGAAAATTTGGTTTTAGAAGATTGTTTATACAACCCAAAATAAAATCTGTTTAAATTTTGTATGAAATATCTATTATAAGTATATTAGTAATAATTCAGTTTTAGTGTATAAGAAGTTGTTATATAATTATGAGAAATTAACTTGCTATATTTATTTTTCCTTTGATATGTAATTATATTTCAATTTTACACACTAAATAAATGTGTAATTACAACTAGCCATTTACGTCTATGTGTACTGTACCGTTAAGTATTGTCTTTTGAATAATAAGGTAGGTTATGAATGCTCATTTAAAACTCTAGATTCTATTTCAAAGCAAGGATTGAGATTTTGCCAAAAAATTAATTATTGATGAAAGTGTACAAAAACAAAATAAAAAATTTTGAAATATTCTTTTCCAATTAACATACCTTAAACAAATATTACGATATGATTATTCTAAAATGGATTACATGTTTATTTAGTATACAAATTTAAAAAATTACGCCCTTTATTTTCAAAAAAATGTATGTATTTTTTTTATTATTTTATTGAAGAAATTATACAATTAAGGTTATATTTTTATTTAATAGTTTTATCACAAATTTTTGTATCAGTCTGTCAAATAAATTGTTACAATTGAGACAATGGTTATCTATAATTAGTTGTAGTGTGTGGTTAAGACGCCACATAGTGTTTACTATAAATTTACAGAAATAAACAACCAAGAGAACCTTAGATTTCCTAATATGTGTCGCCAGTGTACCAATTAGACTAGAGCAGATTAAACTTGTAGAAATATATTTTTTCCAATAAGTGTTATGGAAATTATGAAATTTCTAAAGTGAGTTTTGCTTATTATAAAACATTAAATTCAAATATATTTCAATGTATATGACATACATAAGTGATATTATGATAATACCATACATAATTTGTTTAAAAATCTGGATGACGTGATTCATTTTTCTATTATAACAAGGTTATACAAATTAACCTTCGAAATAACATTTTAATTTACACGTATACAGTCTTTTATTGATCAAATGTGTATAGATTATAGTTATTATCTATAACCATTATCAATTATTGTGATTTCTTCTTGACTGTTCTCAACGGTGTAATTATTAATGGCAATAAATACACAGCTAGTAATGCTAATATGTGCAAATAGAACTTGATGTGCCTGTAAAAAGTAAATTAAATAGTTTAAATAATTTAAACTGATACAATACATGGATAATTAACAATATTTTTCCTAAAAAAAAAGAACTATTTTCTTATGTCATAAACAATCTTTCTCAATAATAAAATAAATTTTTAAATTACTAATACAAATTAAATTACTTACCAAAACACACGTAAAGCAGGCATAAACTCTAAAAGTATGAAAGAAAACGTCATGTAAGACAAACATAATCTTGTCAAGAAGCATGTTACAAAATCATAAGCTAATTTCACAGGTTTCGGTTGTTGGAATCTATGCCATAAACATCTTCGGACCTGTAGTTAATAAATAAATATGGTATGTTTATTAAAGTTTAAAAAAAAAAAATGTAATGTTTAAAATCATTAAAAGCAAATTTTTCATATATTACCACTCTGGCGCTGTTTGTAAACAATGCCCCAGTGAGGAAAGTAATATAATAGCCTGGATAGAAACCATGCCAAAATGCAGACAAAGTATATGTCATGACGGTGTTGTATTTAGGTGACGCTCTTTCATACATGACATAACGAAGCCACAGATTTGTGCCTTTGTTCCATGCATCGATAGTAGCTCTAAAGTTTACTCCAAACTAAAGTTCAATACAGAAACAGTTGTTAAATAAATATTTTAAAGCTATTAACATTAGATAATATCTTTAAGATTAAATTGATACATATTGTATACTTACCTCAACCCTTAAAATGTCAATGTTATCGAGTAAATTCCATTCTTGATCACCTTTCTCATTGTAGCCAGAGAATCCCAGCCCAGAAGCATTACACACAGCATCAGCTAATGTCCAAGCAAAGTAGTATTTGAATCTGGTTAAAGATGTTATTACTATAATGAACCAAATTTTCGATAATATTGAGGATTCGATTAAAAAGGATTCATCTGGAAAAAAAAAAACTTAATATTAAGGTGCCCGAAGTACAGATGTCTTGTTTTGCTCACAAAAATACATTCTAAGGAAACTGATACCATTTAGTAGAATCAACCAAATTTTATTTTTAAATTAATAGAGGGATTCATATTTTATACACCACATTGTATACAACATTATATTCTCAACATTCTCAAAAGTAAATTTTAAACTTTTTTTTTCCTATTATTTGAAATAGGGGTTTATAGCATCCTGTAGAATGTTGTTGTTTATCAATAAAAAACTGTTTATAGAATATTGAATTAACAATGAGTTATCACTATTTCAGTGAAGTCATTTTTGTTAGTAAAAGTAACCCCACCCCTTCCCACTAAATGAGTATTTGGTAGATCAGTTACAAAAGCCTATTTTAAAATAGTAATTGAAATTTTAAAAAACTAGATAAAATTAGCACTGGGACCTTTAAGTAATATCTTTTATTAATAATATTACCGGTTTACAAAAATAAAATAATGATACAACTTAAAAGTAGAAAAATCATATTTAACCAAATATTAAATGAAAATGAATAACAAAAAAACTTAATGCTGTAACATTAAATGAAATAATGATAAAAAAAATGGCTAGATTCCATAAATTTTAGGGAGTAACATGTGAAATTAGAATATCAGATATCAATGAAGCTTTAACCTGTCATTGCTCACATGTAAGAAATAAACACAAAAATAATAAATTGCTATATTTACAGTGTTCAATAGAATATAGAAAAAGGTTAAATAGAAATAAGAGGCTAAAATAGGTAATTTTAATAACAAATAAATGTGAACACAGCCCTTGTCTATTTTTTTTTTTTGGTAAATAATGAAAATACATGTTAAAAAACATAATATTTCACTAAAATTTAATAACAAAATGAATACTATAAGAAACTTTAAATGTTATATTTTTTAAATATATTAAAACAAAAACTCAATATTATTATTAAAAGCGGTTACATACCAACTAATGTGGAAGCTGGATACATTGGTACAATAATATAAATTACAAAGCCACATAAGAATGTAATTCCCATTTTTTTTAAAACTGGTAGTAAAGGTGAAGGTGGTGATTTTGCCTTAAACAAATAATATTCACATTCATAATATATATATTTTAAAAAATGTAAAAATAGTATAGTAAATATTGTATCTTGAAAATATTCTGGGCTGAATAATTATACTAAATTTCTTAAAACAATATTTTCAATAGGTAATACAACATATATAATGGTAAAAATATTTTAGTTTAAAATCACTAATAAGTCCAAATAACATTTTAATTCCTAAAATTTAATTTTATGTTTTGAAACTTAGAAAAAAAAAATATATCAAGTATTTTTTTCACTGATTTATTTAATATTTTTATTCTTTCTCAAAATTGAATCATAAAGGAACTATAAGTAATACTATCTAGCATATATTATATTATTTATAAAATAATTTACTTTTTAACATAAATGAATATAGCTATAAATCAATTAAAATTGTTTTAACTACTTAAGAAAATAATTAATTTCACCTCTTTGGGTAGTTTTTTTGGAAAATTGGTACCATCTAAATATGCCATATAATCTTCAAAAAATGCATTTGGTCCAGCTAAAATTGTTTGAAATGTCAATAAATAGCTTATATAATGCATTGGTGTTGGAGCCTTTCTAAAGAAAAAAATAAATAAAAAATAATGAATGGAATGCTGAAGATATTTCTGTGCAGATGGCGTAGGAAAACGTGGTAGCACATTTTGTATTAAATTAATGTTCATATACCAAGACTTATAATTGATTTTTTTTTTAATAACTTATGATTTAAAAATAATCCCACCTAATCATGTAACGTTTCTGCAGTTCTGTTAATTGTTTCTTGTCAGCTGTGAGACCATCATGTAAACCACATGCTAATGCCGATAATTTTTGTACCATGACCATAACAGGACCTGAATAACCAATATTAATACTTTTTAATAATCTAAAAACTTTTTTAAATCAATCAATATTAATATACTCAAAGCTATGAGAGTTAAATAATTTTAAATACTATTTATAGTATTTAGTAGAGTGAGAAGATTATTGGAATACCAATATTTTATTTACTTTTTTTAATAATAACCATAAAAAAATTTGTATTCATATCAATGATGTTAATCTAAATTCTGAAACTTACATACGGATTAATGTTTATAAACATAATTTTACTTAAGATGACATGCTATGATCCGCAATTCTGTAATGAAATTTATTTTGGTAGGTAATAACTACTATTGACTTAATTAAAAAATTTAATTTTCATTATAAAAAAAGAAAAATTTGAACTGAATTGTACATTGTTGATATTTTTTTTTTTGATACCACAAATAATAAAGGACTACTCTGAAAAATATTTAAAAATGAACTTGAATATATCTGCACTGAGAAATTTTCATTTTTCTAAAATATCGAGAAAATTATCTATATTCAACACTTTCAATACCACAGGTAACTGCCTAATAATGAAATATAAACTTTACAAAAAAAGTAGTTTAATAAAAAAAAAAAAAATTGATATCATATGCATAGTTAAACATGATTTACCTGTAATGTCCAAAGTATAAGATCCATATTCATAAACTTGACGATAAATGTGTAGCAATGATAAATAAATACAGCATATGAGTAATACAACTCTAAAAATAATAAACAATCAAATATAGTTTTAAATAATACAAAATTAATATTCATGTTGTAATTACTTATGTATCTTATTTGGATCTAAGGTTCGGATTGTAATATAACAAATACTAGGCAAAATAATGAGATGTAACATTTGACTGAAAAAATATACAAGTATGAAACATTATAATTATCGAAAATTATTATTTTATACTATTATAACCATTATTATGAATTCAATAATAGTACAGAGTAGGCACATGAAAATATTTTTTCTACATAGTAGAGCAGAAATTGTATCTTAAAAAAATTGTTTATAGATATAATTTATTATTTAGGATAATATTTCAAGTTTATACAAATTTAATGATTTAATAAGAAAAAAAGACAGCGTTCAAAAATGTATTTTAAAAAAATAAGAGAATTAAAATTAAAAACTGTTAAGAATTAATTTTTAAGTACCTATAAATATGGTATTGATTTTTATTCCTTATTTTAAATCATATGTTTTATATCATTTATACAATAATTAATACTTTGCAGTACTCAAAACAAAATTTTAATTTAATTTAAAATTAATTTGTGTATACCAATGATGTTTTTGATATATGTTATGCATATGTGTAGGTATACACTATACAGTAAAACTTTCATACATTTTAATATTAATCAAATATAAAAACTCATAAAAAGAAATAAGAATTAAGAATACATTCTACTCCTTCACAGAATCATCTATGTAACATTTTTTTTTATTATTCTCTAACGTCTGCTGGTATATCAGAGACGCTGTACAATAATATATTTTTGAACCATCATCATTTTACTTATTATTTTACTATATATTATATATTTAAACATTTTATTTTTACTAAAAAAATTATATAAATTATATATTACTATCCAAAACAGATATAGGCCATGATCAGTCCAATGCTCAGTCCTAATATTTCTCGAATAATTACATATTGTCGATTTTTCGGTGGCAAATATGTATACACTAGAAACGATATACATAATGCTATAAGTTGACAGATGACAAAATTCACCTAAAATTAAAATTAAGTATCATTGAATAATATTAAAAATAAAACAATAATAGACATATTAAATAGATTTTATTTCAGACTAAAATAGATAATACAACTGAAATAAGTGAAAACAGGTACTTTTACATACCTACTTTAAAATACAAAAAAAAAACAGAAACTTGTTTATTCTGTACAGTATAAACCTTTTATAATGATATAAAAATTAGACAAAAATACTGAATTTCTAGATTATATCCAATGAAATAATTTTAACTAGGTCTTTCAATGTCACCCAATGTTTTATTATATATTTTATAGTTCTTTTTTTTATTTACAGTAATGATTTGAAAGTATACATTAAGATGCATAATTACTTAATATATATATTTAACAATTATTAATTTCATATGTATAATGAAGTCATTAACTTTTAATTTTATTTACCATCAAATAACTAATGAATTAACAACACTTGTATTGCATGCATTATAAATAAGTACCAAAAATAATATTTTAAGTTTTTTTATAATAAGAAAAAAATTGTGTAAACATACTTTAAAATAAATTTTTTTTAAATATTAAATACATGTGGATATATTTTTTTATTTTATAAAGAAAATAAATACAAAATGTATTTGTAGGAAGGTAATATATATAAATCAAGTGTGATCAGTCAAATATAAACACAAATATCCATATTAATTATACGATTACTATTACAGCATACATAAATAAAATAAATAATACATTTTCTAACCCAAAAATAAAAAATAGTAAATTTATGCACATCAACAACATTTACATAGCCCAAATATTAATGGCATGATTAAGTTAGGCATTGTCTTAAAAGATCAGAATATTTTTAACTTTTTGTTTGTACTAGTTAATAAATTTTATACAAAATGATGATTGTTAATCTACATATAAAACATAGTTTAAAATAAAATCAATAAAATATAAAAATTAATATAAGTATAATTGATACAGGTATTTATTTTCTGTTAATTCAGCTTGTATTATTTAAACACATGTATAGACTATAATTATAGTTACTACACATTTTATTGAAATAAATTTAAATGAACTATAACTATTGATAGAAATTAATAATATACTATTAACAACTGTTTAAGTTTAAGTATAATAGCTAATAGTAATTATAGCAATTAATTTTTTTCGGTTTTAAAATTTGTATAATTGGTTTTGATAATAACTTAATAAAACAAAGTAACAGGAAATAACTGAATATATTTATTTTGTTATACCAGTAGCTTAAAAAAAAAAATTGATTGATGATAACAATAACATTGTAGGTATATTCCCCATATAAAACTTGTACTAATGATAAAATATACCTATCAAACAATTCTAATTTTAATTTAGGTTCAGACTAAACATCATTCTGTGTAGAAATGTACCTATACATTTTATTTAAAATTACTAAAATGTATTCAAACTATACATGAAATAACTTGCTAACGTGTTTAACAACTACTACTACTACAACAAAAGGTGTCACTCAAAAGATGAAAAAAAAAAATTTTAAAATTATGTTAATTTAATGTTAATTAATTTAATTTTTTTTAAATATACTTCAAAATAGTAAAGGTTGAAAATAAACTGTGTTTATACATTATGTATTAAACTTAAGTGAACACTATTTTGTTTACACAATAATGTCTCCTTTATTCTAATGACCAATTATGTAAAAAGAAAAAAGACAAACCTAATATAAACTATAAATCAATAGTGGCCAAATATTTTTTATTTTATTTTTATTTCTATTGTAAACACATGAATCTATGTATATGAGTAACTGTTAAAGTGTCTTTACTTTTTTTCAAGCCATAAACTCATTCAGTCATCTCTTTTACTCATTGTTCTAGATAGTAACAGATTATAAATTGTATTAAATAAAAATAAAAAAATAAATATAATATACATTTTTTTATATTTTTAACTCTCAGCTTATTACTTTGAAATTCTTTAAAAATTGATTAGTGTTGTGAATACAAGTACATGTGTCATACATGTATTTAGTAATACTAGTTATAGTAATATTATATTAATCAAGACATTAATCATATGGGTGGCATAAAACCTCAATATACATTAACTATCATGACCATATTTTTGGCGGACAGTTATGTAAACAAATAATATGAACAGAACTTCTGGAATCTAAATAAATGAGTAGTATAATTTGATTGAAAACTGTTACTAAACAAAATTACAGAATACTCAGACTTTTATTTATTATACATTCTTGTATATTTTTGTTTAAATTGTGTTAAACTCATGACAAAACAATTTTAAAATGTAAAATAGTGAAGTTTGATTAACGGATATATATAAGTTTTTATTTTTTTAATATTAAAAACAAAAAGAGAATTTTAAATTAATAATTGTTTAATGCTTTATATATTTTATTTTATAGTTAGGTATGAATTATTTAGTATTCTTATTATATTTAGTCTACCGTGGTCTTAAATAAATACATAAATATAGAAATAATAATACAAAGCTTTACACTAAATCACTAAAACATACTAGTACTACTAGTACCTAGTAGTTTTATTAGAACTAATATTCAAATGAATGTCATTCTATATCTTGAAATTAAAAGACATTCCTCGCTCTGCTAAAAATTTAATATAACATATATCAGTCAATGGACATTGTATTTTTTATTAGTAACACAATATAGTTCTTAACTATTAAATTACATATATTAAAGTCACAATAACCAATTGAGCAACTTTTGTACCTATTATTTCTTGTATACTTAAATAATCTAAATAATATTTATTTATTTTTATTTATTAGTTATTATTATTTATTATTTATATATTAATTAAGTAATTAAGGCACACAGTGGGGCAAGAGTACATATAACAGTATACATATAAATATAATTTATACATTTTGATATTAATGGTATACATTGTTAATGAAAATACTTTTTACTTTTAAAGTATTCAGGTAGGTATGTTATTTATTTAAATATATACTCATATATATATATATTCATTTTATTAGGGTCATTAATTTTAATAATTTATTATTTTACTGTACTATTTAATCATTTATTATATTACGTAAAATACTAGAACTCTAACTAGGACATATAAAATAATTTTAAGTTTATTTTGTAACAAGATATAAACAATAATATATAAAATATACTTATGTATTTAATCAATGGCCATATTAAAACCAACATTTATGAAAAGAGTAATATGCATTAAAAGTCTCAATGTGTACCATTAACTTTCTTATAAATTAAGGTTTTTATTTCAGTTTATATGTATAGAGAACTAAATAAGTAATACATATGGGTGTTAAAGTATTATTTACAATCACTTTGTTATTTTTATTAGTTACTTTATTTGATAGGTAATAACTTAATATATTATAGTTTTGTCTTATCTTTAAAAATAGTCATAATATTATATTGTATAGTTGGTTTTAGCTTTAATTCTATCGTAGTTTTTTTTTTTTTAGTAACCTTTAAAGTTTATTATAAAATAGAAATAATAATTTAGTCATGGTACATACATACTTATATCATTGGTTGTAGAGAAATATTTATATAAAAAGTTAAAAAAATGTTGTCCCATTTGGTACTTTATACATTTTTAGATAAAGTTCAGTTAAAACTTACAATCACAAAAATAAAATTAAATAATAACCTCGGCCTTCATAATTTTTGGAAATAACGATAAAGAATATTGAGTAGGTACCAGTGACGTACTTAAGATTTTGCCAAGGAGGAAATATTAAATTTTGAAATTATGTCATATCACATAAATTGTAAACATAGGCAACGTCAGACTTTTAAGACAATTGTGGCTAACTTGGCTATCCAAAGAAGACATTAAAGATCTCTCACACTCTTTTAAAAAAAGAAAAAACAGACTTGTCTTATAATAATAATTAGTAAATACTATATTATACAAAAATGAAATATTAAAAGGATATAACAATTTAAAATATTTATAATATATGTATATAATTGATAGATAGGCATACTTTTGCTCCTTTTCTTTTTTCTCAAATTAACTTATAATTCCTGCTAGCTCGTTTGATATAGAAAGATCTTATTTTTCCTTTGTTATTTCTTTTCATAACAATAATTCAATTGATTGGATAATGAGAAACATCTTTTTTTATTTAATTTGATTTTAATTTCATATTTATCTAGTCTATTGTTTAATTTTTTCTTAAATGAATATATATTTTGTGTAAAATTTACCATTTTGTTTAATGCACTTTTATTATTAAATAAATAAATAAATAAGTAAATAAATAAATAAATAATACGTACTATAATTTAAATTCTTCTGTGTCTATCATGAAGAACAATATTTTTAAATTCATCAATTATGTTGTTACATTTCATATTTGATAATAGCTCTTGTTCAATGAACATAAAAAAGGTTTAAGTCAATTTTATGTCATATTATCACAAAATTTTGGTTTAATAATAGAAAACTTTTTTTTAATCTGTCATGGTCAAAAACTATTAAAACGTTTTATTTATCATTATTAAAACCATCAAAAAATTGATACAGATAGGTAACTGGGCAGTTAGGAAGGTAGGATATAATATATGGTAATTTAGTTTATATATTGTATGGAAGGATATATCATAACGAACAAAAAAAATGATTTTGGGTAGTTCAACAGTTAACACAGTTAAATGGTATACATATGACAATATAAATATAAATCAAGAATCTTAAAACTAATTTTAGTAGCAAAACAGCCTAATTTAATTAATATGTTTTCAATTCTATTGATATTATATCTTAATGTTATAATAATTATTATACTTGGGAAACAAATATTTTTGTATGTAGATTTTTAAAATAATTCTGTTTTTAAACCTATAGTCAAAAAAATCATTATTATTGTTTTTAAAATAATTATAGGTAGTATTATAACATATAAAAATATATACATACCAGATCTACAGTTAATCCCACAATAGCGGAAAGTGGTAAAAAAATGTCACTTCCATGATAATTTAGTGGCTTCATTATGCCTATTATAGGAGTGTACTATTCTATTAAACAGACACTGATAAATGTACAAATATTTACATAAATTTAAAAAATAGGCAGTGTGATAGAGATGACTTCACCTTCCATCAAATGAAATAGGTAGGTAAATCTGATATAAAATAATAAAAAACAATTCTTACACACAGATTACAAAGTCGATATCAAAATAATAATACAAATATTTTAGAAAACTGCAAAAATGCAGCTCACGCAATTACATGGGTAGGTACAATGTTATTTAACGACGAGGCTCATAAGTAGTAATCCAATCAATTTATACATTACCATAGAGTAATACATTACCATAATTACTAACACACAATGTTATCAGTTAACTGATAAGATTATATCGCGAATTTTGATAGGGGTGAAGGTCAACGGACTTACTCTTAGAACTTACAGAATATTATCTTATGAAAAAGTTTCCTTTTCTAAAATAAGAACAAAAAATTTAAATCTTTAAATCAATGTATTTTTCTTTGGTCTTCTTTCAGGATTCAATTCATATAATCCTAAAAGTTCTATAAGTACCACAACTGAACAACTTACAAAGACACCACTACTAAATAGTAAATTAAAAACTGAAAAAATATTTTTCAAAATTTAACGAACTAACAAATAGTGATCATTTTTTTGTGCATTCATAGCTCAGAAAATGTCAGTAATTTTTACTTACTCTTAGATCATATACTTACTTACATTTTTATCGTTTTTACTAACATTGTTTTAATATTATTAAGTTCTTAACTTGTTTTTTAACTTAAAGATACCAAAAACTAGGAGAGCATTTATTTTTACTGTAATTGGTTTTAAAAAAAAGTCTTAGAGACCTAAAATTTTTATAGAATATATTAACCATAATCAAGATGTGCCAAGTTTCAATATATTCTGGAGATTGTTTAGCTTATACATTTATACATTTAACATCAAGTTATAGACATTGGGTGGAGCGAGTATTGATTTTGCTATGATTTTTTTTTTCTGTTTTTGAACAGCATTTTTACAAAAATATCATGCTCCAATCAAAATATGTCAAGAGACTTTTTGTTGTATTTTAGATGTATTTGGTGCACTGGTACGGTCTTTCTTTTTAATTTTCAAAATAGTTTTCATAGTATTTAGGAAAACCGGGAAAAACGTAGGTACAAGAAAAACGGACAAATAGTCACGGTGTAATAATTTCATAATTTAAAATTGTACGATTATTATTTTCCACAAGAAATCTCGATATAAATTTCATTAGTAGGTAGCATCTTTTTTGAAATAAGATTCGTCTATCGTCGATGTGTAAAAAAAAAAGTAAGGTTTTGGTAAAAATAACAAAAAGGACGCAAAAATCTACAATATCGGTTTAATTATTTTTGATAATCTATAGTTCGATTTATTTGACATTATTAACAGAATTTTGCTCACAATCGGTTTTGTCTAACAATGGTAAGTATATATCGTTTCAAATAGAGGTATAAATTTAATAACTTTTTGTACGTATTCTACTTTTTTTTATATAGGTGTATTAAAATTAAAAAAACAAAAAACGTGCAAATTTTGAATTAGGTACCTATAATTCTGATACAATTTTGAACAAATACATAATTAAACAACCGAATCATAAATATTTTTTATCATAGAAATACAGAAATACGTATTATTATGTTTTTTCGTGTTATTTCACTGGGGATTGGAAGCGGTGATTTATTATAAAGGAGTAGTGTATAGGCAATTTTTTGTTTGGTTCGAAATGCGTAGTGTCTCTATGAGAAGTAAATGATTATTAGTATGAGTGTCTGTTACGTTTACCGAACACCAAAAACATAACATAATATATAAATATTATGTCTATGACGTACACCCTTCGGCCAAGTACAATTATTGTGTGAGAACAGATGTGATAATTATTGTAATATCTTTGGCTGTATGATATAATCAATGGCAATATAATTATTGCCTGCTCTAAACCAAAAATACATATTTATAAATTTGTTGTAATATAATAATATACAAACAACCCATCACTTAATATATATATAATAATTATAATAAGTTTTGTGCAAACGTCACATAAACACTACTGGACGAATTTTATTATTTTTTTTAATAATGGATATTATAACTGGGATCCAGGAGATCATGCACTAAAAACTATCAAAATAATATGCTCTTAAATTCATTAATTTTTTTTTTTACGTAATACACACAATTTAATTAATACGAAATATTAAGTTGAATCTTGAAATTTTTAATGTACTTAGGTACCTGAATAAATAAACTTAATTTTCAACTAGAGATTTTGACAAGTTTTCAAACATAATCGAACAGCTAGAAAAGCAACGTTCACTCACTGATAAAATAGGTACATAGATAATTGAAATAAATGAAATAATCGGATTGAAGATCTTCTGGAAGGTCGTTTCTTGCTGTTTCTTCACCTGACATGATTTTGGAAATTTTGAACAATGTCATAAAACACTCGTTTTTCTCGATGACTTGTTCATATTTATTAATCTTTTTGTAACTTTTAACTTCATTTCATTATTTTAGCTTCAATTCAATTAGGGCGTTTCTCGAGTATCTTAACATGTAATGACTAATGACTGTTGATAAATTGATTGACTAGGTATTCATTTTCATGCAGATATATTTTTTAACAAAAAAACATTTTAATATAGAAAAATAACGGCATTTTTACGAAATATTACTTATTGCCAGAAAATTAAAACAATTTATAATTATTTAGTAAATAAAAATGTTATTATAAAATATGCATAATGCATAAGTATATTTACAAAATCCACAAAACATGCTAAGGCTGTAATATTTACGACCGTAAATCAAATCGTATCGAACATGTGTAGGTATATAGTGTATACAATAATTTATTAATATTTAATATATACTAATGAATTAGGATATTTTAGTAGATAATTGTATAGCTTAAATTTGAGTAGCTAAAACTGCTGTTCTATTTGACTAATTACTACAGAGTTTTAGTAATGGATATTTTGATAAAATATTTGATTGCCTGAATCATTTTTCAAACAAATTTTAGATTCCAAGTGGTGCGAAGAACGTATTGGTTTTACAATGATGTTTATATTTTTTTTTATCTGTTAACAACTTTTCTATCAGCAATTTTGCTCCTATTTACAATGATAGCACTTTTTCTAAAAAGTAAATCTAACTAGGGAGGTACTTTAGAGAGCCCATTTTATTATTTTTTAAATTAGTGGGAAAATAAGTAGAATATTAAACAAAATATATATAGAGCATAATATGTAATTATTATATCCAAATATGACATACCTACTCCTGTATATTGTTGACAAAGCAACACTATCGATTTTCGTTAGCAATGGTTAATCGTTACGTACAGATTAAATTTCCCCTCTACTACCTTCCCAGCATCTGCAACCGTCCCCATTATTCTAGGACAGCTTTTTTAAAGTTTGCCGTTCACCAAAGATTTGATTGTGTGAACCGGGCTTAGACCTTAAGGTGTTATAAATTATTTTGGCAGGAATGCGAGTACAGGCATGGCCATAAAATCGTAGTTGTACATAGTATACTACTACTTTCCCCCTACCCAAGTTTAAAGTGAAATAACTCGCCTATTTATGGAATTTTTAATATAGATTCTCATTTTGAAAACCAAAATTGAGATCACCACAGGATACTCCTTAAATGCACTTAAAAATACTAAGTTAGAATTTTAATATAAGTATCCAAAATCTAACCAAAAAATGGGATGAGCACGCTTAGTATGAATCACCCTGGTATTTGCATCTCCCTTCAATCGAGTGCAATTATTATCGTTAAAACGCCCTGGTCTCCCACCCCTGAATATCTGTGATATTCACAGACCACAATATATATCTTAGTCCGTGTATTAAACAATTAACCAGCAATTATTACACAATATTTAGTCAATTTTTATATTCTTTAGTAATATTTTCGGATAAATTATTTTATAAACTAAGTAATAAATACTGTTTATCAAGTATTTTTCTTTCCATTTATTTTGGCAGGCTGTGTAAATTCAGTTATAAAATAAATTTTTCTATTTCACTACACAGGTGTTAATATATTAAATAATCTTAAGATAGATTCAAGACCATCTATGTACCTACATGAAACAAAATGTAAAAAAAAATAATGATTGATCTTAGTATTTATTGTATAGATGACTAGTAGGTACATAAATGGTATAGTATTTATACTATTTTAATTATAAGTACTATTGCTATTTATACCTAAACTCAACAAGTTATAAAAAATATGTAAACAATTTTCCAGAGTAAACAAGTGTAGATGCCCTAAAGTATGTTATTGCAATAGTTTGTTTAGTCTTGCAAATAAGTTAAAACAACAAAATACAGGATGTATTACGTGTGATTATGAATAACACAATGAATAATACAAAATATTAAAATATTTTATACTTTACACGGTGCTATTTATTATTAGCACGTTAAAACACAATAAGGTCAGTTAAACGCAATGTTACATAAATTGAACACAGTGAAACCTCCTGTGTTTGAAAAAGTGAGAAGAAAAAATGTATTCTTAATCATAAGACTATAATATAATAATATAGAAGAGGGGAAATGTATATATAACTTATATAAATGTTTAAGTCAACACTAATCAACAAGTTAATATTGTTTATGTTATGTACATTGCATGTGTTATGAATTATGCATTATTAAATGTCCTAGTACAAGTACTTGTAAAATGAAAGAACAAAAAATGACACATGCCAAATTGTTTTAATATGAAAAAAAAGAGATACATCTATAATTTAACTACCACTGGTACAGTAAAGGAATTTAGGGATTTAATTTAAATTTTAAATACAACAATGAATCAAGACGGGAAATTAGATCAAGTGGAAGTTTAAAATAGGGGTGACTAACCTCAAATAGTTGGGATGAAGGCAAAGAAGTAGAAGCCAACAATAAATCATTGTAAACAGAAAATGTATAACTATGAAATACTTTTCTGATTTCAGCAAATTTGAATTTAAAAAATAAGAACAATGGAAACACAATCCATTAAGATAAAATCAATTTGTCCTTTATTGTACTCAAGTAGTCTAATTTATTTAGACTTGGACAAATATCAAAATCCAATATTAGTATAAAGTATAAAAGAAAAACACTATCATTAATTTAATTTTTCTTCTTTTTTTTTTTTTTCTTTTCAGTGGTCACTTCAACAGGTTCTGAAAAAAAAAAGAATATATTTAATATTTTCAAAAAAAACCACAAAAAGTTATACACATTGTGATAAAAAAAATCTTAACATCTTGAACATTTTAATAAAAACATAATATGCATTAATTTGAATCTTACCAGCAATTTCAGTTTCTACAATTTGGTTCTTATTTTTTTTCTTTTTCTTTTTTCCTGAATCAACTATTAACAACAATGTTACAAAATATATTTGTATTTATTAATATATCTTACATTAAGACTACTTACCAACTGATTCATTAAGAGTAGTTTCAGCAACTATCGAATCATCATCTTGCTTCTTCTTTTTTTTCTTTTTAGGTACATTTACTAAAATAAAATAATTAATTTTTTTGTACAAAAAATAAAGAGATTCAAAATATCTCTAAAATAAAAACCACTAAAGTAGAAATAAATAAATAGTATATAAATACCAGATTCAGTAACAATAGCATGTTCTTGAACTTGATTTATTTGTGATTCCCGCTTCTTTTTCTTCGATTTTAATGTTGGTTCTTAAAAATAGAATAAAAATATATTTATTTAAAATTTTAATTGTAAAATTTATTTCTAAGTAATAAATAGAGGATATTTTTTTTATATATAATTTGCAATATGGGTGTACCAATATTGTAGGTAGTAAGTATAAGGTAATTTAATTTAATTAAAGACGAAACATTGGTAATAACACATATTTCTTTCAAAGTTTGGTTAAACATTTTAATTTATCTTATAAACAACAAACAATACAATCTACATAAAATAAAATAAAAACTTAAATTCCTTTGAACAAAATGTCTATGACCAGTTAATCTTTAGATTAACTCATAATCATTCATACAAGGACACATCATTTTTATTTCATTATTTCATATAAATCAGTGTTAGTTTTCAATTTTATAATATTCTATTGTAAATAAATTATAGGTTTTATAATAATTTATAATATCAGTGATTGAGAAATAAAAGCTGTGTGAAAAAAAAATGTTGAAGTTTTAGATATGATATAGTTTATGATACTATTAGTTTGTATAATAAAAAACTTCAAAATCATATTTTTTAACAATATTATATAATTAAAGAAATATGTTATTAGAAAATATGATAAGTAAATGTCTTAACTTTTGAATGATAATAATATACAAAAATATATATATACCTTCAGTTAATATTGAATCTTGTTCACTTTGCATTGTAATATCAGCACTAATAGCAGTAGTATTACCATTTGTTTGTTCCTTCATCTTCTTCTTTTTCTTTTTTGGAGATTGAACAACTATCGGAAAAATACAAAATTTAATAAAAAAATAAAAATAGTTATCCACAAAAAACCTAAAAGAAAAAAATTGAAAATTGCTAAATTCGTAATTTATTTATCACAAATATAAACATTATAAATTACCTTCAGATTCTTTTTTGATATCTATATTTTGGTAAGCTAATTGTTCTTGTTTTATTTCAGGATTTTCATCTTCTCTTTTACGTTTCACACTTTGAATAGTCGAATCAGCAGCAGCTGAATACTGTACTATTTCTCTATGAAAATAAGAAAGAAATAATATTAATAATTAATTACTAGGTCAACAACTACAGTTTAAATTCCATTACCTTTTAACTTGATACTTTTCAAATTTAGCTTTAGCTTTAGCAGTTCCACTAATTCTAGTCATAGAACCTTCTTCCATAAGGCGAAGCTTATACTCTAAAGTAGCTAAATGGTTGGTACCTAAATCCATATTTATAGTTTCAGATTCACCAAAAGCATCAAAACGAGCAGCAAGAGCAACTTTGGCTGCTAACATACGAGACATCTAAATAATAATAAAAAAAAAAAAAAAAAAAAAAAAAAACTCATGCTGCAAGTATAAGTAGGTGAAGTGAGACTTCTTTTAGAAGTATGTGGAGTTATTATGGAGTTTTAGTAAATGAACTTGGGAGGTTTTTTGTCGCTGTGTTTATATCTAAGTTAGAGGTAATTACTCTTGTATCATCTGCAAAAGTAGATAGACAAGTGTTTATAGTACGGGGAATATTGGCAGTGTAAATATTGTATGTGGGAGAAGGGAGGGGGGGATGATGCTGCCCTGTGAAACATCTGCTATATTAGAATGAACTTAGATAGCTCTTCATCACAGCATACCATAAAAGTACGTACAATGGATGAGAAAGGATTTGAGGAGAAGGTAGAAAACAAAGTTTATTTTTAAGGCCTTTGTGCCAGACTCAATTGAAGTATTATTGAAAAGTATTAATTTTTTTTAAGAAATTTTGAAAAAGAAGACAATAGACTAATTGGTCTAAATGAAAAAGTAATGTCTGGATTAATTGTGTTAGAAATATTACAGCATTTTTAGATAGTTTACAGTCCTGAGGAATTGTTTTTGGATAGATTTTTAATTAAATGGATTTCAGAGGGAGTGGTATGTTTAGTTGACAAGCACACATAGGGAGACTATTAGATAAAAAATGTGATTAATATGATCTATATTGATTTTTTTGCATTAGGAATGAATTTATTTTCAAGATTGAAAGCAAAAAAGTTTGCTTTGGCAATGTCTGATATAGCCTATAGAATAGTCTGGGTTGTGTATAGGGGATATTTTGTTTTTAATATTTTTTGTCTTTTTTCAGTGTTCAATTTGTTGAACAGTTTATATAAATAAGATAATATTGGTATTTTTCCATATTGTATTTTAAGAGAGAATTTTTTAAAGAGTATACCAGGTTGTTATGTATATAAATATATTTGATATCTACTTAGAATCTAAAATGAAGTAATTGAAATTCGAACTTCAATCATTTGGCTGGTATATATTGTGAATGCCACTGTTGTGATGGTACTTTTTTTTTTTTCACATCTTCCGTAAAGGAAGGTTCATTTTACAAAAAATAGCAATCTAATTATTCAGATGAAAAAAAATTGATACATTAATAGAATCTGACATACCCTTCCTTTAACTTTAGCAGTTGCTCGGCCAACCAAGCTGGAATGATAAATAAGACCATACTTAGGAGTGTCATGTTTTTTCTTTAATGCTCTGAATAATGCTTTTTCTGCTCCACAAAGTTGAATTGTTGATGCAGGCATTTTAGCAACATTTACTAAAGATCCTATAAACCATAATACCATAGTAATAAAATAAATATATCTAAGATATATCAGAAAATTACCTCCTTGTGCCAACATTCTAGCTCCAACAAGATCACCAACAAGTACAGTAACATTGGGTGCTACAGCCATCATCCGTGACTTTAAATAATCTGATAAAGATGATCTATAATTAGAGATGGCTAATATCTACAATGAATACAAAAAAGGTAAAGATTACACAAACTATGATAAGCATGAAATATCAAAATAATATATCAAACAAATTTATATTTGGATCACCTGAATCTGAAGATTTTATAAGTTAATAAAAGTATTAAAAATCAATGATTTGAATCACATACATATAAAGTATTGAAAACAAAATATTACCTCATCACACATCTGAACTATATGCTGTATGTCATCTTCAGCAATTTCAGTTCCCATTGATATTTCAGCAGCAGTCTTAACTTGATCTTCTAAAGCAGAACTTAAAATGGATGATAAGTCTATATTTTTGGCATTTTCTCTCATACCTGATAAAGAAAATTAATAGAAATTATAAATTTAAAAATATCACATAAAATAAATTATATTTTACCAAGGGTTTTAATTGTTTTAACATATTCTAAATTGTCAGTAAGAATCTTTCCAAGTTCTGGGAAATGCCAACCATACCATTCTCTACATCGCATAATGTAGTTATTTACTTCCTTATCAAGTTCATCTAATAATCCAATTGCTTGTACTATCATAGTATCAATCTTATCTGGGCTGAATTTGAGCTTGTAACGTGACAAACTGAAATAAAACTTAGTTATAATAATTTTTTTTTGATAGATAATTAATTTTACCTATGAGCTAAACCCAAAGACATAGCAGTTAAGTCTTTTTTAGGAAGACCGACTAATAAATTTTCAAATTGAGACCGAATGCATCGTAATAAGTCTGATGAAGAAGAACTTGAAACACAGCTAACATTAAATTTTTCTTTAATTGCTACACCCAATTTCGGATCAGCAACCATCAATGAATCTGTACTGTTCACATGGGATTTTATAACCTTGAAAAAAATAAAAAAATATATTAATATACTTTAATCTATAATACAATTTTAAGATAATATTCATAGTGCGCCACTGTTATGGGTGAGAATGTGGGAAGGTAAGATATATAAAGTTATTTCATTTGTGTTTGTAAGCCAAGATAACAAAAAAATGTAACAAAAAAAAATAAAATCATAAATGTTGTATGAAATACTTTTTTTCTGTCTAGAAAAGACAAGTTCAAAATATTTTCAAAATTTTAAACCTCAACAAATATAAATTTAAAATGAACCATTATATTTCCGTACATTTTTTCCATTTATTCTGATTTTGCTGCATTATTAAAATAACTAAATGAAAATTAAAAAAACATAATAACTCACTAACTAGAAAAAAAATCAACATAAAAGCTATCCCTTGAATTTATTAGTTGTTTTTCCTCCAATTATTATTAAAACTGCTTGGAAAATCAAAAAAATACATACTTCCTCAGCAACTAATTCTAAAATGCAACAGAAAAGGGTTTCTTGGCATATTTTGATTAAACCTTGATTTCTGATAGAACAAAATGTATAGAAAATGACAATAGCACAACAGTCTGTAAATAGTTTTTCGTTTTTCTAATATATTTGTTTCCCAATTATTATTAAAAATCCCATATAAATTACAAACTAAATACATCAAATAAGCCCTTGTCATTTTTTGGAGAGCAAGATTTCTGGTCGAAAAATTGCTCAGGTCCAAAAAAAGAACACTTATCATAGAAAAATCAATAGACCCCTTTCATGTTACAAATCTAAAAGTAATAATTATCAAAACATTTATACCTTTTTCAAAGATTTGCATAATTTTCCTTCGATTAATGAAGCAGCTGAAGCTAGAGCTTCAGTAGTGTCTTCAAATTTTTGAAAATGTTTTAACTTGACGCTGTAAAAAAAAAGTTTTATTTTTTTATACAAAACTACAACAGGAAATTAATTATAATTTTCATTAATTTTAGTGTACATCACAATAGTTTAGAATAAAACAACACAAAAAAAAAATGTTGTTTTTTATGTCAATAACCTTACAGAACTGTATAGGAATAAGGTAATTTTGTGCTGAATTGTGTGCTGACTTAATAAAGTAGATATTAATACATATTATTTAAGGCTATACAATAATTAGTAGCTAACAAATTAAAACTAATAAAGAATCAAATTTTATTTATTAAGAAATTAGATAATTTCACTAAATTGATAGTAAATAAGTACAAATATACCTATTTCCTATAGTAATTAGTAATTTTATATAGAGCACATAACCACCCGTATATCTTAAAATTGAGAAACGACAGCTGCTCAAAAATCAAATTCGTTTTGACATTGATAACTGGTAAATATTTAAAAAATGAAATAAATAAGGGTTGGTTAAAGCTATGATTATCAGGTGTACTGTTTCATAGGACAGTACTAGAAAAATATTATGAGCTAATACATGTTTATGAATTTGTATAATTTGATTATACATTTCTGTTTCTATTAGCTGACTATCAAGCTTCAATAAATAACCAGAACACTACAATAAGGGTTGTCATCCTTTCAGAGTTTCACCAAAATACTCTTAGTTTTACATATAAATCTATAGAGGCTACGGAGTTGGTCAATAATTTTCCGGGTACAATTAATATTTAATATTTAATATTAAATTAGTACTACTTAAATTATTTATAATTTATTTACAGAAAATGAGAAGAATGATTTTCATAAGCCAAAAGATGAGATAAAATACAATTTATTGACTTGTAATACATATAAGTACAGTATCTTTTGCTGGCCTTTTTTTTTCTTATCGGTGTGTCTCCGGGATGGACCAGTTAGGAATACCAGCCAAGTTAATTAGATTAATAAAATTGTGTATGTATAATTCAAAAAGTAAAATTAGTTTCAAAGGAGAATTATCAGAGGAGTTTCAGGTAACGACTGGTCTTAGACAAGGTGATGCTTTATCACCTGCACTGTTCAACATCGCCCTAGAATCAGTTATGAGGACAGTTATATCCNTAGACAAAATCACAGATTGGATTTCTTGAAAGTAAATGAGTACATATTTGAAAGGGTAAGAAATTTTAAATACTTAGGTGCAGATATTAATGAAGATGCTAATAGCCACGGAGAAGTGAAAAGACGGCTCATCGCAGCAAACAGGTGTTACTTTGGACTATTATCATTGTTCAAATCAAAACTATTATCAAGGAAATCCAAAGTAACATTATATAAAGTTCTAGTCAGACCAATAGCTCTATATGCAAGCAGTACTAGGGCGACGACAAAGTCAGATAAAAAAAGTTAGAAATATTTGAGAAAAAGATATTTGGCTCAAAGAAAAACAATGAAGGAGATTATGAAATACATAGCAATAAAAATTTATAAGAATTATATAACGAAACCAATATTGTAGGGATCTTGAAAAGCGCGCGAATAGGCTGGGCTGGACATGTATGGAAATCAAAAGGACTAATCGGACAAATAACTACATGGAAACCAAACGCAAAGAGGCCCAGAGGACGTCCTAGACAGAGATGGTCAGATAGAATAAAAGAAGACCTAAAGAGGTTGGGAGTAAGGAATGCTGAAGAAACGGCACAAAATAGAGAAGACTGGAGATAATATGTTGTTGCGGCAATGGGCCTAAAAGGCCTGTAAATAGCCAGAGAAGAAGAAGTGTCTCCGGGTCTACCATCTTTCAAAGGTGGTAACCCTAACAATAATATATTTATTTATCAACAAATGTTGTAAATATTGAAAGTACATAGATTAAGCCATGTCATTAAAAATTAATAAACATAAAAGTTAAATTATTACAAACGTGTTTTTTTTTTTGTTTTTATAAAAGTATACAGGAGTTAAATGAGAAGCAAAATATTTTTAAAAAAAAATTGCATATTTACATTTTAGAACAATCCTCTGGTGATTCGAAATAACTATACAAATCACTAACATTTTTCAGCTTTTTTTCATCCAAAACCTTAATACAAACAAAGTATAACATTATAATATTAGTTGATCAGCATAGTGTGGTAATAGAAAATTAAAAAAAACATTACCTTAAATATAGCGTATCCAGCCGAAGTCTCGAATAGGACCAACATATTAGATATTTTATTTGAATGTCACTTGTCAAACCATAAACACAAATTGGTACTGTTAAAATTAAAATAAAACCTAAGACATCAATCAAATTTCAAAAGATAGGCATCCGCTACAACACCGGATAGCATTTTCACGTGTTTAGTATTTATTTTTCAAACTAACAATTTACAATTGTTTCCTATAGACACGCACAATTTAAGGTTATTTTTATTGGCTATGGAAGAAAAAATAGACTATGATATAACTCCGATTTAAGATGGACTATCTTAAATAGTGGATATAACCCAAGGTTTGTAGATAATAGCCGTGATATAACCACATGTATAGATAAGAATATGGTTGTTGAATGGACCTTAAAAACTAAAATTGTTTGTCAAAACCACTGCTTATGTCTATATTATAAAAATAAATCCCTAGTCTCCCAAAAGAAAGGTTCCGCATTTTGACAAAAACCGGTTAGTGACGCATATATCCCTCCGCCGCTCATCGTTTAGACCTTACGGTTTAGACATGGTACACATGAGCTAGCGATACGCGAGGGGATCGATGGTGACGGTGTAGAGCTCCATCGACTTGCGCTAAAAGGTACTTTTCTTTCATGATACAGATTTTATAGATATTATACAAGCTGTCCCACGAAGCATTACCTCTTAAATATCTCCGGTAATATCTCCGATAATAAAGATAATTAAATTATATTTTTTTTATATTACTCACAGGCACGGTTATAGGTACTATCTCATATATTTATCCAGGTAAGTATATCTATGGATATACTCGCAGGAATGAGGACTTGAGGACTACAAATATTTATATTTGAATACAATTTTTTTTTTTAGTAAAAAAATTTAAAAAATAATTTTGTATTTTATAATTTTCAGAAAATTTTAAGATAGCCTAGACGAATTCTAGGCTAGTTCCTTTGGAAGGGGTTTTACGATGTCAAACTATGAAGGGATTTGTGTAGGGTACGAAGCTAAATGTTTTAGCGTTAAAAACAACTCACCTATTACTAAATCCCGTCGAAATATTTCTGATCACAAAATTAAAAAGGGGAAGTACTTTTAATATAAAGTGCCCCTATAAAAGCCCTATGCGTAATAGTGAAGATCACACTAGCGTACGTTGAAAAATAACCAAAACACGGCACTAGGTTTCAAACGAAAAAAACATCTCGTGGCGAAACATTGGCGGTGAATTACTCGACGGCAAAATGCCGCCTTTAGCCCGTGCTCTTAGGACTATAATTGTCATTTTTACACTATTTAGGTGATACAATATCATGGTTACCTACATCATAGATTAGAACATAGAATACAACGGCAAAGCCTGATTTAAAGAAACAGATGCATTGTGCACTGCACATTTTTGGAGCCCTATTTGAATTTAAAAAAGAAATCGATAAAAATTAAAAACTGCCTCCTCTGCAAAATGAGAAGCCGCCTCTGCTACCTCCTCTATGCGCACGATTTTATTGACAAGTGTAATGTTTCACTAATAGCTATAGTAAACTATAATGCACCGTGTAAACCACGCTATAATTACTAAAAATTATAATAGTTTAATAATCTATAATCATTAACCGTAATAAATACATATCTTAACATATATTGTTATATATGTTTTCTCAAACATCGTACTAGTAAACTTTACACTAATACCAAGCATAAGGTCTATAATATTGTTCCACAATAATCGTAGGTCTAAGAATGTAATACAATAATTAGGTATACAAAAGTAAATAGTAAATGACTCAAGTGTTTTTATTTCTATTTTTTAACTAATAATTATTTATAGGTAATGAGTACCTACTTAATTATAATGTATATTATAAATTTTTTAATTGTATACTTAAGAAGTACCAATTTTGATATAGTTTTTTTTTGTTTTATTAAATTGTTTAGCTTCAATATTTTTTTAATAACTTCTGGATGATTCATTTAAGTTGGTACACTCATTATCTCGAAAAGAATTAATTTTTTTCGAAATTTGTTTCCTAGATCATTCAAAAAACCAGCAACTCAACAATTTTATTATTTATATTATTTTTTGACTCCCCCTATTTTTGGAAGTAAAAGCACTACTTACTTTTGATTTTCAAACGGCAAACTATACTAAAAAGTCCACAAATAAAAGGAGTAAAAATACATTTTAGTGTTGACATTTTTGATTTTCGTCGACCCGTTGACGAGATGTTTCACTATTAAGTTTTAGTTGGAAAAGAGTAGTGGAGTATCATTTGTGTGGCAGTACTCCGTATATTTATGGAATTTTTAATATAGGTTGCCATTTGAAAATCAAAAGTAACAAGTGGTTTTACCCCCAAAAATGAGGGTAACAAAAATAGCATAAATATAAAATTATAGAGCTGTTTGTTTCTTAAATTGTTTAGATAAAAAAATTCCTTAAAAAGTTAATACTTTCCGAAATAATGAGTGTACCCACTCAAATGGATCACTTGATAGATATCGGAGCGTAGTGAGGGATTTATTAAGTGTTTTTGTATTTTTTTTTTCTATCTGTAAACAACTTTTCTAACAGAAATCTTACTCTAAAGTGTAGACTGTACCCCTAACCGTAAAGGTAAATTTTCGATTTTCCAACGAGATTTCGAAATAATCGAGGAAAAGAGGACAGAAAAGTATAGATAAAACGGAAAATATACTCGGCACGCCTCAGCGTTACCATTTTCATTATTTTTATTATGCTACAACATTATTTTCTAAGTAGGTACCAGAAATATTACTTCCAAAAATGACAAGATATTGATTTTGTTCCTAATAATATTTCTTCACGGGCAGTAAATTGTTTTTTGATATCAAAAGTAGTTTTCCTAACAAATGGGAAAAACCAAGAGATGAGATATACAATTTTTTTTCAAATTATGGTACAATTTCATTAATTTAAATTTGTATGGCTTATGTTTTCTACTATAAATATTGCACCAACAGATAAATGACAAGAGACCTTTTTTGTTGCATTTTTAATGTAGTTCATGAGCAAATTATCCATTTTTTGATTTTCTCTGTAGTTTTATTAATAATTCAGAAAAATTAAAATAAAAACAGAAATTACTGATAATTTTATGAAAATAATTTTTTTATATTTAAGTTTTGTTTTTTTAATGTATTCGTAGAAACTTAAAATGTTGACAGAAATTAATAATTTACTTTTTCTAGACGTGGTAAAACTTTTAGAACATTTGAGCAATTTTTGAGATATTTATAGATATCTTAATTTTGAGTTTTTCACATAAATATCATTTGGTAGGAGGTACTCGGTAAATAAAATTGTTAGATTTAACAGAAATGTTTTAAAATTTGATAGGAGGTTCATAATAAGTCATACTTAGTGATCAAAAAGAAATTTTTTTTTTTTAATAAGTTTTAATATTAAATATTATGGCCTTTCAAAAGAGGTTTAATCAAACCTCGCGTCAAATTGAAAATAAAAAGTATACATTTCTAGATTAACTATTAAAAAGAAAATTGATTAGACAAATTTTTGTTATGCATATTAGATTTGATTCAAAGCAATCAATAGTTAACTACAGTACTTTTTCACAAATAAGTAAAAACACAACCATGAATTGTACACATAAATTTATTGAATACTAATAAACTATAAGAGTGATGATCAACAGCCACAATTCAACAAAAATGTATTTTTATACAGTTTTATAACTATAAAGTAGGTATTATTAATACTTTGTATCACTTTGTATAACTTTATAGGTAGGTATACTTAAACTTAATTTTAGCATATGTTTTAAGTCAATAACAAAATTAAAGCTACAATATATATCATTAAAGTTTAGTTATAATTTTGTAATATACAACTATAGTACAACAATAACAAAGCATTTGGATAAATAAAAAAATATTATTTCTTAACATCTTTACTTAAAAATATTATGGTATTTAAACTTAAAATAAAAATTGTATTTTACATATAATAAACTACTGTCATTGTCTTTATAGTAATCATCTCAAGTTTTATTAAAATTATCTTATCAATACTTTATAATATAATTTAATTTTGACGAAATAGTCTATTTAGCAATAAAATTAGGATTTCATTGAATAGAAAAAAACATCAGTCATTGTTATTAAATTTTTACTAATAAGTATTGTACAATAATTATACTTTACATTATAATTTCTGTACATTAAGTTTGAATATATCTAGCACGAAAAATAAATATGTTATATTATAACCATTCTGAAATTAAAAATAATTAATATTATTTATTCTTTGATCTACGTCAAACCGCTGTCTTTGCCTGGGATCTCCAGGAACCATTGGTTTCCGCCGTGGATCGTTCCTAACCGCCATCATTTGTTGTGGACATATTATTGGTGGAGGCATGTGTCTCATGTCACTATCCATAGGTCGTTGTTGTACAAGTGTAGTAGAAGTTTGTATAATAGGTATGTTAGGATTATGAACAGTCGATGCACAAGTAACATCTTGTTGTGGTTTTCTAGGATCTCGAGGTGCACTTTTTTGAGGAGCTGCTGGTCTTACTGGTGTTACAGTAGTAGTCGCAGGGACATTTTGAATAAACATTGGGTCTCTGGCTGCTGTTATACTTCGTCTAAGACGTGGATCATCAATTCCCATCTATTTAAAAATTATTAATCATGTTTTAAGGAAAATTCAAATACTTAAATAAAATTATTTTTGTTTACCGTAGGTGGGATTTTGGAATAGTCAGGTACCGAAACTTGTGTAGGTGTCAACAAATATTTGATTGGTGGATGACTATCAAGAGAAGCATCTATCTCTGTAGCTGCTGCAACAGGAAATTGAAATGGTAATTGTCTTAGATCAACATCTGATTTTCCTAATTCCACTGCGCTATTGTCATTACTAGTAGGACTAGCTGGAGATTCTTCAATAGAACTTGTTCTGAAAAAATATACCAATTACTGAAAATGTATAAAATTAAAAATGTAAAATTTTGTTATCGCTAATTACAACTTGTAATAAACTTTGAAACTAAACAAATTTTCCTATATAAAACTAAAAACCCAGATAATGTAAAATAGATATAAATAGCTCAAAAATGATTAAATATTTTTAAAATTTTACCAAAATTAGATAAGGTTAATCGAAGTATTCCATGGAAATAAAATAATGATTTTCCCAATATATCAAATATATGCCGTGACACGAAAGAACGTATATGGTCGTAGACCAAAACTCATATATTTTTGGGCATGCCCACTACAAAACATGATGAAAAAACTGCCATTACTAAACACAATGACACCGTTGGAGCGCTTTGATTGTTGTTTAGATGCACGGCCCGTATGCATTCTCTCGTGGCACAGAGTATAGATAAAATGTTATACTAGAAACAACCTCAGAAGTTAATGGTTGGAACAAGGTTTTTAAGAGACAGAAATAAACACATAATAGTAAATAAAACCAATGTAGGGTAGCAGAATCCTTGCTACCCTCAAGTCTAAAAAAAAAAAGAATTATTTTCATAAAGAAATGTTATACTTTTGAAATATTTGTATTATAGCTACAATTCAGTAATTCAAAGTAATATTCAGTCATTAGCAATACATTTAGATCATGTATTAAAATACAACCTCTTATTATATGTACGACATTATAATTTATAGTTTGATTTCAACATTTTATATATATAGCAAACAAAAAACTTACTTCTCTAGAACAATTTCTTCTAATTCATGGTTTTCCAGTGCAGGTAGATGAAATGGTGATTGTTGGTCTTTTGTTGATTTATCTGGTTGGGACTTTATACTATTAAGTAGTTTTGCTATATCATCACTTATAGTAATTTGGTCAAAATCAACCTGTAAAAATACAATAAAAATTAACTTAAAAATAATAGTTAGAGTATTTATTACTTTAGAAATTGTAAAAAACAAATAACTAGTACTATTTGGCTTTAGTAATATAATTGAACCACTGTTAATAAACATTATTTTGGAAACTATCATTATTATTTATTATAAATAATAGCTGATGTATATTTACTTTTTCCACTTTGGATGAATTTGGCTTTGATAAAGATCCTGTTGGTTCTTTTTCTTCATTTTTAGTAGATACAGAGTTATCAGAAACATCACTTGAATACGGTTCCTCTTGAATATATAGGTCATTCACGTCTGTTTCATTGTACTATAAATAAATATATTTAAAATTGTATTATTTAATTTGATTTGCAAACTTTTTTTTTTTTTTTTTTTTTAAAAAAAGTATAAATATCACAAAATACAATGCAGTGACATAATATTGATCTACAGGGATTATAATAATAGGTAGACACAATTTTTTTAATTAAATATAGATACTTATACAATTTATTTTAACAGAGAAAATATTTATACAAAATTAAATATATAGACCCAACTTCTACGTACAAATTTTTGTTGAACTTGAATTCGTTTTAGAAGTTCTTTTTGTTTTTTTGGCAATGGTTGATCTTTACCCTCATTTTGGAACTTTTCTTCATCAATAACAAGATCTAAAAAAAATAATAGCATAATTTAAAATAAATTAATACAAATACATTTTTTATTCTATAACTAAAACATTTTTAAATTATTATAATAATTGTTCAAGTTGATTAAAAGTAATTTAACAAATAATAGAAAATAATTAAATATACTAAAAAATTCAAATATTTAATAATGCTACAATGATTGGATGTGTAAGATTGTGTAATTTAAAGTCTTCAGAACTAAGCAAATTATTTATTTAACCCCCCTTTAAAAAACAGAAATGCATAACTTTTAACTGAAATTAGGCACATTAAATAGGCATTGAAATTAATTTATTAAAAATGTGAAATAAATAAGGTATAAGATGATAATGTATGCTTTGATTTACCATTAAATTCATCATCATCACTCAGCTCATCTAATAATGGTTGATCATTGGTTTGTATAGACATATCTTCTTTTCGTTGTCTATTTTTTTCCATTCGTTTTTCTTCTTGTCTTTCTTCTTTTTGTTTTTTTCTCATTTCCTTATCTTGTTTTTGCTTTTCCTTGTGAGTTTTGTCATGGTGTTTTTTAGATTTATGCACTGAACGATTGTTCGTAGGTATACTAGGTAGTTGTTCATTTTCATTAATTTCACTGACAAAAAAGTTAAAATTTTAGCATTGTATATTTTCCTTTTTTTTGATATTTAACTAATCATTTTTTAATTGGGGCAAGATTTCTAAAGGGAAATTTGACAGAAAAAAAAAATGTGTCCAATATAATATTTAACATTGCACTATTGATTCAATTCAAGAAAATGTTTTCACATTATTTATTTATAAATTATACTCACAAAGTATTATCAACCATAGGATCATCTTGGGAAGGTGATGGCATTGGTGTGCTACTATTGTTATTAGTTTCTGTCAAAAATTAATAAATTATAATACAATGGTTACATCAATAATAACTGTGAATTACCTAGATCTTCATCTGGATTTGTGTCAGTACTTTTTAATTCTGGTGGAACAGGTATTTGCATTTCTAATAAAGATGGAATTTTGCTCTTATCAATTTTGGAACTAAAATTATTCTCTACAATTGGGTTTTGGTCCTCTTCACAGTTATTCTATAAAACAAATGCATCAGATCAGTATTATCAAATAACTGTTTTATATACTATATATGTCATTTAATACAAAAATAGTGTGAAAATAAAGAAATAAATATACATTGTATACCTTGAAATCTTGTTTTTCATTTTCGTATTCTGGTGGATCATACCGCAATTTTCCAAAAGACTAAAACATTCAAATACATGCATTACGCTAGTATTGGTAAATAAATACTTAAAAATTAAAATAGATGATAGACAATTGTATATAACTTTAATATATGTAAAATATAAATATAATCAATATTGTTTATTGATTGTTAATTCCTTTTTTTTTTATATATATTTTAACAAATTTACCTTCAGTAATATTTTTTTTTGATCTTCATCAAGCTTAGCATGGCTAAATCGACATTTTGAGCCAGAATAACATTTCATACCCGTATGATAATACTTGCATGGAAATTCACTATGCATAAATGTACATCGATCTTCTTTACTACAACAATCCATTAAATAAAACTTACACAGTTCCATTTTGCGACCATTTGGTTGCTGATGAGAATAGGTACAATTGTTTTCCTGTAAAAATGTATCATAAATCATTATAATTTATTAACGATCAAACATAAAGTCATTTATAGAGCACCACAGGTTATACAGTAATTAGTATTGACTTAACCCCATTATGAGTGCTATACTGAGTACTAACACATAGGATACAATAAACCAAAAAGCCATATAAAGATCAGTATAACTCTAGCATATATTTTTAAACAATTTTTTTTTTTTAAAGATTACTGGTAATATTGATAATGATGATCATTTGCATCACTCTGAGATCATATTCTAATATTTTTCATATATAATAAACAATGATCAAATACATCACTACTGTACATTATAGATAGATTATTATCATTCTATTATGATGGGTATTAATACTTAGTAGTAACTATCTAACATACTACTACATTACTATTACCATTAACAAGTAGTAACTTACTATTTATGATCTACATTGCCCTTACCCATTTACCTAGTATTAGTAGTTTTTAAAATTTTGTACACATAATGGTGTCAATAATATTTATATTTAAAGGTGCGTCCACAAAGTGTGCAAACATGGTACATAAAATATCTGTCAACATAGTATTTAGTGTATTTGATTTTATTGTTTTCTATGAATGAGTATTTAGTGTGAATAAAGGGACACAGCAGTTCACCTACAGCATTAGTGCAGAGTGGTTGTATTTTTCAAAATGAGTAATACGAATGTTGAATAGATGACTGCTAGAGCTGCATTTACTGCTATAAATAGCTTAAATAAAAAACCAAAATCAAAATTTAAAAAAAATCTTCGATATTGGCTCACTGAAGTTTTCAAAAAACGTGCTGCTCGTTATAGATCTCAGAAATTAACTTGTACTAACTTGTTAATACTATACACAAGTTCTTAATATTGTTAAAAAAAAAAAGATATGTTGATGTCATCTTTATTGATCTCAATAAGGCTTTCAATTTGGTGGATCACAAATTTTTAATTAGAAAACTCAGTATTAGAGACACGTTTTTAACCCCTGGTTAAGCTTTTACTTACCTGGAAGAACAACAGGTAATTGTTTTAGACAAGGTTCCATAGCCTTTCACAACCCCATCTGATGTTCTACAAGGAGGTCACTTTCACCTGTATTATTTTAATTATTTACAAATGATGTTAAACATACATTCAATTTCAGTAAATTTTCATTATTTTTCGATGAATTTAAAATATTTATTAAGGTAAATTCTATAGAAGATTGTGAAAGACTTTAATGTGTTCTTATACATTTTTTAAATTATTGTACCACAAATAGATTACAAATATTGATAAGGGTGCAACCATATTGTTTACTATACATCAGAACCCTCTAACGTATAAATACTCTATAGATAGACATATAATTAAGTTAGTTTCTTCCAGTAAAGATTTATGTATTATTTTGTCAACTAAATATTAATTTTTTAAACACATAGCCTATATCTATTCTAAGGCCATGTGTATGCTGGGATCTGTTAGACAGCAGTGTTGGGACTTTATAATATTATTTACATGAAAACCCTATACTGCTCTTTTAATTATTCAGGTATTGAATATGGACCCTTGATATATAGTCTTTAATAAGTGATTAGACTCAATGTTTGAATAATGTTCAATCTTGCTTTTTAAAACACCTGTTGTACAAATTTAATTAAAACATTTCGGTTAATAACTTAGGACTCGAACTTGGTTTGCATTCCCTTACGTAGACAGGCTAATTTCATGATACATATTTCATTTATTTATGAATTACTTAGTAATAATAAAAGAAGTTGTCTCGAAATACATAGGAAAATTAATTGGCACATTCCTACTCCTTAATTGTTGTGAAAAATCTAAGTATGTGAAAATATCTTTAATCAAGACACTTAAAATTCCAAAAATCAGAATTTTAATTTATGCATAATTTAACTATACAAATGGGGTGAGCATGCTTAAAAAATCACCCTGTATAATAAATGATACATTCATAGTTATAAAAAAAGATTATGTAAATAATAACAATTACTAAAAATTATTCTTATCCTCCCTCGTGACAAAATTTGCTGATGTATTTCTTAGTTCTAACTGTTCTAAGTTTTCTTAATATAAAAAATTGTATAAATACAAATACAATTTCAAATAACTAGCAAGTTTATTATTTAAATTATAGCGAATTGAACATTTAAAAAAATAATCAAGTATACCAAATACAGAATTCTAATTGAAGACGCATGATGAATATTAATTACTTATCTCACTCTACCTTAAGACATTTTCCTTGAAGAAAATATTGACAAATTTTTTCTTCATCTTCAGGTCTTTTATTTTTCATAGGTCCAACACCAATTCGTCGCTTTGAAGGCATACCTCTACTACGTCGGTCCATATCTCCACCACCACGTCTACCCCTACCTCTCCAAACAAAGTTATTATCCCTTGAAGGCCGAAAATCTTCTCCTTCATTTTCTATTAACAAACAAGACAATATAATAAATTATTACACCTTCATTTTGTATGGAAATATATATTAAATTTCTTATCAGTTAAAATTAACATAAAAAAGAAACTAGTTTTTCGATTATGGAAAAAAATGCATTGTTATGAACATAAAATATTTTATTTGAAAATTACAAATAAAAGTACCTAATTCTAACTATTATTATTGTATAATATTTGACAATGATTTTTTTTAACCTTTGAGATTTATTAAAAACGAAAAATGTCTGTATTAATTATGAGAATAATTTTAAGCACATACAACTAAATATTATTTAATATAAAATTTCTTTTAATCTTCAACGCACTTTAATATGATAAATAATAAACATAATTACCATATTCTCGTGGAAATGAATCAAAATTTGATATATCAGAATTGATATATGGCATTTCTTCATCATTTTCACCCTCAGCGGGTACCATTGGTGTTTCATTGTGTTTTCTTTTATTATTAAATATCCCCTACGAATAAAAATAAATAATACAATAAATATAAATTATAATGTAAGTTAAATATTTAAAAAAATATAAACTTACATTTTGATTATTTCTTAACATAGGTTCTTTTTCATCAATTTGATCAAATCTACGTCTCTTACGTCTTGACCTATCATCATCCATTAGATAGCCACCATCTCGTTTCATCACAATTCCTTTATTTCGTATAAATCTATCTCCTCTAGACCTACTGTTAAATCCCACAAAAGGTTTATGTGGGGGACCATTTGACATTTTTTGATGCCGTAGTTCCTAATTTAAGATAAAGATAATTTGTATTTACAAAATTGCTATTAAGATTAAAATGCATTGTTTGTTTCCTTAAAATTTACCATATCCCACAGAGATTCAAAATCTTTATCTTTTGCACTTTCTCCACTATGATTTTCTTTAGATAATTTAGATACAATATTTTGTTCGGTTGACTCAACAACTTCAGTATCATCTTCTTCATCAAAAATCTCTCCATCTTCAAGGTCTTCTTCAACCTCATTTTCACAATTGTTACCATTGCTAAAATAATTTATTTATTTATTTACTAAGAACTCTTATTATTATACTTTATATTTTGAAAATTCTAAAACAGTACCAGGAATATTGTGTATCAATATATTCTTCCTAATATATTTTTATTTAAGAACTTAAATAATACTATCTAGTTAAAATACATTAAGACATAATTGTTTCTCCATTAAAATAAAATTAATGTTTAAACTATAGTTAGTAGGCATGCATTGATATATTTTTATAAACAATATTGTATGAGTTAACCATGCTTTTTATTTATATAATACTACATTATATTACAAATACCAAATAAAAATTAATTTGAATATGTATTTTAATATTTTCTTAAAATTCAATGGCAAACATAATTTGTATTTTATTTTTAAGTTCAAACTGATCTCAATTAACACATCAGGAAATGCAAATAAACAAATATTCAAGAAATATATAATATTTTTAAATAAGACAAAATTAAAAACAATAAATAAGTAAAATATGATACTATTTTGAAATTTTTAAATTCCTAAAAATAAGCATAAATATACAATAGAAACTGTTTTTTTTGTCTATAATATTGAATTTTAGAAGTATATTTTAAATAAAATGTTTCTCAATGTTATAGTATTTATTGTGTTGTTATAAGAAACTGAATTTTAAAACAAAAATCAATTATCTTGGACGATAATGTTTAATAATCAATATATAAAAAATATTTAATATAATATGTACCTATACCTAATAGATCAACTTAATATTCTTTTTTTTTTTTATAAAAACGAATTACGTTAGTAATTTCCAATAGTCTATAATAATATACCTAATATTATAGGTTAGTATGATTTAAGTAACAACAATCGTTTTTTTTTTAATTAAGCTCAATTGAACTTTTATTATGCACATGAAGTACGCATACACGGGTTTTTTTTTTGTCTTTAGAACGTTTTGAAAGTATAATGCAAGAGACTCGAACTTGAGTGAATTTCCGAATGTTCGTTTAAAAGTCATTAAGGTAGTGAGGCACAAACAAAACATAATTTATTAATTATGCTTGTATCGTGTGGTGATAAAAGTAAAATGGCATGTATGTTTATACAAATCCATCGTGTACGTGTGTTTGACGAGTTTGATGGTAACTTCATAACTGAACATGTTACGAAGTTATCATCAAACGTACGTTAGTACTTAATAATTTATTAAAAATACCTATTGATATGAAAGAAATTAGAATTTATTATTAAATATTCGTTTATTAACAATAAATCGATATGCTTTTAACGAGAACGAAAATATATAATGGAAACCAACAGTTCTCTTTTACCAACTCGTAAATAAGCATATTTCAGTGCTTGAAATACTTAGGTATATACATATCACAAGTTGTAAAATCGACAGCAAAAATAAAAAATATATTGATAATATTATTGATTTATATTGATTAGAGGTATTTGCATATTCCTAAATCCTAATTATTGGCACCTATATTATGCTTACTCTGCTAACACGACTTTTCCTGTTTCGGGTTTTTGCTCGGCTTCGTCGAACATTTTCGATATTTTGTTAACAACAATAATTGTTTTAAACAAACCTATATTTTAAATGCAATACCTACTTATTTGGATCAATAAGTCTTTTTTAAACACAATAAACAAGAATATAGTTAATTGGTTTTCGACAGCAATGATAATGTGTAGGTACAATGAATTACCAATATCCTCCGTAACCCACGTAATATAAGCAAATTATTTATTATTTAAATGAACCAACATATTAAATTAAATTTAGTATACGTAGATAACACGAATATTAGTAATATGAATAATGATAATATTGTTCTATTGTTGACATATATTAAGTAGGTACACACAAATCTAAGAAAACTGATGATTAGGTACGCGGTAATCGATTGTAATGAAAGAAATGTTTAGGCGCATTAAATTAACCCACTGATAGATAAAATTGTTTCTTATACAATAATTATGTAGGAAGAATCTTATAACATTTTAAAAGACAGTGAATTAATGATAGCAAAACCAAAGTTTGTCAATTGATATACTGTAGATATCTTCTTAAAAGTAGGCAAGTAATACCTACTATATAATTCTAAAAATCAAAATTGAATGATTAACACTTCAATTAGATACTAAAAATATACCAGAAATGCAATCATAAAATCCATATTGATAACACGTACCTACTATCTACTAATGACTATATTAAATCAACTTGAGACAGGAGAGTACCCAGACATTTTTCTGAGGAAGGAAGTCTTTTTTATAAATACTTATTCAAGGCCTCAAAACGCCCTATTTTTATTTAAAACCATGATTACCTAGAAATGCTGAGGGGGTTACACTCAAAAAAACAGACCCTACCAGAAAATGCATAAATATGTGAACAAATATTTCATTAAATTTAAATAATCTATATGTACACTTTTATCAGCTGATGAATGATAATGAAAAAATAAAATAGCCATAATATTGTGATCGTAGGACGAATTTAGTGATCTCAATGCATACCTATTAAAATGCAGCTGTGGAGATATAAATGAAAGTATTAACAATGATATTTGCCATACAAATTGGGTATATATACAATTAAATAAATATTAAGTTTATAGATAATAAAAACCAACAACTAGGTACCTCCCAAGTATAAAACAATGAATACTATAATATCGCGATAATATAAAAAGTGAATTGTAATTAAACGTAATAATATAATAGAGTATGTACAGAAAACGGAGAGAACAAAGCTTCTTTAACTAAGATTTAGATAGGTAAATATTTATACTTTCACAACAAAACGGTATACACTGAAATATAAAAAAAGTAGGATATACGATGAGTCATTTTTTTTTTTAATGTAATAATATAATTAAGTAGGTATAGAAAATGAAGAGAACAAGGTTTCTGTGACTAAGATTTAGAGAGGTAAATATTTATACTTTCACAACGAAACGGGATATACTGAAATCTAAAAAAGTAGGACAAACGATGAGTCATTTTTTTTAAAATATAAATTTTAGTCATGTATTTATTTCTGAATAATATATATTGTTCAATCATAAAGGAAAAATCTGTAATAATTATTGCGAAAAAAAAAGACAAACGAAGAATGTCCGGGCAATTGGTATTTTCAAAATTATTTGTAAAAATAGGTACCTATACACATACCTAGGCATATAAAAACAAAATTTAAAGAATGAAATTGATAAATCGAAACAAACGAATATTGTCAACAATAAAACATGGTTTTTATCAGTTTTTTATATAATATTAATTATTATTATAATTTTATTAAAATACTGATACCTTAAGACACTTTGTAAGTTTAATACCATGATCATGTGGTGTATGTGTGTATGTGTATGTATAATAAAATATATCGTATGACTATCAATATTTTATTATTGTTGTAAAATGGGATCTCGGTGCAATGTATTATTATATTAGGTATAATAACAATTGCAAATGGTCCGTCAAATTTATTAAAAAGAAAATTAGAAAAAAATATTATTATTATTATTTAATTGATAATATAAGAAAATAATAATTTTGTAATGAAAAAAAAATTGGGAAAACGGATTCGCCGTGGAATATTGTTGTGATAAAAACAAAACGAATATAGTCGACAGCACAGGCGGCGGCGGCGACAACAGCGCCGATAAGCGGTAAGTAATAGAGTTCTTTGCGTCAACGAACCACGTCCCGTGTGCAGAATCGGGACGAAAATATTAACACGATTATTGCGGCATTGCGTACGCAGCTGCTGCTGTATAGTGTGTGGCAGTGTGGCGTAGTCGTAACTCGTCGACAATCCGAAACACATATCACAGAGAGAGAGAAAGTGAGCGAGCGAGCGAGGGAGTGAACAACGGTGATAAGAGGGGTATACCATTTTATTCGTCGGACCAAGCGAGGGGCGGCGTTAGAATGGGCGTGAGAGAGTGAGCGATACAGTCGAAGAGTAATGGTTATAGAGAGAGAATGAGATTGAATAGAAAAATGACACGGAGTACTCGGGTAGCGGGTATAACAGAAAGGCGAAGAGAAGTTGGGTTATCTGGCAATTTATTGGAAATAAAAAAAAGCAAAAGAGAGAAACGCGAGATGGCGATACAAGCCGAAACGGATGGAAGAGAAGAGGGGGACGCAAGTAGCACAAAAACACCATGAATATAATATAATGTATAAATCGTAAATTTATGATGACAAAAAAAAAAACAAAGATGGCGTCGTCCAATCGATGCACAACGGTATATCGACGGACGGGAACTGACGAGACTACTAGAAAATTATAATCGAATTTTTTTCGTATTTACCTTTGGCCGTTCAAAAAAAAAGTGTTTTGAGAACGATTTTGCTGCGAAACCATTAAAAAAATATAAAATCCTTGTTAAAAACTTACACATATCAAATATCCAAAAAACCCAACATTTTTTATTCCTGATACTGCTGATATATTAATAGTAGTTACGATAATCGGATACGAAGCTCATTAGTTAATTATTATTAAATTGTATATAAATATAAATAATATATATATATGTGTAAAAAAAATCGTTTCCCCTGGTAAAAGGGCTCAATTTTATTGACTTTTTCTTCATTACTGCACCTTTCATCGAGTAAATTTGGCCCGTCTATATTGGTGACAAGGGCCATTTTATTGGAAGCTGTTTCGTCGCTTTCTTTGAGGACAGATTACCAATAGTACGTCTCTTTCAGATGTATCGGATTACAAAAAATTGAATAATACGGCAAACGTAATTATGAAAATTTAACACTTTTGTACACTTAAGTTAAATAGTAATAAATAATTATATTTATACGAAGATTATTGGTCTAATGGATAATTGATGTGTATTGATATTATATTTATTATTATATTATAATATTATATTGTTTCTACTATTTATTATTAGTAATACTGTTTACTATTTAAATGCAGGCATCTTGAATATATTCGACAATAAATCGATGCACAAACATTGGGCAGCGTTCCGACTTTTACGCGGCTTCACTTAAAATGTCGGTGTTCAGTTGGACCGTCCTTGGTAGCCGTGGAATGCATTGGCCGCCGCCGCGCGCGCACATACCGCCCGTGGGCCGTGGTGGACGACGACGGCATCGTCATAATCGCTGCAATGTAGCGCCGCCGTAACCGTATCCCGGGTGGGGGGCAATACGTCGCGGTGAGACTGCGTACCGACACCTTTTTTACACGACGACCTAGGCGAGGGGGACAACGACCCGAGGGAAATCCGGTGTACCGACCGTGACGCCACGTTGCCGCACCGTTCCTCGGTTCTCGACGAACCTCGATAGAGGGCACCACACAATACAAATTATGAATTGGTCTGAGGGGATTTTTGAATTTTTCGTCGTCCGTCAAATAATAATAATAATAATATTATACAATAAATAATAATATTATTATTGTTACACTTATATTTGGAAAAAAACCATATAGGTAACACAACCTAACCACTAAAATCAAATGGATCGTAGACTCGTGTACAACTCATACTCTATGGTACAACCACTACAACCAGTCAACTACAGACTGGCAGTTTACGAAAACATGTCTACCAATATGTTTTCCATTTTTCTGCCACAAAAACCTACTTACACAGCTGCCGCCGTGGCAAGACTGTACTGTATTGTCTACCACCAGGTAGCAATACCAATATACCAATAATTACTATACTAATTACCACGGTTTAAGATATCTTAAATTGTGAAAATCTTAAAATACATAATATTTATTTAGATAAATTCCTACCATAGATATAAAACATGTGAATGTGGTAATGATATAATTAACATGGTGTAACAACAGAGTTTTGCATAGCATAGATGTATATAAAAATGTATTAAATATATCTATGACGCATGGTATTACGTTATCCGGTTCGTCATCTGTTATAATATGTTGTTATCACTTATTATTTATTTTATAGTAATTTTGTCTGGACATTGGATTGTCAAGTGTTCAACAATTGTAAGTTTTACATTATTTTTTATTTATATTTTTTAATAACTTTTGTGTTTGTAATTAAATATGAATTGTACTTACCTTGTCTAGTTGAATAAGTTAAATTAGTAATTTAGTAATTAATCCATTAATAATATTATTTGTGAACATACTAGATAAAAATTTTATTTCAAGATGTTGGTTGTTATTATTATTTTCAAATAACTTAATGGTATCTTGTTGTAATTTTATTTTGTTTTTCAAAGTGACATTTAATTCTTTTTCTTTTGTTTAATTAAAATGTATCTCCAATAAAACAGTTTGTAATCTAAAAGTGAATTGTGTATATTATTTACTAAACAAAATTTGTATTCTTTACTGTAAGACTTCAGTTCCATTATTATTACACTGTAAACTAGCATCAATAAGTTATATTTTATTGGTTTAAGTACTTACATTGGTATAAATAATACAGTTGTCTTCAGTGTTGACAATTTCAATTTCTTCGATAATAAAGTTGCAAGTAAGCTGCCATTATTCAATTTAATCTCTGTCTATAATTAATTGATTTGTTAAATTTAATTGTATAAAGACACACATTTTATTTTATTATTTTAAATTGTTGCTGAAATCCATATTTAAATTGTTATCAATATTAAAGTTAAGCTGCTTAAAAATATTATGTTCTTCAGAATTCCTCATTAAATCAAAAAAACAAATAAGAATATTATGTATAAAATATAAAATAAAAGTATGATTTTCATAATATAATAAATACATTTTTTTTTTATTTATTACATACATTTTAAACCATTATGTTAGAAGATGGTTCTACGGTCAATTGTGGAGTCATTAATGATTTTGACCAGCTAGAAGTTTGAAGACTATTAAAACATTGGTTACATGGAAGTAAATAATTAATTTTGTTAAACAGTAGAAACAAAAACCATATTTGTATTATAATAAATGTGAAAAATACCACTTTTACAGATGGTACAGCATCAAGTTTTTATGAACTTTTTGGTTTTTATCCCACCATTTTTTAAATTAGTGGCTTATAATAGTCACTACTATGAAAATATCGAGAACATATTCTTTCTGAATAGTTAGTAACACAAATATAAAATAATTATACATTACCTACTCACCAGTATATACATTTATACTGTCAATTCATCCACAGGATTGATTTAACCAACTTTTTCTGTACACTTAACTCTTTAGGAAATCTATGTAACATAATTTTTTTATCAGGAGATTTAGATCCCTTACAAGTTACTATTACACATTTAGACATATTAGGAGTCAGTGAATTTGTATAGGTATAATAAATAAATTAAATACAACTTGACAATGGTAATAATCAGATATATTTAATCAGAATAAAGAATAAAACAAAATACAATGTATATTATAAAAACATATAATGCAACATAAATATAAATTTTAAGTATTAACTAATGAATAGTATTATACAGAGTGATTCTTAAATCACATAATACTTATTATTTCATAAAGTATTGCATTGCAGAACATTTTTCGGAGTATCTCTTTAAATAAAAATCTAATTTTGAAAAAGTAGCTTTTGAGTTATACCTACTTAGTAGTAGTTATAATTATGACTCTATGGAAATGCACTTTGTTAAATTAGGGATATTATACAGGATTATTCCGTATTTGAGACAAGCGTCACGGTGTCCTGACCAAATGTTCTAAACAACACTTGTCTTGTATTTTGAATTATCCATCCCATATGTCAAATTTTTTTGATTAATAGTTTCTAGTTGACAGTTATGTCAAATAATTTTATTTGCTAAATATATTTTGATTAAATAAATTGATATTGATTGTCACAATTACTAAGAAGATCTGAACTTTAGTTTAGTTTCTTTGTCTAGCAGTAGCTGCGTGATATGAGATTGGATAGTATCATTGTAGACAAATAACATTTTTGAATTATGTTAACATATTAATATGTTAATTTGATTTCAACATTATTTTTCGAACAAAAAATGACGTAAAAAGTAAACACTTTTATTTTGATTAGATAACTTGGTTTATGAACTAATTTTGAGGGCTACGTCGTTAATTTCACAGCCCTCCTCCCACCACATGATGCAATATATATAAATTTTAAGTGCGATTTAAAATGTTCCGTATTTATAATAAATAAATCTGGGATAGTAAAAAAGTAAGTGTTGTGTGATGAAAAAAATCACTCTGTATATGTAAACAATGTACATATAAATATAGCAGTTTTATTTTAATAAATTATAATATTGTCACCATTTTTTGATTTTAAATATATTTTGGACCAATTGACGTCATATTTCATGGCATAATCGAAACAATTTTGCTGACGGACTTACTTTCTTGAAAAAAATTAACACATTTGTTTAAAAAAAAAGCTGATACTGGGGATTGGTTCAGCCACCGTTGTAGGTGAGAAGTTGAGATTTTGGGAAGGTATGATACATAAAGTTATTTAATTTAAATTTGTACGTAACGATAAACCATTTAAACGAAAAGCGATTTGGAGCGCAATTCTGAAACAAGAATTCAGCTCGGTTAATAATAGGTATTAGTGTATTACGATGGTTAATTGTTGCATACAAATTTAATTTAAATAACGATGTCAACAACAGTGACTGAACCTGTCCCCAATATCAGCTCTTTTTTAAAACAAAATCGGTAATTTTTTTTAATAAAATAAGTTCGTCTGTGAAATGGTTTCGGCGAAGTGTCCTAGACCCTGGCATAGTTGATAAAATATTGTTTATTCGATTAACTCTCAGTAGGATTTCATTTTTGTTGAAGTTACTTTCATACCATGTTAATTATATCAACTAAAACGAGCTTAATGATTTGACTGGCGGAGTAGGGTGTGTAATAAATTGCATATCCATTCTATCACGGCCTATTTTTTTTATAGACTATTCTATAAAATATATTGACAAAGTTTGTAAAGAGTACACTAGATAGTGTTAGTAACCTTGCTAAAAGTGAGGTTACAGCTTCACTTATCACACGTTGGTTCGATATTCTGTGTATATTAAGAGAGGGGCTATATTGTAACCGAAAATATTTAATCCGTCAAATCCCCCTCCACTAAAGTTTAATAATAAATATTGTTATTATTTTTTTTTGATAAGAACGCGTGTAGAAGTATCTTGAGAGTAATATGCACATTCACCACTAGGGCATTCTACTAAACCTCATCTGCAGTCCATATGCGCAATTCCCGACGCTTTTGGTTGTAGTGGAGAGGGATTTGTCGGCTTAAATACTTATTGGTTAAATTACTGTCAGCTAAAATACGGTTCGGCTTTTTTACGTACTCCCTCTTGCCACTATGTATATAGAGCTATTAGTATAAAATTATTTCGCTCACGCTATCTAGTGTTCAACTAAATTAATATAGTTTTTACTAGTATTTCATTCAGAGTTTTTACCATAAACCTGATAATGATTATAGGCTATGGTTTTTAGTTTTCAGAAAATTGATAAGAAATCAGTCACAAATTTTTTTTTAAATTATACGGTTTATTTTCAACTGCAACCGATCTTTCCTGAAGTATCATATGATACAATTCGTGTGTTCCTAAATCAATCTGCAAACCCAGCGGATTTAATCACCAATATTTTATTCTTACAATTTTTATCGAGTTTCGAGATTTAGAAGTATAAAGTATAAACTATAAAAACATTTGACTAAAATTTACAATAAAATGTAATATAGGTATACATACCAAGATCAAATGATATATAAATCGTGTCAGTATCTTAATGTTTTATAAAATGTATGTAAATAAGTTATAGTGTTGTACCAATTAAAGGTTCTTTAACGTATAATGCTTTTCACTTTTCTTTATTACCTACCCGACAATTCGAGGGTTATTTTCGATTGAAATTGTCCGAGTGAGCGCAGCGAGCGAGTGACCACCTTGGGTCTCTAGTTTCACCTATGCTTTTATAATTTTCTCTACTACTTATCTGACGTGGTTTTGCACAAGACATAATTCATAGAAAAAAAAACATTGTAAAACCAATACGCATTCCTCACTTTACTCACAATCTAAAATTGTATCTATTTTTCTACTAGTAATAGTTTTAATATCAACTTTTCAAAAGATGAAATTTTAAATTATTTATACATGCTCATTTGATAACAATATGGTCGAGTATCTACGAGTATCTAGCCCAACCATGGTCGTGTACTTGTGTGTCTACTATCACCCCAACTGGTCGGGTATTTATACTCAGCATGAATTAAATAATATATGCTTTTATCATAGAAAATATAACTCAAAATTTGCACGTTCTTTCAAAATGTTCAATTTTTGTTCAAAATATCGACATTCAAACTTCATAGTTTTCTAATTCAACCTTTTCTGAATAAAAATAATAATAGTAAATTTACAAGTTGTTAATCAGTAGGTTTAGGAGTTTCGGTTAAAATACGTGCGTTTTATTTTCGGCTTAAATATGGTTGGTTGAAATATTTCCGTTTGTTTTATAGCTCCCGCCCTATGTGTAAACACTTCATTCTACTATACCAGTAACAATTAAACATTCATAAAATTATGTTGAAGCTAGTCAACAAGGTTATTCTGTACTTGTTAGAATAATTTATTAACAATACGTTTGGCTTAAATATAAAAGTATCAAGAGATGTATCAAAAATATCTAAAGTAGGGTAGACTATAATATAATCCACAAAGGACTATAAATATTATTGAAATAATTTGTAAATATTATTTACAATTTTCTAAGCTCTAAATAAAAATTAGTCATTACCACTTTAAACTTAAAATATGGAATATCTACATAAAAACATCGTGTTTACTCGAATAAAAGAACGGAATTAGAAAATGAATTTGAGCTATAAGCTCAATGTAACAGGAAAGAGACCAAAAGAAGGACCAAAAATTGTTGCATAGACGGAATAATCGCGAGGAATGGAAGAAAATGGTGGGGTACACCAACAAATTTTGAAGAGTTGTGATGCCAGAAAAGTAGTATAAACTCAGGACATAAAGTATTTATTAATAAATCATATACAAACATAACGCCAGTCAACTGACGTCTCAATAAATATCTCTAGAAATGGGTACATAGTCATACGAGCAATTTTACTTAAATTTTTAAACTGGATATTCATTCATGCAAGTACATTTTTTCCCACGATTTTAAACCAAAATTAGAAATATAGATATGATAGCAATGGATATACACTATATACATATTTTTCAATGTACTAATAAATATAACACATTCTATTTATAATACAAGTATATAATTATTTATTACCTATTAATATAATTTCCGATAGCGAATATATAGGTTTAATAACATGAAATATAAATTAATATATTCAAGATTATAATATTAAGGTTAGTATTCATTTTTAATCGTGTTCATCTTCTTATCTTCTGTATCTACTATGTCTTCTTCAACTTTTGGCTTCTAATAAATAGTAATGAAATGTGTATGTTAATGCAATATAAATGATTAGCTATACTATTAGTAATTTTTAATTGGGGACCAACTGAATGAAAACCCATATTTTATTTTATTATAAAGTATAAGTATATTTATCTAAAAAAAAAATAATGTTCATATAATATGTATAGGTAAGTAGAAAATAAAATAAATTTTGGTATTTATGATAAAAAATAAGTGTATTCTCTTACAGAAACAGGGCTGGTTTGAGGGAGGTGCAAGCTATGCATTCGCATAGAACCCTCGGCGGAAATCGTGTAAGGGCTTGAGGAGTCTAAGCCAGTTTAAATCGTATTAACAGAGAAATTAGTCACCTTTAAATTAATAATTACTAATTTGAAGAGGGCTAATTTTTAGTTTATAAGTTTTGAGTAGGTTTTGATCCCTCAAGCCCCCCCCCTTTCTATTTCGACAAATACACAGAACTAAGTGCTTTTAGAGGCACAATCATAACTAGTAATTTCACATGATTAATTAAGAAAACACAAATTAAAATTAATGGACTAAGAAGGATTGTATTGTTAACATACCCTTTGTATTAATAGGTGAAAAAGCAAAAAAAGGTTTATTAAGATCTCGTAAAAATGGCCTGGCCTCAATATTTCTAAGTAAGTCCTTCATACTACTTGAATATACTTGAGAAGATAACGAGAATAATAGAAAATTTGGAAGAAAGAATAAGAGATTACCTACCTATACAGCAGATAAACTTAAAAATTTAAACATCTATATGGCATATTGTTTTTTTTTCTCGTCTGTAAACAACTTTTCGAAAAGAAATCTTGCTCCGATGTATTGAGTTTAGTACCTTTTCAAAAAAGGCATTTTTATTAGTGCATTGAGAAGGTCATTTTTTGATTTTCCAAAGGGAAAATTCCAAAACAATTCATCAACATTTGATTTTAACTCTTATAAAAAAAAAAATTATATTAGGCTCAAATTTTTTTTTTTTGACCATTAATTAAGACTTATAATGAACATCCTACCAAATTTTCAAGCATGTATAAAAAAATATAAGTTAAAATCAAAACATAAGCTGTAAAAATTTAAAACAATAGAATTCTAGCATCTTAAATTTAACAATTTTCTTTTTTGTCATTTTCCGGTTTTTCTCAATTATTACAAAAACGACCAAGAAAATCAAAACGGGTACAAATTAAAGTTGTACTTTATTGACCTCTACAAAGTGGATCCAGAGGAAGATCAATCACACTCATTCTTCAATATATTTTTAGCTTGTTTCATTATAAATGTGTCTTATATACATTTTCAAAATCATCCCTTCCCAGTTATTTTACATTGACCTTATCAAGTTCCGACTTGTAAACAATTTATAGAGAACATTACTCTAAGTTAAAAAAGATGGAGTTTTCAATTCTTCACCTAAGATAATGTTCTTCTAAATTAATTTTATAATAATAGTTAATAACATATATGTACACAATTTCACCTTTGTCTAACCCAATTTCTTTTTTAAGATTTTATAAAAGTTGTTATTTTATTATAAAATAAGATACTACCTATATTTTTAATTAAATCAATTACTTACCTTCTATAGTATATTGCATATTTCCTATTTAGGGTCTCCTACAGTGTTAATTTTATATTAATGATTCTGTTAATATTCATTTTTTTTTTCAGTTGGGTTTTGTACTAAAGGGACACATGCAGAGAAAAATTATATTTTTATTAGATTTTGAGCAGAGCAAGTCATGTTTTAGTTTTACAATGTTTTTTTTTTTTTTTTATGTGAAAAACTTTTTTACCAGCAATTTTGCTTCAATTTACAATGGTACAACTTTTTCTGAAAGAGAATATCTAACTGAGGTGGTACTTAGGAAAGATATTACTTAGTAGTAGTATAATTACTTACTAAAGTAACTTACAAAAAACTAGAAAATTGGTACAATATTTAACAAATATTATTCAAAAAAAATATATAATGCATTATTTTACTATAATATGAGATATATATTTTTGTCAAAGCAACACTATTAATTAAACTGTGTTTAGAATCGTGTTTTGTTAGCAATAGTTAATTGTTGCGCATAGGTATACATTGAATTTTCCCTCTACTTTCCCAACTTCTCACCTGCAACAGTGGCCCACCCACGTGGGAAGTATGGTTGTCTTTTTCAATCTCGTAATTATTGAAAAAAATAAATTTGTATTTTATCAATTTTCAAATAAACCATTTTGAAAAATACATTATTTTAAAAATTATATGAACATCATATATTCATATCCGATTAATACTTTCTTAGTTATAGTGGCTTTCATGTATAGATAATAGGTGTGTAAACAATTAATATTTAATAAAAAAATAAGGAATTATCATGTTGATTGTGATTCCTTATTGCATAATTAGGGGTAAAAATAAATATTTAAATTCTCTCTACATATGTGTCCTTCTCGTACAAATTCTAATTGAAAAAAAATAAAGAATATTGACAGAGTTGTTGGCATTAGATAATAACAGTTTAGGACACTTTGTATAATAGCTATTCAATAATGTAAAATAATGTAAACCTAAAAATATAATGATGAACAGATATAAAATAATACCTCCTTGTAAACTGTAGAATGTTGATAAAATACCATACTAATTCCTGCATGCCAACATTGTTTTAAGACTGGATCTACCAACCATCGTTTGTCTGTACTATGATGCCAACAAGAAAGATCATTTGTACAATCACTATCCACAGGGGGCGGTTTTGTTTGAATATTATTAATGCAACGTTTACATTTTATTCTATAAAAAGTATATATATTAATACAATGTATAAGTTAAAAAATAAAAAATAATTATATTTACTTGTCATGTGTATCACTTATAGTGTCTTGTCTGAGATTAAATAATGTACGTAGTTCTGAAACGGTAAAATGTCGAGCTACATCTTCTTCACAATCAACTACACTAGAACTTAAGGCTTTTTTATGTGCCTGCCTTTGCATCATTTTTTCTTCAATACTTCCAGTCTAAAATATATATATATATATATATATATATATATATATATATATATACAGAGTAATTCACTAAGTGTACTCAAATCATTTTTTTTGGTTAAATTTTGCATATATTCAAATTTTGATTTTCGGAATTTTTAAGTGTAGTTAAAGCCGATATTTTTGAATATTTTGAATTTTCACAACATTTAAAGAGTATCCTGTGGTGATACCAACTTTGGTTTTTCAAATGAGAACCTATATTAAAAATTCCATAAATAGACTGAGTATTACTTCAAATTAATTTTGGTGTCGACATTTTTGATTTCCATTAACCCATTAACGAGATATTCAACTTTTAAATTTAGGTTGGAGGCTTTAACTACACGTAAAATTACAAAAATCATAATTTAAATATATGCAAAATTGAATCAAAAAAATAGGTTGAGCATGCTTAGTGAATCACCTTGTATATATAGATGTATAATAATTTGACAAAAATGAATTAATAGATACTTAAAACATTTTTAGACTTACAGCTAAAAATCGATAAACAAAACAAGGTTTTTTTTGTCCATCTCTCCATACCCTAGCCATTGCTTGATCATCATTAGCAGGATTCCAATCAGGATCAAACATTACTAATCTATTTGCACCAATCAAATTTAAACCACAACCTCCAGCTTTTGAACTTAACATAAACAAAAATGTACCACTAGTAGGGTTATTAATAGCATCGACAGCCTGTAAAAAATCAAAATAATAATTATTAAAAAATGTAGTTAGACTTGTTCAGATTTCTATGTGTAGCACCTTTTCTGAAAGGAAATTGGTGTGGGGAGGTACAATAGGGAAGTCTGATTTTCTCAAGCATTTTCTCATCAAATGAAAAGAAAATTTACGAAATATAATAAATATAATCTTACGATTAATTTCTGTGAACAACTTTTCTACCAGCAATTTTGCTCCAACTTCTAATGATAGCAATGTTTCTTAAAGAAAATTTCACTAGGGAGGTACTTTAAAAATGTTGTTTTTCGATTTTCTCGAAAGTTTTCCCAGCAAATGTGAAAAACAAGGATAAAACATGGAAAAATCGAGAAAAACATTGGAAAACTGGGAAAATCGGTACAACATTAAACAAATATTATTAAAGATAACACATAAGGGCTATTTAATTATTTTACTATAAAATGACATATATATTGTTGACAAAGCATCACTATCAACTGAACTCTGCTCAAAATCGTTCTTTCGTACGCAATGGTTTATTGTTGCTTACAGGTATACATTAAATTTTCTATAATAGTGGCTGCACTCGTCCCCATAATCCTAGGACGTCTTTTTTATTATAATATTTTTTGACAAACATATTTTAGTTAATTTACTTTTTAAATTAATTAATCAAATATAAACTGTAAAGAAAACAATTGTATTCATAATTATTATTTTGAAGATAATTAACCCTCATTCTACATTTTTAACTTTTCGTTATTTTTGTTAATTAATAACAGGATACATTTTTTTTTTGGTTAAACATTTTTTATGATATTAAATTTTAATTAAAGTATGTAATAAACAAAATTTAAGCACAGATAATATTAAAAATATTTATATTAAATTCATTTTTTTTGAAACATCCCTCTATGCTGTAAAAAAAGCAAAAACAAGATAAGTACCAATGAAATTGCTGTTTAATTCTTAAGTCCATTTTATTGATTATAACTGATCAAAAAGATTAACAAATTAAGATATTTTTTTAAATAATTGTTTTGTATTTAAATAATCAATTATTTATTTATTTAAAAAGTATTTCTCAGGCTAGCATGGATATAGAATAATAATAATAGTTTTACTAATTATCTATTTATTAAATTTAATAGTATAAATATAATACTAATACATACTTTTGATCTTTTCTTAGCAGTCATGGATCCATCTAATCTAACAAATGAATAATTTCGTAAACGAGCAAGTCTTTCAAATAACTCTAATGTCTGAGTATAATTAGAAATTAAAACTACTCGGTCAGTGGTAGTTGTTTTTATAACAGCTAACATTGTGTCAAGAACCATTAATTTAGATGATAATTCTATTATAAGTTTTTTCCTGAAAAATCATATTGTATAATAAAAAATAACTTTTGATAATAGCTCTACTTTATTAAGTATTATAAGTTTGATTATTATTAAGTTTAAATTTTAAATATTAATTCTTTAAATTACTTAGATATTGCTTCAATGTATGATGGAGGTAATAAATGCTTTGAATTTTCAAATCCATCACTCCCAGTCATTATTTTATCTATAATTAGATCTGGATGAGCACATAATTTTTTAAGTAATGTAATAGCAGCTAATGCATTACTGGTAACTTTTCCGTCATTACCTGTAAATATATAAAATATATATAATATTTATTGATATTGTAGAAATTAACTGGATTGAAAATATGATCATACTCTTAATAGATTTTGTAATCATATCAGATTTAAGCAGATGAAGGTATAAATCAGTTTGTAGAGGTGTCAACTTTATGCAAACAACATGTTCAGTTTTAACAGGTAAGTATTTAGAAAGCAATGCCGAAGTACGTCTAATAAGACACCTATTTACTAATGAAATCAATTGTTCCAAACGTTCTGTTGCCTTTTTGTGTTCTGCATCTGTAGCACAAGAATCCTGACCTCGTGCAATAGGTGTTTCGTATTGACGACGAAATTCTTGAGCAGTTCCTAGGATGCCTTCATTAACAAAATGAACAAGACTGAAATATTCAAGCAAGTCATTTTGAATAGGTGTGCCTGATAATAAAACTCTTCGTTTTGCTTTTAAAGCCATTAATGCACGGTATGTTTGATTCTCACAATTTTTTAACCTATGTCCCTAAATATGTAATATTGTTTATTAGTTTATTTGAGTAATATAATTCAATTTTAATTGATTGTAGAATAAGTAAGATAGGGATTTTTTTTTACCTCATCACATAATACAAGACCAATATCTTCTGCTTTTTGTAATAAACTTGCATGACTACGAAAAGTTTCATAAGATATAACTAAAATTGGATCGATAATTCGACGTCCTTTGGCTTGTACAAACCCAGTGATGACTTTATCAACTTGGTCTTTGCCCCCTCCATCTACAGGTAAAGCTCCAATACGGCCGCCAAGCCATTTTTGTACTTCATTACACCAGTTCTAAAATAAAATGTACTATTTAAATATGAATTAGCTGAATAATCAAAATATTTATTTATCTTTATCTTCTATTGGACTGGAGAATGAATAAAGGTCTATTCCTACATGTCTATAACAGGATTAGACTATTGGAACAGTATCAAATACTGTCAGGGTATAAGTTTTTAGGATATGTTGGTGTGATGCAAATGTTATTCATATTCAATAATTTAATAATGTAATATATATATATTAGCTGAATTACCAGGTATTTTCCTGGGTCAATCCTTTCAAAAACAGAAATTCAATTTAATATTATAATATAATTAATATAATTCAATATTCTTGTTTTCATCCTTATCTTAATCACAATCAATTGTACAGTAATTTATCTTTTAAAAAGAGTAATTCTTTGTTAATAACAACTAAATTAACTAATAATAAGGGCAAGGTAGTCTTTAAATCGACAAAAAAATTAAATTTTTATTCCAAAAGTTAGATCTAAAAATGCTGAATTTCAAGATAAAAAGTAGATATCGATCTTTCTTTGGTTTTGAATAACAAGTGAGTTTCATCAAGATTGAAATTAACTGTAGATTTTAATAGCAGAAAAACAGACAAAATTTGAGTTGTATATATTAGACAGGCAGGGAAAACATATATAACAATTTCAATACAATTTTAAATACTTTTTAAAAATATATTAATAATATTAATAAACTAGTGAACAAAAATGTATTTCATCATGACAAAAAGTTACTTAAATAATATTATAATAATAACTGTATATGTATATTTTTATCGAAAACTTGTCCAAGTCTAACAAAGAAATAATGTCAAAGACCATAATTTATTTGCTAAATACTATCCCCTGTATATGTGAAAATACTTCCATATAAATGTATGGAAAAGATACTTTTTATTTCTAGCTGCCTGGACAAGTAGGAATAGATCTTAAATTAAATCAGTAATTCCAGAGACTAATGTAGTGTAACAGGTGATTTTCGACAACTCCCCACCCATTATTTTGTTTAATATGTAATATGCATTAGATACTATCTAAAGTTCAATAGGTAATTAAATACAAATATTTGTTAGTTTTTCAATCTGGAAATTGGTATATAACTTATTCTTATCAAGTATTAATTAATATTTATTAAATTATAAATATATAAAATATATTAATTAGGTAATAAACAAAATGTATTAATACATTAAATTAGTACTGTATAATAAAAATATTAATCAAATAAATGCATTACTTGAGAGTTCAATTCATGTAAATAAGTACCTTCACTAAAGAGCTGGGTGTAACAATAATAGCTTTATTAATAGTAGGTGAAGCTTCTGGTCCTTGTTTTAAAAGTGTCCACATTAAAGTAATACATTGTAAAGTTTTACCCAATCCCATTTCATCTGCCATAATACATCCATAACCTCCTTCTATACGTACTCCAGTAACACATTCATACATAAATTTCACACCCTAAAAAAAAAATAATATAAATATTATAAAAATAACCCTAGATTTTAATCTATAAGAAGAAAATATGAAACAATTTTTGATTAGTACCAATGTATTTTTGTACACTTTTGAAATAATATATATTAAGTTGATTTGATTATCTAAACTAAATATTTTAATTAGAATAATACTATATTAATTTTTAAATGTTATGATAACGAAAATTATTTTGAGTTACAAACAGCAATAGTAAAAAATTGTACTTTTGTAAGTATATTTTAAAGTTATCTCAATTTTAACATTTTTATTTATACCATACATTTTATTTTAAATATTATGTTTTAAAAATAAATCAAATTAATATTTATTATTATTTATATTTGTTTTCCATTATTTAATAACAAACTAACTTCTCTTTGATGCGGTCTAAGTATTTTCGACAAAATTGGATCAACGACAACATGAACAAGTATTTTATTTCTGAAAAATTAAAACATTAATAGATATTTATCTAACAGTTAAACACAATATAACATACTTATCTATTTTTAAAATATCATGGGTACTAATTTGAGGAGGTATATATAAAATAAGGGCATCAGGAGCAGTGGGATCATGTAAAGGGCGACGTGTACCATCACGGCGAATTCCTAAAGCTCTGCTGAAACTACTACCACTCCAATTTGCTATTGGTACTTTAAAAGGTTTTGATAATATATTTCTAATATTTTGTTCCTAAAAATTCTCAAACAATTTTCTCATAGATTATTTTTATAATTTATTGTAGTTATATACTAACATATAAGGAAATTGTTCCTGGAGATTTTTCGTCTTGATCTTCATTAGAATTTTCTTCTAATTTCTGGGTTTCTCCATTATATTTCTTATATATTCTTTTAGGATGATTTGAAAGAGTCAAAGGTCTTTTATTAATTTGACTTGGAGCTGAACTCCGTCGCTAATTAAGCAATTTTATTTTAATTTACAATATGTTTATTAAAATAGGTCACTGGACAAATATAAAAAATATTCATGAATTAATTTTTAACCAATATAAAAAACAAATTGTATTTTGTTTTTAAATCAAGGATATTAAACTTTATTTTAGCATTTTGGTTCTTATTGATAAATTGAGTATTGTGTTAGCTATTTTTTAATATTCCTTGTACTTTTTTAAATAATTGGGAAAATCAATAAAAGTATTGTGGGTATGTTTACTCAACACTATTTTCAAACAATCAATTTATATATTTCATTGTTAGTAATTCAGCCAGAAATTTATAATACTAATATTTCCCGGTTTTAAGAAAAAACTAATATTATTTGATTTCAACATTTGCTTCAAATAATAACTATAATTAAGAGATAACTATAAGATTTTTAACTATTATGAGATAAAACCGCATATATATAATTCTTTTATATATACCTATATACCTAGTATCCAAATTAGTTGTTACTTGTATGTTTTATAATAATTTTTTTTATGATTAAAAAATAATAATAACACATTTTTCTTTTTTAAAATAATAAATACAAATAGAACATTTTTTTTTTTAATACATATAAATTATATAACTATCTAATATAATTAAATCATATTTTTAATCTAATTTATTTGCTATTTTTTCTATTCGTCCTTTATGAAATTATGACAACCCTAATCGTATTAGTTATTATCATTTTATAATCTTTTAGTTTAACATTTTAAATATAGGTATTATTTTAACATCCAAGTCATTATAAGTATACAATTCAGATTAATAAAAAATTAACTAACAATACTTACCATTTTGTATACTATTGTATTACACCAAACGATTACTAATTTCCAATTCACAAAAAAGATATTTGATTTTGAAATTTAAATTATGGATTTTAGATGCATTTTAATACAAGTACCTATAATATTTTAAATAAAAATATAATAAATAATTAAGTTTATAAAAACTAAAAAAATAGCATACTATAAATAATTAGAAATGTATAACATTTAAATAATTTAAACCATTTAAATAAATGGTCTGAGTAACTTTTTGATAATTTTACTTTACTTTTTATAATAACATGTCGAAAATATTTTTATTTTTACATTATTCAAACAATTTAAATAACTTACTGTCAATAAATAAGGGCGATTTTATCTGGCTAGATTATATTATAAATCCATATGTTCGTATAATAACATAAAACATTCCAGACAAACTGAGGTAATACATTTTTGTTAAGTACCTAATTAGTAGTTAATAATTAAAATCATAATGGATTATATTGTATATTGATTATATGTTTAAGTTTTGTCTTGATTTCGATAACTGATACTGTAATACAATGATAATTGATAAATTTTATATTTTCCCGCGCTAAGGTGTAATATGATAAATTCAACTGATATTGAAATCAAAGTTTATATTATTATCAATGCATACGAATATATCAGAACTGTTATGTCTGATATGATTGTTATTTAAAAATGTTTAAATCTAATTCATGACTACTTTATGAGTATTTACTTATTTTTGTGTATTCTTACATAATAATCCATATGTGGTGGTGAATTTATTTCTATTCTTATAAATTAATATTAAAAATAAAATGGACCACTCAAATATTAATCTATCATCAAAAACACTTGCAAATATTTTTGAACTTATTAAAATGATGACTGGATTAAAGGTTTAAAATATTATTTACACTCTAAACATTGTTAAAAATAAGTATTTATCTGTTTAATTTTTTTTTAGAATTTCAATGATATTTATTTGAAATATGTTCATATATTAAATAATTTGCGTGATATTTACTATGAACACCCAAAAAAGTTAGATGTTGAAAATTCTGTAAAGGGTCTCCTAGAGAAATATTATGTTCAAGGATTCCCATTAGAAGCTAAAGAATTTAAAATGCGTGTTTACCAATTCATTAACCATTCAAATATTAATTGTGATTTGAAAGTACCTAAATTAGTATTTTTAAATTATTTCTTTATTTAAACTTCAAAAGATTTTTCATTTAATTTATTGTATTTATTTCTTATAATATTAGTATTAAATATTGTTTAGCTATCACCAGATGTTGTAAAATGGGCAATTATAGGTATGATTATCAATATGGCTAGTAATCCTTGTGGTCCAAGAAATGCTTTACGTAAAAGTGATTTAGATACTGTCAGAATGGAACTCGAAGGCGAAGATGCAATACATGATGATTTATGGAAAGCCATTATTATAAAAGAGTTACTTGACATTGGGAAGACTCCTGTAAGTATACATCATATATTGTATCAGAAAATATGTAAAACATATATGTTTATAAAAAAAATGGTTGTTAAAATACATTGTTCACTTATAGAACTATACTGAGTCTGATTATGAAACAGATTTTGAAGATGAAACTGATTTTATCTCAACAGATGTAATTTCACTTGAGAATATGACTTTAAATGGCATAGAAGATAAAAATAATAATCATCTTTCTAAAAGAGATTATCTTAAATTAGTATTTTCTAATGAATATAAAGCTAAAAATGTATTAATAAAACGTGCTTCTCAATTTTGGTGGCTAAATAAATCTGAAACGTATATTAATAGTGGACTAGATTCTTCTCATTTTGCCTTAAAAAGGTAATATAACACAAATATAATTTTAATTATACATTATTATTATTATTATTGATTTTTAGGTATCCAAATAACCAAATATTTAAAATTGTAAAAGACAATTTTATTATTCTTGAATGTTTAAATAACCATATAATATCATCTTATATTCTTCAGCATAGTTTAGAAGAACAACTACAAACATTTGGAAATATGACTATTTTAGCATCAATATCGCCTGTAGGTTTTAAAAAATAAAATGTTTTTAAACTATGTTATACCTTAGACAAAATTATTTAGAACTAACAACTAATTATTATTGTTACATTTTAGGACGTTTTCAATGAATGGATTTTAACTATTTCACCTTTTTTTAATAAATTTACTGATCTTATAAAATTTGTACAGCATTTAAAATGTCTTAAAAAAATACCATATACATTAAGAGCATATGCCAAAGGGTTAGAACAAATTTTAGAACCAATAATTAAAACAATGGGTTTAATTGAAAATAGACTAAAAAATTTAGGTAAATTATTTTTATTTGTAAGCAAAATAAAAGTTAACATAATATGTTTATTATAGTTGGACACAGCACACTATTATCATTTGAGGAAGAAATGTATAATCATTTTCAAATTATTTCATATGTTTATTCTTTACATACTAAAGCTTTAATTTCAAATTGGGAAACTACTGATAACTGGAAAACTTCAATTAAGTAAACTTTACAATTCTATTATTAAACAAATTCTTTGTCCAAAAGTATTTTCAATAATATAACTCAATTTTAGGTTAATATCTGTGTTGTTTTGGTCAATTCAAACAGCTATTATTGATTATCAAAAATCTGTTTTAATGGTATTGTTCTTATACACATTTGAACCTTATGTACATATGACAGAATTGTGGATTCATGCTGGACAGTTGGTTGACGAAAACAAGGAATTTATTATATCTAATTATGAAGGAGATAATAGTACAACTTTTTATATTTTTTTTAATGATATATGCGGTTATTTAGAAGATTGTAACTTGAATGTACCACCAATTTTAGAATATTTAATACATGTTTTAAATAACTGTGATTGGAAAGTGTTTGTTGCGTCACAGATGAGCAGTGATGATATTAATTTATGCACAGTTCCTAGAGGTTTGTGGCCTATTATTTTTATGTTTATATTAATTATTAAAAATATAACAATTAAATACATTTAGGCGAATTATTTCATAATTTTTTAAAAGAAATACAAAATTCTAACAATTTCTGGGAAAATTACATTACCACATTTAATGAATATAATCCATCCATATGGAATCAGTTGCCATTGCTAGCATCATCTTGTGTCAGTTATAAGTAAATATTTCTTAAATAAATATTGTTCAGAAATATTTTATACAGTTGTATTATTTAAATGTGTTTTTAGCTCCCCGTTAAACCTATAAACACTGTAAGTTGTTATGTTTATATACATATAAAACAATAAAACATCAGATTAAAAGTAAAACTTAAACACAAATTTTTTTTATACAAATTTAATTTTAACTTAAACAATTTAATTGTGTAATATATCTGGTGTTTTATTTTTCAAGGTAAGGCTACACTACTGTGTTAAAATATGATGTGGTCACAATAAAATTTTGCTCATGGTTTTATACTGTTAAACCTAGGTTATAGTAAAAGTACGAATACCAGTTAAATATAGGATTTACCGGTTAATCCTAGGTTGTTTTGCCAACTATTGTTGGTAAATGTCCGGAAATTTGGTAGTAGTAGGTTTAACTGGTATTCGTACTTTTACCGTAACATAGCGCTATTATTATTACCATTACCGTAGAAGTAGAGTACATACCTTTAATATTTTTAAAATTTTGCTAATTTAAATTTATTTAAAAATGTATCTTTTCATCTATAGATTAATTTAATATGAATGTTTTATTTTTGTTTTACATAAATATTAATTTTGCATGTATTTTTTCCAAGAAAGAAATAATTGTTTAAAAAACTATTTGTCATATTATTAATTAAAAGGTTATTTATGTAGATAGTTGAATATACTTTTAATGTTAAATAAATAACAATAATAGTATGATTTACATTTTCTTATTTTTCTATTTGGTAAATTAGGTATACTGATAAATCATCATTTGAACTGACAATACCTTCTAGTTATGAAATAGTAGATAAATTTATATTGGTTATTCGAAGAACCTTAGATAACATTGGATTAAAAGTCGGAGACATTTTTCTCAAAAAAAACAAATTTGTACATCATTTAAAAAATTTATATAATATAATTTTTTTAGAAGAAGTGAATAAGTCTGTTTCAATTGATCGAGTTATGGAGTATCAGGTAAAGTTAATATCATTATTTTATGCTTCTTAAGTAATTTTCATTTAGATATGGAATTAATAAAATAGTATTAATAATTAATAATTAATTAGTAATTTTATATTTAATATTGTTTTCATACATACCTATTGTTGATTGTTAATAGATTGAACGCAATTTGTTTTTAAACAACTGTTTTTATTCACTTCTTAGTGATGAACACAGTTCAATATTATCTAGTAATCATTCATGTAATTTATCATTGAATTATAATACTGAAAAACATAATTCTCGTGGGAAAAATAATATATTTAATTGCAATTTTGCTGAAGAACTTGAACATATTACAATTACTTATGATGTAAGTTAAACAACTAAAATACTTATTTTATTTATCCAAAATACTCATTTACTAAGTTAAAATGTTATTTAAATATATTGATTTTAGGTCAAATTTCCATTATGTTTAATTCTAACTAATGCTGTAATAAATAAATATAATAAAATTTTCCGTTTATTAATAACTGCCAAGCAGGCTGTGGAAATGATCTCCCATTTACAAACTAAAGGTATAGAATCTGTTATATAGATATCTAATTTTTATTTAAAATGTATTAATTAATTATTAATTAATAACATTTCAGATTTAAATAACTACTCGATAAATGTAAAGCGAATGTATTTTATAAGGTTATGGATTATGTCAACTACTTATAAATTACAAACATACTTCTTTAGTGTTGCTTCAAAATATTTAGGTTCTAAATTATTTGATTGTATTGAAAAAGTTAAAAATGGTTTGGAAGGTTTTGAAAAAGGTTAGCTTTTGCTTGTTTCTATTTGCATTAATAAATAACTTAATTATTGTGTTTACAAAAATTATGTTTTGTAGTACTTGAAGACCACGTTTCCCAAGCAATAAAATTATGCATGCTGGATGGTTTAATGGAGAAATTATCTTATGAAGCATTAGCATTAGTAAGTATTTCTTCTTTGACTACATTTAAAAAAATTTATGTTTTTATTCATAATTAGTTATGGAATGCATGTGAGCAATTTATAAAATTGTGGAGAAAAAGTGTTATAAATAATAGTATTGATATTGAACTAATGGAAAAAATTGAACAAGAATATGTAGATTCATGTTGGAAATTAGCCAGTGGATTAGATACGTATCTTGTAGCAGAAGACGATTCTTCGAGTATTTGTATGTATTAATTATTCTTTATTTTAATTAGAATTTGGCCCTTATTTTTAATTTGTTTATTATCCTCTAGTTGTGTAATTTCTGGAATTGGTTAAAATTTGGGCTGCATATTATTACTGTATCATAGAAATCATAGAAGTGTTTTTGGTACCTTAAAACCCCATTTTCTAATTGGGGGGGGAGAGAATGTTAAATTTGGAATTTATTTAAAATAATTTTTTGCATGATTGACAAAGTAAGGTTTTTTTTTTCAAAATTTCAACGTATTCTACCTATTAGTATTCTCTATGTATGTTAGTTAAAACATTTTTTTTTTAATCCATCATATTTACTATTGTGCACCCTTAGAATTTTGGTCGGGATGAATGCAGAATGTTTACAATTGTCTCATTGTACAGCTATTGCCACTACCATTAGGAATCAAAAAGAATAATACCATATTTTGTATTATTTCAATAAAAGATTGCTTTATTTTCATTACAATTCTTACTGCTTCAGATAACATACTCAAACCATCTCAATCTATTTTCTCTACTATCGAATCCACACTTAAGACATCTCTTATACTATCTACTACTCAAAACTTCAAACCATAAAACATAGTGTTTGCCATGATTTTGTAGAAATTAACTTTCAAGTCTCATTGGATTTCTCTTGTCACAAAAAGTTATTAAAAATATTAATTTTAATTTTAATTATTATTTTAGTATTTGAGTTTTGTCGAGATTTTATGTCAAGTATGCCCACCAAAGAATCAGCTGATCTTGATGGTAGTTTAGTTTACAAATTAAGTGACTCACGAAATCGATATTCTTTTACTTATATGTAAACTATAAATATAAGTCAGTGTAGATTATATATTTTTAATAATATTAACCTTATAATTTTATGTATTGTTCCACTTTATTGGAGCTTATAAAAAACTTAATTCTTTTTCAGAATTATGACAATAATTTAAATATAGCATGTTATTATTATATTTATAAAATTTAAGTTTATACTATTTTCACAAGTTTTAAATTTATTATTTTTTTTTTTTTAATTTTTAACAAATTTATATATACATATTAACTAAACTAGAACAATTATAATTTTTCACAATTGTAATTAAATAAAAGTGAAAATATTTGTTGGGATAAAAATCCTAACAAAATTATAATAGTATTAACCCTCAATATTTTTTTAATGAAAAACAAATTAGTATTTTATATCAAACCTTCAAATTTATTTTTTAAAAAATTTTTTGAGTTATGGCCTTATTCTATAAGCAGTAATTTTATAACTATGTATAAATAGTTCAAATAAAACATAACTTGAAATTCAGATTTTTACATATAATATATTAAACATTTTTGCTATCACACTCTTCTAAGTCTAAAGAAGAATCATTGGTAGATTGTAAATAATTTGAGTTGTCAGTCGGTACTGATGGTGATAGTTTAGAAATTCGACTTTCCATTGCACTTATAAATGGTGAATCTTTATACTCTGGTAAATTAACAAATTTTAAAAATATGTATAAAATCTGTGAGGGAGTTAGATCACCAAATTGAGTAAACGTTGTGTATCCTTGTGCAATAAAATGTGGCCCACAACCGGGAATCCATTGTCTAAGAAAAAACATTTTTATTCAAAATTAATAATTAAAAAAAAAAAAAATTGATATTGCTTATGGGTGCAAAGTGGATACAGTAGATGCCACTGCAAGTTGAAAGTTAGAAAGGGAAGATACATAAAGTTATTTAATTTATATTTGTGAGAAACAATAAATCATTACTAACAAAATAGAATCTAAGCGAAGTTTGATTATACAGATTTTGAAATTCTATAATTTTTATGATTTCTATCATAATTTAATGTAAAAACTATAAAAAAAAATTACTACATTATGTTTAACTTTTTTTTTATCATTAACTACAACTTATAATGAACCTCATATTAAATGTGGCTATAATATAATTTATCCACATAGTATTAAAGAATAAAGAACTCGAAAATATAAAATGCCTATAAATAACTTATAGTATAACTGATTTGAAAATTTGACCACATCTAGAAAAGGTCAATATAAGTTTTGTGTCAGAATTTCAGGTTTCTACAAATATTTTAACCAAATTACAGTATAACAATTGTTTAAAATAATAAACTGTTATTTCAGAACCTTTCCCATTTTTTTCCTGTTTTGCCGAATTTATAAGAAAACTATATGGAATATAAAAAAGCGACTTTCTTACTCACCAACTAGATCCAAAATTATACAAGAAAGGTCTCATGTTGAAGCAAAATTTCTGGTAGAAAAGTTGTTACAGACAGAAATAAAATAAAAACAACACACATCAAAGTAAAACCAATACATTCCTAGCTTCACTTATAATCTAAAAAAATGAATCTATTAATTATACATACTCTAACATTGGTATTACAAAATTTTTACGACTTAGTGTATGATGCTTGACAAAATACCAGAATGGTTTTAATAAATCTATTGTTAAATCTTCTTTTTCCAATAAGTTTTTACGACCAGTCACTTTAACCAATACCATGAATTTATTATCTAATTCTTTTAACTGTGAAAAAGAAAAAAAAAATAATTTTAATTTATTTTTAAATTATATGAATATCAACAATTTATATACTAACCTCCTTAAAACGTACAAATTTAGATGTAGATTTTAAAGATTGTAATGGAAAAAATGCTGTTCTTGGATATGTTTTCAATAACTCCAAATCAAAGATAGTTTGAAATAGGATAGTTTGTGTTTTATAATACATTTCACCTATAATTGGTTTGCTAGAATATCTCTAAAAATAAAACAACAATTATTTTTAGTTTAACTAAATAATATTAACCAATAGTGCTGCAATATTTATTCATAAGTTATTAAGATGTAAATTGTAAATTATTTAGTGTTACAATATATTATTATTATAATAATAATCATTTTGAATATATCCTACCGTAAATACTGATGGTTGAAGTAAGAGATAAAATTCTGGCCGACCATAAGTCATCAAACCCGTTTGAAACATAAAACTATAAATCAAATAATTTAGGAATTTTCTACTTGGCAATGCAGCAATTATTTGAAATGATGGCCCTATGAATGATAATTCAATTTAATAGTTGATATAAAAGAAAATGTGGTAGAAAATAAATTCTGCTTTAAAATGAAACATTGACATTTTGTGTTTAACCATTATTTTCGAATTATAGCCAAAAACGTCACTTAGGCAATCATTTTGATTCTAAAACAACTGAACCAGAGACTAGAATCTTTGCGATTTTATCTATGTAGTTCTCAAAATTAAAATTTTGGGTTTGGTTAATACTGGGTTTAACTCTTCCTATTTAAATGTTTGCTTTTTATTTAATTTTTAAAAATTAAGTACTATATTAAATAATTTACATTATAAGAACCATTTATGCTAGCTATTTGTAAAAAAGTGTCTTTCAAAATGTAGGTTATAAATCATAATACTATCACTAAAACTATAAAAATACTATTTATTCATGTGACTATTTATGGATGTTTAATTGTACCAATGAAATGGTACAATGTACCATTACATTCTAAACATTATAAGAATTTAAAAAATATTACTAACATATAATATTATATAAAATACTAAATTTTAAAAAAACCTGGGCAACTCATCTCAGGTGTTTGAAGTTATAAAAATAAAAATCATAATAATATTAATAAAAAAATATAAACCAGTGGTTCCCAGATTTATTTTCTGATGGTGTATTTTTTAGACTAAATTCAGTCACAGTGTCCTTCCGTGAATACCACGAGAAATATACATGAAAAATCTATACAAATTTTCATTGATAATCAGTTTTTATAATTTTACTGAATATAATACATTATAAACATTCTAAGCATAATATTTAGCTACTCAATTTGAAACTAACAAATATTTTTAAAAAAAAATTACAATAAATAATTTTTTTTATGAGCCGCGTTGTCCCTAGAAAATATTCACTGTGGTGCACAGTTTGGGAACCGTTGGTATAGATCATACAGTAAAGAGTTAACTTAAAACTAAATATATGTAATATATATTGTTCATTGCCACTGGTACTGGCATATTAAATTAAAATGTTGATACTATTAATAAACATATAAATTATTATTATTTCTAGGAATAATAATGAAATGTTTTCAACATTTCCAATGTGATATTTGCAAACTACATATATTTTGATACATCTATCATACCTACAGGGCTTATTTTTGTCTATATATGTTTTATGACAAGTAAAGTTAACACATAATTTTATTATTAATATACCTTTATAGATTTACAATTTTATAATTATAGGTTATTAAAGTACTTGTTTGTCAAATTAAAGTAGAAAGTCAGTAATGTTCTAACACGATTAAGAGAGTGGCTGTGCCAGTTTAGGTTATTGCTATTATAATAGAAATTAATTTACAAATATTTTTATTGTGGATACAAATTGTTACAAATAAAAATAATATAATACCAAATGGTTTTCAAGTTAAAATTATGACATGATGGTACCAGGGTATTGCACCTTCGATATTATTGTGCTCTAGCAAAGCAATAATAAATATGAATGGGATAAAAATATTATTACTATTCATTATAAATATATAAAATATCTATTGGAATTTGGAACCAAAAACACCTCTAAATTAAAATATAGGTTCTGGTACCGAGATTTTTAAAAGGTTTCAATCCAAAACTGGTCTTTAAGATTCCAGTCCACAATATTGATCAAGAGTTATATTCGGAATTTTTTTAACTAAACGATAAATACAAATTGCATTGTTGAAAATTTGTGTGCTACTATATTGCCTGTTATTATAAATTTGTTAATAGTTATTTTCTTTCTATTTGATAATGATACATAATTATCTTTCTGATATATTATCCTAGTTCAATTTCCTATAAATTAATAAATTGTATTAACTTTGACAAGCAATTTTAATAATCCAATAAGTTTTTCCTTAGAAAAACTATTTTATTGTAGTAAATTTATATAAAGATATAATAACCAACAATAGTTGATTAATAAACAAGAAATAGTAGATATCCAAAATTAATACTTTCTAAGTTCCAGGGTTGTGGTGTACCAAGACCAGATAATATTTTTGAAATTCGATCTCCATAATCCATACGATCCTGATATCCATATTTCCAAAGTAGGAGAAAATTAGATTTAGTAATATTAATTCTATTACCAAAAACTGAATGAACTGCCTATAATTAAAATAAAATATTAGGTATGCACTATTGTATTAAAATAACTTGAAGTAATTACTGCTAAGAACTCATTATTATTATTTTCGAAAACATGTATATTATTATTTGTTTTTTCCAAAATATGCCGTGTAATCAAACATACACCAGGATTTGCTTCAATCAATTTAATTAGTTTAGAATCATAACTTCTAGTCAAATGTGTACATATAGTATCAGATATATCTTCTAAATAATCAATAGTAAACATAAAAATCCATTTGAATAAATTCAAAAATAAATAAATATATAATTTGTAACAAATAGTAAAAAGTATGACTTTAAATAAATTTAAGTTAGGTATAATACCTATACTAATTATCATTTATATTTACTTGCTACATCATTATCTACCACAAACATATTCTCTGTATGCTTAAGTTTTTTTAAAGATTTTAAATTTTCACTAATATTTTTTGAAGTTGAATAAAATTGTCCGTGGCAGGTGCATTTGAAAACTAACTTTGATAAAGTACATACGTTTTTTTTTAAATAAATCATACTTAATTTAATATTAACGAAATTAGGTATGAATTAGATATTTTAAGGGGAATAACTAATTTAAAAAACATAAATATTATTTAATATCACAATTTTAGACACACGTTTAGATAGCAATATTTGATAAGAGAACTTAATGGTTCCTAAAATGCGTGAAAACTGCAATTAGGGTGTAAGGAAGGCAAAGAATGCACAAGAAAAAATTTAAAGACACGGCACTAAAAACCAAATCATATTTAGTCACGTGCCCGGAGCGTAATACGTCCTAAATAGCTATGTTTGACGCTCGATAAAAAATAGAACGAAATCCGGGGTTATACATTTTATTACACCAACGGGTTTCTATTGTTAAAGATCTTAGTATTTACTACTCATCCATTCTCTCCTTCGGACACTACATTGATGTTATTATAGTTCGTGTCCTAAAGGTTTTAAGTTTTATTAAGTGTATCACTAAGTTATTCTCCAACATAGAAAAAGACCAAACAATAAATTCTATACAAAAAAAGAAATATTTAAATTCAGTATTAGAAAGCTATCACATATACAATGAAACAAAAAAACAGCAACTTTAATAATATATGAAATATATAAACCGATTATAAAAATGACATTATGTTCACCTTTCTTTATAAACTTAAAGATAATAATAATGGCAATAGTAACAATCTTTACTCAATTCTTTACTTTCATATTTCTCATAGACTTTTATGTGTAAACATGTAGTATAGAAGTCTATTATATTTCTAAAAATTTGGCGTTTCATAACGGTTTTTATTTTATTTTTAATTTAAATTCATATATATGTCTTTTTAGTAATAAGTAAATTAAATAAAAAACAATGTTATAAGTAATCTGAAGACTATAATTTATCGATATTGAGTAGTTACAAAAATATACATTTTAATTCTTGCTTTTTTTTTCAAAAATTTTTTTAATACTAGTATTGTTCCATAGTTCCATATTATTCCTAGATTACTCCATTAAAAGCACTTTTTTTTTAATTACCTATATCAATTGACATAAAATAATTTGGTAATAGTTATATTATCTTATTTTTATTAATATTTTTGTGTACCTATTTTAGAAAATCATATGGGTTTCATACAATACTGGAGATACAATTATGTTTATGATAACGACATACATACTGACAAAAGTAATCAAATTCACAACTTAATTTATTAACCGATTCAAAACATCACGCTTTTATAGAAACCTATAAACAAGTTCACTGCAATTAATAGTAGGTATCTCATGTAAAAAGTATCCCATGTAAAAAGGTGCAACAAACTTTCAAATTATTGATATAGGACCAACCTGTAAGTAACGATAAGCCATTGCTTGACGAAAGACGATTCCGAGCGCAGTTCGGTAATACATAATTTGAAATGTCATAATTTTTTTTGCGATTTTCGTTTAAATTTGATTTAAAAATGCTCATTAAAAAAAAAATATCGTCCGATAAAATTGGAAATTTTAGTACATCTAGGTAAACACAATATAAGTATTATTACCAAGTTTCAAGTCGTAACGTGTTTTTATAACCGAATTCAAGCAAAATAAATTCCCAAAAATAAAAATTTCTAAAAGCTCAAAAATTTTGGTAATGATAACGTAAAAATTAAATCAAAAAGACAACAAAAAAGATGTCTTACAATTTTTCGATTAAATCATTTTGTGTGGTAAAAAACGTCATTCGTGTTTTTATAAAATAATGAAATCGTGAAATTATACGTTTTCCTAGAATACAATCTAGACAACTTGAGCTTTCAGAAAAATTGCTACACGTAAAAATCGGAGCTTTTTTACATAAAAAAAATGTGTCCATAGACTAGAACAAAGAAAGAAAAAGCATTGCAAAACCAATAGCTCCCTAGGTACGCTCGGAATCTAACTTTTGACAGAAATCATGTTCGTTTAAATAATTTATCCTATATCAAATTATTTATCCTATGCAAAATGTTATCAATTATGTAAGTCCAAATTACTTTCTATGCGATACGTGATCGATCACAAAGTAATGCAAAATACATAAACAATAATTGAACATCGGCAATAGAATTTTTAAAATCATTTAAAAAACTCTTTTTCAGGTGCTGGGTAGGCAACTTGTTTATCCACTGATAGTTCAATTTCAGGAGTTCAATATGCAATATTGTATACAAAATTGGAAACCACTAGGCCACATTCTTATTAAATATTGCCAGTGGAACATACATAGTTTTAGTATATATAGATACTAGTACCTAAAGTTATGTTTATAACCGCGATTTAAGATTAAATCGTGTATATAACATAGAACTGTTAGACATAGATCTATAACAAATAATAATTGCTAATAGGACGTCTATGATTATAAATTCATGCAAGTATCATAAAATCGAATATTATCAAAACAATTAACTATTGAGTAATAAGAAATATTATAATTAGCATAATACGATGATTGATATTTGATAACAATTGCCGCCATAAAAATGTGCGCCAATCAGAACCACTCTACTTACAACTTCTAATAGGTTTAGAAATCATGTCTACGGTTACATTCACTGTTAAAACTGTTTTGATTCAATTCGAATTAGTTAACTCCCGGAGTCAAATGAATGTAAATGGCTGTTAAAACGGTGTAATTTCAATTCAGTTTGACTTTAGTTAATTCACATTTGAAATGCTCATTAAAAATAATTATCTTCTTCTTCTTCTTCTAAGGCATCTTAAAGACCATTAAGGTCCATTGCCGCAACAACAAAATCCTTCCACATTTCCCTGTCTCTTGACATTTCCTCCGCATTTTCCACATCAATCATCCTGAGGTCATCCTTGACTCTATCAGCCCACCGTTGTCTGGGTCTTCTTCAAGGCCGTTTTGTGTTTGGTTTCCATTTTGTTATGCTCCCCAGTACTCCTTCAGAACTCTAAACATGACCAGCTCATCTTATTCTGCTACTCTTCATAATTCCTATAATATCGGCTTCTCCAAATAGTTCTCTTAACTCCTCATTTGCCCTAATTTCAAATACACCTCCTTCATTCTTTTTTGGTCCAAAAATTTTCCGAAGTATTTTTCTTTTCAAAACACCCAAATTCTTCTCATCCATTTTTGTAGTTACCCACGTCTCACACGCGTATAATGCTATAGGTCCAATTAAAACTTTATACAATGTTGTCTTTGATCTTCTTGAGAGTAATTTTGATTGAATAGTGTGGATAATCCAAAATAACATCTGTTTGCTGCTATCAATCTTTCTCTTATTTCTTCCTGACTATTTGCGTTTTCATTCACCCAAGTTCCTAGTTATTTGAAATGTTCTACTCTTTCAAATGAGAAACCTTCTATTTCTAATTGTCTTGCCGTTNCCCTGCCCTTATTAGCTCTTTTGTGGATTGTTTCAGACTCTCCTCATTTTCTGTTATTATCACTAGATCATCAGCATATGCTACAATTGTGAGCTGTTGGTCATCACTAAGTTTTAATCTTTCTGCCTTTCTAAGAACTTGTCTCACCATTGACTCTAAGGCAATGTTAAACAAAGCCGGTGACAATGCGTCTCCTTGTCTGAGACCTGTCGACACTGGGAATTCATTTGAGTAGGTTCCTCCAAAACTCACCTTGCATTTAGAGCCTTGTACGCACACTTTGATTATTCTAGTAAGTTTTTCTGGTATCCCCAAACGAGACATTACGTTCCACAGTTTCTTTCTATCTACCGAGTCGTATGCTGTTTTAAAGTCCACAAAAAGCATATGTACATCTTTATTAAATTCATGGCTTTTTCTGCAATCTGTTTTATTATATGAATCTGATCTATAGTCGATTTACCTACCATGAAACCTGCCTGGTATTCTCCAATAATTTCTTTAATACATGATTTCAATCTGTTTAATAAGAGGTTAGATAATATTTTGTACGAAGTGTTTAACAGAGAAATTCCTCTATAGTTCTTTGGGTCCATTTTGTCTCCCTTTTTATACACTGGACATAGGACAGATATCTTCCATGATTCTGGAATCTCCTCTTGCTCCCAAATATCGGTGATTAGCTTATGAAGTTGTTGAAATAGCTTGTTTCCTCCTTTTTTTTTAGGCATTCAGAAACTACTTCATCAATCCCATATGCAAGTACAAAATGCATGTATTAAAAATATGTATATTTTACTTTGGTTTTAAAATCAATACCTACTAGTAGAACCAGTAGTCAGTGCCTACTAGTAGAACGTAACTATTAAAAATAACAATTTATAAGTAACTAAAATTTAGCAAAATAATTTTGGTGTTTTTATTATTATTATTAGTTAGTCAAATAATACAAGTAATAACTACCTATATATTAATAAAGTGGATACTTTTTAGATAATAATTAGTATGAATTATAAAAAACCTCAAGAAAGTGTAGAGACGGTTTGGTTAAACTTTGGATAGTACTAAGTGGAGCAGTATACAGGCGACAGATGGAACATACCATTACCAGCAGGGTAGAGAACTAGGATCAAAGGACAGCAACGAGGAACAGAGAAACATTGGGTGTAGGAGCAGATTAGACGACAAGCAAAATATGAAATTACAGTAAGTAAGGTTGCATGTCTAGCATTAGTAATAGTGATTGTAATACCGATTCTAACGAGAATGTTAATTTGGTAGATTTGTGTGAAATTAAGGTAAAAATACAGTTAAAATATCAAGCCTGAAATTAACATACAAAACAGGGATTAAAACTATACCTATGTATGGAGGGGAAGAAAAGTAATTAATGAGTTTTTTGAAAACGTGCGAATATGTACTTAATAATATTGAGGAAACTTTCAAACCGTTGGTGTTGGAAGGTATATTAGCGAAATTAATGGGTAGAGAAAATCAGGTAACGAGGTTTAAAAGTATCGAGTTATGAAGAATTAAAAGAAGTATTAATAGAAAACTTTGGAATACAGCAGACAGTAGGACAATTACAATTAGAGTTAGCAAATGAAGGAATAAAGGTATACTATGAAAAATTGGAGGCGCTCTGTTTTCAATTAATAGAAGCACTGTTATTGGAGAATACAAAGAAAGCTGAGGAAACAGTTATTAATAAAATGATTAAAAAACAGGCATTACCAGTATTTGTAGCAGTTTTAATGGAACCTTATCATGTGTTGGTGAAATCCCAGAATAAAAATACATTGAGAGAAGCTTATCAGGCAGCATTAGAGGCAGAAAAGACAATGCACAGGAACATAATAGGAAATTATTTATAAATAAAAATAATGGAGCAAAATCTAGTGTCAAATGTTTTAAATGTAATAAAATAGGGCACAAAAGTTTTCAATGCTATAATAAAAATATAAATACGGGGAGAAATAATAATCAGGGAGAAGTATATAAGAACATGGGTACAATGAACGGGATAATAAGACAAAAGTAGTATGCAATTATTGTAAAAAAGTAGGACATATGATATGGTATGAGATTTATTTTTTGATAGCAACGATTAATAATTTCATACAGATATACATTAAATTTCTCCTCTACCTTTCCAACTTCCACAACAGTGGCTCATCCTTCCTGTGAAGTTTGTTCCTATCATATCTTAATGCTTTAATGTAGTACTTACACTATTCATAAGTTCAAATTGAATTTATTTTATTGGCTGGGTAGGTATGGCACTTCTAGCTTTTTGTTGTAATTTTTTTCATATTTTTCAAAAAACATGCCTATAAATTTTTAAACTGAAGAGTAGTTATTTTTACTCGTTATTTCTATAATTTAATTATCCGTCAACATTGTCTAACAGTACATAGTTTTACTGTAGTAGAGTATTTTCATACGGGTCACTAAATCCGTGAGGTTATTTACTGTGAATATATTTGGCACTGGGTTTAATTAAATGAAAAGTAAATAAATTAAATATAATTTCTTTTATTTAAGTATAATTTCTTTTCACAACTGAATTTTTTTAAGTTCATCCAATAAACTATTTTCAAGTTTTAATCTTGCTATTTGATTACTATCCAATTCTTTTCCAGAAGATTGTATTGTCTTCAGACGATTAATATTTTTTAAGTCCTATAACACAACAAGTAGAGTTTAATAACTGTAATCAAATTTAATTACAAATTATAACGTAAATTATCAAACGTACTGATTTAATTTTCTTAATCCTCAGTTGCTTTTCATTGACCACTAGTTCATCAGTTATTTTAACATTTTGTTTATTATCAGTTGAGTTTTCTACTTCTAGTTTTGCTTGGCGTTTAGCTTCTCGCTTTTTTTTCATCTTTAAATAAGCTTTTGATTGTGTTTCTAAAAATAATTATATATTTATAAAAGTAATACCTAGATATTTATAAGCAAAATTAACAATTTTTAAACACTTAAAATAACAAGTTATGGCGTTAAATTAGTAATAAATACAATTTGGTTATTTTATTATACAAATCTAATATTTTGAAATTAATTTTTTAAAACATATATACTTACACACAAAATTTAATAAATTATTCAAATTAAATATTTAAAATATTGTAAGGCCTATGGATGTAATTTTATAAATTAATATGTATTCAACTTCATATTTTATTTGTCATATGTTATATGTTATACATTGACGTATTCAGAAGTCTTTTTTTTAGTTATTCTCTAAATAATAATTAATAAACAGTACATTTATCAATATTATTTATTAGACAGAATTTATGTTTAATATTTAATTCTTAATTAACACATAAAACAATATTTTAAACTAAAACTTGTTTTGTAAATTAGCATATTATACAACTAGGGTTTTACTTTATAAAGTAATATTGTTTTAGATTCGGTGCATAGTGAGAACTGTAATAGTTTTACAATGATAATAATTTTTAATTTTTTTGTTTTTATCTGTGAATAACTTTTTTACCAGAAATCTTTCTCTGATTCGGAAGTATAGTACCTTTTCTGAAAATTATATTTTTATTTTCCAAAAGGTTTTTATAATAATTGGGAAAATGTACATACATGTATAACAGAAACTTAGTTCTGAATCGTTTATAATTTGCATACAGATATAAATTAAATTACCACCTATATTCTACTTTTTCATATCTATTTATATGCATATTTCCATAAATCATTTTTTATCGGGAAGCTAACTCTAGTGCTTAGAATCTTACTTGCCTTTAAAACGGATGGGTTTCTCAATTAGTCAAAAAGAATATTTTTGTTATTATTTGAAGTGTGTTTAAATACTTGGAAAAATAAAAATATGTTAACAAAAATCATACTTGTTTCTGAAGATTCTTCATGTAAGCTAGTTGGTTTAAAATCAGAATTTCGTGCATGTGGAGGTCGGTAAACTTGTTTAGAAGCTAACAAAATGATAAGTAAATAAATATATATTTTATTTTGAAATATAAGGTATAATTTATACTATTAATATGTAAATAATGAATAAACATACCAATTGGTTGACTTGAAGTTATTCCTTCAACAGCTTTGCAAATTGTAGGTGTTTTAAACGTTCCTTGAGGATAATTTTGCCAAACAACTTGAAATAGTTCTTCTTTTCCCCAAGGTTTTTCATGTAATAATGCACCACTAGAGTGCCATATTTTATAGCCATTATTAACTTTTAGTCGAGGTGCTGTTGTAGCTGTTACAAAGTGTTGACCATCAGGACACCACTGAAGAAAAGTTGTATCTGGTATTTCTATTTTTTTAATCTTCTTTTTACCATTAACATCCCATAATTCTGCATTACCTTGTACATTGCCAAACCCAGCTAAGAGAAGAAGTATTTAATCAGTTAAAGAAATTTGTACATTTGTGTAAACAAATATGTTATTTAAATTTAGTTATAAAATATAAAGGATATTATTTCCAAATGGATTGTAATAGATTGCATTAAATGTTCCAGTTCCAAATTCCATCACTGAGTCACATTTTAAATTATATAATGTTGCCTTTGATGGCATAAAACCATAAACAACACAGAACTCTTTTGATGATGGACTCCAAGCAGCATTGTATAAAGGCCCTTCTTTATCTAAAGGTTTATATTCGAATAAATACAAAAATGAGTTATACTTAGATTATCTTACTTACTTACTATAACCTGAGAAGTATCTCCTTTTGTAGTAATTAAATGTAAACCTTGTTTCCCATAATACGATGCTCCAGTTTTGTCTACATCAGTACAAGTCAATAATAAAGTTGCTGTTCCTTTAATGTTCCAAAATATTTCTACTCTATCAGCCTAAATATTTTTGTATAATTAATTATATATTTCAAACTATTTGTGTAAAAATAATACTTATTATAAGTAAAATATACAATACCTGGAAAAAACTTTTATTGGCAATAAATGTATTAAATTCTGGATATTGAAATAGACGTCCATTTGAAGGGCCAGATTTAGCTAAAATATAAATGTATAATATTCAAATAATTTTTTAATTTGTCTCAAAATAATATATGGTACTGTTTAATAAATATATAAATTAAGCGGGACTAATAGAATTTAAAGATTCAGATGATAAATAATTACAGGTGGGTACCTGGTAAAAAACACAAAACATTGAGTGGTTGATTTCCTGGAGATATTGAATAATTATTGATTTTAAGTTTTTTAATTCTATAAACTATATTATCAAAATTAGAATTCTCATAAAATAATACATCGCCATTTAAAAATCGAGCACATATTTTTTCATCAGAAGACCATTGAGGAATCCTATGTATATATATATAAAAAAACAAAATCAAACATACAATAAAAATACATCAATATATTAATATAAATAAAGAAATTATAATATTATTCTTTATTTTTATTTATATTGAAATGTCAAATAGACATAGCACATCAATATATACATATATATAGGTATTTGTATTTTCTTCCAGAGCTCATAATACAAAACAATATTTGAAAATTTTATGTAATTTAAATGGTAAAAAAAAATATATTCTACCAAAGTTTATAATCTCTGTATTCAAAACTTTTCACTAGTTGTCCATCAGTAGTTTTTATAACATGGACGTTAGGACTGCCTTTGGGATTACTTGGTGTAGCTAAAAATAATTAAATAAATAATATTATAAAACTTAAAAATGTTGATTTAATTAGTTCACATACTATTTTGTGGTGTAGAAATAATAATTCTTATCTACCTTACCACAAAACAGCGAGTGTTCTTAGTTGTTAAACATAAATATATATTTTTGTATTTACTGATAAATGGTTCGTAAACTACTAAATAAGTCCCTTTACTGCTGTATGCTAACTGAGCTGCTTTTGGATAATCAGCTTCAACAATTATTTTCCAATCGGAAGTTTTAACGAGTATGACCCTGATTGAAAATCATAAGTAAAAACAGTTTATAGAATCAATTAATCTCAATATACTTAGAGCTACTAATCCAAGCAAAATGTTTTCCATTTGGACCAAACAGGAAAAACTTGCATGCTGGTGAGACATCAGATGGAAAATTAGAAACGGGCTCAAAAGTTGATAAACCCTGATATAGAGCCATACCAGTGGATCCTCGGACTTACAAAAAAAAAAAAGTATTAAACTAACAAATATAATATGAAAATATATCTAATTATTTACCTGCTAAATTAGGAACAGCCATAATTATATTAGTTTTTTTCGATATATCCACAACTTTGTATAAAATTAATTAACTTAACAAATTGAAGGTTTTAAAATGCACAATAATCGAAATAAATATCATACAAATTCTATATTATAGAAAAAAAAATTAAATATCTATCAATAAACAAAAAAAAAATTAGAATTTAAAATTCTAATTTAATGTGTTTAAATGTATACATATCAGCATTTCAACATGTATACCAATAGTTCAGATTGTTCATGCACCTTATGTAGACACTACTAGACATATAGAGACATATTGTAGTATCCTATCTTTATATTTTTACACATTGCGTTTTACTATATGGTTGAGGTTAACTTACAAGGAGTATAAGTATTTTTATCAGTCTGACTTTAATATAGTACCACGGTTCTATCTATAACCGTCTATAGTCATAGATAATAAAGGATGAATAGGGCCAAGGTGGATCCACCTTAGATAGGCCCACGGTCTTAATAATGTAGTTATCAGTAATTGGTGGTACTTGGTAGTAATGTTGCCTTATCACACGTTTCTAAAAACGTAAGCTGTCCTAAGGTACCTCTTTTATATTCCATGATACTTATAAATTTAATGAAAACTTTACTCATATCACCCACTTGCAAATAATACAACGATGAACCATTGTAATATTTAAAAAAATTTGTTTTTAAAATAATGAATCATATTATAATGCATGTTATATAAAAACAAAATCTTAAAAGATTGGTTTTATTAAACTTCTCTGTGCAAATTTTAATAACGTTAATGAATAGCTCTTCTTTTGATTATTATTTATTACTCTATCATTTGTTTTCCATTCCTCCTCAAACATTAAATGTCTTTGGAAGCAGTTCAAAATAAATTCATAGGTTTTTTTTGTTATCATTGTAGTAAATCCCATGTTCTCCATACTTCTTATGTTCCTATTTTGGATATCCTTTCTTTCGATTCTCTTGAATTACGAAAATTAAAATTTAGTTTGTGCTTTTTGTATAATGTAACTCATAATAATGTTGATTGTTCTGAGTTACTTAGTGGTTTTTCCTTTATAGTCCGAAACGTTTTACCAGATCTCATGTTACATTATATGTTCTCATCAACCAACTAATTACGCGATGAATTGTCCGATTTACCGTATTATGTAACTAACTAAAACAAAAAATAATAATAATAATAAATATTTTCTCCTCCATTACTTAGTTTTAAGCAAAACTTAACTTTTACTTTTCGTACCATATAGGTATTAACAAACTATGTTAATTTGAATTTTCACTTTTATTTTTAGTTTAAGTTTAATATTTAATTTGTATTACATTTATTATTCACAAATGTTTAATTCTTAACTTGTTCCATACTTTGTTTTGTTTTCTATATTTTTTGAATTGTGTAATCTATTATTTTCTGTATTACTGTGAACTCTTTATTTTTTATTTTTTTTTGTTGTTAATATGCAATTGGGTGTTACAACCCGTTTAATTAATTAAATTAATATAAAAAAAAATAATGATTATAATATTATCACATTAGTTGATGATACAAATTATTAACCAAACAATTAACCACAGTAACCATTGTGGTATAAGACAGCTTTGTGATATTTGCTCTCTAGGAACGCGGCAGCTTACTTTGAAACGAATAATGGCCAATCCATGATCTATAGTACCTACGTAAGTTCTGCTGGCAATATTTGATAAGAGAACCCAGCAACTCCTATATAAAATGCATAAACATTGCAATTTGTAATAGACAGACAATTAATACATAAAAATACCCGAGGGGAAGTCATATAAAACTGTACTAATAAACAAATCAAATGTAATGACGTGCGACTGTGTAATACGACTGTAATGGCCGACTTTGGCGTTGTAGCACGTTGTAATTAAATCGTAATGTTATTTAACATTTAAATATTCGATTCCGGTTGTACGTCGTTTTTATTATTTTATTGTATTATTATATGCATAATGGTTAACTGGTGTTCTGTTAAAAATTGTTCAAACAATACTGAAATTCCAGGAATGAAACTTCATAGGTAAATATTTTATTTAAACACCATATTGTTTTATAGTGATGTTAATAATTAATTGATAACTATTTACTAAGGTACGGTAAGATAATATGTGTAAGGAATGGATTGCTGTAATAACAGTGAATCTAGAATTTTTACGTCCAGTATTCAGTGTTATATGCAGTGATCATTTTAATGATTCCGATTATATCATTCGTTAAAAGTTGGGCAATCATTTAAAAAAAAAAAAATAATGCGGTTCCAAGTATATTACAACAACCCTTTACCTGCCTAAGGAGACCGCAGCACGGTCGATTCTAAGGAAAAAGATTTAACCAATTTATGTGACAGGTGCAAAAGGGTCATGCCGATGTGTGAGAAGTAAACGAACATTAATATGAGTGCGATTCAATGCGAGTACCACTACTTTCCGGATCGTATGTAGGTATTAGCATTGGTTAAGCACTATACTTAATTAGTGGTACTAGGTACAAACGCGCGTCTTATAGATATTTTACATTTTATTGATAATTTGCATCAAAAAATGTAGTTTCTCATTTGAAAAACCATCAAATATAGATATAATATTATTATTTATTATCTGTGAAAAAACCAAAGTTATTGTCACCGCGGGATACTCTTTAAATGATGTGAAAAATCTAAGTATGCGAAAATACTATCGTTCAATACACTTACAAATTCCAAAAGTCAGAATTTGAATTTAGGTATGGATAGTTTAAATATATAAATGGGGTGAGCATACTTAAATCACTCTGCATAATTTATAATAACTTCGTAGTTATAAGAATATATTATGTAACAATACATAGTAGACCTATAAACTAGTTTAGGTTTATAGGACTATGAAAAAATATAATTGTTCTTAATAATTATCTTTATCTCATTTATGATAAAATCATTTGACTGTCACTGGATCGTTTAGAATTGTTTTTTTTAATTAATTAACAAAGAACCTATTTTAATCCTAAGATCTTAATGTCTTTTTCGATATCACATACACGGGGATTAGATTGTTCAAGAGTTTCAGATATCAATTGATACTAATATTTCTTTATGAAATTACCACCTAATTCTATAACAAAATAGTTTAACTTATAATATTAATAAAATACATTTGAGTCGCAACTCAAAATAACTCAAACCTTGATGACAAGAAAAACTTGACAATTCGAATTTATTTTTGGGCCTTAGAAATTCTTGTAAAACTCAACATATATGTCTCAGTTCTCAAATATAAAATTGTGATATATACCTGTAATAATAAACAGCTAATTAATTTCTTAGTGTCTTCAATTGCATAACCCCATGTGTGGTATTAAAAAAGTTATTAAGATCTTAATATTAAAATAGGTCCTTTGTGTTTTTCTTTAAAAAATCAATTCTAAACGATCTATGGTCGTTTGTTGTACACTATTTTCATTGATTTTGTGCATTTTTTGACATTAAATCAAGATAGAAGAGTTTCCTGAAGGAAATTTTGAAATTAACAAAATAAGGATCATCATAACCCATATAACAGTGGTGTGCTGTAATATTTTATATTGGGTAAGCGCTAAAATACAACTGCAAGCTAAATCTTGAAAAAAAATTATCGTTTTTATAAAAATTTAAATTTAAAATTTATTTATAGATAAAATTCATTCGTCTTTCTTGTTTCACAAATTCGCTTATAACTTTATCATAAAATTCTGGATTATTTTTTTTTTCAATTAATATTTATATTTTAATGGCTAATGTACACGTATAATATTATAAAAGTGTATTTATAACGATAATAATTCGAGATCCATTCTCGCTCCTTTCATTGAACACTAGCTGTTTACGAATTATTTTATAACGTAGCGGTAAGTTTTTTAAGAGTATCCTATACAGAGTGATTTTTTTTATCCTGAATGAGCAGTTATCTCAGAGAATTTTAAGTGAATTTGATTTCTGTTTTTTCTAATTATTATGGAATCGTTTAAACATTATTTTAAAACCATTTTTAATTTTTTACCTCTGCTCCATTTACCTTAAATAAGTGCATAATTTTGATTTTCAAATAGGAACACCCCCTTTTGAGCACATATTTGAATAGAGAATATTTTTCTAGAAATTTTGATATGCATAACACTAATATCAGATTTACGGTTGATGAGTTATAACCGTTTATAGTTTAAACCGGAGGAAAAAACAGAAATCAGATTCACTTAAAATCCTCTGAGATAATTGCTGGTTCATAATAAAAAAAAAATCACCCGTATAAAGATACAGATGATAGATATTACATTTATATTATTATATTTGTGGTTAATGGTAGTACTTATTAGTATAAATTGCAATGTTCAAAAATACTGATTGTCGACCGAATAAATACAATGAACTGCGTCGATTCTGCAAAAACTAATTTCAGTCCAAAGATGTTTCTTGTAGCCCTTTAAATTAACTGTGTATTAAATATTGCGAAAAACCTATAGCTGTATATTAATGGTACACAATAGTTATATCTTATAACGTTGTGTTGTGAATTTTGAATAATTTTCAGGCCCAGTCGTTTATATTATTATATGAATTGTTAACAATATTTCACCTCCATAGGAGGGCGCGCTCGTTCGATACGGCGGCGCACAGACCGTTTATTGTTGGCCAGCCTGTCGGTCGGCCCGCGGTGGTACTAGGCTGTTGTCGATTTGTTTTGATTATCCGATAATATGAAAATGTTTTCCTCGTCTTCGTAGTTTTCGTTGGTTTTTGTTTTCGCGTCCGTCGTTTGCGCTCACCGCGCGTTCGCGAACAGCCTTCGCCGCCGTCGACGACGCCTCCGCCGCCGCCGCCGCCGACTGGCTTTCCTGAGTTTTGCCGCCTATCTTTCCGTGCGCCCGCCACTTGACACTTCGCGCCCAATCGCCATGTGAGAAACCTTTGGCAAAAGCTCCGCGAAACGAACAGCGTTGCGCCCCCTCCCTGTTACGCGGCGGCAACCCATAGACAGTGTTTGGTCTATATTATTGTTATTTGTTATTATGTGTTTTGGACTGACTGCCGCAGACGCCAATCAAAAACTAAGTAAGTGTTGTTTGTTTGCTTCACCTATAGTTGGATGGGTACCTACTTAGTTTATTCGCAACGTTTTTTTTCGTTTCCGTTTCACTCACTGCCGGCTATCGTATATCAGTATCGTCTGCTTGTCACTTGCTGCTAGCCGTTCTCAGCTTGTTCGGCTTGCTCGACATCCCGAAACTACAAATTACCTTAGGTACCTTAATATTTAGGTAGTAAGTAGTATCGTACAGTAGTTGCTGTCCATGGCCAACTCGTACGCCGATCAACCGAGCTTTTATTCAGGTTTTTTTCGCCGTAGTCCCACTCGGATTTTCCGAACAGTGTCTAGTTTATTCTTGTTTTGCGTAAATTTTACTTACTCAAAAGTTGTTCCGTTTAATGTTAATAGACTCTCAGATATAGGTAATCAATAATTATAATTTTAAATATTTTAAATTGATATACAATAATATTTTAATATCTCATAAATAAATTGACTTGGTTTGTTGTTGGTTTATCATCTACATAGGTTCACTACCATATAAGTCATGGGACATTTTTTTAAAATAATAACTGCAATTTTTAATTTATTAGTTATTAATCATAACATTACCTAATTGTTAAATTTTGTAACGTTTAAGATTTAAAATTGATTGAGTCTGTCATAAGTAATTACCAGTAATTTCTAAGATTAATTATTAAGATCAAAATATGAAGTATAGAATTCTTCAATGTGTTTAGTGAGAGTTTTTTTTTCAATAAATTTAAAAACATGATAAAAGTAGTCAAATGTTTGAAATCTTAACAAGTAACCTTACAAACAATAACTAGGTACCTATCTTCTGAAATATTCACTATCTAATAAATCAAAAATCTATTTATTGAAATTATTTTATTTTTTGTATATCTATTATCATAGTAAATTGTTTTGTGACAACAAATACATTTTTAAATATTGTATTGTCAAAAATAAATAAACAAACAGACCGACTAAATACGATGGGAGGGCAACTGTTGCAGGTGAGAGGTTGTGAAGGTAGATGAGATAATATAGATTAATTTGTCTGATTAGAGAGGTTTCTTTTATATACAGGTGTCCATTAAGACAAGTTTAACTGCCTTTATATAGATGATATTCCATATGTTAGGTAAATGCCATTATACAGCAAATAACTTTATCCATTGGTCATTAACGTTATTGATCAAATAAATACCTAGGCTTCTGCAATTATCATTATAATCCAAATATTTATGTGAATCTCTAGTTTGTCTATAGTTTAAAATTAAGTTTATATTATTCATCACTATATAGAAATAATTGGTATTAATTGTAACATATTTAGGTATTATTTTTTTAAGTGAAAAATAATTTTACTATAATAATAGTGTTAATTGATTTATTTATTTTTATAAGAAACACTTAAGCTACATTTATTGTAACACAACTTATTTGTCTCTGAGCAAGAACAATGTTTATTGCTGCGACTAGTCTTACAATGATACACCGGATATCAATTTTTTCTTGTATGACAATAATGACTACTAATATGTTGAGATTATCTTCCACTATAAATTTCCCCACTTATTACCTACCCTAATTTTTACATTTTTATTCACCCACATAAATTATATTGCAACAACAATACATAGGGATTGGTTTTATTACTATTGGCAACACTAATATTTTTAGCTTCTTTCCTTAGTATCAACTATCAGTTAATTTTTACTAATTTTTAATGAACTTAAACGTACTTTGTTTCAATTTATATTTTTTCTTATAGGACTATCTTCAATTTTGTCTTCATTAATTATTGTATCTTGGTTGCTCTTTCTAAAATATCTTATTGTTAATGTTATTATATTTAAGCGCTAAAAAATTTAGAAAATGTTTGTATATTTATGAAAAGTATTTGCTGGAAGCTAAATGGTTACAATTTATTGCAATAACTAGGTAACAGAAAATAATTGAACAATACAATAACAATGTAACAAAATTACATTTTAATAATATAACAATAAGAATTAAAAAATTAAAAAAAGTGGTCAATATTGACAAGTCACATAATCCTTGCAAGGGACTCATTGGTCGTACACACTGGGACATAGAAATAATAGTTGATGCAGAAAGAAAAAGATAGTACTATATAATATATCCATTGCATGAAGAATGGAGTCTACTAGACTTGAGAGTAGCTTGCTTATACATTTTAACTAATTCTACTAGTGGAGCTAAACATATCCACATAATGGCTTTTATTTATACCTAATACAGTGAAACTTCCTTAATAAACAGTCTCAAGGACAACAAAAAAAAAATTGTATTTTAGAGAAATTTGTTAAATAGAATTACATATTCTTAAATTAGTTAATTTTACATATATATTATCTTTTTAATCTTTTTCAATTTCTTTAATGGAAGTAAGTTGTATTAATATTTCACTATGTTTTATCAATTATTTTATATGTCTATGGATGAGATTCACTTAAAAATCACAATAATTTCCAAATTTTTAAGCATATAATGTGCAAAGACAATAGAATAATGTAGTTTTACATAACATATATATAATAATATGATGTAATATGGATGTATTACAGGAAACATATTTTATGTTTATACATTTTTCATACATTATACACTGTGTATCGATAAATATATTTATTAAATAGTTTGAAAAAAAGACTGTAAAAAAAATCATTTTAATTTGGCACCTACCTTTTTTTAACCCAATTTTTCACATATTGGGCTAACAATACCTACACTGCAATTAAATAAACATGTTTACTTTGAACTAAATTAATATACTTACAACCAAATTCTAAATTAATAATTAATATGAATATTCCTTTATATCCTTGATAAAAACATAATTTTAAAATTTTAAAATTATTAACTATTATATTACCTTTTTTGGTAAGTATTATATTTATTAGAAAACTAAAGGTATTTGCAAATATACTAATAATTATAATTGTTCATTAAAAATAATTTCTGATTATTATTTTGTATGTAGTTGATTGTCTCTAATAGTAATTAACTACCTAGTAAGGGAAAAATTAGTTAATCAATTTGTTATCAGTGCAATTAAATTATCGACACTTAAATTGTATAATAAATAATACTATTGTATGATTTGTATATGATAATATCATTGTCATTAATATTTTAAAATATATATTATTATATATGTCATCTCTTTTTTAGAAAATGGACAATGATAAATCAAAATTGTCCATAGATAAAGCTGACGAAATGGACATTGACGATGATCCATGTTCTGATGAAGATGTTGATAATGGGGCGCCTATGCTAGATGATGATGACGATGATGATGATGACGAAGATGATGATGATAATGAAGATATGGATGATGATCCAGATTATCAAGAAGAAGATGGCTCTCGTGTTTCCACTGAGGCTGCTTCTATATCAGTAGATGAAACCTCTTCTAATCAAACTCCAATAGACATCTCTATTAAAACAGAAGGTATATTGTATTTTTAATAGATAGGTCTGTTTGCGGTGTATATGTATGTTTTAAATTGTATATATGCAGATAAAATTAATTTTTGTTCAATAAACTTATTAAAATAATTTATCAAATGTACAATGTACATACAAGCATATAATAAACATCTATAACATTCGTATTTAATACTTAATTTTATGTACAATTGAGTGAAAATGTTTAAAATGCTTATTTTTAGAAGGCCATTTTGAAGAAACAACATCATGTTCACCTGTTAGGAATACTATTGCACCTACATCTTATGGTAGTCCTTTACAAATGAAAAAATTGAATTTAAAAATTAAAAGATGGAGAAGGTAACTATGTAAAAAAAAATACTTTTATTAAAATATGAATACTAATTCAAATTATATTATAGATTTAAAACTTAGTTACCTAATAAAATTGATTATTTTTCTTAATAGGGAGGATGTTGAAATTAAATCTCCAGTTTCTCGAATGGATGAAAATATTCCTGCTTCATCTTTGGTCGACCCTACAGTTGATGACAGAAGTGTATTATTTCAAGAAACTTGGTAAATATGCTTTGATAATTTGTTATGATTGTCTTTACTAATATTTCAATTTTTAGGCCGGGAAAAGTCTGTGCATTTTGTAATTTAGGAGAACGAAGCCAATTAGGACAAGGGTCACTTTTAAGATTAGATTGGGGAAAAGAATTTAAATCAGCATTGGATGAGTTTAATAAACAATTAATATCTAAACAACTTGCTCCAATGCCATTGCAATCACCAACTGCTGAAATGGCACCTACTGTACAGTATAGAAGACAAAAATCGGCTGCTAAATTTAAGTGAGTTTTAATTAATACTTATTATTCATTTATAATTATTACCAGTTAACAAAATTGACATATGAAAATTAATGTGATCTTTATGCTTCATTAGTTCTTATTTTATTAATTATATTATTTTAGACAACAACAATTTTCAACTAGTAGTTTTGAACCCGTGGATGAGCTCAGTGTTATTGGTCACTTGGATATTCCTGACTTAAGTTTGATATTTGAACAAAACGAGTCAAATGGTTATGTTTATGTTCATCAGTTTTGTGCTACTTGGACCCAAGGTGTAAAATGTGATACTGCTGATTCGTTGGAAAATGTGCCTGAAAATATTTTAGAAAGTTTAATGCGACGGTGTACTTATTGTAGTCACCTAGGTGCTAGTGCTCCATGTACATACACAAATTGTTTGAAATTTTTTCATTACCCCTGTATCTTTGCGTCTGCTTCATTTCAAGAGATGAGTGTACCAGCTTTAATATGCAATTCTCATCTGGACCATGTTCCTTTAATGGGTTAGTATAATATTTAAAATATTGATAATATACATTTTTATACTAATAATAATTAATTTTGTACTTTTAGAATTATCTGCTAATGTTGCTTGCGGTATGTGCTCAACTCTAGGAGATGTTTCTAATTTAATGATGTGTACAGTTTGTGGTAATCACTATCATGGTGTTTGCATTGGAATAGCTCTACTCCCAGGTATAAATTAAAAAGATAAGTTAATTTATAAAAAAAAAACTGACATACTTCGCAAGTGGATGGGCCACTGTTTTTAGGTGAGAAGTTGGGAAGGTAGTAGGGAAATTTAATGTATATTTGAAAGCAACAATTAACCATTGCTAACGAAAAACGATTCTGAGTAGAGTTAATAGTGTGGCTTTCTAAATATTATTTATGTCATATTATGGTAAAATAATTAAATAAGCATTAAACATTTTTTTTTTAATAATATTTAATATTGTACCTATTTTCCTGGTTTTCTCATTTGTTAAAAAAAAAAAATCATAAAATTACCACCCTAAAGTGCCACTTCAATCAGATTTCTTTTCAGAAAAAGTGCTATCATTATACACCCAAGTAAAATTCCTGGTAGAAAAATTATTCGCAGATAAGAAAAAAAAAAAAAAAACCAATATAGTCCTTACTCTGTTCAAAATCTATTTTTCTTGGTATGGTAGGAAAATCATAAGTTTTGGATACGCATGATGAGGTAGCATAGAATAGCATATAAAAAGGCACTTAACTACTTATCACTTATATCTACGTATTAATTTTATTCTGTAAAAAATGTACACTATTTTAAAATAAAAAAAAGCTATAAAGTAAATTGTATGTTTTAATTAAGGAGTAAGAGCTGGTTGGCAATGTGGTAATTGTCGAATTTGTCAAGTTTGTCGGCAACCAGCTGAACAGACTAAAGTCATGTTATGTGAAGGCTGTGATAAAGCCTATCATCCTGGTTGTTTGAGACCACAAGTGACAACTATACCTAAAATTGGATGGAAATGCAAAGTAATTAAAATTTAATTTAATTTTTTTAACATCAATATCAAATTAAATTAAAATGATGTTATTATTCTTATAAAATTGCATGTATTTTTTATGCTATAGTTATGTATTAACTATTTTATTTCAGTGTTGTCGTGTGTGCACTGACTGCGGTTCTCGTACCCCAGGTGCAGGATTATCTTCTCGATGGCATGCCCATTATACAGTTTGTGATTCGTGTTATCAACAACGTAATAAAGGTTCTTCTTGTCCACTTTGTCATCGAGCATATCGAGCTGCTGCTCATCGAGAAATGGTTCAATGTATATCATGTCGAAAATATATCCATGGTGCTTGTGATCCTGAGGCTGAATATATAACTAGCCATAGTAAAAGTTCAGCGTCTGAGTATATGTGCCCAATATGTAAAAACGTTGTGACCCAACGTCGTGATGGTTTTGATGAACTTGGAGATTCAAATAGCTCAATTGATCTTTTGCAACCTGAACATGATACAGAATACAATAAAGTATGTACCTTTAAAATAGTAATATTATTGAATATTAAGTTACGAATATTATATTTTGTGTTATAGAATAGTAAAGATTTTGATGATGGTCGAACGGTTAGTGGTTATGGTTTAGGCAAAGGAAAACCATATGCTGCAAGTAAAGTAGCTAAGAAAAGATTATTGTTTTCTGGTTATGCTGGCCGCTCCAAAGGATTAGGCAAATTAAATGCTGCACTAAAGCCCATGTACCAGAAAAAAGGACAGCGTCCTGCTGAGTTTCCCAGAAAAAGACCTCGAGGGAGAATGCGAGGGATATTTGGTGTACCAGGTCTTGGATTACAAGTAAGAATTTAAGAAACTTTCCATTAATGTTGTTGACAATTTATTTATTTATCCCTTTTTTAGAGACCTTTGTCTGATGTGAGTTCCAAAAGTACATCAAATGATGTTGATCCTAGCAATGAAAATCGTATTGTCTTATGCTCGGCTAAGGATAAATTTGTACTTGGCCAAGATATATGTGTGATGTGTGGGTCATTGGGTACTGACCAAGAAGCATGTCTAATTTCATGTTCTCAGTGTGGTCAGTGTTATCATCCTTTTTGTGTCAATGTCAAAGTGAGTTGGTAGAATAACAATTTTATTTTTTAAGAATTCTATTTTTTTTTTTTCTTAATTTAATCTTACAGGTCACGAAAGTTATTCTTCAAAAAGGATGGAGATGTTTAGATTGTACAGTCTGTGAAGGTTGTGGACAACGTAATGATGAATCTAGACTTATACTTTGTGATGAATGTGATATTTCTTATCATATTTATTGTACTGATCCAAAACTTGATTATGTCCCTAGAGGAACTTGGAAATGCAAATGGTTAGTAATAATTGGTTTAGTTAACTAACATTTTTAATTATTTATTTTGTTTATAAAGGTGTGCACAATGCTTGACATGTGGGTCAAATGATCCAGGTTTCAATTGTTCCTGGTTAAATAATTATACTGAATGTGGACCATGTGCTTCGCGAAATACTTGTCCATCATGTCAAGAATTATATACTGATAGTCAATTAATTATTAAATGTTCTCAGTGTGATAGGTAAATTTTATTATTTTGGTGAAATTATTATTATTATTATTATTTTTATGGGTCTTTATTTTAGATGGCTTCATGGGAAATGTGATAAGATTGAAAATGAGGATGATGCTGAAAAATGTGCTGAAGAAGAATATTGTTGCTTATTATGTCGCCCACGTGGAACGGCTCCACCACATTTAACTCATGTTTCCAGTCCTAAAATGAAGCAGAAAATATCATCGCGGGATAATAGTCCAGATGGGTGTAGAGGGGTCACAAATGAGTACTGTATGGATGGTATTTATTTATCTGAATCCGGGATTCAGCATATGAAGTATCTTACTAGTGGTATAGAAATATCTCACCAACGTAAAAAGCGAAAAGATATGAAGAAAGCACAAATGGAAAAAGAAGCTGCGATTATGGCAGCTATTGAATCTGTTGTGTGTAATAGTAGAGGTAAAATATTATTAATTTTTATTTGTTCTTTTATATTTTAATGATAATAAAGAATATTAATAGTTTTTTTTATAGAATTCACAACCATTAAAATAATTGGATTTTATTAAATTATTTTTATTTTATTTTAGATAATATAAATGATTCTATAGATCTACATGATGATGTATATAAAATGGATTTTGATGACATCAAAGAAGAACCCAGTGAACCAGAACCAGTATATAAAGAAGGGATGATAGTTCCACCACGTGATGATGGCCGTACTCCAGAAGCACCAGAAGGTTTTAGTATTTTGACATTAGAATCTGGAGTAATGGTACTACGCCGAAAACGAGTTAGGAATCTTCAAAAATTGGGTATTGGAGGATTTGTAGTGAGAGGACGGATGCCCCGAATTAAAGATAAAGATGAAGAAAATATTCAAGATGGTGATGGTGATGATAACAAGCCTAGAAGAAAACCTAATCGGTGGAGAAAACCCAAGAGTAAAATTGCTGAAAATTATCCAAATTATATACAAGATGCATTTTTTGGTCGAGATTTATTGGATGCAAGCAATGTTGCTGTGCAGATTTTTGACAGTAGCGAGTCTGAAGAAGTAGAAGAAAAAGATGAAGATATCAAAACTATTGATCTTTCTCAGGTTAGTTATATTTAAATAATAATTTATAATAAGTTGTAGGTAATAGTGCATATATTTTAAATGTCAATTCAATTTTTAATTTAAGGCCGAGTTAAAAATTATGGAAGAAATTAAAGTAAAACAACAGCTAACAAACGAAATAACCAAGACATGTTTGAATATCAAAGAAGAGAGGATTGAGCAAAACGAGTCGCCAAAAATTGTTGAAAAAGTATGATTTTAAATATAATATTTATTAACAGTACAATTAGAATCTAAAATAATAATATTAATTTTCATATTTACTTTCAGTTGTTAAATAGATTTAATTTAAATAATATTTATTTCATAATTTTTTAATTTTTGTACCCATTTAATTTTAATTATTTAGTTTATTAAATTATAACATTCAAGATAATTTTTATTTTTAAAAACACTAATGTTTTATTAAACAATATTTTTGTATAATTTACAACAAATTTTGTTATAATTGAAATTTTTTTTTAAATTTATCTGCAGATGACATTTAAAAATATTTAATATGTCCTAAACATTATTAGTGGGATAGGCGATAGACATTACTAAGGCTCGTATACTATAAAATTCGTTATTTTTTTTATGGAATATAGATAAAAATAGAGCTATATTTATGTTATGTATATGTTTTATATTTCTGGTATTTCAAATATACAATTTTATATTACATGTTATTCTATATTTGATGCATTTTAGACTTTAAGTGTTATTTTCTAGTTGAGGTGCATTTTTTTGTTGATATGCACAAGTACGATTTATTGTGTGGTTTTTCATAAATTTACTTTAAATTAAATGAATATAGTGGTACCAATTGTTACCAATTATATTACTATTATAAAATGTAATATTTAGTATTTTTACTTTTGTAAGCTACTAATTCAAAATTATCAAAAATTTTGAATATTGGACAATAATAATAAAAAAAAAATTTTATCACTGCTATTTTCTATGTTTTCAGGGCATATTAAAGCGCATACATTTTGAGATTTTTTTAGTAATATAATGTATCTTTCAATACCTTATTGTACTATAAAATCTGAGCTTAGGTCATTAGTATTTGAAATATGATTGGAAATAAAAAAAAAAATTAAATTAATAAAGATTTTGAAAAATTAAATTAATAAAGATTTTGAAAAATTAAATAATTTATATTGAGAAATAAATTAAAAAATTGGGCTGTTTTATTTTAAATATCTTTTGTACATAAAATATAAAGTAAGTTCTAATTTTCTGATATTTCTTTATTTTCAGATTCAGAAAAAAGAAATTTCATCTACGAATGAGAAAGATGCTTTGAAAGATATTTTGTTATCAGATAATTTATTAGATTCAATTATGAATGAACAAACTACTAATATTAAGACAGAAATAGAAGGTACTTGCATTATAATTTTTATAATTTGCATTAATACTTTATTTTGTAATTTTTTTTAGATACAGGTTTAATAGTTGAAGATCCACCTGACTTGAGTGATAATTGTTCATCAGCCCAAAAAGACGAATTTAGTGAAATTTTAGGTTCTCACTTTAACCTTGACTCAATGGTCAGAGAAACCGGTAAGTTTTTATTTTTAATTAGGAATGTGTATTATATGGTTGCAGTCAAGTGTAGTTGAGAAATGTGAATGTGATTGAGAATGATATGAGGATGGCGGGTGTATGTAAGTATAATGTTAGGGTTCGAGTCAAGTGTAAGTTTAGGACAAGTGTGGCTGATCCCAAATAGTTTGGATGAAGGTAAAGGAAAAGAAGAAGAATGTGCATATAATTGTATTAAAAATATTAAAGAGGTTTCTTTAATGCAGCAGTTCCTAAATTGTATTATTTTCAAGCGTACCCAAAAATAAGAATATATTCTCACACCTTCCAGGATTGAATAATATATTGAATAAAATGGGTTCAAAATTATTGTTTTTGCGTTTATTCCCATATTATTAATATATATCAGTCAGGAAACAATATTAGATAAATTTATAAATTTGATCTTGTGTAACTAAATGTAAAAAAAAAAAATATAAAAAAATGTAGGGAATTTAATTTATTTAAAGTTGTCTGTGTGATAAATTCAAATAAGTTTTTAGAAATTTTACTTAAATTTTTATACTGAACGAATGTTAATTTAATAAATCAAAAATTAGCCTTATATATTATTATTATATCTAATTTAATAATTAGATTTATATGTTTTTATTGTTAGAGGGTATATATTTTATTATTATTTATTTCATTGAAAAGATAACGGGCCCCACTGAACAGGTTTGTGTGGGAGCATTATGTTTATAAATTATACATTGATTATATATTGACACATTATTTATATCTTAAATATAATATACTGAGTAACATAAGTACATTGTACAATTATGGTCTACGTATTAAGGCTTCATTGTTAATAATAATAATAAATTTGAAAAATCATTTATTCTAATTGTTTTTTGCTATTAATCTTTTTTCAATTACTCTGTAATGTAAAGGGTCATACATAAAGTAATATCATGAAAGTAAAAAAAAGACCCGATACTCTTGATGGATGTTTTACTTTTGGCAGAATAGGATACATAAAGAATATCTGTACTAAAAAAAAAACCATTGTCAACAAAATACAACATTCAAATAGAATAAATACAAATTTTTAAGTAAAGGATGTGGACTAGATTATTTTTTTAAAAATAGGTTTTAAATGTAATTTAGTTTACAATGGTTTACTTATTCTGACACTTTATTAAAAAGTGCATTCAATTATAAGAAAGTTTCACAGAAACCTTATGTTTGCCTTTTATGAATGTGGTCAAATTTTCAAAAGATTTGAGTTATTTTTAAGCTACAAAACATTTTAATTTTGCAAGTTTAATACATAATATTTATTCAGTAGGTACTCAGTGGATTAAATTGTTAAACTTAACAGAAATGCTTGACAATTTTACAGGAGGTTTATTATAAGTGGCACTTGGTGGTTAACAAGAAAAAGTTGAGGTTAATGTAATACATTTTTTTTTACATAATTTTAATATCAAATTTTGACAAAAATCATAAATATTACAGTCTTTTATATATGTATAACCGAACTTCGCTCAGAATTGTTTTTTCTTTAGCAAAAATTTAGCAATCGATATACATTAAATTTCCCTCTATATCCTACCTTTCCAATTTCTCACTTAGTAAGTGAGAACAATACTCAACAGTAGCCCATCCATCGTGCTAAGCATGTTTGCTAAATAGTTTTTTAAATACCTAATTGTTAATTGACATAATAATAACAACAGTAATCATCAAAAAAATGTCTATTAGAAATTACTAAAAACGTATTTGAGTTAATTTATTAAAACAAATTTTAATTTAAATATTTATTAGTTTTTTTTTATCATTTTTATTTATGAACGTATAACCTAAGATATAATAATTGTAGAGGATAACAATGTTATTAACCCTCAAGGAGTACGTGCCTTTTTTAATGTACATAGTTATTTAGGGGTCTATCAGTATTTCTAAAAATTTGTAAAATATATAATGTGAGTTCATTTTTTTTTTTATTCAAATACGTAATAAAAAATATATAAAAATGCATTTACGTGTAATGAAAAAAAAAAAAATAAAAATAAATACAAAACTATTTCATTGTTATTCTTTTTTTTTTTTTTTGTAATATTTAAATTTTATTTTTGATGAGAGTTAATTAGACCCCCACATGTCTGTTCAAGGGCTTATAGGCTATATTGAAAAACATATAATAAGTGATAATAGTAATAGTAGTAGTACTTACAACAGAATTAACAATACACATAACCTTAGACATTTAGCAAAATAACAATATTAATTTAATTTATCTAATAGTTATTAACTTAATTACTGAAGTAAATGGTTATAAACAACCAATATTTTTTTAAATATATATAGTTCAAAATAGTTATAAACTTTTTGTCTAATTTATATCTCTTATGTATGTTAATAGATAGTAAAATGATAGAAATTAATGAGATAAGTTAAATATTATATAAATTTAAGAATGTAAAAATATATTGATTAGCACTTAGAATTGTAATGTGTTGGTTTTGAATCAGTTTAATTAATTATAATTGTTTTCCCAAAAAAACATATTTAAAATTAATTTATACAGTTTCAATATTGTTGGTTTCTTCTTTTTGAAATGGAAAGTGTTTCAAAACTTCACATAGGTTTGGAAATCCTATTAATGTTTTATTCATCAATTTAGCTACCTATTAGAAATAAGGGTGAATGACCTACTGCGTACATATTAATTTATTTAAATGTAAAATAAAACAATGAATTTGAGATTATAAAACACAAATTTGCAGTCAACCTTTGGTTACACAAGAATTTTGTATTTCAGGAGATTAAATATTTTACATTAGTATTATAGATTATTTTAAAATTGAAATGTGTAAAGCTTGTTTTTAATTTAATATGTTTTATGTTTAATAAATTATTCATTTTTTTTTCTTATTGTCGTAACGACATTTTAAAATAGTCAAAATGAGATAGTAAACAGTTAATTAAATTTAATTACATTTACATTCAAAACTGTCTATGAAACAAAATTTTACTCTATTTAAGGTTTGCCAAATATGGATAGTAAAGATGTTGAAGAGATATTTAAAGTTGTTTTAACTGATGATGCGTCACAAGAATCTCAAGATCCAAATAACTCAAATATGTTATTAATGAGTAACAATAATATGGGTGTTATCCCACAAACTCAAAGTGGAGTTGTTATGGTTCAAAATCAGAGTCATACACCAATAATGTCTCCATCTCGTACAGGTACACAATTTACAGCCGAGTTTTAAAATATTGGTTATTAAATAAAATTTGTTTATTTAGGCTTGCCAACTAGTATGTCTCGTGGAAAGGTACCAGCACCAGCATTACCACCAGTAGTTACCAATATGCCTTCTCCTATATATCCTGCAATGTCACCATATCATTCTGAATATAGCAAGTGAGTAATTATTAAATTACATCCATTATACATAATTGTTAAGATTTTAAAATTTCTAATATATATATATGTATTATTTTATGAAACTCCATAGTAGTCCATCCCAATTTAGTCCAGCATTTTCTGAACCTCACAGTCCTTGGGTTCAAAATAGTGGTGGTGAAGACAGTTTAGAAGGTGTTGGATCTCAGTCATCAGCATTAAATAATAATCAAAGAAATTCTCAAAAAATGGAAGCAGATGAAGCTTTAGGATCCAAAGCTACAATATCAGCTGTACTTTATGCTAATCTTACTCATCCTGAATGGAAAACAGAATTTCCTTGTATGTTACAAACTTATTCCATACTTTTTGTATTATATTATATTATATATCTTACTATAAGTATAATATTTTTTTTAAATATATCTAGCTTGGCCTGAAAGATCTAGACAAATATTAAAAAAATGGAGAACATTATCTCCAGAGCAAAAAAGTCCATTTTTGTTAAAAGCAAGAGAAAACAGGACTAATCTAAGACATAAAAAAGCACAGCAGGTAAGCGTTAATATTTTTGTGCATTTTTTATTCAGAAAAATTAATTATATCATAAAGCATTTCACAAAGGTTTATGCAAATTATGAAATAAATTTAGCATTCATCGTGGGAGCTTTACAATCATATTAAGTGGGATAAATTTATAATGTACATTAAAAACCGTAATTATATATTATAATTCCTTTAAAATTCCTCTACTTGAAAGTAAAGCTTTTTAAATGGGGCTTAAGTTAAAAATTTACCTATTTGTGTGTGCTTATGTGACTTGGCCAAAACGCTTTTGGTGTTAATATAAATTATGATAAAACATCATATTATCTATCCATATGTTTTAGGCCAATCACAAATTACAGCGTTTTGCACATTTTTGGGATTCATTGAAAACAGATAAATTAAAACAATATTGGTTTTATATTATTGGTTATGTCTAGCTGTTGATTAATTTTAAAGCACTAGTAATTTTTACACTTGCAATTTTTAGATTTAAACAATTCACATAAACCTAAATATGTTAAAAATAGAATTATAGTTTCAGGATCCTAAAGTTAAAACTATTTTAAGTGTTATCCTATTTAAGTGTCCACCTTTTTCCTAGGATTAAGCACATAGATTGATTCTTATACTTTTACTAGTATAATATTTCTTGAAAATATTTTATAAATAATATTATTTATTAAGAAAATAAAATAAAAAAATTTAATATTTAATAAATATTATATATTGATTTGGTTATTTGGGTGTTCATTTTGTATGTGACTAGGTTTAATATACGACTTATTTATTGTACATGCACTTGCTTATCTTTAAAATGTTAAACAAGGTGTTCATTCTAAATATTTGGGATTGACCTCTCTCGTCCAAAACTTCCACTCGACTTAGTCTCTAACATCACATACACTGGTTGTTCTAATATTCTCAATTGTACCCATTCACTTTTTTTTTCAGTTTTTCTCTCTCTTGCTTTCCTCCATGTTTACTATCATTAAAATTCTTATTGCTTTGATTCATCACTTCTCATGACATACCTAAACCATAGTCTATTTTCTTTCATTTTGTTTATTATTGATGCCACGGCTAAGCTACTTCATAAGTACTCATTCCTTATCTTATTTTTCTTGTCACTTCACTCATCCATCTAACTATTTTCATCCTTTCTACACTTGTTTTCTGTTTTATTTTTCTGTTGTTCATTCTGAACCGTACAACATAGTCGGTCTCACCTTACATTAGTAGAACTTACCTTAATATCTCATTGGAACTATCTTGTTACACAAAACACCTGATTCTTCCTTTTACTTTATCTAACCTACTCTTCATTCATTCTATGTTTCATATTCTCATAAAACGCCACTGTTCTTTTGCACAAAAGATCCTAGGTACTTAAACATTTTCCTTAGTCTCAATTCTTTAAATACTTTATACTCTTCATTATTCAAGCCTATTGTTAACTTCCAGATTTTCCTGTTGTCCCTTTGTACATCCGAGAGGGGACAACCCGTCTTTGTTTTGTTTAGAACTTCTCATACTGTTTGACTTTATTTTATATAGACTTTCAACTTGACACAATCTTCTAAGAAGAAGAGTTATCTCTTACAACAGGTAGTAGTACAGTGGGAGTATTCTGATCCCCTGCCTCGGGGATTTTGTAAATGCTTATTAAATTACTTTCATATAATTTATTATAATGTATAAAACAAACAATATTTTACCTCGTACTCTGATCTAATTCATATCGTGAAAAATTTACAAGGTCACATCGGCCTGAGTATTCCAATAATATAACAATCATATTACATATACTTTATCGTTTTTATTTAATTTAATAACTTACATACAATATTATATAACTCTTAATATTCAGAGCAACTTGTATATCTTTATAATTTTATTATAACTATAATAACTGGTTTTTACCTATGTGTAAACTTACCTATTACGTATGTTTGAATAAATGTTTCTAGTTAAATTTTTATCATAATATAATAAACCAATTTTTGTTATAAATATCATAGTGATACAATGATGTATACCAAAAAAAGCAATTGGTGAAATGTAGAAATCATCACTATACGACTACACTTATAGTGATTTTTTTTAATAAACACTTTTTTGTTATTTTTGTTTTTTTATCATTAAATATGATCAATAATTTCTCAAAACAAAAATTATTGGTACTTAATAGGTCACATATTTAACAAATACCTTTTTTTGATTTAATTTTAAATAATTGTATGGTTTTAATAATAGTGATAGTTATAAAAAAAAAATAATTCAAAGAAATATATTAATCTAAGTATTATTGATTTAAGAATCTTTTTTTGTACATAGTTGTATACAACTATAATGAAATCTTTTTTCTTAGGTTTCAATAATTATTTAAAGAAACGGCATTTTCAAAATGTTATTTTTTTCCTTTCTAAAAATAAAATGTGTTTGCCATCGTAAGAGTGTTAGGGTCTTAAGTTGATTTGTTCTCATTGTATTGCTTTTGGGATTTGTTTCTTTAATGGCACCCGTTCTATAACAACAAACAGGCCGTGAAGGATGACAGTACCAGTGGCGACAACCGGACCAGTTCAACATCTAGTGCTACCCAGAGTCCGACGATTAACAATGGAGAGGTGTGTCCCACCAAAGAACTGATGCAACCCGCAATACTAATTGCCGCTGGTGATGGTCATACTAACTCACAATCCCCTCAGCCTACTGATCCTGAGCTTGAACCTAATCCACCTCAGCAAACATTTCCTACTACTATTCCTACTCATCCATCAACAATACAATACATACCAGTTTTACCTAACCCTCCATCACCTAATCCTGTTAATTTACGTACAATTCACATTATTCCTGCTGAAAAAAATTCTACTGAACCAATTCAGTATCAATATGTGGCATCAGGGTCATCTGAAAGGGGCACTTTGCATTATCCACCAAATAGTATTCACATAATACAAACAGTTCCGTCGTTAATAATGTCCAATTCAATATTAGCTACATTAGACACTAAAAATCAAACTGATTCACGTAATAACTTATTACATATAATCACATCACAGCCAACTGGCACAATACGTAATGTTCAGTTGGTAAGAAATGAATCATCATCAGCTGGCACTGAGGGAGCTAAAACTAACATAACCGCTAGCAGTACTAACAATTCAGTCAGCACTTCACCTCCGCTGTCTGACCAACAAATACGCGTACTAACACCATCTGAGATAATGCGCACACTCCCGTCCCTTGGTCAAGAGACTTATGACCCTGTGGTGAGCGTTCACTTGCACGTTCTGGGAAATGATTTTCTTTGGATATTTATCAGTTCAGCCTATTTCTTCTTCTTTTTTTTTAATAAATACATTTATTTTTTATTTTTAGTATACTCCCAGCTAATCGTATATGCTTCTAAATCCATAAATAATTTTTAGTATTTACTATCTAATATTTTTTAATGACCTAAGTTATTTTCATTATCTCGTGTTCAGACTATAAAATGCTGTTATCGATTTGCATTAGGTATCTTAACATTATTATTAACTTAATATTGTTTGGTGATGGATTTAAATGATAGTAATATTAGGTTGATATTATAATTGTGTTCAGAAAGTATAGGCCAAATTAAATAACTTTAATAATACGTTGAAATAATATGATAATAAAATATTTATTTACTAGGTATCTTAATAAAGATTCAATAAATGCATTAACTTTTGCTCCGTTCAATATTTTCAACTTTTTTTTATAATAATTTATAAAGCTTTGCTATGATTACTTTATTTTATATTTTTCAAAATTAAGAATGAAAGTTGTTTTTACAAAATCCAAAATAGCCATTTTATAATTTTATTGAAAATATAGTGATTTTGAAACAAAATTTTGGTATTGCAAATATTTACTAGTAATGAATCGTTAAGCTTCTAAAATGTTTGGAAGTTTACAAACATTATTAATAAAAAAAATTTGTATTATGTAATAGTATCAATGAAAATAATTAAATTATCTTAACCTTTAAAAAATATTATTGATCAATTCAAACATTTTTCAATGAAAAATAAATTTATTAATGATGTTTTGTGTTTGTTTCATGTTTACTATGACAAAGCATTAGTAAAAAGAAAAATGATTTTTTGTAAATTTAATGATTAATCGTTGGTAATATATGTAACACCAAAATTCTGTTTTAAAATATATTTATAACATGGCTATCTTGGATTTTATAAAAACAATTTTTTTCAGCAATTTAAATTTTTATTTTAATTTAAAAAATATAAAATATAATAATAATAATGAACCAGATCAATAGTTTTGCTTATGTGTTGAATCTTCGTGAGACATGTATCATCATATATATTTATATATATATATTTGTTAAATTCTTTGGGATTTGATTATAATAAATAATGATTAAATTTTAAATACATACATATAATTGTATTTGAAATAGTCATGATTAAACTGCATTACAATCTTTGTATACATTTGTATGTATATATCTTATAAAAAAAAACATATTTAAAAAAATTAAATGATAGTTTTTATATTATTGCACATTATTTTGAACCTTTTAAGTACATACAAATTTGGATTTAAATTATAATTGAGATATATTTTAAAGGATATTGAACAATAATTCCTAATTGACATAAGTTTTTATATTTGGGATATATTTTCTGACACATTTATTCTTTAAAACTAGTCTAATAATTGCTGTAGAAAATAATTTTAAAATTTTAGCATGTCGTGTGGTAGATTTTGTAGAATACAAAGCTTATTTTTAATTTGAGTAGTTAGTTGAATTAGTCGGTGTGTGGATAATACTTAATAAATATATTTTGTACTATATCAATAAAAAATTATATATTATTTAACAAAATCTAGTTTGTGGATGTAATTTAGTAGGGCTACACAAAATTCAAAATAGTATTATTAAGTAAATAATGTATTTTTCTGTATGAAAAAAAAAAAATGGGTGTCTGGTGAAATTTCTTCTAAATTTATGAATTAATTATAATTTGTTTTTCTATTTTATTTTTGTTTATTTTTTTTTGTTTCGTCAGATGCATTAATAAATAAATAAAAAAAAAATTTGTTTAGCTTTTATTCATATTTGTTACTTCATATTAATCAAATTGATTGTTTACTTATTTGTATAGAGTATTTTAAGAATATCATTAACAGTTAACTCTTTATGGTAATAGGATCAAGATAAAATGATGTCTCAACAGAGATCACGTGAAGCAGAAAATGAACGTCAGTGGAAACAGTTACAAGCAATGCGACAACAACAGACACAAGCTGCTCAGCAGCAGCAAGTAATGCAAGATCAACGTAATCAAAGTAAATTATATAATAAACTGTGTAACTATTTTATTTTTAAGTAATGATTTTAATTAGAAAATATTTGTATATTTTCCTATTTATTTTAAAGTTTATCAAAGAGTACCAGTTCATCAACGAAATCTTTCTATTGATACAAATCAGTTTACTAATTCTGACCAACAAGTGCTGGTGCATGCATCAAATTTAACTACACAGTTACAAGTTTCTACTAACCAGGTAATATGAATTAATTGGTTCATTTAATGTAATACTATTTTGAACTCATAAATTCTTATTAATTAATAGGATGGTTCATTAACTCCACTGCAAAGTCCAAGTAGTGTGAGTTCTCAACAACAATCTAGGTCACCTTATCCTTCACCAGTTCTTAAAGTTAGTAGAGTTGTGAGTCCAGCATCAGCATCACCATCACCTCAATATTCACGGACTCAGCCGACACCTGGACCAACCGACCTATTTAGTCCACCAATATCTACAACTTCGGTAGTTCCACAACAAAGAAATGTCCACTATCCAACATCACCTAGAGGTCGAGAAGATGTTTTTTCATCACCTCAAGCAAATCATGAAATGACAAGACATTTGAGAGAATTACTTCAAAGACAGCAATTTAAAAAAGAAACTCCTGCTGATCAGCGAATTTGGAATCCAGAAGATACATCAAATCAAGAAATTACCTCCCAAAATGTACCAAGTCAAGAATTTGAAACTTCTTCTGGACCAACATTCCGTCAACCTTTACCTCCAAGTGCTGTTAAAACTCAACGTTTGCCTTTTCAGCAAATGGGAGCTCCAAATGCTCCTATGGTTATTCGTCACCGTGTACAAGATCCAAAGTTACAAGTAAAATTATACTCATATATTAATTTATATGTATTATAAATTAAACTTTTCAAATGTAATTTTTAGTTAATAGATCCTCGGTTTCGATTGTTGATACAACAGCAAAGATCTACTACTGGGGCAGTTATTAATAATAGCATGAATACTTCCCAATTTGGTGTATCCAATATTAAAAATGCTATCACCCAACAAGCATTGACTCAACACAATTCTAGGCCTTATGAAATAATGCAACAACAGCAGCAGCAGCAGCAGCAGCAACAGCAACAGCAGCAGCAGCAGCAACAGCAGCAGCAGCAGCAGCAGCAGCAGCAGCAGCAGCAGCAGCAACAACAACAACAACAACAACAACAGCAACAACAACAACACCAACAATTTTCAGGTATAAGTTTATGTAAGATATACAGGGTACCCCACGATGATCTGCCACTTGAAATAACTTTTGTTCTATTCAAAATCTCTGGTATATATATATATTTTTTTAAATAATTAATATGTTTCTACGCTATAGTTTATATTTGAACTTTTTTTTAAGGGGGAGGGGGACTTAAAATAAAAAAGTTTAAATTTTACTATAGTTTTTTTAAAAAATTCAAAATAGCTATTTTGTAAAATAGTTTTTTAAAAAATTGTTGGCGGTTGAAACTTGTTAAAGTATGGTCTTTTATTTTCTAAGATTTTCTGAAAATATCTATTATATGATAATATTATTGCATGATATTAACTCAAGGAAAAGAAAATCCTTGTTATGTGTTTTGACTAATAAGTGATTAATTAGTACTGTATAGAATAACCTTACTACTATAGGTAATATTCATATTTGCAAAAACTTAAAAAAAATTGCAGAAAATAATAGACCATACTTTAAAAAGTTCCAACCACCAACAATTTTCTAAAAAACTATAGTAAAATGTTCAATGTTTTATCTTAAGACTCACTACTAAAAAAAAAATGTTTATATATAAACTGTTGCGCAGAGGCATACTAATTATTTAAAATATATACACATCAAACATATTAAATAGAATAAAAGTTATTTCAAGTAGCAGAACATTATGAGACACTCTATATAGTAAAATATGTATAAATATACAAGTATTAATTATTATTTAAATACATTTTATTTTTTTAGTTGTAGAAAGATCTGAAACAAGCTTAGATCAAAAATATCAAGCTCCAATTAATGAAGTTTCATCAATAATTAACGATCCTAGTTCTATGTCTCAATCTATCGTCAGTCAAAATGTATCCGTTGGTAATAGGCATAATAATTTATTACATCAATCTCAACAAAATTCTATTAATGGTATTACAATATAAAGTATATTTAATAAAGTGCGGTTTTGAATATTCTAATTAATTTATCATATAGGAGCTGACAATGTTGATAACAGAAATGAAGAAATGACAGATAGTGTTACTGATGAGTTGGAAAAACTTCAACAAGAAGGTGATACAAACAATATCGGTGAAGTTGATGGAGTAAATGCCCTTTTAGGTGATTTAGATGACGATGATGAACTTTTAGGTAATTTTGTATGAATATTTTGTAATTTAACTGTATTAGATTAAAATTAATTAAAACTATATATTTATGTAGCTGAAATGGGAGCTGATTTTAATATACTGGAATATGCTGATCCAGAGCTTGACAATTTAGATTGTGGCAATAAAACAAATATTTTATATGATCTTGTTGATGACGAAGAGTCCAATAAGAGCACACACAATAAAACAGTATCAAATGATAAATCTTCAGAAGATATGGAAACCAAACCTAAAGAAGAAGTGGATAATTTATCAAGATTGGGTAATCTAAACGATAGAAAAGAACAAAATAGTGTTACTCAAGTATTGGGAATTGAAAAATTTGAACAAGATATTATTCACTCACCAAAAATTGACAGTTCACCCAATGTTGTTAATTCACAAGTAATGTATTATATTATATGCAAAATAAAAACAAAATATTTAATTAATTTTAATTCACTCTAGATTGTTCAAGATAATCAATTGGTCAATGTGTTGCAGAACAGGGAAAATATTAATTTTATGTCTAACTTTCCTGGGGATAATCCTTTACCCAAAATGACACCTATTGGATCTGGTAAAATACTTTATATTTCATTATTAAAATCAAATAAATTATATATATTTTGTTTGTGTATATAGTCCCTGTACAGCAACAGAGAATACTTCAAATGCAGCGTACTGTTGTGCCTAATCGTATGATGAATGTACCCCAACAAATTATACAGCAAGGAACTGTTCAACAAACTAGACAGTTAGCGCCACCCCCGCCTTATCCAGGACCACCACCACCATATCCTGGACAACATCAGGTAATTTTCAATGTTTATTTTATCATTTTTATAGTGCAATCGTTGTAGTTTAATTATTATTTTTGTACCCTTCAGTGGTTTCTTTTATTTTGCATTTAGATATTTTTTTTTGTAGATTCCCAGAAAAAAGCATGCCTTTTTAATAAAATATTTTCCCTGATCTTAAAATAAATCAGTTGAATTGAAAATAATGTTCAATCAAATTATAATCTTTTGATTAACATGTATGAGTAAATATTTAACTGTAAAAATAAGAAAAAGAAAAAAAAATCTAACCTATTTTTAATCTATTTTTGGATGAAATATATCTAATTGATGTGTTTGATATAATAATACGTAATTATTTGGGATTTCACTAACTAATGTGGCCCTTCAGGTCCGTATGAGGGCTCCTTTATCACACAGTGAAGTGGTACCACACGGTCTTATGGGCGTTCAAATGCAGAGAAGACCATTATTGCTTCAGGTAATTAGAAGAATTGAGATGATGATATGTCGTGAAATATTAAATACTTCAAAATAAAAATGAATTTATAATTTATATTCATAATAAAATAATACAAATTAATAATAGTCACGTGCACTACACAATATCGTTAGATGTGTTGTAATTAAATAACATTGAAACCAATTATAAATTTAACTCTGTTTTGACTCAAAATAAAAAAAATACATTTCAATTGCATTGTATTGATAATTATTAATATAACCAAATTTTAAAAGTATCTATTTTTAAAAGTAAAACAAAAAATTAAATCATAAAATTCAAATTAATTTATTATAATAAAACACTTCAAATAATATTTTTCAGTTTAAAATCAAGATCCTAAAATGTATAAAATATAAATAACTTTTATGATGCATACAAAATATTTTCAATACTATCTGTTTGCAGACCTCTTACAAGAAGTTTGGTTTACAAGTGTATATCCAGCGTTATGTTTAAAAAAATGAAATTAATAAAGGTCTGGGAAAAAATGATGAGTTTCTTAAATGATATTTTTTTGTTGAAAATAATCATTTTCTAATTTAAGTAGCAGCATTATTTTAATTGAAACTTCAGTACATGTTTATTTTTGTTTATATATTTGTAGAAGTAAAAATATTATTTGAAATAATCACATATTAAATATTGATATTTTTTGAGTCAAAACATAGTTGTGTAGTATATTTTATACTTGGTTTTATTCTCACTATTCAGCTCACTAAATTCGGCACTAATTTGTACTTTAATGTTAAAGTCCTTAACCAATGACAAAATCAATAATCAATAAACCTAAAATACTATTAATTATTAATTAATAATAATGTATAGTTGAAAGAGTTAAAATACATCCATATTATCAAATTATTTTTACTTTTATAAATGTTAACTTCAATAGGAAAATATTATTTTAATACAAATATTTAAAGCTTATTTGTGCAGTATTTTAGCATATTGCAAGTTTTCATATTAAAGTTGAATATAACTAATAGAAAGTTTACCTAAATTATTAATAAATTCATAACTAATTATTTTTGAAACAAAATTACTTTATTAGTTTCTCAATGAAAATCTTAGTCCATTATTGCATTATTACCTGTATTCATCTACCCCTAACCTTTGCTAATATTTCTCTATGCTGTATTCTAATTTCCTTTAAATTATTTTCATCTCTTTGAATATTCAATATGATACAAAAATAAATAATAGCTATTAAGTTATATGTTAAAATGTTTTTAGCTGGTTATTCTTCTCATAGATTTTTAAATCAATGAGGCTTTTGAGTGTTATTTTCTGAAATTTAGTAGTATTATGTATGAGTTATTAGATTAGTGATCTATTTATGTAATAATATAATATGTAAAGGACTGTAAATTAATAATTTAAAAAAATATTTATATATTTATTTAGACATTAAAATTGTTCACTAGTATCAATTTTATATTTGATTATTGAGAATTATTATTGGTAATGTTATCAATTAATTTTATTGGTTTGTTTGGATTTTGAAAGTTAAAAAATAAATGCTCAAGATGTTGACTGCCAATTTGCACCAATTGGCGTTATAAGGATATTGAGCAATGCATTTGACACCATTTGGTGTCCAATATAAATTTGATGTAAACAGTTGATAAATAGCTGTGCATGGCTGAATGATTTTGATTATTAATTAGCGTGATAAAAAAGTGTATGGATTAAAAGGATAAGAATTAGAAATGTGTGTATGCCCTGGAGAGAGAACTGTAAAAAGACACACACAGTTAATGTTTTAAAGAAAATACCATTAAAAAGTTTAAAATAAGATCTATAAAAATTTGTCTAAAAAAAAAATTCCCAATAATTATACTCATTCAAAAAGTTCTTGTAGTAAAAGTAGTTTTAGAAATGCAATTTCGTTAAAACATAAATTTGTTATAACTTTATTTTTGTGAGGAAATTATTATTCTATAAACACTAAGGACATGTGTTACAATCATGTGGACATGTTTTCATGGATTTTCAACGGCTGATCTAGTTACTAACTAGTATCAATTTTATGATTAATGAATAGAAAATAGTTAATACTAAATTATATTTAGTCTAAAAGAAAGGTTTTATAATTTTATTTTAATTCATAACTTTGATGCTTTAAGTCAAATTGAATGCACTTCAGACATAATTTTTCATGCATAAATTTATTTATGGTTTCAAAACCAATTGATAATAATGATTTTGTTTTTTCAAATTTATAATAATATTGTTTAATGTTTATAATTTGTCATAAAAGTTGCATGCTTTGGATTGTTTATAGTGATTTTTTTCTATTAAATATGTTTAGTTTTTTAAAATGTTTTAGTTATAACTGTGAAAACCTTAGATAGTTAAAAAACAATTTTGTTTATCATAAAATAATAAAATAAAACATTTACTGTAGCATTTGTTAAATTTATATAAAATATGTATACATATATTTCTTAGGAACAGCCTTTACTGCTGGAAGATCTTCTGGAACAAGAAAAGCGAGAACAAGAAAAACGACATGTTGATTCATCAGGCACCAATAGTAATGTTTCATCTACTAGTTCATCACTTCCTGCTTTAATGAGCGATGCTGATTTCGAAATTTTACGAAATGATGTTATGAATTCTTCTACTAGTGGTACGGCTATTGCATCTCCTCCTATAATTCAGCAAAGTAATTGATTTAATCATTTATATATTAAATATTTTATAATATTAAATTAAATCTAAACATGTTTTGTTAGATGTTACTGGAGTGTCACAACAAGCAAGTGATCAATTGCATATGCAAAGGTCCACTACATTTATACAGAGATCCTCATCTCAACCTGTACAAAACTGGACACAACCCCAACAATTACCTAGTCAAACTCCAGTTAGACAACAATTCACAGATCAATGTTAGTAGGGTTATCGTTTTATAATTTGTCTTATATTTAACCTTATTTGTTATTTGTAGCCTTAAAAGTTCCAATTTTTAATGCTCCAGTATTAACACCTCCTGCGCAACCACCAGAAGTAATAACAACAGACCAAGATCGTCAAATTCAACATACATATGAAGTATGGCTCACTGAACAAAGTAATATTGTTACTAAGCAGTTAAAATATTATGAAAGTGAAGTTCAAAAATTACGAAAAATGAGGAAGAGTATGAATAGTAAGCAACGAGTAGCTAGAAAACAGGGAAATGAGCTGTCTGAACACGATTCAATTGAACTTCAACGTATAACTGCTGAACAACAGGCTTTACAAAAGCTATTAGAATCAAGTCGTAAGCAAAATAAACAGCATATGGCTATTATACAAGTAAGTTTAAATCTAAATTTTATATAGTTTTATTAACACATTAATGAAAAAATATATGTATATTTAGGAGTATAAAAATAAACATCGCCCAAATGCAGAAAGTCCACAATCACCAAATGTATTGATGTCTCCAAATTCAACTGTTGGGCCCATTCAACAACAGAATTCAATGTCTCCACATAATAGTATTTCTACTCCTTTATCATCCCAGGTTTGGAAAAAATGTTTAAATCTTTTTTTTCAATTTTTCAAAATATTTATTTATTTATATTGTGTAGACTGAAGAAAACCCATATAGTCCAAACAATAATCAACAATCTCCGTTACAATCACCTCGATCTACTTTACCATCACCCCAGTTACGTAATCCTGGTCAATCAAGTCCTAGACAAGTTATTCAAAATATAAATACTCAAGAACAACTATCTAGGTAAGTAATAAATAAGTAAATATACATAAACGGTAGAAACCATTTATAATTTTCAAGGGACTAGTCAAAATTAGTCATAATAACTAAAATGCTAAAATAAAATTTAAAAACTTGATTATATTATATTTACATATTTGAACATAATATTTTATTATAACTAATTTATAATATCTTTATTACTTAATTGTAACTTCATATATACAAAGAAAAAAAAAAGACTGATATACTTCACACGATGGATGGGCCATTATTGTAGGTGAGAAGTTAGAATGGTAGGATGTAGAGAAGAATTTAATATGTATCTGTATGCAACGATTAATCATTGCTAATGAAATACCATTCTGAGCAGAGTTAAGTTATACATCTTTTAAAAGGCCATAATGTCTATGATTTTCTTTAAAATTCTTAAAAAAAATACTATTTCCTGTTGGCCACTAAGAACTATTTATGATGAACTTGCTTTTTAATTTTCAAGCATTTCTGTTTAGTCTAATAATTTTATCTATAGAGTATTTATCAAATAAAAATTAGGTAAAACACTTGTGAAATTAAAAAGTTTATAAATAGTATGAAAATGATGCTAATGTTTTGAATATTTTACCACTCTTATTAAAAGCAAATATATGGTTCTGTACACATTTTAAATCTTCACAAACATTTTAAACTGAATTAATAAAAAACCAAATTGAAAATAATAAAAACATATTATTTTCGTACATTTCCTCGTGTTTCTTATGTTTTTTCCCCAATTATTACGAAAACTGCTTAAATTAAAAAATGATCTCCTAAAGTACCAACTAGATAAAATTCCCTTTTGGACAAGGTGCTACATTTTGATACATCAGAGTAAAATTTCTGGTAGAATTTTTATACACAGTATATTAAATAAAAATAATAAAAAAATAAACATCTTTCTAAAACCAATATCGTTCTTCGCTTCATTCAGAATCCTAAAATTTCCATTATTATATTAAAATTAAATTTATTTTTATTCACAAAAAATCTGGTATCTGGTAATTTTTTTCACTTTTTTGAAATGAAGTATACCTCATTTTTTTTTTCAATTATGAATTCCTTTGTTTGCCCATTTTACTATAATTTAATGCACAAATTACACTAAACACAGTTAATCGCACATTATACGTTTGAATATACAAATGATAAAATTAAGAAACAACGATTACGTTACCTTCGATAAAATCATAATAGATAAAATATTTTTTGAAGATGTATAGTTAAAAATAATGAAAGGATGAGAAAATTAGTATTATCGGTTGGTTATATTATTTTTTAATAAAATACAGTCATTATAGATAACAATTTTTTCCAATATAACCAAAAATAATCCCCATAACAGTCATATAGACATACATATACCTTAGATCATATATAATGCATAAAGCCATAGCTTAATATTTTGATGTACCTGTTAGTGACAAGTTGCTAGGTTAGCTTAGGTGCGCTTGTGTGCCAGCGACTAGTCGCATATTTATTCCAATGCCTTAATATGATGTGATAAATATTAAATAACTGATAAATTAAGTGATAATAATAATATATATTTTAATGAATTAAAACTTGAATTTTTGAATTAGTAATAAATTGAACTCTGTATAAAGTATCTATAATACATTATAGATAAGAACAAAATAGTTGTGTCAATAATTTGAGATAAATATGCGACTAGTTGCCGGTGCGCATGCACACTAAAAGCTACTCACCTGGCTACTCATTGCTAACATGTACATTATCTATATTATATGTAATTTATAGGCTGTGGCTCTATCCATTGTGTATGATCTAAGACTTATACATAATAATTTGATACAAATTAGTACATACAATATAGGAGTCATGTCGGACCTTCAATCTAAGGTTATTACACTCAGTTTGTCATTCTAACTGATGCCATTAAACACCGTATATATATGTTATGGGTAGGGTATTAATTATCCCGATAATATAAACAACTATTCATTTTGCTCATTACCTATAAATTTTAGTATCCAAATTTCGGATAATGTGTACATTAACTAGTGTGCTATAGTTTAAAGTAAATAATTCATAAAATAAAGTAATAATGATTCATTTTTTTTCTAAAATATTATTTGATTAATAATTAATGAGATATTAAATACTATTTCATATTAAGTTATTCATTTTATTTTGAAATGCAATGATTTTTCTGATTTTCATCAAAATTAAAATGTGTATATTATAAAAAAAAAACTGGGCACAAACAGCTGTTATTTTACCACCCCATAAATTTACAGTGCTTTTTGTTATGATGTATCAAAATAAAGAGATCTCAATACATAAGTGTCACACTGTATAATTAATGCAAGACATTTCAAAAACCGTCACCTACACCTTGACCTTACACCGTGATAAGAATTCTCTGTTAATATGAATAGTACAATACACGTATACAGTAATAAAACTCGTGACCAATTATTATTTTTAATATTATATATTATCGTGAAAATCAGAGGTACCATAAAACACGTTTGTGTGTTACGAATTTTGAATTTGTGTTAAATTACCGGCTGTGTGTTTTATCCACATAATACCTACCAAATAAAAACAAAAATCTCGATAATTTCAAATATCCTCAGAATGTTACCATGTTTAGAAAGTTTAATGTGATTATTCTATGAAAATTGCAATTCTTTAAGATTATTTTTAATCATATTGCAACAAAAAAAAACTAACTCTGGAATAATGAAACTGATAATGTTTTAAACTTCAAAAAATTGTCTACGTTTATCCAATTATTATGTAAACTATAAAAAAATATTCTAAAAAAACTTACATACCAATTGGACAAAATTGTATTTTAGAAAAAATAGTGCACTTGAGTTTTGGTGTAAGATTTCAGGCTGAAAAATAAAAAACTAAATTAATGAAATTTAAAATTTAATTTACCATACATTTATTTGTTATCTATATCTTTGTTCTTCTGGTTTTTCCTAATTAATTTGAAAAATAAAAAAATAAACCCCTCTAATGCACCAACTAGATCCAAAATTCAATTCGGAAGGTCTCTTGTCGTGATATGATTAAGATTTCTAGTAGAAATATTGTCAACTGATAGAAAAAAAAAAAGCACACATAGTTAAACCATTGCATTCCTCACTACGCTTAGAATCTAATAATTTACTCATAAATAATTATTATATTGTTTTTTATAGACATCCAGGAATGACTCCTATACGTTTTGTGCGTTCGCCAGATGGCTTAACACTTCGAGCACGACCAACCCTAGTATCTCTTCAAGGTCATGTACCATCGACTAATACACCGAATACATATCAAAGTTCTAAAATAACAAATGTTACTATTAGCCAGGGATCACAAATTCAACAGCCTCAGCAGATACAAAGATTAACGTTTCAACAGCTCACTCCACAACAACAACAGTTACTTTTGCAAAGAAAACTCACTCAAAAGGCTCTACTTATATCTCAGCAACAACAAGAATTAACTGTTTCTGCAAATCAAGATCCAGTAGTTGTCCAACAACGACAAATGCATTTGGCACAACATAGACAAATGCTATTGCAGCAAATAGAACAAATTCAAAAACAAATAAATGAAGGACAGAACCAACAACAGAGACAAATACTTATTCAGCAAGCTCTACCAGGAAATCAAGATGGTAAAACAGAATTATCACCTCAACAAAGGCAGCAGATTGTTATTCAGAGGCAAAATATAATATTACAACAGCAACAACAGTTCCAACAGTTACAACAACAAAATATTCCTCAACAACAACAACAAATTTTGCAACCTCAGAATGGTCAGAATCAATTACAAATGCAATCACAAAACAATTCAAATTCAATACAAGGAGTGCAGCAGCAACAGCAACAGCTGCAACAACAACAAAATCCTGGACAGAATAATTTGACTCAACAACAAAAGATATTTCAGCATCAACAATTGCAGTTACAATTAGCCAAGCAGCAACATATTATGGCACAGCATAAATTAGTTCAGCGCTCATCTCAGCAACCAAATGTTATTCAATCTCAATTACCTCCCCAGCAGCAACAGCAGCAACAAACAGTATTATTACAACAACCATCACAACAAGAGCCAGGAGAAATTGTCAATCCAAATATTATTCGTCAACAACAGCAACAACAAACAGTATTATTACAACAAACACCTCAACAAGAACCAGGAGAAATTGTTAATCCAAATATTATACGCCAACAGCAGCAGCAGCAGCAACAGCAACAGCAACAGCAGCAGCAGCAGCAACAGCAGCAGCAACAACAACAACAGCACCAACAACAACAGATGTTATTACAACGTCAGCAACAAACAAGATTCCTTCAACAACAGCTTATATCTCAAGGAAAAGTTACCAGACAAATGGTTCAATCACAACAACAGTCTCCTATTCCACCTCAAAGTCCGAATCAACCACCACTATCACCTATGCCACCGCAAAGTCCTATTTCCAACAATCAACAATATTGTCAACCTAATAGTCCAATGATATCAGCTCAGTCGCCTATGTTATCACAAAGTCCTCAGCAGTTTTCGCAACCCGTACAATCACCTAATCCAACACAGTTTACTCCCAATTCTCCAATGCCTTCTCAAAGTCCTAGACAAACTCAGTTTATTCAACCTACATCACCATTAATGCCTCAAAGCCCTATGGTTCAGGGATATACTCATCCACCAGCAACATCACCATTTGGACAACCTCCACCCAGTTCGCCAAGTCCTAGACCATCGCAGAGTCCAAGAAACAGTCTGGGTCCTCCTAGTTCACCGATGAGTCCTATGCAACAGAATCCATATATAAGACCAACGACTAGTCCAATGGCTGCTAGACGAACAAATGTCGGTAGCAGTCCATTGATGCCTGATCAACAAGAACACAGAGAAGAAACTAATGTTCCACCAGAAGGATATCAATATGCAAAACTAACAGGACTTCGTGGAGGCTGTAAAGGTAATTTTATACCCCCAAAAGGATTCAAGTACAGCAAAATAGGGCTTAAGGGAGGGTCACCTATGTGGAGTACAGGAAGGCAGTTTGTAAGTAAAGACTCACAAGATGAAGTTACAAGGAGTGTATTTAAAAGTAATGATATGCCACTAAGCGCAATACCAGTTTCTAAAGTATCATCATTAGTTTCATTAGAGTATGGTGATTCTGATGATGAGGGTTCAAGAACCCCTCCAGTTAGTTCTCCACGACCTCCTCCAATGCATGTATCTAAACTAAAAGAAGCCCCAGAAGGAATTAATACAGATCCAATGATCATATCAACCTCTCCTAAAATTGAAGATAGTCGAAATATGCCAGTTTATAAAGATGTCAATTTGTCAGAAAACTGCAAAAAAGATAATATTGATTTAGATGATATACAAATGATATCAACTATACATATGAATATGGATCCTGGTCAGATATCATTGAACTCGAGTAGGGTAGGCGAAGAATTATTAGACATGGATAGGGAAATTAATTCACCTGGTCTAATGTTGAATGAAAATGACGATAGTATTCTAGGAGGACTTCCAAAAGACGAAGCCTCAGAAATGGATAGATTGATGTTTTTCGATGAACTTGGTGATAGTATTAAATGTGATCAGGAAGATAAGAGTGATTCACCAGAAAAATCCATTTTTAATTTAGATAAATTATTAAATGATCCAGAACCATGTATTGAACATAAAGATGAAGTTCTCAAAGTCGAAGTTTTTCAACAAGAAAAAAATAAATTGGAAGAATTCTGCCAAGAGAATGAAGAAGAACAAATTGATAATGTAATTTCGAGCTATACATTTCATTCTTATGCTAAAGTTCCAAAACCAGCGCCTTCACCTAAAAAGACACTAAATTTATCGTCCATTTTAAAATCTGATTCATCTGATGATTTAAAAAAAGTAACCGACCTACTGCGATCTCATTCATCTACACAGCATAAAAATATCATTATTTTAAATCCTTCATCAGACACATTAAAAGATCAACAAGTTAAACAAAACTTATTATTGACTAAGTCAGATAATCTTAAACACTCTGATTTGGCCCAAATCTTAAGTAATATCATGTCTCCCAAACAGAAAGATGGTTTTATTAAAATCGAAACTTCAAAATCAGATGATAACCCAAAACTCTCAACTATAGTTTTACCAGCTCGTACAACATCAGTTGTGCAGAGTTCTCAAAATTTTCCTTGGGAATCCATAACATCATTTACAACTGCTTCTTCAACCACTTATGCAAAATCTATTCAAATTATATCAAAACCAGAAGAAAAAGAATCTAAAATCAGTTCTCAGTTATCATATATGGTAAATGTTCCCAAGCAAGAAACACGTGCTGCACCTAAAGTTGTTGAAGAGTCTCAGAATGTATTGCTCAAACAACTTCTTCAAAACACTGCTTGTGCTAATCAAACTCCAACTACTACAACTGCTATAAGTTTGCCAATTGTACCTTCTCTCGAAGCTCAACTTGCCAGACCTGTTTCACCAACACCATCTTTACTATTTCCTTCTCTACTTTCACCCAAAAAAGAAGATAAGTCTGAATCTCCTCAAATTCTTTCACTAAAACCTGAATTTGAAACTTTGGCATCAAAACCAGAGTCTCAACCTCAAATACTTCAAAAACCTGAACCACAAATTAAGATACAACAAAAGCCTGAATCTCAACCAAAAGTTTTAAAGCTTGAACCTCAATCTCCAAAGCCTGTAGTTGTTCTGCAACGGTCAGAAATTCAAACACCAGTCTCACAAACTACTCTGCTTCCACAAACATCTTCATCATTACTACAATCACAAATCCACCAATTGTCTCGAACATCTGTTAAAAGTGATTCAATAATGGATTCTATTAATTCAGCAATTAAACAAGAACGTGTAGAAGAAGAAAGTAAAAATGAAGTACCTATTTTAACTGGATTTAGCCCTGAAAGGGAAGTTAAAAGAGAAATTATGTCTTCTGATGAATTGATATCGCCTCAAAATTCTACTAGAATAGTAGATCCATCAGATATGAACAGTTCACTGGGTATGTCAATGGACATAATGAATGTAGATACTCAAGGTAGTTTTTAATATATATTTTTTAAATAATATTCAATAATATTGAATTTTAGTTATGTTTATAAAAATTGTATTCTAGATCAAAAGAAAATCAAACGTAGACAATATTATGCTAAACGTAGACAAAGTCAAGGTAAAGATGTAAGTTCTACAGCTATTCCCAAGAAACGCCATCGAAAGGTAATTAAACAAGACTTATTTTCAAAATGTTCATGTAGATAAAATAATTATTTTTATAGGGTTCCAAACCCGAAGAAGATTATGATTCTTTCATTGATGCACTTATGTCACAATTACGACAGCTTCAGCCTATGAATGTCATTGAGCCATCGTTAAACCAAAACTTAACTGCCTGTCCATTATTTGGTATGGGAGATGTTCTGTCTCAACAAAAGTATGTCTGAAAATATTATCATTTTTTTAATATGAACATATACCTAAAGAGTTTATAAATATTATTTTTAGTTTTAAAAATGGTGACTTGAAAGGTAATGTGGGATTGTGTAATCTACCTGGCGAGAGTGACTACTATATGACAAAACCTTTTGGTGATTTGGAACCAGTTTCACCATTACCTCAACCGTCTACTCAAAGAGGTTTTTACAATGAAGAATTCGAACCTCTAAAATTTGAATCTGACAGTAGGTTGTAATTATTTTTGATGTATTCATTTTCTATTAATGCAAATTAATATTTTAGGCGATGAAAAAAAATTTGAAATTGGTCGTGATCGTGATGATACTCCTGACACAGTGATGAGTTCATCATCACCCGAATTGGCTATATTTGAAACTCCAACACATTTTCCAGGTATTTTTTTTCTAATTATGTTATTTGATTTGAAGAAACAAGACATTTTTCGTTTTAGGACTTAAAAATTATGATGATGATAGTGATTCAACTGATACACTGTTAAAATTCACTCGATATATGTCTCCAGTTCATCAGCTTGTTGCACCACTTGCTCTAAAACCTCGCCCTAATTATAAAATTAATATGGAAGATGATAAAGAAAATCAGGGTGTAAGGCAAGGAATAATGTCTCAAGTTGGCAAAACTCCACCAAGAAGTTCACCTGCATTACCATTACGAGACTCTAATACAATGACGGTTACATTAACTATAAGTTCAGAAGCTGCTGAAGACATTATGGGTGTCCTTCAAGGCTTAGCTAATTTACTTGATTTACCTGATATTCCTAATTATAAAGTTACTGAAAGAACCGTTACACCAATGTCGCACAAATTAGGACTGTATAGATCAAAAACCAAAGATGGTAAAGAAGGAGATCCAATAGATATTCAAACTATATTGAATGGTTTTGCCAAATTTTGCCGACATTGTGATTTAGTGATATTAAATAATTTAATAAAAAAGAAAGCCAGTGACATTCCTTTCTTAACTGTTGAAGATTGTGCAGATGAGATATTTTTCTGTAGTACTTTATGCTTTCAAACTTTTGCATCTTTGTTACGTCCACCAGCTGCATCTAAAGATAAAGCAACTTCTAATGTAAATCACTTGTCTGAAAGCAGTTCTCCACCAAAACGATTGAAAGCAGATCCTGAAATGACTAGTCCAATATCTAATAAATCTGTAACTATAGATAAAATGGTAATTACATTTATTCTAAGCAAAGCTTGATTATAGGAAAATTATTTTATTTTTTTTCTTCGTAGGATATCGATGATATTCCACAAAATATTGAAGAAATAAAAACTGAATCAATTAGTCAAGAAGTAAAAAGTTCACATAAAGATAATGTTTATAGACAATGGAATTCAAATAGTGTTCCAGCACCTCTTACAAAACATAAGAAAACTACTGATAAAGAACTAATGGAGGTATATATTTGTGTTTATTAATTCTACTGTTTTCTTAAACATGTATACTATTAAAATTGAAATTTTTATTTAAGAAAGAAATTATAGAAGTACTATATTTTTTTATTTTTAAAAATTTAAAGGTTTATAAATTCTTTATTGTCGATTTTAAAATCATTATTTATTTATAAATCCTATAACACTCTATTACACTACATTACTATACACACTATTAAATAACATATTTATTTTATGGTTACTATGTTCTCAACTTTCCAAATTGCCAAAGCTTTTTCTTTGTAAGTTAATAGTTTCAGCACACATTTTAATATTGAAATTACAAATGAAAATCTTATAAATATGTCTCAAAGTGTGCCAGAAAACAAAATAATGGTACAAAAATATTTAACAACTTAAAATTAATAAAAAGTATATTTTATTATTATTTAATCACTTAATAGGTAATAGATAATAATTTACAAAACTTAATACAAATTATTATTATTTTTATTAACACTATCTTCACTGCACATTTATAGTCTTGTTCATCATTTTAAGTTTCATTTTAAATATATTGTGTCAAAAGTAATTAGGCCTCTAGTAAAAGTTTTTTTTCTGGTAATTATGAGATTTTCTTAAGGAAGATATCAACAGATCCGGTTGGATGGCCTGAAAAGATTGTTAAATAAATCTGTTATGTTGTTTTGTCTTGATGACTTCTGTGTATTATGTCAGTTATATCATTAATTAATTTAGCAACAACTGATTGACTATTATCTTTAAGGACAATTTTAGTTACAAAAGCTAGAGATCAGATTTTGTTAAATGTTCTGATTTTTATCTTCTGTTTTTTTCACTAGATTCAGAAAATCATTTTGTATTCGATTCCTTGAACAATCAGACGTAGGTTCAACTAATGTTTCATTCAAAAACTATTAAGAGTTTGATTTGCCTTTTTGCTATTTTTGATTAAACTCTAATAAAATCTTCAAATTGATTTTTGAAATTTATTTGTAGCTTTTGGTATATTATATTTATGCACAATATATTCAATAAGCTCATTTTTAGATTTTGAGCATAGCAAGGGATCTATTGGTTTTACTGTGTTTTTAGATTCTGAGTGTACCGAAGAATGTGTTGATTTTACAAAGATCTTTATTTTAGATAAGGAGTGTATCGAGGGATCTTTTAAAAAAAAATTTTCTATTCTAACAACTTTTCTACTAAATAATTTGCTTCATAGTGTAGACTCTAACACCTTTTCTGAAAGGTTATTTTTTCTAGTTAGTGCATTTAGGAGGTCAATTTTTGATTTTTCAAGAGGTTTTCGAAATAATTTGGAAAAATGAAAAGTAAACTATAGTTAAAACGGCAAATTTACCACGTGCCACAACATTATCGTTTTTATTGTTTTCAATGTGTTATATCACATAAGTAAGTTTTTTACTATAAATATTACTCCAATCAAAAAATTGACAAGTGACCCTTTTTATTGCGTTTTTAGTTTAGGTCATGAATAAGTTGTTTGTTTTTTGATTTTGTCTGTAGTTTTATTAATAATTGAGCATAACCGAAAAAAAAACTTAAGACATAATGAGAAATTTTATGAAAATAATGCTTTTATTTTATTAAATTTTGTTTTTTTTATTGTAATTCATGCTAAATTATTTGTAAAGATTTGAAATTTTGATAGAAAGTTTATTCTTACTTTTTTTAGAAGTGTAAAAAAATTTTCAAAACATTGTAAGTTATTTTTTAGTTATTTATAGATATTTTAATTTTCCAATCATTTTTATTTGGTAGGTACTCTGTGGATAAAAATTGTTAACACTTAACAGAAATTCTTGAAAATTTGACAGGAGGTTCATTAAAAGTCATACTTTGTGGTAAAAAAAAAAAAAAAAAAAAAAAAATTTATTTTTTTTTTTTTTTAATATATATATATTAAGGAATTTTAATCAATCATTTATTGTTAGTTACAGAGTTACAGGTATAAATTAAATAACTTTATGTATCCTACTTTCCTCACTACCCATCTTCAACAGTGGCCACACCAGTCCCCAGTATCAGCTTTTTTCTATTATGAAAAAGTAAAACCAATTTATACAATTTCAGATGTAATATTTTAATTAAAATTTAAATAATAATGTACTCATTAAATTTATATAAGTTTAATGTACGTAGGTATTTATTGACATGTAATAATACATGATTATAATTCTATATAAGTTTTGCAAATTATAGAAAAATTAAAAAAATGTTGGAAAGCATTGGCGGGTTTTTTTTATAATTCAAAATAAATTTAAAAAAGGTAAAATTGTAATCATTTATTAAGTATTGCTAGTACAAGTTATTATTTTAGTTATATTTTTATATTTAGAAAAATCTATAATTTTTTAAATAAATATATTAATTTATTACCTGAACTATTTATCCGTGCAGTATTCATGATAAACTGTAACCTCATTATTTATAAAAACAAATATTTTGTTTCAAACTTAATACGCATTATACTATAAAATTAAATGTTTTAAATATTTGATCGACCCATAAATACATTGATATCTTATCTAACTGATAAAATTAAATAATCATTTTTATAGAAATATTTTTGTTTTTATATTTATTTTATATTCGAGCTTGCTATATGTCTCATCAAAATGTAATGGAGCACTAAAGTGTATGTGATTGGATAACGAGTTGTATTATGGAGTAGTAATCTAGTTAGATAAATCAGTATGTGTTAGAAACAATACCATTAATAGTTTTATTTTCGATAATAAATGTGCATTATAAACGGGAATAACCCAATCATTGATCTTAATACAATTTGAAATTGTGAGTTATCCACAAAATATCAGAGTTAAAAACAATTTTTTACATTATTTAAATAGGAAATTCTAGAAACTGGGAAAAAGTTTGAGGTATCAATGATTTTGAGTTAAACAAATTTAATTGTATTTTTTAAATTGGTAAATTGATTATTTTTTTAAGATGTTGTTTCGTATGGGAATTACGGTTATATCACCTAAGTTACCAGAAGATAAACGTGTGTGTTTGTTCTGTCATCAATTTGGAGATGGTGTTTCAGATGGACCTTCTAGGTATGTTAAACTTTAAACTCTTAAAACTCCATAATTATTCAAAATGTATTATATGGTGTATTTATTGACTTAGATTATTAAACTTTGACGTTGATAAATGGGTACACTTGAATTGTGCCTTGTGGTCTGAAGATGTTTACGAAACTGTTAATGGAGCTTTGATGAAGGTTGATATTGCTTTACGTCAATCACTTAGTGTTGAATGTATAGTATGTCAACGGTCTGGTGCAACACTGAAATGTTATAAACTTAGGTGTTCCTCAAATTACCATTTACCTTGTGCTGTTAAAGACGATGCTGTGTTCTATAAAAATAAGACCCTGTACTGTAGTGGCCACGCTCCAAAGAGTGATAAAGAAAATGAACTCACCACATTATCTGTGCATCGCCGCGTTTATATTAATAGAGATGAGAATCGACAAGTTGCTGCTGTAATGCATCATTCAAGTTCACATCAGTTTCTTTTACGTGTTGGTAGCCTAACACTTCTCAATATTGGTCAACTCTTGCCTCATCAATTGGTAGCTTTTCATACACCTACTTCTATATATCCTATTGGTTTTAAAGTAGTAAGTTATTTAAAAATCAATTCATGGCTAATTCATAAAATAAATATGATTTTTCATGTTTGTTAAGGTTCGTCTATTTTGGAGTATGCGTGTACCAAACAAACGTTGCAAATACATATGTTCTATCCATGAGGTAAACGCACGACCAGAGTTTAGAATTATTGTTCAAGAAATGGATAATGAAGATCTAGAGCTTAAAGATTCAAGTCCTAGAGCGGTTTGGGCAAGAGTTTTATCAGCCATTGCTAGCATGAGAAATATGAATAATTTGCTCAAATTACATCCACAACATGTAAGCGGCGACAGTTTATTTGGGCTTACTGAACCTGCGATTGTCCGTGTTTTGGAAAGTTTGCCTGGTAAGAGATTTATGTGTAATCAATTGATAAAAATGAAAAAAGACATAAACTAGACACCAAATGATATTTGAAATTGAATGTTATATTATTCATTTTTTTTTAAATTATAATATGTTTACTATATTTATATTTATAATGACAATACAGTTACAGTTGGTTTTGTAAGTAGATATACTACAGTTGTGGCCGATTTTATTTTTAAAGAATTTGGAAGTAATAATTTTCTTTGTCTTACACATGTACAATATAGTAATTTACAACGTGTTCTATTTTCAACATATCAATATTGAACTGATAAGAATTCTGAAACATTTGAACTTTTCATCAAATCTACTTAAACTAGACTTTCAAATTTATTTGATATTTTATTTTAATTTCTCCAAAAATTAAAATACACCATTTTTTATTATGGTGTTTTTTTTTTTATAAGATTTAGGGAATAAAATCAAAAATGTGGGACAATCAATTTCAAGTACACTTAATAATAAATTCAAATCTGTTTTCAGAAATTTTATTTTTTTACTTGACCAATTAAGTATGTTGGAAATAGAACAATTTTAATTCCTATGTTCCTTTCAATTCTTATGTGTGCAAGACAAAGAAATCACCGATTCCAAATCCCTTAAGATATATATTTATTATTATCAACTTTTAATAATTTCAAATGATTTACTATCATATTGTTATTATTATTTTATTTTTAGGTATTGAGACATTGACTGATTACCGTTTCCGTTATGGGCGTAATCCTCTTCTAGAACTTCCTTTAGCTATCAATCCGAGTGGTTGTGCCCGTTGTGAGGGCCGTAGACGGATTGTTCTTCCTGGAAAACTACGATCACATATACCTAGATCTTTTACATCATCTCATGGTTCGTCATTAGTAAGTCAGTTAGACTTATCCGCTCCTCCTACTTGTCCGTATTCTAAACATTTCGTTCATTCAAAATCCTCACAATATAAAAAAATGAAACAGGAGTGGAGGAACAATGTTTATTTAGCTAGGTAACTTTTTTTCTTATTGTAATTATTAATAAGTTATTTTTGTTACTCGTTAATAATCAAATAACATTTTTAATAGATCCAAAATCCAAGGTTTAGGATTGTACGCTGCTAGAGACTTAGAAAAACATACAATGGTTATTGAATATATTGGTGAAATTATACGATCACAGTTATGCGATTATAGAGAAAAACTCTATGAAGCTAAGGTAAAAATGTTACTGGTATTATTTTTGTTTATCTGTTTAACATTGTTTATTTTATGATAGAATCGTGGTATATACATGTTCCGGCTAGATGATGACCGAGTGGTTGATGCTACAATTAGTGGAGGTCTGGCTCGTTATATCAATCACTCGTGTAATCCAAACTGTGTAACCGAAAAAGTGGAAGTAGACAGAGAGCTTCGAATTATAATATTTGCTAAGCGAAGGATTGCTAGAGGCGAAGAGGTAATATTTTTTTTTGTCAATAGTATCATCAACATCCTGAATTTTTTTTGTTATTTAAGCTTGCATATGACTACCAATTTGACATTGAAGATGATCAACATAAAATACCATGTAATTGTGGTGCTCCCAATTGTCGTAAATGGATGAATTGATACAGTTTTAGCCATATAAGTATTTTTACCATTTATTATTTTATTTTTTTTACCATTATATAATTGTCATAATATACATACTAAACTTAATAATTGTAGTTATAATAATATAAATAATATTGTTATGTCGTTTCATGTACACAATTTCTGTGATAGGATCAAATTATATATATATATATATATATATATATTTATATATATATAATACTTTTAAAACTGAATGATTATTGTAAATAATAATTTTGCAGTAGATGCAAAATGCTATTTTTGTAATTATCATAAATATTATCTTGTATGTATAAATCTATTATTTTAAATTATTATTATATAATGTATCATAAAATATATATTTATTGTAAATTATCGTTTTAAGGACGAAAACAACAACAAATAATGATCTCTTTACATGAGACAAGACTTGATATCATAAGTTTTTGTTGGTGTTTGTAAAAAAAAAAAAAAAAAAAATAAAACAAGCAAAACAATAATTTGGGTGTTGGTGTAGTGAAAAAAAAAAAAATGAGTGGGCATTTTGTTTATCTTTTGTTTTTTTGATTGACTTGCATTTTAGTCAATTCCTCAATTCATTTTTTTTTCTGTTAAATTGATAGCCTACTGTTGTTATTATTTTATTTTTTTATTTATTCTTCAAATATTTATTTCTTTAATATTTTTATTTTATTTGTTTGTTTTATGTGTCCAGAAAATGATATAACTAAATGCAATATAATGCAACATGCATAAATTATAGAATTATTTTTCTACTTAATAACAAAATTGGTTTAATATTTTTGGAAACTTGTTAACTGAGCAATATCAGTGTATGAATATATATTTATGTAAAAATAAGTTTTTATAAAATATATGTTTATATATTATACAAATATACATACATAATATTAATTACCTATTTTCTATTTATAATTCTGTAATTTAGTTGTATAGTTGCGCTGGTTCTAGATAAATTCATTATTGTTACAAGTTTAACCAAAATATAATTTTGATAAGTTTAATATAATTATTACCAACTAAATATATAATTATATTTATATATAATATATTTTGAATTATATTCAATACATTCGATAAGGTAGTTTTAGATATGAATTATTATTTGAATTGTCACCAACAACTCTATTGTTATTCCGAATTTGAGTTGTATTAAAAATATTAAAAATAAATTGGCGAATTAATATATACACTTTTTGTTAATTAATCTATGTGTAAACAACTTAACTACTTGTTAGTGTGTAATAGTAATGATTATTTTGTAATTAACCAAAGAGTACATGTTCATCAATTCTTATTATGTTTGATGATGAACACTGTCCATACACTAAATTTAACTATACAGTTAGAAGTTTCTACTAATCGGGTAGTATGAATTTATTGTTTCACAATATTTAATTTAATTGGTACCCATACATTTCTATTAATAGTATATTTCCTTAACTCTTCCTCAAATTCCTAGTAGTATGAACTGGGCTAACAGATCTATTCAGAACAAAACTTTCATGTCAACATGAACATACATTAAATTTAACTGCTTAATTAGTTTCTTCCAATCGGGTAATATGAATTTGTTTGGTTCATAACATTTAATGCAATTTCAACACATAAGCTCATATTAATAGGATGATCTATTGAACCAACTATTCTTAATTACTAATAAATTAAATCTAAACAAGAAATATAATTAATAAATAGACAGAATGCAAGAGGACTAAGATGTCCGCCTTTGGGAGCCTCAGATGATACTTCTTCAACCAGACTCGAATGGGTGCTATTTATTTGTGAAATAATAAGTATGATAAAAGAGAGTTTCCATTATCTAAATTCATGAGGAAGTTGGAAAGCAAGTTATCAACATTGTTGAAAGATATGGAAAAATCAATAAAAATGAAGACTCGAGAATCACTTTCGATCTACTTAAAAATGTAGGAGATTACAGATAAATTATTAGTTAAGGTAGATTTATCAGTTTAAAATTCATGTTTAATTATAATTAATTAAAACAATCTGCCTAAATGTGGTATAATGGAGATTGGTCGATAGTTTGTTATAGTAGAAGGATCATTAGATAATGGAGTAACGGGGATTAAATAATACAAGGGTATTTGTTACTTGGAACAATTTACCATAAGCAGTATTTTGCAGTGATTATGTACATTATGAAAGATATTGATACATACATAAATTATAGAGACAACTAATATGGTATACAAGTACTGGCAACTTTTATACTTAATAGGAAGTGTGACAGTCATTAATATATCCACCCAACATTAAATTGAGGTCTCCCCAAATTAAAATATTCGATTATCCAGCATGTATGTCGGAAATGGTTTTGAGGGATTACATGCACTGACTCAAGAAGCAATTGGTGTCACAGATCAGATTTTTAATACGGATGGAAAGATACCACTATCCATAGAATAAAGTTAGGAGAGAAAAGGGCGAGGGTGCAATTAAAAAACAGACAAGTGGAAATATCATTGACACCATGAGCGTTATTATTACGAAATGCAGAGAGTGCTTTAAGAACACTGTCTGGTAAAAAGGAATAGATGGGAGATAAAATATGAGTCTAGAGAAAATATTAGAGGACGAAGTAGTTAGGAGAAGAAAGCAGTGTAATTAGACTGGTACGACGAATATATTTTTAGAATTATTTTCAGTTAGGAATTAGTAATAGTATAAATTATGATTGTTAGGGTGACTGAATGAAGGCTCTAAGTAAGCACTGAATTAAGTTATGAGTCAAAAAGTATTTAGACTACAAAACATTAATTTTAAATAAGTCCACAAATTCAAAAATCCAAAACCATTTGTTAAAGATTGACTAAACAGTATACGACAAATGATATTGGCCATTAAACATTTTTGTTTGCAATAATTTAATTTAATTATCACCTAATAATAAGGTACCTACCTATTTGTTTTTATCAATACTATCATCATCTGATGTTGAGCTTGTAGCATTTACTAATTCATGAACAATTTTATAGGCTCTTATTTCTTAATTTTCAAGTACCGGTGTTATAAGATTTTTCTTTACAGTTTTCCTAATAATTGAGCAAAGCCAGAAAAAATCGAGAAGTTTACGAAAATAATGGTTTTATTATTTTAATTTTTTAATTTTGTGTTTTTGTTGTAATTCGGTTAAAAATATTCATAGAGAATTAAAATTTGGACAGATAACTTATATTTGTATTTTCTAGACGTGATAAAATTATTAAAACATTTGGACCATTTTTGAGCTATTTATTATAACCATTTTAATTTTTGAAAGTATTTTTCATAGTTTGTATTAGGTTTATAGGTACTATGTGAATATCATTGTGTTTGACCTAAAAAAAATGTTTGACATTTTAACAGGATATTTATAATAAGTTGTACTTAGTTAAAAAAAAGGATACCGTAGAGAAATATTTTTTTTTTTATAATTTTTTTAAGACAAAATTTTAAAGGAAATTGTAAATGTTACGGCCTTATATAAATCATACATAAATTAACTCCGCTTAGAATCGTTTTTCGTAAGCAGTGGTTTTTCGTTGATTATCACAGATATAAATTAAATAACATTATGTATCTATTACCTTTTGAACTTCTCTTCTACAATAGTGGTGCATCCACCAGTAGTATCAGATTTTGTTTTTTAAATTATAAATATCCAAATAATAATTTTCAATCGAAAATAAACAAATAATAACATTATATTACTAATTGATTGAAACACTAAAACCAGTAGCTTATTTGAGAGCAGGTGATAGGGGCGATCGCTTCCCCTTCAATTAATTTGTTTGTGTAGGTATTTGCTACATATACACACAAATTTAATGTATATATTTTTTTTTTATCACTCAAATAATTTTTTTTTAATTGTTTCATTATATTGCATACGATATAAGTATTTAAACTCTCAGGGCACATCTACAATTTTTTTTTGAGGGGTCTTTAGGATTGCAGTTTCCTTCACTCTCCTTGAGTGGGTCTTCATTCGCCCACTTCACAGCAAAGTCAGAGATCTTAAACTTACAACGGTTTTATTCAAAAACATTTTGGTTTAGTTTATTTTAAAAAATAATAGCTTTTTAGCAAGTATACCATTCGAATCACATTACAATATAAACTTGGCTTTGAAACTATTTTTTCTTGAAATTTCTAGAATATTTTTTTTCAGTTAATAAATGTATTTTTATCAATTTCAGTTTGTGCATTTAAATTTACGTTTAAAGTTAAATAAATTATGTATGTAACAAAATTTTTCCATTTTAAATTTTGAATGCCATAAAGAATGTATTACGATGTGTGCCAATTTTTTTTGTGTGTCTATAAACAACTTTTCTACTAGAAAGTAGAAATATTTTTTCAATTAAAAATGGACAAGAGAGCTTTTAATAGAATTTCGGATCTATTTGGCACATTGAGAGGTCATTTTTTGTATTTTAGCACTTTGAAAATCTGACGAACTGAATGCAATAAAAGTTTCATTTTTTTCGATTTGTCGGTTTTGTTTTTCCATCAAGAGTCTCGCACCGAAAGGCTATGCAAAATCTTTTCTTTTTTTTCATTTGAATGTCTGACGTGTAATTATTATAAACGTTAAAAATATGTCGAGAAATATAGTATAATTTATCTAGACATATACAGTACACATGTTAGTTCATTATATTATTAAAATACTGCGTTTCACTGTATTTTAGTAATTTTTTTTCGATTTTTAAGGAGTATAAATTCTCAAGCTCTTAGCCCTAATATTTATAATGATCAAAAATAGCGGTTTAAAAAAAATAAAATATTTAAGTAAATAAGTATTTCCAAATCGGAAAATCTCTATGAGTATATATATATATATATATAAGGTACTTTTTTGTTTTTGATATGGATACACATATTATTATAATGAACATTCCAAAACATGTATTATATTATATTGGTTTATTTGACCGAGCGGCACAATCGAGTATTTTTTATCTCATCAGAATATTCCTGTAATGTAATGTTGTAGGTACCAGCTACATTATAATAATATTGATAATTGTTATAGTATAATAATTATGAAGTATAACGAACAACGAGATTAAAAAATAAAATTATGTATGGAAGGGATATATTTTTTTGTATAATTGTGTGATTTTTAAGTCTAATATTCGATATGTCTGACGACAGTAAGAATAATATGAGTCTGAATTATTTCGTGAAAAGTAAAAATAAAAAAAACGTTGAATTTGTGGATTATTGGTATCTTCACATCATGTTGTGGTCGTTTGGAGGATTGTTCATTTTGCGCTCATTATACATCTGCACCTGCAAATAAACCACAAACATTAAAACCTTAAAATTCAAAACATATAAAATATTATACTTGGTGATAGTGGCTTTGCGGGACATGGCAGTTTCCTATGCAATTACATTGAAAATTGTAAAATCCTAAAAATGCATCTTGTACACATTTTAAAACTATATGCAATAGTAGATAATAATCAAAATGTGCACTTGAATATTATACTGTTTTTAGGTTACGCATTAAGTCAAAGTTTGATGCATAATCTGGTCATTTTTAGATTTTCTAAGTAGTTTACATAACAATTGAGAATAACCGGAAAAAATGTATAGGAAAAATTGATAAATTGATGGTGATAGAATTTCCATTATTTTTGATCTTGTTTTTTTACCAAAGATATTGCATTGAAGTTTAAGTGCAGCATATATTCTAAAAGAAAATGTTGTCGAATTTGTGTTAAAGGAAATCTTTTTGTGTAGGTTTCTTAAACCGGAAAAAATGTTTGCAAGATGAAAAAGTTAACGGCTTTAATGGTTTCATCATTTAAATGAAGTTTTTTAGATTCCAAGCGTAGCTAGGGAGCTATTGGTTTTACTAAGATGTTTATTTTTTTTTCTTCTTTTAGTCTGTAGACACGTTTTTTCCTAGTAATTGGAGCAACAATTTTTATATGTAGTAACTTTTCTGAAAGCTCAAGTTGTCTAGATTGTACTTTAAAGAGACTATTTTTTAAATATAAGCACTTACGTAGGAAAAACGTAGGGAACCGTAAAATTTTACGATCTTATTATTTTATAAAACACGGACAGCGTTTTCTAATAGAAAAAAATGATTTAATCGAAAAATCACAGTACGCCTTTTTTGTTGCCTTTTTGATTTACTTTCTTACGGTATCATTTCCAAAACTTTTGAGTTTTTAAAGAATTTTAATTTTTGGAGTTCTTTTGCTGTAATTCAGTTATAAACACACGTAGAGACTTGAAACTGGGTAATAATATTTATAATGAACTTACCTAGACGTGGTAAAATTTCCAAAATTATCGGACGACTTTTTTTTTTAATAAGAGTTTTGAAATCAAATTTAAACAAAAATCGCAAAAAAAAAAAATACGGCACTTTAAATTATGTATTACCTAACTGCGCTCGGAATCGTTTTTCGTTAAGCAATGGTTTATCGTTGCTTACAGATATAAATTAAATTACCGTATGTATCCTACCTTCCCGACTTCTCACCTACACAGTGGCCACTCCCATCCCCAGTATCGGCTCTTTTTTATTGTAATTTAGTTAAATGTTTTGATATTGATTTTGCCAACAGTCACTAGTAAATGTCACTGTACAGAAAAATCATTGGTGAATGTTGACATATTGGTTAAAACTATATTGTTTGTACGCATTTACTAGTGAATGTCGTCAGTTACATAGCGGTATCGGTGAATGTTGGTGATTTTGTTTTTGACCGAAAATACATTATATGACGAGAATATAAACAAAGCCCGTAGAAAGCCGTATTTTCCACAACCAGCATGGATCTGTTTTCTCTACCTCGAGAGAATATCCATAAACTTGAATCAGAAGAGAAATTAAAAGACAAAACCAAGAATATTAGTCCATTTGACCGTATAATAAGAATACACTCGTAAATTAATGAAATAAATAACTATTATATTTTAAAATGATTTTGAAAATCTAGATCGAGAAAGAAATGCATAATGTCAAAAGTCGGGCGATGATGAATAACACGAAGAAAAAATATCGATTAACAGTATGCATTATAATACACATATACAGACTCACCCATTTTTGCCAAAACGGTGAGAAGTGCGGCGATGACGGTTTCATCTCGAAATACTTATTGATCACGTCGTCAATTCGAGTCTCTTCTTCACTTGTGCTAGGCCAATCTCTCGCTGCAGATTCTTGCACGGCGGGTCCTTGAAAAGATCGTTTACCGTGGCCACCGTAACAGGAATGACCGAACATGGCACATCCGCCTATCCAGAAAATAATGTAGAAACAAATATAATTAAATTTTAAATTATAATGATACTCGTAACATCTAATAAAGGATGTTTCTTGTAGAATTTTCGTTTCCGAACCCATTTATACTCGGCATTTGGTATTTTCAAGTTTTACATTTTTATTCGGGGATACAATTGTTTGCCAGAGATGTTTGAATATTTATTATACGAGATTAGTAAATCAATTTTAGACTTTTTTGAAATTTAGGTTAGGTTAGAAACAACGTAAGCTTAAAACTAAAATATTAACTGACGATTTCTCCATAATAATGTTGCTAAATTTGTATTGCATACGCAACTCGTATGCATTATAAATTATTATGTACAAAATTAGGTATAAAGGTAAGTGTAGTTCAAAATATTATTCAAAATATTTTGTATTTATATTATTCGATTTACGAGTAATTATATGCTTCATCTGTACAAATTGTAAATTATTTTTATATAATATATATTATTTAATACTTATATGATTTGCGTTTTTTTTTTGTTTTTTCGGGGTGTTCTATATAAAAATTTATTTCGCGTACACAATCCGATTCATCTAACATAGTGGTTTCCAATCTTTTTTATTCTGTGCCCCCATTGTAAATTTTTAAAAATCCCACATCCTCCCTCTCCCTCTTAAATTAGATTAGAGTATTAGAATTTAGACGATCTTTTTTTTTTTTATTTATTCACGCAATTTGCTCACGTATTGCTAAAATAAACGGTGGATATACGTCTCATTCACCTATATAGAGACAATGTAGAGAGATCTAAAAGTAGGGTCCAAACAATTTTTTTATGCTTCGCTCGAACAGTCACTTTTTTAGATTCTGTATAGAGCGAAGAAGCTTATGGTTTTACAAAGATATTTATTTATTTTTTTTTTATCTATGCGCAACTTTTCCACTAGAAATCTTGCTCCGATTTATAATAATAGCATTTTTTCGAAAGGAAATCGGACTAGGGAGGTACTTTGGGGAGGCCATTTTTCGATTTTCTCAGGAGATTTCTCATCAAATCTGAAAAACCGAAAAAACTGAAGAATAACAGGAAAATGTATGAAATATATTGGTCAAATATTAAGTATAATATTATTATCACAATATTCATGACTCAACGAGTTATCACAATAATAATACAAAATAATATTAAATATTACATCGAGATAGATAAACAATACTGGAGCGCGTACACTGATACTTAAAACGAGCCTAATTTTTATACGCTTCCCCCCCCCCCTACTGCAGGGCAAGAAAATGTACTGCTATATTAGTTTACATAGTAATTAGTAATACGGATAAGTATCGACATTAGGATTTCTGTATTCCGTTCATTAAAATTCAAAATACCTATTATTAATTTTTATAAATGTGTGATTGTAATTAATAATTAATATGGTGATACCCTGTTCAGCGTACGGATGTACAAATAGACGTAAAAAAGACAACGGAATTCATTTCCATCGGTAATTGCATATTTCGATTAATTAACAAAATCTCGTCTCCTTATTTTAAATAAACGCACATTATAATTATTTATAAACAATTGTTTATTTATCTCGATGTTCTAGATTTCCTCTGAAAATACCCGAAGTGTTGAAAAAATGGTTACATGAAGTCAAACGTAAAAATTTTATATCCAACTAGAACAGCTATTTATGCAGTGAACATTTCATGCCTAGTGATTTAAAAATTTGTAAATATATGCTATTTTTTTTTTATTCGTGTTGAATTTGTATTAATTTCCCATTTATTACATCACTTATTTATCTGTGTGTATGTAGGTTTATTCTTAACGGGTATATTTTCAAAGAATCACCACCTATTATATTTTATTTTAATATTTTAAATTATCTAAATTTTTATTATTTAGTAATACTTTAATTACCGTACGACTGATTTTATGTTATGTTTTGGAATATGTGTAAGTACAGCAACACTCAAAAACATACAATAATATATGGTAAACTGTATTTTATAAACTCTTAGGTATTTTTTAATGCAGCGTGGTCGGTTTAAAACTGAAAACAATAAAAAAGGCATTCTAATTTCTTTAATGTTTATAAAATAATCAATACTTTTATTTTATAGGAATATCTAAAGTGTAATTAAATTATTTATATTCTATAAAAGTTGTCGTATATTATTATTGTTTATGTTTAAAGGTAAACAGTAAGCACAATACATTTCTATATTGTATTAATTTCAATTATTGTACGACGTGTGTATTTATTTATTTTTCTGCATATAACTGCATCACCGTATAGTAGACTTGTTAATAATTTCAAAGCATTTTTAATACTTAAAATCGGAACAGTGAAAGTACCCTAATTATTGTGAGGCATTTGGGTTTTTCTGTACGTGCACAATTTGGCGACTACGTTTTTTGCCCTGCAGTGGTGGTGATAACGTTGATAACATGGCTCGTTATCGTGTCACGGGTAATATTGGTAAGAGCGCGTCCAGTATATTGTTTATCTACTTCGATGAAATATTATGATAAATGATAGTAGGATCCGGTCGACCGAAGTCCTCTACACAACATATTTTCTTTAAGGATAATTTGATTACGAATGCTTGATAACAATACTGATAACAAAACCTTAATTTTTAAATGATAATAGTTGTTCGTAAAAAAAAAAATAAATAAGTCTTCGTGTTACGTGTTACGTTCTGTATTACAATTCGTGCTCGTCAAAATGTATTTTACAATAATTTATATAAATATATATATAATAGGTATTTATAATTGCCGTATAGGATATACTGTAGATACGGCCACATACCCGCGTATCATCAATTTGTCAAAACTCATAAGCTATACGCCATGGATAAAAATAGCGTATTGGGTATGCGCCGTACACCCCCAATACACCGCTGGATACAATATATAGATTTATATTATTAATAAAAAATGCAATACTGAATAATAAATTATACATTGTTTTCTTAAATTATTTTTCTTATTAAACATTGGTTTTACTAGAGATTTTGGAAATAACTATAATATATGAATTATTAATATTTTTAGCCTATAGCGAGTTATAATATATTTTTTTAAATGTTTATGATCATAATTATTATTCATACAAATTTTAGAATAATAAAACGCACATTAATGTATATATAAGTAGTGTATATTGTATGTATTTCTAATTTGCCAATATCAAATTACTGAGAGTAGCATGATTATATGTAGGTTGTTGGCTCAGTTTTTTGTGGACCAAAATTATATGTAACGAAATAGTTATACCTTACATTTTAAGAAATAGCTTTTTTTTTTGGGGGGGGGGGGGCGCAGGAAATATATTGCCCCGGGGCGCGAAATTTCCAAGTACGGTCCTGCCTCCTATCCACAACAGTAGCACACCTTTTAGCAGTATTACATCTTTTTTTTAAATTAAATATAATAATATTGTAATATTACAAAACAATAACATCTACATAATATATAAATTTATTTTAAATTTGTGTCGTGTGCGTGGTTATACCTACGGCAACAGAATATTTATTAATTATTACAACCTATATAATATATGCACACACTGCATAAACATCTAAACGTTTTATTTATACCATTTTTAATTAAGATGATGATTTTGAACTTTTACGCCGATTCGTCGAACCAAAAATATGATTAATTATTTATACAGATTACGATTTGGTTTCACGCGCTAATAGTCGCACTTTTGTACCAGAATTCAAGATTGCTAACCTAACCTTCCTAATACTTACAGCAAAATGGAAAGTACTTTTTTTTTTTTTGTGAAAAATGGAGTGTTAAGAAATAGGTATCTCATTTTTGGAGGAAAATAGCCTCGTTCAAAATATTATCCATATAATGTATCTTACACTTATAGGTCTTATAAAAGAAGTAATGTAAGTTTAAATAAGTTCGCATTCGTAGAGGCAGGTCAACTACAGAGGACACAATAAACATGGTATTGAGTTTGACCAGGTGGGCTAACGCAGCTTAATCTGCCTTAGGAGGACTCATACCAAACATCAGTGGGCCATCTTAGGCCAAAAGAACCTTGCTAATGTTTGTCGTGAATAGTATACTATTAATTGTGGCACCAACATGGGCCGAAAGTGTGACCAAGTAGAAGTGAAAACATTTGTTAATGGTAGGAACATCATTCCTAGCGATGTCTAGGACTTGCTTTGTAGCCTAATATACCAATGCACATCCCATCTGGAAACTCAGATAGTGTTGGGAATTAAAAATTTTTAGCTGCTTCTGTCCGTGGCTTGCAGCCTTTCTATTTCACGGTAGAGGACATGCTAAGCCACAATGAGTAGAACGAGAGGTTATATGGATTTTATAATAAAATGTAAAATGGGCCACGTTGAAAATCGGGGTTGCTTGAAATGTATTTCGCCTGACTAAATTTTCAGAACTTTAACGCCATTTTTTTTTTATATTAAATATGTTTTGCTGGAATATAAAAAATGATCAAGACTACAGTGTTCTGGTGTTATAAATTTAATCATGGTTTTTGCCTTGGTCTTGTTATTCTTCTCGTATTTAATCATTCTATTGGTTTACTCTAAATATCTAAAGGAATCTCCCTTTTATAATTTAGGTAATTCTTTAAAATTCTTTTAACTATCCTTATCTAAGTCTATCATAATTTGTTTTGTTTATTTTGTTCCACCTCTTCTATGTTGCGCTTTTCGTCAAAATTTAGTAATGCAGCAGTTACTCTATCCTGTTTGTTACTCCTTTTGTCTATTGAATTTTAAACCTTTTTTCGATAACGTCACATTTTTAGCCAAAATCTTTTTTTCTCTTCGCTGTAGTAGTTGTCCAAGTTTGGTAGCCATATAGCGCCCCATTCTTCACTATTATGTTTTCAAGGAACTTTTCCATATTGAGTCAACGGGTCATACTGTTTGTGATAATTGATTAGTAGATAATTTTTCTACTGAATCCTGAACAGTCTTCTTTTCTTAGTACCGTCTTGCCAACTATGTCAGATCATTTCATTACTTTTATTATCTTAGTTTATTTCCTAAATAATTATATTGCACTTGTAAAAGTATTGTACTAGTTTTATAAATGCGTTAGGCATCTATTTTTATATTTTCGTTAATAACCTAGTATAGTATTATATATACGTTATAATGTAAACATTAAACATGCATATTTGTACTCAATTTATTGTGCCCAATTACGTAAATATTATATCAATACTCTGCACCCATACGGATTAGTTTGTATCACGCATTTGCTGGATCATCATTTTTTCGTTTTTGGCGAATTTATAATTAGGCGACGGCTATACAGCAGCAAGGTGTGAATATTATTATTATACCTATATATCGCCTTCGATATTGTTATGCCATCGTTGATTCCATTGTTTCATGGGTGTTTTTCAAAGGCTTGCCGCACGTCATCGTCGTCGGTTATTTTCGGGGCTCCTAACAATCCCTTTTCGCATTGTTACCTACCACGTAGGTAGGTATATATGTATAGAATATAAGCGTTTTGTCACACATGAAATACAAAAACATCAGTAGCGGCTCTTGCCCTCCGAGCATTTTAATCGGATCAACCAGTCTGTAGATATATTCACACATATATGTATAGGTGATGATAATAATAATAATAATAATAATAATAGTATAATATATGATGATATGTAGGTATAATAGTTGGGCGGAGGGTGTACATATCTCATTATTCGGGCTTTTGTATGCGAAAAGGGCTTGGAAAGAGCTCGGTTGTTTGCTCAGCTCTGAATAAAATAACATTTCGTCGACGTCGAGCGTGATCTATAGATATAAGCAATAATAATATACGTACTAGGTATATTATGTTTTATTTAGGTGTGGTGTGTTTTCCTGCAAAAATCGCGTATTCATAACGAACTGATATGATAAACTTACAAATTGGTTTTTTCTTACATGATCTCTTTTATATTGGTGGTATAATGTAAACAATTTAAGCATTTTTAATGACAGTTTTTTTTTTTTTACATACCCAAATTCTGATTCCCTATTTGAATTGATTGCTTGCATCATTTTTAATTTATCTTACATACGAGTATGCATACGATTTATTTATTTAACATACGAGGTCTTCTAAGTATATTTGTGGTACTTAAAGAGCAATTTTTCTAAGCGGTTTTCATAATATAGTTGGGAAAAAACGTATAGGAAAAACGGGAATATTTACGAAATTTATTATTTTTTGTTGTTGTTTAATTAAAAATATTCGTAGAGAATTGAAAGGCATAAAACTCATATATATATTTTCTAAGTGTAGTTAGTAAAATTTTCAAAACATTGTAGCTATTTTTAAGCTATGTATAGACATTTTAATTTTGTGAATTTCATACATAATTTATATTCGGTAGGTACTCTGTCCATAAAATTGTTAGATAATATAGAAATGCTTGAAAATTTAACAGGGGTTCAGCCGTACTTTGTGATTATAAAAAAAAAAAAAATTGTGCCTAATGTAGGAATTCTTTTTCGTAAGAATTTTAATATCAAATTTTGATGAAAATTGTAAATATTACGGCCTTTCAAAATACGTATAACCGAATTCGGCTCAGAGTTGTTTTTTGTTAGCAATGATTATTCATTTTATACATTGAATTCCCCTTTATATTCTACCTTCCCAACGTCTTCTACAATAATGACCCATCCGTCGTGTGAAGTATGTGCGTCTTTTTTTTTTTTGGTTTGACTTTTGGCTGTTATATATTCTATAGGCAAAAATTAATCTGGTATTTAAATAAAATAGATTATGTATTTCTTTGGTTCATATTTATTTTCAGTACAGCTAAATTTAGTCCCAATGCATTGAAAAAATATTTCATGCATAAATATACATTAAAAGTAAAAAAAAATACATACTTATGTCGTAACTATGTAAGTAAACATTTTTTTATTAGAAAAGACGGACAAACTTTTATTTTTACAATAAAGTTTAATTTATAACCAACCTCTAGCTCTAAAAATTTCTCTAACAATTCCAACAGTTCTCCAACTTCTAACAATTTTATCTACCTACTGAATAAAAATTACGTAAAAACTCGCAAAATTAAAATTTATATAAATAGCTCAAAAATGGCACAAATGTTTTGAAAATTTTACCACGTTCATTTAAAAATATTTTCTATTTATTATTCAAGTTTAAAGTCTCTTCGAATATTTTTAACTGTATTGGAACAAACTAACAAAATTGAAAATAATAAAACCATTATTTTTGTAAAATGTCCCGATTTTTCTACTCTTTTCACCAATTATTATGAAAACCACTAAGAAAAATTTAAAAACTATTTTCTTAAAATATCAAGTAGATGAAATTTCTTTTCAGAAATGATGTTACATTTGATATATCGAAGCAAGATTTCTCGTAGAATAGTTGTTTACGGTATACAAAAAAAAAAAAATTGAAAATTACCAAGTACTAACCATATTATAAAATATTTTTATTTATTTGATTGTTGGTGTTTCCAAACTACAAAATAAGTTGTATTAATGTATCTGTCGATGTGTTACCTCCTTATAATAATCGTGTCAAATTGTTCAATAAATAGTTAACTATTTATACATACCTGCAGTACCTATATTATAATATTTACACAGATATATACAACAATAGTATGTATACCTATATATAAATATACAAGTATACTATCCATATCTGTGATAATTTATGAATAATATCATAAATAACAATTTATATTATTATATTATATACTTATGTGTATTAATAAATATATCATGATTTATGTTCACAGACGTATCATTTTAAAGTCATATTACCATCAAAATACACACAAATAATAACATTCCTGATCATCTAACGGGTAGGCCGCGCACCTAGCTAGCGGTGTATTTAACTGCAGTAATGGTTTTAATCAACTGATAAGTCTGATACGAGTATATACCTTGCCTTAATCCACCTTGCATATTATTACGAATTGCAACTTACTTTTCCATGACTACACCTCTGATATGACTATTTCTCTCTATCAATGTCAGTTTTGTATTCCTCTCTCTAATCGCAGTCCATTTAATAATGGACGATCTAATTAAAGCAGCCAAGATAAAACAAAATATATAGTCGTCAGCAGTGGAAATGGAAATATAGTGGATCTGACTGTCATACCTTCCAAGCAATAAATGATTTTAAATACTTAGGTACAAATATAAATAAATCGAATAATATGCACGATGTAAATATAATATTATGGTATAAACCTTGGGTTTGGTTCATCATAAAGTACGACCGTAATATTAACAAACAATATAGAAACGACACTCGACCAGCTGATTACCAAATTACGAAAAAAGTTTTTGTACGGTTAGTGTATTAATTATTGTTCATTGACGTTGCAATATATCCTATGTTATTTCAGTGCACGTTTATCGGGTTTCAGTGGTTTTCGACTTTCGTTGGTCCGTCGGATCGTGTCCATTTGTGGTGGACACGTCAAAGGGAACATTTTGCTGTTTAATTTTGACAGGGGGTAGTAGCCTCTCTTTCCCTCCCCATTTTACATCTATAGACGTACTCGTCCCCAGTATTAGCTTTTTTAGATTTTTTTTTTAGTAATCATTTTATATTTATGTCGAAAAAAAAAGTGTTGTATATAATATAGACTAAAGGCTTATTAAATTGGGTTTAGGTTGAATTGTTGTCTATTTTGTTTATTTATCTTCGTCTTCTTGGAGACAACGTACATTTGGAGATAATCAGGCTTAAATATATGGCGGTTAGGTTTCAAAACTAATTTGTAGCGGCTGAAGGATCGTTCAACGTCATCCAAGAGCAATAGGGAATATACCCTACTTGATAAATGCAAAATGCAGATAGTAAAAATTCAATATCTTTTGGTTGGATTTGAATTCTGTTTTCGGGACGTTTTCACACTGACGTTTTTCGATTGCAATAATTTATTATTGACTACAGATATGATAAACTAAATTATCGTATATAATATTATTCTCCTACATTTTTTTTTTTTTTAAGTAACCAAAATGCAGGAATGATTTAACTACGTATATATACGAATATATGTTTAAAACATATTTTTAATTTTAATGAATAAAAGTATAAACTGCCAATTAAAATTTAACTCTATCTTATTATAACCCATATAAAAAAAAAACAAAACTGTAAAATCTAAAAGAAATTTATAATCCTTTATGTAAAAACATAAGATTTAATCTGTTGATAGATACAATGTATACTATACAGGGTGATTTGTGTGAACAAAAAACGGATAGTTGTTAAAAAGAGTTTAGAGTATAAATAACGTAGTTATAACGTATAGTATAACTGAAAATTGAATCAATTTTTTTGTGAATTTGACTAGGCATGCTTTATGGATTGAAGAAATAATACAATATTGATATACTTTATCAATACATATAGTTATGAGAATAGGCACTGTTGTATGCTCTGTAGTCTGAATTTTGGGATAATACAATATAACACTTTAGATCAATGTAAAAGAAATTCAAAAAACCAAAAATAACAAACAAGTAAACTTTATTAAACGCACACAGGACGTCCGTCATTGCCGTCTAGAACCATCTATACTTTTATTTTTACCCATTAATATCTGTGTTTATTTATCTCTTACAATATTTCTTACATGTTACTTACTCTCTATTTTGGATTATTATTTTTTAATGCTAACTTTATACTATTACTATTTAAAATAATTAATTGTTCTAAATAAATATTAATAATAATAACAAAAATATTTCATTCAAATTATAAATGGTTAAATAAACCGACAAAGATTTTTGAAATGATAAATTTTTGATTTTGTAAGCATTTTGTTAAAATTGCCTATATATCTCCCTTGTTATAAATCTGGGCTCTTGACATTAATATCTATGAGTGCGTTGTATTATTATATCATCGGCGTTAAACTGAATATTAAACTATACAGGCTCTTCCAAATTTCATAGTATAGTTTAATTGTACATTAAATACTTATTTTTCTAAAAATTACTTACTTGACTACTTGAAAACTTTATATTATACATTTGACAATGTTTCATAATCCTTATTTATTCACCTTCATTTTAAGGGGTGAACCGCTATCCATTTTTGATTTCTGATTACAATAAACTTAATGTGATTTCACATTTGATTCTGATTGAATCTCAAAAAATATTGACAGAGTTATTAGCGTAAGGATAACATATTAAGACACTCTGTAATCTGTATACACGATAAACTCTAAAACGGCCGAGACATCTCGGAGACAACAAACCGAATTTTATATATATATATATTTTTTAATATACTTTGACCTACTTTTGTAAAATTTTCTTAAATTATACAATTATGTCTTTAATTTTGTTATTTTTCAAATTATAACTATACTATATTTTTATTGAATAGCTATTTTTATTCAAACGTAATATCTGGTATACTATTAAAGAGTCATCGCTCTGTATAAATCGGGTTTTTATTTTTCCGCCAATTATAATATGTTATGAAACATACACAACAACAATCTTATAAATATAACGTATCACCACATTTTCTGTGTACAGACGAATATACATTTATGTGGTAGTAGTTAATCAATCTGTCGGCCAATATAAAAATATTCGACTGGTGTTATTTTAAATTCTGAGTATATTGAACATTTTTTTATATTTTGACTAAAATAGGTTTTTTTTCTCGGAAAACGCTTTTTAGGTTTACTCTCAGATTTTTTTTTTTAAACCGTAGGAACCTTGAAGAATTCTTTTTTTTTTGTCAGATGATATTTTAAAGAAAAAATGTCTCAATTCACAACAGTTTTTCTATACAATTTAAAAACCCTGTCAACAAATGCCGTTACATAGGTTTTATTTTTATTGATTTCTGGGTAAACTTGGCTATACAAGATTGGAAAAACATGATTAAAACTAGGTAATACCACTACCTACTTCCACTACTACAAATACTACTACTCCGTTTAAAATAGATTTTTTATTGCAATGATTTATCGTTGCTTTTAGCATATAAATTAAATTATTCTATATCCTATTCAAACGTCCCACGAATTACAGTGGTCTACCTATGATGCGATTGAGTCCAGCTTTTTTATTTTTTGTGTTTTTATTTGACGCAAAAACATTAAAATAAATTATAATAATAATAAAAAAACAATTTTTATTTCACATAAACGTATAGTTGAGTTGTTAAAGTTTTGTTATCGGTTATTAATAACTAGGTTCTCTATGGGTAGTATTTCTTATTAAACACTCATCTTCGTTTCGAATAAGTAGTTCAGTAATGTACAAATACTAAAATAAAACAAAAATATATAAACTTATTTGTTTTTGATTTTTTTTTTCTTTTTTTTTTTAATATTGAAATAAACAATTAGATACAAAGTTTATATTACTTGAACATAATTACTGATACGTTTTTAATTAAAAACTTTATATTGCATAACTTGGATGTTTTCGGTTTTCATTTACCTATAAAAAAAATGGTGACAGTTTATTTTTTTTTTGTTATTTTTGATTTTGTACGTTACATATTTGCAATTATATAATAATATACAAATCATACAAGCACAATCCATTTAACGTTAAATAAAATGTTATTTTAGACGCACAGACATCAACGCATTATAAGTTAAAAGCTTACTATACAGATAACAGTCGTTAATAACGTTGTATTTTTTGTTGTTACAAAATGTTATTTAATTTAATCGCACTACCAGGATGACAGGACTGTAGACAGAAGCTTAATTTATTAAAAAACAAATAATAATAAAAAAAATTGTGTTATTTAAATATACGAAAAATTAAATTGTGTTTTAAAATGATTCGTGTACAATTCGGGAATATTAAAATAAAGTTTATTAATTTAGGTTACGTGGATTAAAAAAGAAAAAAAAGGGTCGTGGCTCCAATAATGTGTTTAATAAAAACGGACAACTAGGTACATTGTATTAGACGTGTCTAATACGTCTCGGCTCGGCGGGAGAAAATTATTTCTTCATTTAAAAAAAAAAAAACGAAATATAATTAAATATGGTTTAAAAAAAACGAGGTAAACGCGAGGGAAAATAAAAACCGTTTTGTAATTTATCCTTAACAAGAATATGAAAAGTTTTAGATTTTAATTATTTCAACTGCGTGCGTGCATTCTCTTAAAATAATAATAATTTATTCTTTTAATTTGTTATCACTATACAGTATACCTACCATCTACTACCTACTATACAATATGAACTATTTATTGCAAAAACCAAGTGTTTAAATTTAATCAAATATTGCGTACCTATCTACATTTACTTTTTTTTTTAAATACAAATACTGTTTAGTATTTTAACGTGATAATAATTATTATTTTGCGTTATATTATATTGACCGTGGTGTTAACAAAACGCGATTATTGATATAAGTATTTCGATTTTAATAAATTATGAGCTATAATATACACCTATATTGATTACCAATAACCTATACCGTTTAGTATAAAAGGCTCCAAATTATTCACACCGTACCTTAGGAGATGTGTATTATTCGTTGGTACTTTATTGAAAAACAATACCTGAATTTATAAAAGTTTATCTAAAAAATTAATAACTGACAACAAATATTAATACATCGTTTTTTTTTTTTTTTTGATTACGGATTATTTCGGCTGAAGAAATTCACTATTAATAGGTATTTTTGTTGCTATAAAACTTTTTTTAGAATCTTTTTTAATTGTGATGATTTATTGTTGCCTACATGCAATACTTTTAAAGCTTTCCAGAAATCTACCCATGGTAAGCATGGTGCGAAGTATAACGGGATTTTGTTTTGCATTTTACAATTTTCCACCGTAATTTTATTTTAATAATGATATTTAAATAAGAACTCACATTTTTTCAGATAAGTTCATATTCGAAATCCTAATAACTGGGTGTCCTAAAAACAATTGTCACCCGCTGCAGAATAACGTACTACACGTATGTGGATCTCTAAATAGATTTGGTTGTATATTTTTTGTGTCAAAACATCGATTAAAACTCGAATAAATCGAGCGACTTCTATTGTTGTATGAGGGTTCTTGTTTCTGATACACTCTGTATAAGTACATTTTGTTCGAACTCAAAACTGTAGAATACATCGCAAACACCTCCTACGCTTTGCAGGATACAGTATATAAAATAGCAATAGGTACCTACATCTAATTATATTGATATATTGTAAATTGTTATTAAGTTTTATGGTATATGTAGGTATGTAACATAATATTGCGAATAACTAATAACTCTATTATAGCCGCTATAGTTTATATATTATAATATTCATCAATTATTAATAGCTGATCATGAACAAACTTAATTATTTACGTACTGTCGATAGCCATACTAAATTACTTATACGAATTTGCCTTGTACTTATAATATAGGCTGTTAATATAGTTCTCGTATAACCAATATTATACTTTGGTCTGTAAAGACAAGAAGCTATTTCTACTTTGTGAGACCTTAATGCTATTTAGGTAAGTATACCTACTGGAAGATTGACAATTATATAATACATTTAATATTATAATAATATTAAATTAAATTAAGTTAAATTTAGTTATGGCTTTTCTCATCACTGTACAAAAAAAATACTAAATTTGTGAAATAAATCAACCATATTGATTAAAATTTCATATTTAAGAAAATATACGGTTACCTTAGCTAGTGTGGTTAGCAAGGGATCACTTGAATCACGTGCTCCTCCACCCAGAATTTTTTTTTCCGTAATGCTTTAGAGCAGTTTAAATAAATTCGTTATATTAATAAAATGTATTATTAGTAGTACTATTATAAGTATAAAATATATTGTTTTATATTATTATTTGTATAATATATGAATCACTTTAATTGTAGAAAAGGGACATGTCTGATTTCTCTTGAAATATTGATTTACTATCGGATTTATATTTATTTACCAAGGTACATATTTTATGTAAAAATGGGACTCGTCCATCAAACTGTTATGAAAGTATGAACAGCTAAAGTTAGTTCTTAGTGTAAAAAGTGGACAAGTCCAGAACAATGTCCCCTTTCTGAGCTAAATATTTTAATAAATTGCCGTGATAACATGTTTTTGGTATTGTCATTCATAGGTTTTTGTTCTTATCATTAATAGCTAACAATTTTCCATTATTTATTAATGTTATGTTTAGTCGATCTCTTTTTGAGTTTGTGTTGTAAAAAAATATCATTCGATCTTTTTGATTTTAAATTATCTGTGAATTATAAAAAAAAAAAAAAAAAACAAAATATTTCACCAGGTACCCCCTTATGTTGTCCTCTTTCTGCAATTGGTGATTCATATATTGTCTTATATGGTTACAAACTTAGTGTTAACTTTCCGCTGTAAAACTAAAGGGGTCTAAATAATAATTGATAAAGGAAAAAGTGAGTCATAAAATAATAGGTGATAATTATTCTAGCTTAACAAAAATTAAGTGCCCCTCCCCTCTAAAACAATTTTTTTTCTGGCTATGTTACTGAACTTAGCTGTAGTTACGAATTCAAGTGGCTGAAAAATTCGTATTATTAAATGTGAATGGGGAGTATAGTCTACTATGAAATTAAAAATAAAATAAATAATTCAACTTTTGTTTTGGGTTTTTGTTAGTTAATAAACTAATCGAGAATGAAAAATAAAAATGGGGGATAGGTAAATAACAAGAGATTTATTTAAAACAATGACATTTGTAACAGCTATTTTGCTTATTCGCTCTTTTGACGCGTAAGTTCTCATTGAAAAAACACTTTCTTAAAATCTAACCTTACATTTATAGTATTATTTCTAATGTTAAGTACATTATATGAAGTCGTATTAGTAAAAATTGTGTTTATACAATATAAAAACTATATTTTGTAAGTAATAATTCAATATTTTAGCTTAAATTTTTGAATTAACTGTGTATTATAATTATTTATTACTTCGGTCGTTATTTATGCGTTTTGTAGCCTTGTGGGTAACTAATACTATATTATATGATAAATTATGTCTTTGCGTTTTGCACTTCTCGCGGTTGTGGATTAAATTAATATCATAATAATTAATAAGGAAAATTATTGAAGGACCAATAAGAAATTATTGTTTTTCCAGGCCGCAAATAATATCGCAGCCGATATAATTCTTAATTATTTATAAATAACAAATTATTATTTTTTAAACTTTTTTACGGTATAAAGTTCATCACTGTACGTTATTCACACGGAACCAAACGAGTCCCACAATAGTAATAAAGACATTAAAAAAAAAAAAAAAAATCAGCCTTAACATATTAATAATTAGTTTGTAGGAAATGTGCATACCTACATAATTATAGAGAATAATAATCTAATAATCTGTAGCAAAGATACGCCCTTGAATAAATGGCGTGTAATATACTTTTAGTTATGGTCACCCGAGTCGATTATTATTCCGAAGGCCTTTTAAAAACAAAAAGAAAGAAAACCCCATTAAATATAAAAAAAAAATAAATAAAAAATAAATAGTTGTAATAAATAGAATATTTGTAACGTCGTCGGGGGCCTATTCGTCTGTACATTATACGGGAGAGTATCGTGGGGACACTCTCGGAAAAATATTACAGTTGTTTTGAATTGGTCAATAAAATTATACAATTCTGCGGAGAGGTTATTTGATGCGTAATTTTGAGAGAGAAAAACCATATCCGGGTTTTAATCTAAATTTTCACGAACAGAAACCACTAAGCGAGAAGACTCAATACGTCAGAGAACCGCTATAGTAGGTAGTTCTAAAATCCTTAAAATCTCCCCGTCAGTCGATTTACGCGCAATTTGTATTATTATGTACGACCGGCGAGATTATTTTTTATCCCGTCGGGGCTTTACCGGTGTCTATGCGGGTATCTTATCCGAGTTGACATTCCCTACTCACGTTGTATTTATATATATACGATAACAAAATAAACTGATACAGCTATTCTTGTATAATAATTACGAATAACTACGTTTTTGTAGGTATATATTATGTGTATAAAATAAATAATGTGAGAAAAAAAATTTCATAAATAATTGAAAACCACGCGTATAATGCCCCGATGAGTTGTAAACAATATTATATTTTATTATAATATTAGGGTCACGTGCGATAAAAAATTTTTCTCACCAAATGCATTCTAATATTCATAGCTGAATGTTTAATAATTAATTTAAACGTTTTATATAGTTACGAGATCCGATAAACTATTCATTATAAGCCTTGCGCTGCAGTCCGAGAGCTCTGAATCAAAAAGCGTTTTTATTATTTATTAACGCGTTCGGCCGTAACAGCAGTCTTGCGAATTACTGCGCGATGTTTGTGTAATTTATTGACTGACGAGTGACGATGGACGAGGCTTTTGCATTTTTTAGTTTAATTTGTTCCCCTAAGCCCATAATGGTATCATTTTGAGGGGGGAAGGGGTAACTTGAACAAATTTGCCCCAGTCTAACTTTTAGCCTTGTCATAAGTCAGATTTTTGGTTGATTTCTGGGGGGAAAAAAAATACAAATATTGACAAATGTCTCATATATATTTTGTTTGTATACCCTCCTAGATAAGTAATCCATGGTTAAACTTTGGATTTTTCTATTTTCCGACCAACGTTCATGACGACCACATGGTATTTGTATAATTTTTATTTTACTTTCTGTAAACAACTTTTTTATCAGAAGTTCTTCTTGTGCATAAAATTGTTTTGGCTGAGCAGAAATGCTTGAAGTTATACTCAAGGTTCATCATAAGCTCATTAGTAATCAAAAAAAAAAAAAGTAGTTGATCGTAATGTAGACGTATTTTTTTTTTTTAGCGTTTTAAAGTTACACATAATTCGTAAATATAACGGTATTTCAAAACATGGGTTCCCGGTATTGTGACCGAACGGTTCTGGATTGAGAAATAAGATAGGCCCGAGTTAAAATTTGAAGCGGCCCAATTCTCAATTGAGTAATTTTTTCATTACAAAATGTGGACGATATATTTTTCTGCTAAATGCTCAAATAGCTTTCATTAAATTATTCTGTTTTCATTATTAATTATTATGATTTAACTATTTTACTGAATAGTTTTCCGCCTTTTGATTGTATACATGTAAGTATTTTCATCATTTCAAAAGTATAAAATGTATCTTTTATTGTTTTGCTCGGTAACTCACCGGCTCAATCCGGTCCCGTATCCCGAATTATATTGTATTTTTTTCAAATATTATTTTCCGAAAAATCTCCTCTTTCGAACTCTTTTACCCAAATGGTATATTTTCTGACCGAAATATTTTTCAAATAGTATTTATCCAAAAAAAAAGTTGTTGGATTTTCAATGACACATAAGATATAGGTATTATATTATGATAAGATATATATATTATGAATTACGTAATCTCCAATGACTTGGACTTCGTAGTTAGACAGGGTTTATAATATCGAATTGTAAATAGTAATTTCAATTGATCTTAGATTATGAGCGGACCGAGGAATATATTGGTTATACAATTATGTTTATTATTTATTATTTTCTGTGAACAACTTTTCTACCAGAAATATTGCTACAATTTTATAGTACTTTTTCTGAAAGAAAATCTGACTGAATGTACAAAATATATTTTTAAATCGTAAATGTTACTGCCTTTCAAATATGTATATTTGAACTCTACTCAGAATCGTTTTTTGTTAGCAATGATAAATCTTTGCGTTCAGATATGCAATAAATTTCCCAACTACCTATTCAAATTCTCACTTACAACAGTGGCCTACCCATCGTGCGAAGTATGTTAGTTTGTATTTTGATATTCGTGTTTTAATAAACAATAATAACTATTTTGTAGTTTTAATTAATTTTTGTAGCATTTAAATACTATTTGGGAACTATACCAATCGAGGAAACGACATTTGGATTATATTACTAGGGAAACACATACTATTCGGGAAAAATGCTGTTCTTTTCGGAAAAAGATCGGGAACCCAAAATCCATGGTTTACATGGCTCAGAATTTTTTTTTCGTTAGCAATAACTTTTTAATTTTTTTTGTAAATAATTCCATTTATCATTAATCAGCAAATTTTGTAAGTTTACTTCAGTTTGTTAGCAAATATAGAAATAATTCCATTTCCTAAAACACGTAGAAATAACAAATAATAAATGGTAAATTATGTATATTAACGAAAAGTTATATGTTTTTAATATATATTTATTCCAGTGTTTAAGAGATGCAAATACAAACTAAATTTTTTAGTGTTCCCCTCGCAAAAAACCCGATAGAAAAAAAAAATTAAAATTGACCAGAGTTGTTATTATAAGGATAACACTGTAGGACATCTTGTGTATTGGTTTTTGGGTGTGAAGCGAATTTAAATTTAAATAAAAGAATAAAAAAATCGCTTTGAATTATTGCAATATAATGTATAATTCCAATTATTATGTTTTTATAATAACATACCCGAAATATAAATATTTTTGTGAATTTCATAAAAAATAAAAACCCAAGTATTTGACTTCTTTATGATGAATTATTACTGATATAAATAAAGTAGAAGCAGGGCACTTAAACGAGTAGTACCTACTATAAAAAATATCGAAAATATGATTAAGGCGAAAGATTAAAAGGAATATTCGACGGTATTGTAATATTATTATTTATACAATCCTACTCGCAAAAAAAAAAAAAATAATAATAATAATAATGTACTTGTAACGAGTGTTTGTCAAAACAATTATTAATTTTTAAATTCAATATTATTATAACGATAATATTTTCAATTTTGTATATAAGTAGGTACCTGCGTAATAATAATATTATTAAGACGATTAGTTGACAATGCTACGCGACTTGAATAATTTAATTATAGTAATTAATTATTTAAGAAGTCGTTACATTTTTAACGAAGAAATTAGATTATGGTAAAAATGTATAGTTACCTAAACAAACCTAAACATACGAAAAGTTATAAAAATACTTTTAATTATTTTGTCGTCATTTAATTTATTATAACATCGTAAAATAATTGGAAGTTGTTTTTTTTTTTATACCACTTACAGTGTATTTATTTAGAAGCAAATTTGAACGTAAATTACTTATAGGTTGGTAAATTCTTTGAAAAAAATTCGTTACCTAACCTAAGAAAACTTTGGCTATACGCAATCCTTTCCTTTGAACGGTCATTTAAAATATATATCATATGCATATAAAACAAGTGATATAGTAAAACCTACTTACGTTAACTACTTAGAGCTTACATTATGGAATTATTAAATTAATATTTATGGTTGATTAAAAAAAAATTGCTTAAATTATTTTCCTGAATTCTCAATGCAAAGTTTGAAATTTGAATCAAAATTAACGATCCAAATTAAAGGTTAAGTTGACTGAAATATGATATTAATTCATGGTGTGGTCATACATTTGAACTTTGAATGGATGAACGATTTCATTTGAAACGTCCATTCTGAAGTCAAGAAAACGATAGAATATATGATATAATATTTTGGTGTATACGTACGTATTATATTATTTGTATTATATTTTTAGAAGTCATGACGTTATCGAATGTTGAAAGAAAAGTTATATAAGGTGCTGGTCCTCAAAATCAATTCGATTTAAAAATAATTCTGGCCAATCAGTCTTATATCCACAACGACGTTCGCCTTATTCTCAATATACATGGGTATCCCTATATAGGGATACCGATAAAATCAGTGAATTCATCTATACTGTGCCCGATGTTCCGAAATTCCCCTTTTATGTACACGTACTTTCATATCTATATATGATACTAAGATTTCGAAAGTTATCTTGTGTATACTTCATCTATACCAAGCCAATTTGTGGCTCTGCTGCACATTTCAAATAAAACAGAACTACTAATAGAGATATTTGATAGGCCAATGATATTAGATAAAATTTAGAGTAGATTTTAAAATATATCTATCAGAAATTGTCCATACTCGTATGCACATTCATTCAGTTATTGTTATTTTATTTTTTTACCGGTATAATCACGGAAAATGCAGTATGTTGCCTAAAAGAAAACACTTACTTTAAAATCTTTCAGTTTTTTATTTTATTTATATTAAGCGTACAAAAATAATAGGGATCGTTTTTTTTTTTATGAAATTATATTATGAGTGAAAAAAAAATTGATTTATAATTGAATCTTACGAACGGTTAATTAATGTTATCAATTTCGAAATAATTATATTAGCACAGATATCAAATATGAATGTAGATACCTACCCCAATATACCTAATGAGCTTTTTTTAAAATGGGTTAAACAGATTCTTTTGGACGTTAAAATGGGTAGCAAAAAAAAAAAAAAATAATAATAATTATTCTGTCAAAGGAATATAAAAACGAAATTTTCACTGCAATAGTAATCCTTAACTTTCAGATTGTACGTCATAATGTTCGTGTATATATCATACTTAACTAAAACAACACTTTAAGGGTCAAATACGTTTTTACCCCACTGAGCATGTTTTCTCACTATATATACCTACCCACAGCAGCTGCTGTAATATAATGAAACAATACCTACTGTGCAATTTTGTAAATGATTTAAAAATACGATTTCGCTAATCTGTATAGCAATAGTATTATCGTCGTCATAATATTACGAATTTCTATTTGATCTCTATATGTTTCAAGCGAATTTATTAACATTTTTCAAGCTCTTAATTTTTTTTTTTAATTGAGATGCACTCTATCAAAATATTGATTAATTTAAATGTATATGATTTTAAATTAGAATAAATTGTACCTACCTATTGTGCTTTTTTTAAAAACTCGAAATAATAATATTTGTACACATGCGCCATATTGTATTAAAAATTACATTAATATACGACACTAACACAGTGTTGGATTTGAAGTTCATTTCAAGGCGGGGACATATCTATATACCAAAGAAAATAATTGTTGTTTAAATATAATACGTTGAATAAATTATTGTTGAATGTGAAAAGGAAACAAAGTCATGAAAAAGAAAAGTGATAAATGTAATTTTTACTTTTTAGAGTATTTATTCGTATTTAAACAACAATGCCATTGTTATTGCGCCTCAAACAGACGCATGTAATAGTAGTAGTCATTATTGATGCCGTCTTCTTTTTATTTTTCTTAGACTTTTTTGTAGGTATTATATTATTTTCGATATTTTTCGGTTAGATCGGTCATGACGGTTAACACTATCTCACAATCAAAATGTTTATCCACTTCCATTCAAGTTAACTGTGGTCTAAATTACCAGCTAATATAAAGGATTTTACAGGAATTTTAATCGACATATTAAGTTAACTTAATAGTTAGTTTTCTGACTGTTATAATGACAATTAGATAGTATAGATAGTCTAGTTGTTAGACAGTTTTATTTTCATTTTTATAGCAATTTATTGTTTATAGACATATTTTTAATACTTGAAAAATAATAGTGTTTCAACACATTTTTGTAAGATTATATTACAATATACCTATATAATGGTTTTATATAATATTATATATATATGATGTTAAGTGGTAAAATTATTATAACGATCGCGCCCGTAGTTTTTAAAGGTGATGTAAGTTTATCATTTTTTTTCTCTAAAAAGAACACGTGAGCTCCAACTATTTCTGGCTATACAAAGTTGTCTTCGATCCAATAAATAAAGAAAATATTACTAATACAATTTTAGGTATTTTTCCCTCGCTTCAAGTTCATATTATTAACGTATTGCAGTAGGTATAAAGTTAACTCGGTTGTTCAATTGATAAAGTTTTTCGCACTTCACTATATTATAAAGTAACTCGGAATCGCAATAGATAACATAATATTTTTGAATTATAAACCATATACTTATACTTGAAATTTAATTTTCAAATATATAAAGAGAATATATAGAGCCTTCCAAATTTTACGTTATAGATACATTCTGTATGAAATTCTTATTTTTGAAAAAAAAAAATACTTATGTAAATATTTATTAGACTTAAAATGTAGGTACAAAACTTTTCATCAAATATTATATAAACTGAAAATACTACTATTATACGGTTAACTGCAAAAATGAAATAATATGAATTCGAATTTTAATACTATCATATAAGTACAATTCAGATTTGAATTTTAAATTATAATTTATCGATTCGTTGAAGTGAACATAAAAATTTCAATATTTACAAAGATAAATACAAATAATATTACTTAAACTAGGATTGTAAATCGTAAAGAAACGATATACAAATGTGTAAAAAATAAAAAAAATCTATTTGCTAATTTTACATTTTAGTTGTACAAAATTGTTAGGGAAATTTAATTTTCACATAAACTGCGTAGGTAGTATATAGCTTATACTTCACCGTCTTCATATTTAATAAAAGGTTTATTCATGCTTTACCGCGTTGCTCAATCTTTGAATATAATATTTTTGAAAGTTTTAACCACTTTATACCACCCTTACCTATTATTATAAGTGTATACAACTAAGTAAACGGATTTAGCGAAATTGTAGTATTATTTTGCATTTATTTTCCGTTACTAAAAGTCTGAATTTTACCCACCTATCTAAAACTTATACATATACGTACTGAAACGATATTATTTTTTAAATTAAATTATTTTCCGAAGTATGTATTAAGCTTAAATAGATTATTTGTAGATTATTATTATTTTTTTTTTTTTAACTGACGAACGTATCGAAGTTTATTATTTGTAAATAAACCATAGTATTCTAAAAACAATTTTGAGTGTAATTTATGAGAATCAAATGTTTTACATTTTTCTTGTATTAATTTCATCGCTTTTCATGAATTCGTTTTTTTTTTTTAAACCTATTTTAAAATATAAGTAGCTATTTCAGTTCGAGTTTTTTTTGTTATTTTTTCTGCTTCGCGCGACCTGTTCGATGCTGAAAAACATAGTTTTCGGGTAAATATCGCAGAGTGGTTCGATTTCGATCAGATTTGGTCGAAAAGAGGAAAACTTCTTATAAGGTTAATTGGACTTGAATTTTGAAAATTGTATTTTTAAACGACATATATTAAAGTTTGAATGTAATGACCGCATTTTATCATTTGTTAGTGTTTTTTTTGTTACATAATTAAAAGTTTAAGTCTATTGCATCTAGAAGGAAGTTTTTTTCTTATCAATCAAAAAAAAAAATAAATATATGTATATAATATATCGTAATCGGATACTACTCTATCGCCCCACTCTGCGAGTTTTTTTTGTAAACCAGATCGTGTGTAATAATAACAATATTATGAAAATAAACACCGATTAAACAGTTTCTTAAGACTTGTTAAATGTACATGTTAAATTTGCAAAATGTCACAAATAGAACTCTTAATAATATTAATATTACAATTAATTTGGACAACATTATTATCATAAAGGATATTTTATTGTGTCTTCAAAAATATATAAAACGAAACGAGTCGGTACATTTGTTTTGGGTTAATAATATTAAAGTTTTGACGCGTAATATATTAATTTAATTAAGTACCTATACTGTTGATTCAGTATATTTTTTTCACGGTGATAATATTTTTTTTTTTTTTTTTACATTAGACTATGTACCTACCAAAGCGCATAATAATTATTGGGTAGGGTTAGTTTTATTTTTATAATACGGTTGGTTTTAGCAATATAAAAAAAAAAAAAAATGACGTAGCCATTTAAAATAATTAATAGTCGTGTAATATTAGGTTTGTAAATAACTTTAAAATAATATAATAGTTAGTAGTCATAATCTGTTCGATTATACAAATATGATTATGGTCATATTTTGGATTAAAATTTAAGACGATTTATAATTCATTTACTATACCTACCTATTTTTTATTATAACGTATCATTCTTTCGTGAATTAAACTATTTTAAAATAATTAACTAATCGTAGGTACTGTAATTGTACTCGTAATAACATTAGGTGTATTTTTTAAAATATTTTATTTTAAATTATCATAACAAAAAAAAAATAATAATAATAATACAATATACGTATCATGTACATGATATGTTTTACTGTACTATATTTATCTTAATACGTTAGTTATTATAATATGTATGTAGCCCTCCCTCACTTATATTTGTGTAAAAATCGAATTAGATAATACTTTGTTAACGTATACTATTATTGTTTTCGGACAGATGCGACAAAGACGGATGTGTTAAACAATCGTACTTATAGCTGTTGTGATTGATGGGATAAATTAGTATTATAGATTCGTAGATAGGTACAATTATTATTATTATTACTTTTTTTTATAATAAGTGGAAAGCAAAAAAGAAAAAAAATTTTTATAGCAGTGGCAGGTAAAAAATTATTGCGCGTACTTAGATGAAAAAAACAGTTCACAAAAATTAATTTGAACCGTAAAAATAATATTATGATATTTTTCGATAGTAAAAACGATATCGCGTTTTTTAAAAGTGATTTTCCGTTTATACGTCCAAATATAATTTGACTAAATTATTGAGCCTAGCGGATGGAAATAAAAGTAAAACAAATTTAACGATAATATTACAATAAATATGCAACAGGAACTCACGTTTTGCCGTTCCGCTGTCCACTGCGAACATCACTACGACCGCCAACAGGACCATACAAAAATGACACGTCGTCGCGACTCGTGGTCTCGGGGGCAGCATCGTCGTAATGTTTCTGTTTAATCTATTAGTCATATAAATTAGTGTTATATCGAGTATTATATTTAATTTTGTTTTGTTTTTATTTCGAATTTTGCACCGGGAACCGCGGCCAATAGAGTCGGTCGTCAAAATGAGCTTATGCCCCGTGAAGTAACCCGGGACATCGTCACTGCTCGTCCTTTTATACAATTTCCTCTCCAACCCCGCGTGTTTGCGCACACCCTGTTGGTGCGTTTGTGTGCGTGTAGGCGATGTTGTCCGCCACCGAAACTTTTTACAGCGCCGTAAGTCTATATATACTATAATATATAATCGTATACTATACATAATAATTACAGTACTGTATTAATACCAACTATACTATGCATTTTTTTTAACGGGTTTTAATTAAAAAATAATAGAGCCAAACATCAACAAGTAAAATAAATGTTAATACGATAATATCGTAACTATTATATAGGAGCGAGATTTGAGACTTTTAGCGTTTGTTTATTATTATTTTTATTATGCTGACATAAAACCTATAAGTATTATCATAGCAGAACGCCATGGAAATTAATTATAATACCATGATACTATAATAATTGTCACACTATCAGAACATAATATTATTATAGCGTTGCAACCCAAAAAATTGTGATTTGTAGTTTACGTAGTAGTTATATCACTTTTTCTATAGTAAAGTTGTATTATTTACAAAGCACTGAATCCTGTTTTCTTGTACATAACTAAATAATTAAAAGTATGTTAAATGAGAAAATATGATAAAATATTAAAAGAAATAATATAGATTAGGTGGCTGCAGTGGAATGCATTTAACCTGGGGGGGGGAGGGAGGTTTAAAAAATATTACACTCAACAAATTTCCTTTTATAATTTTAATTTACCAAAAATTGCAGTATAAAAAGTAAGTTAATTGGTGTATTAAAAAGTTACACAGAAAAATTGAAATTATATCTATATTTTTAACGGCATATAATTTAAAGAAATGTTCTCTATGTTCGAGTGCAACAATCAATGGATGAATCATATATATCTGAATTGGAGTTATCTTGGTTTTACAATGTTGGGACTACAATCAGATAAATCTGATTGTTTTTGAACAACTTTAAAAAGTAGTGGTATCTGAAAATTGTTCAAAAAATAGATAATTAGAAATAGATAATTTATTTTTAACTATGGATAATTTTTCTACCAGCAATTTCGCTTCAAAATTTAATGCTTGTAATTTTTCTAAAAGGAAATTGCACTGGGGAGGTACTTTAAGGAGGTGATTTTCGATTTTTCTACGAATTTTCCAGACAAATGTGCAAAACCGGGGGAAACATAGAAAAACTAGGAAAATTGGTACAACATTAATTAAATATTATTAAAGAAAATATAAAGCTTATTTGATTATTTTACTGTAATATAATATGATATACATAATGTTGACAAAATATCACTATAAACTGAACTTCGCTTAGAATCGTTTTTTCGTAAACAATGCTTTATCTTTGTTTACTACACGGCTAAAATACAATGGCTCCACCCGTCCCCATTATCCAAGGACGTATTTTTTTTTTTTTCAAAAATGACGTTATAATGTCTTTTTTTATGGGTATTCTGTATTATTTTACATAAATCTACGTAGGTATGTAAAGAGATTGCATATTGTTGTTCTTTAATAGGTATACTGAAAATGTGAATTCATCGGGGATAACAAAACAGTACGAGTATGTTTATAAGAGCATAATATTGTTTTTATTTGTGCTTCTCGTACTCCATATAAACAGACATTAAATTACAATTATCATCCACTAGACACTAACCCTATAGGAGTCACTTTAAAGTTGTAATGTATATTTTAATCACAATTATCATTTTTGAATAGGTACCTAGTAAAATAATATTATTCTTAATATTCTTGTTCTTCTCAGAGTATATAACACTGTTTAAATTCGTAATCACAACTAAATTATACGTTTTAAATATGACTTATAATACATAATAAATAATATAAAATTATCACGTATTATGTTCTAAAATATAATTTTTCTTATTTAAACATACATTATACTTAACCTCCTTTACCAGAAAAAAAAACAACAATATCTTTATAAAACTACCTAATCGATTCTTTGCTGATCGTTGTTCTAAAATTAGTTATTAATATTGATAAACAATATTCATACAAATTAATATAGGTAAGTAACTAGTCTAAACTAATTAGGTACTTGTTTTGTTGAAAATATATTATGATCATAGGCTTGTCTGTTATTATTTTTTTTTTTTATAGAAACCGAGTCAAGTTCATATTTGGACGATATTATGACTTTATAAAGATTTCTAGACTTATTTACTAATACATACAGTTTTTTTTTTTTTATATAAATTTAACCAACTGTTATATTAATAAAAAAAAAAGTCTTGTCTAGTATATATGTTTAGGAAGACAATCTGTTCATCTTATCTTCCTCTAGTTTCATTCCACTACTTATGTTAATGCGAACGCTTGAAAATCAACCTAGTATGAAATTAATAGGTAATAAATGCGTCGGGATATCGATATTTCCCGAAATTTATTAATAAACATTATACGAATTTTAAAATCATAACATTAAACACGTATTTGGTTTGAAAAAAATAACGAAATTTATGGTATATAAAATGAATAAAATTCATTATACGAAAATACATTTAAGGAATTTTCAGTTAATACTTTCTTTGTTTATCACATTGAATAAAAAAAAAAATATATATGTATATATTTAAATGGTCGGAACTCCTTTTTATATCCCAATGATAATAAATATGGTGTGCACCATACAGTATGTATGTACAGGTACAATTTTTTCGAACTCTCTTTCGAATTTATTATAAAAAAAATATCCACTTGAAATACTTTTTGAGCACAAGCATATTGTAGGTATAATATTATTATATTCATGTGATATAGATGATAGAACTATTATTTCATATTTATTATACATAGATATGAATACTTATCGTTTTAAATACTAAAATAAAATTATTTTTATGAAAGAGTTAGCTAGGAATTCGCTATTTTCTGAATTACTCTTGTTCAAAAAAATAAAAAATATAAATCGTTGTCTCAAATGGCAAGACCAGAAGCGAATGAAGTATTATTAAAATAATAATAAAATTAAATAGATATACATGATAATATATGGTTTGAAATACGCATTTTCAATAATTCAATATGGATAATTTTTAGATTCGGAGCGTATAGTGAGGAATGTATTGGTATAACAATGATGTTTATTCAATTTATAATTTTTTTTTCTGTAAACAACTTTTATACTACAAGTCGTACTCAGATTTTCAAGTGTAGTATTTTTTAGAAAATTTTATTTGAATGGTATAAGTCATATTTTGATTTTCCAAGACATTTTCATAATATTTGGGCAACACGGGAAAATTTAGTTGCATGTATAAAAGAAACTTCGCTCCGAGTCGTTTTTCATTAGCAATGGTTTATTGTTGTGTACAGATATAAATTAAATTCCTCTATCTTACCTTCCCAAATTCTCACCTACAACAATGGTCCGCCCATCGTGCGAAGTACGTCCATCTTTTTATCCCTGTCTCGTATATTCTTTTTCCACTTATATTTATTTCCATTGTTAATTTTATTTTATTAAAAAAAAAAAAAGTTTTATGTTCACATCATGAATTAGGTACGTCGTTTCGCTTGGCGTGCGCTTTGAACAACCAAAATTAAAAATAATTTCGTTTAGGTATTCTTGGTAGTAAACTCCTACTCGTAACTGATTTATGTTATTTTTTACTTTTTTTCAGGTAGGACGTAAGAGGATATCAATTTTTGTTTGCTTTTTTTAATGTCTTTTAAATGCCTATTTTGATTGCTTAAAGGGAGTTCCTGAAGCCCTCGTTTTAATGATTTTAAGTTGCAATGGACAGATTCGTTTCAACTGGTGTGTATAATAATATACAGTAGCGTCTATACAATTTTTACGGTAACCTCTTGTATTATCGGATTGTCCTTTTGTATTCCGATAATCTACATATTTGATTTATAGAGACGTTGATTTGGATTTGAACCTTTCTATATTATTTATGGTATAAGAATTCCGTCAATCAAATTTCCAAACTAACCGCGTTATTCCCATCGCGCAATCACTCGAAAAATATTTAAAATTTTAATATAGGCACTTTGATAAAAGTATACCTATCAGTTTAGGTGAACTGCGGCGACCGTCACATCGCTTTTGACCCACGTAGTAGATATAATATTATTATAAATGTATCACTTGTAATGCACCACCTAAATATATATATATACATACTTAGTTATCAATATAATGGTATAGTGATGTATTATGGCCATTTCGAAATCACTCCAGATCGAAAATTGTTTATTATTTTCTTTTTTATAAATTTTATAAACAAATTACTATTTTACCACCTACGCGCATTATTAATACTGGCGTGTGCTGTTTTGTAAAAAAAAATAATATTTAAAATAATTAATCCGTATTTCATGTAATGTCCTACAAACAATTTTAGCTAACAATTTGTAATTTGAAATATACAATCGTAAAATAATTGTATTGCTAGTCATAATTTTTTTTTAAATTGTATGTTCCAATTGAAACCCTGATTCGCGAAAACTCGTGCACACGCAATTTTACGAATATTATTAAATCAACCATATTTTATCGTTATAATATAATAATATGAAAATTAACATTTAACGTTTTAAAAGGAATTCTGCGGCAACGCGTTTTTACGGGATATATAAAATGATTTTCCTGTCACTATATTATAATATATTTCTCTTTTTTTTTTTTTTTTTTTTGCATATTACGTTTTAAACGGCTTTAAATAATAAATTATTATGGTTCAATAATCGAAATTTATATTATACGTTTTTATAAAATAATATTTTCGCTAGAGAATAATATGAAAAATAGGCAGTATCGTTTATATATATATATATATATATAAAGGGTATATATGGGTATAATATAGGTACTATAAAAAAAAAAAAAACTAAATTTCATGTCAGCGAACGCTCGCCCGAAACGGTCATTACCGAAGACGTTTATCAAAAGTCACAATGCGAAAAATAATATTATAATGCTTACTCCAAATAATATACCTATATAATAAATACCTAACCTAACCTACCTTGGTACCC